CTCCAGATCTGCAGGAGGGAACGGTAGCGAAAGATTGTCTGCATGGGCAAAGTCTGGACCGCATGCGATGAATGGGGAAGCTTCGGCAATGCTAGCCATGATGCCGTTCAAAAGATTTATCTGACTTCTTGAAGAGAAGACGGTAGTAATGATATGATATGATACAGTACGAAGTTTGCAGTATTGTAGGTAGTATACAAAGCTTGTCTGGCTTGTGATGCAGAAAATTTTCAAAAAGTCATAAGAGAGCCGCGGTGTATAGATCGTCAAAAAGAAAAGATGCGCTTCGTGAATAAGGCGGAAACGTCATTGCTAAATATACGGCCGATAACCAGATCGCCGCGCACATGGAGGGGCTTCTGAAGCGGATTGCCGCAACAGAAGGTGATGGTGAGATGTTACCCCTGGCACCGTTGGGTTAGCACATGAGAGTTAGCGCGCCGGGACCATGTCTCGGACTGCTGAAGCCTCTTGGACAGGAAGTCAGGCAGGGTGCACAAGGTTCAAACTAGGAAATAGATCTGAGCATTGCTGGTCACTGCATGCAGCAGAGTATCCATAGCATCAAGCGGGTGGCTCTTGTGGGGTCGCATATTCGACTGATGGCGTCGGCGGAGCCTCTGTTGCTTTGTACTTGTACGGATACCACCAGCATGTTTGCTCTCGGTATCATCCACACCACCCTTCGAATGGTTGCGGCCCCCCGTTCCGAGTGGAGCCCATCTCTTCCTAGGCTAATAAGATATTAGATTGGCGCCTGGCAAGCAGCGTTGAGAAGTCAACTCCGCGATGGCACCCCCTAGCAGGGCTTCAACACCAGCTTGCGGCTCCTAGGCTGAGAAATAGAGGCCGGTGATATGCTTCGTAGAGGGGCGACGGTTGACTGTTCAAAAGAGTTCAGCAAGAATCTGTGTCTAAAGACAAGTGACTCGTCATTTCTCATGGGAGGAAAACCCCAGTCGGACGATTCAAATGTGTGCTCCAAGAGATCGAACGTGTCATGACTTTGGGCCCTCGGTTGGCAACTTCGAACCACACAGCTTGACATCGAAACTTCCAATATTTTCCAGAGGCATCACCCGCATCCCACGCCGAGCCTCAGCTAGGAACCCCCTGTAAGCACGTCCCAAAGCTTGTGTGTGTCGCACCCCCAGCCGGCCCCTCAGGAGGGAAGGCTGGCTGGGGACAAAGAAGCAAAAGCTGGGATGCGTCTCTCCGACAGGTCCGCGGTGGTCCTCTGGCATCAAGCGAGCTGCCGCCTAAAGTGCCAGACAAACGGAGTCGCTGCTGTGAGAGCGCTAGACGCTGCGGATAGCGCTGCGAATAGCGCCGGGGGCCGCCTGGAGTCCGGCTTCGTTGGCGTCATGACATCGAGATCTCGATCCCAACATCATGTTGCGATTTGGAGTGCAAGTCTGAGCTGGGCCGCAAGGGATGTCGTTGAACGTTGGCGGAGGAAATGCTCCGGACGAAAAGCTCCGGGTTGTCTGGTGGTGGGCACCCCTCAAAACATCGACCCACTGCGAAACAAGAATGGCAAGCAGGGTGAAAATCAAGGTCTGAATAGCCTCTGTTTGACCACGCGTGGCGGCTTGGGCCCGAATGGCTCCATTATTAGTTGAACAGGTGTAATCTTCTTATTCATGCGGGACGAGGGCAATCTCGATCGCGAACGTCTGAGCGTTAGAGTTTGCTGCGTTTCGTCACGTGATATAGCACGTGCTGCCTCTTTGTTGTCTCTTCGCCCATTCCTGTTCCATCTCCATCCGAAGCTCAGCCCGTCTCGGCTAAATCCATTCGACTCCTGTCAAGATCAGCCCGCTTGCTGCTCCACAGCTGCGCCAGAAGCCGGTTTTCTGCAAGCCACAGCAACGGCCTGGTGAGGCGCTGGGACAAGCGCTGGGACAAGCGCTGGGACACGATACGGAGCAGCTTCTCCGGCACAAATACTTACATGGAAATGGCAGGTCTGTTTTACGCAGTGTCAGTGCGGCCCCAGGCGAAAGAGAGAACCTTCGAAGGTTTCTCGAAATTCAGTGCGAGTATAGGGCAAGACATCGCGCTGAACAAAGGTACTACAAGTACCTACTCCATGTTTTGCTGCCTCAGCTCAGCCTACGAGACCCAATGCACGTAAGCGGGCTGGTCGACCTAACTTCCCCAGCAATTGGCAGAGAGAGAGCGAGGTTATATCAGCCTGCCAAGATGGAAGAGCCACCTCGCGACCCGTTTCTTAATAAGTCCACCCTGTACGCGGTCTACGCCGTCCTGCCGGTAGCCAGCTAAGCCTGCACAGCGTTGAACCTATCTGATAATGAATGCCCTGAGAGTCGCTGCCAAAGGCAGCATCCTACATGCCTATTTATCTCTGGCGACTGAGTGTCTGCATTGCTCGCACAGACAGCTTCAGGCGATCTTCAACCGGTCGGAAAGACCACAATCCGGTCTGAGCCGTTTCTGCCAACTTCCACCATGGTCCATAAGAGCTTGTGCTCCGTACCACCCCATACTGTAACTTGCACGATACCGCGATGGATCCCCGATGTCGTCATCGCTAATATGGCTCACGCTTCTAACGTCCCCGACAACATGGTAAGGGTGCCAAGACGAAACTAGCTCTATCAAACTGCGGGAGCGGTTCCTAGCGGTCTTGTCCCACGTTTTCTCGCTATCGTGTTTGTTAAACCGAGCGCAAACAGGTAACACGTGCAATATCCATTGCCTTGGAAGGGACAGCAGCCACCTCTGCACGCACGCATGTAGGTACCAACAATCTTTTCTGGCGCCCGTGCGCGAAAAGATCAAAAGACCCCAATCCCACACCAAAAGTTCCGAGGCTTACCCTGATTCTTGGCAGAGCATCGCATCTCGATCTTGCGCTGTACCTCTACTTGAACTTGTCACATTGGGTCCATCCCTAATGGCCAGTAGCGTTGGCTGTGGATCGCCCAGGGTCCACGATATCCGTATTCCATCAGCCCCGCAGCTAGTCGTTCCAAAAAACAGGAATTTGGCAAAGAAAAGCTGCTCAACGTTGCCATAAATTCTTCCCCATGCGGCCGCGGCCAATGGAAGCGGATGTGACGTGGTCACGCCAGCGACTGGGGTCAGCGTGTCTTTGTCCGTGGAAATTAAGCTTTGCCTGCTTGTGTCCACTACAAGTTCGCGAATACTGGGATAATATTGATTGGACAAGGCTATTCGTTCGGCGGTATAAACGCTGGTAGGCAGCTTTGATGGTTGCTCCATGCTAAATTACTTGCTACTTTGGGACTGTGATTAGGAGGCAGCAGTCGCCTTTTGAGATAAACGACCGTGTTAGTGCTATTACTACTCCGCACTCGTATGTGAATTTGCCAGGACCCTTCCAAGATTTTTTTAAATATGCGTGGAGACTGCGAGGCTACGAATTCAACCGTTGACACAAGGGGGTGGACCCTGAATCAAGACACAAATTACACCGATGCAAAACCGATGCCGATGCAGAAATACCTATTGATGGATGGAACCGTTATCTGGTTTTCGACTGCAGTTGGCGGATAAAATTTTGCTCTACTCCATAAACAGGCCGATGTGCGCGGCAGATCAGCCATCGGATGGCGCCGGCTCGCGTACTGGAAGAGATCACCAAGTGCGAGTAATATCAGGTAGATCACATATCTGATCTACACTAAGATTGATCTGCTTCAACGTTTTGTTCTAGATGTAGAGTCTTGTAGTGTTGGTTGAAGCTGATTACTCTTTTGGGAATAAAATTGCATTTTGAGTCAGCGACCTAGGCGTCTCTCCAAAATAAACTTGCCTTTACAACTTTATCCTATTCATGATCAGCAATGGATTTTGTTGAGTTGTGAATACATAATACACAAGCCTTACATTATTAATTAGACGAAGATACGATTAATTTGATACCAATCATCTGTTTTGGACACACTAATTTGGTACCCCTAAATAATTCAGCGCAGCAGTTTTGTTGCAGGGTATTCGCATAGAGCACTGATTTATATAATGACTCAACAGCGGCAGTGGTCAACGTCTAGGGTAAGCTATCTCTGCAAAATAAGAATCTATATACTACTGCATATACCCCTTTAAGGAATTGATAAAGGCTCTGTTGCATCGGTGTTAGACAATCCGAGGCGCTGTTGTCTCCTCTATTAATGACGGTTCTTGGCCACTCATACTAGGTAGGCGTAGATAATCTTTCACGGATTCTAAATTTAGTACAGTTCAACTTTCAAACGTAGCAGCAGAGGCTAATCGAGAAAACTGCTCGTTATCGTATTATTCAGCCACTTTATGGCTTGGTCAGTTGTTCCTTGTGACAGTTGAGTCGTTCTTCTGTTTTCACCCTCACTCGCTCAGTCAAACTCCTCAATAAGCCATTCTCAACAACACGCAACATTATAAATCCTCCAACAAAACACGGCATTTCAGGACATCCGAGAAAGTCCGAGCGAATCCCACAAAACCCAAAACCTGTGGCGTCGCGACAATCGCGCAGTTCCTTCTGCACAAAAGCCGGCGTTGATGGTTATATAAGCCAGTCTGTTGAAGCACACTCGGAGATTAGTAAATTTTGTAGCCGCAGGATCCAAAACACGCGCTAGCCTTATTTCGTATTCTGGCCATCAGTGATTCGGCAGCGTGCCGCAGCTAGCTCGGAGACGGGTCTCGATAGCGTGATGGGATTGCTGTTTCGGGAAATATCGAAACCCGCCCCAGCTGGAGACGTGCCTGATGATCGACTTCAAAGTTGCGAGGCTCGGGGATAGGCGTTGGATCTGTGCGATGGGGAGGAGTATCTCGCGGATAAGGGAGATAGAGAGAGAGGGGGAATGGGGAGATGGCGTGTTGGAAAGGTATATAAGTAAGGGAAATATCATTCATTGTTGGAAGAATATCTCATCAACAACGACACAGCTTCCAACAACAAAGATATCTTTTCATCAACATTTACAGTTTTATTTTGAGCCCAAAAACAACTAGACTTAACCACAATGTCAGTCAAGTACGCAAAGGACCAGCCTGCAGGCTTTACCAACCGCATCGAACGTGTGGCCATTGTGGGAGTAGGTCTTGCAACACATCTCTACATGTACTCTGCAGCACATATCAGATGACTTGCTAACAAATATCCCTCAGGCTGGAGGCCAAGTTGGCAAACACATTGCCGAGGAGCTTCTCAAGACTGGAAAACACACCGTTACTGCCATCACCCGCACCGGAAGCAAGAGCAAGCTCCCTACAGGAGTCAAGGTCGTCGAGGTGGATTATGATAACGAGCAGTCTCTGATTGACGGCCTCAAGGGACACCAGTTCTTCTTCATCTCAATGGCTGTGACGGCCCCCAAAGGCACCCAAGAAAAGCTCATTGCCGCAGCAGCCAAGGCCGGCGTGCCATGGGTCATGCCCAACTCTTACGGCGCCGACTTTGCCAACAAGAAGCTGCTGAAGGAGACAATGACTGACGGAAACAACGACGGAGTTGTTGCCATAGAAAAGGCCGGTCTATCTTGGATCTACATGTCGTGCAGCTTCTGGTATGAGTACTCGCTCTCCATGGGCGAGCCGTTTTATGGCTTCGACATCCCAAACAAAAAGGTCACCTTCTACGATGACGGCAAGACGCGCATCAACACATCGACCTGGAGACAGTGTGGCAGGGCTGCAGCACACCTTCTCAGCCTAAAGGAGCTGCCCGACGACGAAAACGACACATCACCCACTGTCTCACAATGGAGAAACAAGCCCCTCTATGTTTCCAGCTTCCTCGTCTCCCAAAGAGACATGCTGGACAGCATCCACCGGAATCTCGGTACAAAGGACAGCGACTGGGACATCCAGTACGAGGCGTCGGATGCTCGTTACAGCAGAGCAATGGAGTTGCTCAAGGCTGGAAACTTCATCGGCTTTGGCATGGGCATGTACTCTCGAGCCTTTTTCCCCAATGGCGACGGCAACTTTGAGGAAAAGTATGGCCTGGCCAATGTGCCTCTGGGGCTGCCCAAGGAAGACTTTGATGAGGCGACCAAGTTGGCGATTGAGATGGCTGAGGCAGGATTCGGTCCTCGCAGGTTTGCAGAGGTCAGTGGACGGGATCTGCCAGGCCAGCCAGGCCACTGAGCAGCTATCCGACAGGAATCAGTTGCAGCTGTTTGGGCATCAAAGTAGCGGATGCTGCTGGTGTTGACAGAGTTGCAACAGCTGGAGCGGCTGATTGGCTGATGGGTGGATTGGTGTATGGATAAGGTACTGTAGTCTAGGTACTAATGCATTCATCTGCCGTTTATTCTTGAAGAATGTGACGCATCAATTGGTTATTGTGTCCCAACTGCCGTGTGGCGCGCATGCAGAATCGGCAAAGACAGTTTGTGAGACATTCGATTGAGGAGTTTGTGTAGTAAGCAGTGGACACAGACGATGCCTAACAGATACACGTATTTTGGGGGGAGGCTAACAACTAGAAGCTTTGCAAGGAGGCAGAAACTCGTGAAATAGCACATGTTAGCGTTGCTGTACAAGAAGCTAACGTTTTTCCTAGTGACGTCATGATATATCATGGCGGGGTCGTCAACGGTTTTCGAAGAGCTTCATCTGTGCCTGGGAATGAAGCGGGAGCTGCAGCATCGCCATTCGAATCAACTGCAAGGAGTCTCTGGATGGAAAATTGAAGCTGTTGGATATCAATTGAGTCGATATGCGGGTGTGCACAACCAGTGCTGGAAACACAGACGCATCGGGCAATGAGTGGCATGGAGGTGGGAGCTTCATGTTAGCTTGGGTTTCTGTTAGCTCCCGACGACGCCGTGGCTGCCACAGGCAATCCAAGCCAGCGTGAATCACAATGGAGGAGAATCCGGCATAATAAGCTGACCGCCTGTGGTTTACGGACCAAAAAGGGGCAGCAGAGTGTCCATATTTGATGCTCCATAGCAAAGTGCTGTAGCGCGCAAAGGTACGGATACAGTAGCATCATGATTGCATGGCCATCTCAACACTCCAGCATCATCGGCCGATGCCGTGCGTCTGACTGGCTACGCAGCACCGCCTAGAAAAAAACGGCCTATTAGCGTCCCCCACGGCCTGAAGCTGCCCCTCGCTCTGGCTGCTGCTGATGACATTTCCCTGCTCGCCGGGTGGTTCCTGGTGGCTTCAAGCCAAAGCAGCGCCTGCACTACAGTCGAGCTGTTAGCATTGCGTCCAGGCCATCCATCACACCATGTGCCGGCCAACCAGCAGCTGCTCGGGCTCGCTTGCGGGAAAAAAAGCTGCTAGACGCGATTCTTCCTTTTCCTTTCTTCTATTTCTGCCCATCTCAGCCTTGAAGCCACCAGCTGCAAAAGATCAAGAAAAAGGCCTGGCTGCTTGCTTGTTTGTCCTCGTAGTCGATCGCCATCGTCTGCGTACCAGAGCCCCGATCCGATCAGCGCAGCTCAACAGCGCCCTGGCTCAGCGGATCGACAGCCGCCAGACACCCCCGCAGACACGCAGCAGCAGCGCCAGTTCCAGAGCGCTGCTTGGGCTTGGGTCCGCTAACGCCACTGTAGCTACAAAGCCGCGGGGCATCGCCCATCCGCCGCTGCTCTTCTTTCCACCATGAGCCCAGGAATCATGACGACCAAGGAGGTTTATCTGCTGCCGCTCAACGACGACGGCTCGCCGCAGGTCGCGGGCGAGTACATCTACCTCGACGCCGGCGGCGATGACCCCATCACCATCCGCTTTGCCATTGAGGGCACGTCGTCCATCTGCCGCAATGGCAGCCTCTGGGTCAACATCCCCGAGCAGGGGGCCGAGTTCAGGCGGGACAAGTTTCGCGAGTACAAGTGAGTGAATTAGGAGGCGGAGGCAGAGGCAGAGGCAGAGGGGAATGAGAATTGAGATGAGCCTACATCTAACGATACTCTACGCTGCAGGCTGACTCCCGACTTCAACAAAACGCTCGAAATCTCCATCCCCATCCACCAGTCCGGCGTCTTTGCCTTTTATACCACCTATGCCCAGCTGCCCAACCTCGATCCGGAGGACGTGCCAAAGTCGACCGACAAGGACGAAGCTCTGAAAAAGACCCCGGTATACTACATCGATGTTGCTCCTCGCCTCAAGCTGGATGGGCGTCCATTGCCCCTGCCCGCGCTGTCGCTCTTCTCCATCATCAGCAAGCTCATGGGCCGCTTCCCCGGCGATTGGGAGCGACACCTGCGGGGCATCAGCGAGAGGGGATACAACATGGTGCACTTCACCCCTCTGCAGATTCGCGGAGAGTCAAACTCGCCCTACAGCTTGTATGATCAATTGGGCTGGGATCCCGCCTGTTTCCCCAAGGGCATCAAGGATATTGAGCAATTGGTCGAGCATCTCGAGCAAAAGTACTCGCTGCTGAGCTTGACAGACATTGTCCTCAACCATACTGCAAACAACACAAAGTGGCTAGAGGAGCATCCCGAGGCTGGCTACAATTTGACCACGGCCCCGTGGCTGGAATCTGCCTATGAGCTCGATACGAAGTTGCTGGAGCTCAGTGGCAAGCTTGAGGAGCTGGGCCTGCCTGTCGAAGTCAAGAGCACAGAGGACCTATTGGAGGTGATGGAAGGTATCAAGAAGCACGTTATCCTCCCGCTCCAGCTATGGGAGTATTATGCCATCAACGTTGAGCGAGACGCCGACGCCATCGTGGAGGCTTGGACTAGCGGCAAGACGTCCCCTCCCCAAAACGGCACTGCTACGATAAATGACTTTGAGCACCTCAAGACGGCAGCAATTGATGAGCACGTGGCTTTTATCAGAGAACATGCCCTCCAAGGCACAGACCGTCTGGGAGAACGATATCGGCGAAGAATTGAGCCCACTGTTGCGGCTACCTCGTTGGCGTTTCACTTTGGTCGATATGAGGGCGAAAGCACCCAGTCGGCCGATAAAGCAGCTGCCAAAGCCAAGGCAGTTGAGGTCTTGGATGCCATAAACGTTGACTTTTATGCCGAATACGACAAAGATCTGAACCAAATTCTGGAGCAACTTTTCAATCGTATCAAGTACGTTCGGCTGGACGAGCATGGACCGAAGCTGGGTCCGATTAACAAGGCCAATCCCCTCATTGAGACTTACTTTACTCGACTGCCAGTCAATGACACAACCTCTAAGCTCACTCCGGGTGAGCGGGCTCTAGCCAATAACGGCTGGGTTTGGGGTGGTAACGCATTGGTAGACAACGCAGGTCCAGACTCTCGCGTGTACCTGAAGCGTGAAGTCATTGTGTGGGGAGATTGTGTTAAGCTGAGATACGGATCTGGCCCAGAGGACAGTCCATTCCTATGGGAACATATGACAAAGTACGCCAAACTGCTGGCCAAGTATTTTGCTGGCTTCCGTATCGACAACTGCCACTCAACCCCAATTCATGTTGCAGAGCACATCTTGGATGAAGCCAGAAGAGTTCGGCCAAATCTTTACGTTGTTGCCGAGCTCTTTACAGGTTCTGAGGAGATGGACTATGTGTTTGTGAAGCGGCTCGGTATCAGCTCACTCATCCGTGAGGCCATGCAGGCGTGGAGCACGGGAGAGCTCAGCAGGCTTGTTCATAGGCATGGTGGCCGCCCTATCGGCAGCTTTGAAGTTGATGACATCTCAAGGTCTGATGTGACGACGCCATCAGACACAAAGGGAAGCACTGATCTTACAAGAGAGGTCATTCGGAGGATCAGACCCTCGCCGGTCCACGCCTTATTCATGGATTGCACTCACGATAACGAGCCGCCTGCTCAAAAGCGTGACGCGCGCGATACACTGCCCAACGCCGCTCTCGTCAGCATGTGCGCGAGTGCAACGGGAAGTGTCATGGGCTACGATGAAATCTATCCAAGGTTGGTCGATCTTGTCAACGAGAAGCGTCATTACACGTCTGAAGCGTCGAGAACATCGTCAATCAAGATCGGGAGAGGCAAGGGGGGCATAGCTAGTATCAAGAAGCTCCTGAACCAGATCCATACTCTTATGGGCAAAGATGGTTACAACGAAACTCATATTCACCATGAAGGCGAGTACATTACCATACATAGAGTGCATCCTGAGTCTAGAAAAGGCTACTTCCTCATTGCTCACACTGCGTTCCCGGGATATGGCAACGGAAGAGGAGAATTCAACCCCGTTCATCTGACAGGAACTCGAGCCAACCATCTGGGCAGCTGGATGCTCGAAGTTGACGACCGAGAAGAGACTGTGAAAGCCGTCATGGAGGATACCAAATTCCTTCGGGGCCTTCCCAGCCAGGTGGTGGATGTTCCTGGAATCAAGATGGAGTATCACGGTCAAGACACTACAATTTCGGTTCGCGACAAGTTCCCTCCTGGCAGCATTGCTCTCTTCGAAACCTGGATCCCAGCTGCAGAGCACTCTACTGGTCTGGACAACTACGTCACTTCTGGTGCCAAACAGGCGTGGGCCAATCTGAACCTGATTGATCTCAACTTCTTGCTCTACCGCTGCGAGGCAGAGGAGAGAGATGCCAGTGACGGGCAGGACGGGGTATATGATATTCCCGGCCATGGAAAGCTCGTTTATGCTGGTCTCCAAGGATGGTGGAGCATCCTTGAGGGAGTAATTCGCGACAATAACCTTGGACATCCACTCTGCCAAAATCTGCGAGACGGCTCCTGGGCTCTCGACTATATCGTAGGCCGAATTCAAAAGCAAAGCCACTCAGAGGGTAGCGAGGCCCTCTCGGGACCTGCGGCTTGGCTCCGAGAACGATTCGAGGCCGTCAAGGCCATTCCAAGCTTCTTGCTACCCCGATACTTCGGACTCGCCATCCGCACCGCATACAAGGCCAGCTGTGATCGGGCCTTGGAGCTAATGAACGAGCACGTTGCCAAGGGTCAATGGTTCCTTGGCAGTCTCGCCATGGTCAGCGTGCAACAAACTGGACTCATCAAGTCAGCCTCCCTGTGGCCAGACAAGCAAGTCCCTTCCATTGCTGCTGGCCTACCGCATTTCGCTGTGCAATGGGCTAGATGCTGGGGCCGAGACGTCTTCATCTCCATTCGAGGACTGTATCTCGGAACCAGCCGCTTTGCCGAGGCAAAGGAGCACATTCTTGCATTTGCAAGCGTTTTGAAGCACGGTATGATACCCAATCTTTTGAGCAGCGGCGCCGCACCGCGATACAACTCGCGAGATTCGGTGTGGTTCTTCCTTCAGACCATTCAAGATTACACTCGCCTTGCACCAGAGGGGCTCGACTTGCTCAAGGTAAAGGTTAGACGACGCTTCCTACCATACGATGACACTTGGTTCCCTGTGGATGATGAACGAACCTATTCCAAAGAGAGTACGATTGAGGAGATTGTACAGGAGGCTCTCCAAAGGCACGCCTCGGGAATGAAGTATCGTGAGGCAAATGCCGGACCTCAGATTGACTCTCAGATGAGAGACGAAGGCTTTAACCAGGAGATCAAGGTCGACTGGGACAATGGACTCATTTTTGGTGGCAACCAGTTCAACTGTGGCACCTGGATGGACAAGATGGGTGAGAGCGACAAGGCTGGGTCCAAGGGTGTTCCCGGCACTCCTCGTGATGGTGCTGCCATTGAAATCACGGGTCTTCTCTACAGCACTTTGAGATGGGTAGAGAAGCTTCACAAGCAGGGAAAGTTTGCTCAATCGGGCGTCAAGACTTCCGAGGACAAAGCCGTCACATGGACGCAATGGGCCGATCTCATCAAGGCCAATTTCGAAAAGTGTTACTACGTTCCTCGCACTCCTGAAGAGGACGCAAAGTATGACGTTAACCCCAATGTTATTGGTCGCCGAGGTGTTTACAAGGACCTGTACAAGTCTGGCAAGGAGTATGAGGATTACCAGCTTCGGCCAAACTTTGCAATCGCCATGACTGTGGCGACAGATCTTTTCGACCCCAAGCATGCATGGCAAGCTCTGTGCCTTGCAGATTCGACGATCAGAGGGCCCACAGGTATGGCGACATTGGATCCAGCAGACAAGGACTACCGTCCATACTACCGCAACAGCGAAGACAGCCACGATTTCGCAACGAGCAAGGGCCGAAACTACCACCAGGGACCGGAGTGGCTGTGGCCAACAGGTTTCTTCCTCCGCGCACTGCTCAAGTTTGATCTTCAGCGCAGAAAGACCCCCGCTGGCAGGACCGAGGCGTTCCAGCAAGTGACTAGAAGACTGGCTGAGTGCAAGCGGATGATTCGGGATAGCCCGTGGGCGGGTCTGACAGAGCTTACGCAAAAGAATGGAGAGTACTGTGGTGATTCTGTGAGTCTTTTTTTTTCTTTTTTTTTTTTCCCCTTTCCCCTTTCTCCTAGTGTCTTATCCCGTCATGCGTTTAAACCTTCCCCCTTTTCAATTGCTTATACTAACTGTCTACTTTCAGAGCCCGACACAGGCATGGTCTGCTGGTTGCCTCATTGACCTATACATGGATGCCATGGAAGAGCAGGAAGCTTTGAAGAAATGAATGGATGAATTATTGTTTTAAAACATAGACGGGACGATATGACAAAAGTTCACGAGTACATGACTTTAGCGCGATATATGTATGTAGAAAAAAGAGACAGTTTTGGGCGTTTATTACGAAGAAGTACACGACACGGTAATATATGAAGAGAAGAAAAAAAAGAGAGCGCATTGTAATTCTGAATTGAGTTACTGCCAAGTATTGGGTTAGTAGGTAGGCAAGAGAAAAGCCACCTTTTGATGTTTAATGACGTATTTCTCGCTGCTCCCCTCTCTTAATCCTCCAATATTCCCCCCTCTTCGTATCGAAGAAAAAAGGACTTCGTATTTGAAGTATGATGAAATCCTTGTTTCGCCCCTAAAAACTCTAATTTCTCCTCCACTCTGTCAGAAGACATGATGTGGTAATATCCCAACAAAAAAAGTACAACACAGTCAACGCCGGATCCAAAAAAAAAGAACAAATAACAAGAAGTGGATAAAATGATATAGAGCCCAGAGGAGAGGGGGAAAAAGATGTAAAATGAATAAGGAACGCCACATTTGATGGAGGTATGTTGAGGGAGCGGCAAGGGAGTGATACAATGAATTCTGTTCGTGGCTGATGTACAGTAAATGAGGCGATATTTGGTATGAAGCATGAAGAAGAAGACTAAAGTCGCAAAGCACCCATCCGTCGTTGATGGTAGGTAGTCGTAGTGCTTCGTTCTTTAAATTAGGCTCTTGAATATTTCCATTTCATCCATCGGTTGTATTTTCATTTTTTCATCGTTTTCCTTGGCTCTTTTTGGTTTGAGTTTTTGTTATGTTCTTTTCCGGATCTCATGATCGATTGCTGCTGAATGGCCACAGCTTGGTCGTCGTGTTGCGTTTCTCGGATGTTGACGTGAAAGTAGGCAGGGCGGGCGTCGCGCTCGTAGTCATAGGAATGCCACCAGCGGCGCCGTCGGTCGCAGGGGCCCCGGAGCCCCAGGAGTCGGTGATGCCAGCTTGTTTTCGGAGATCGCGCTTGCGGATGTAGCGACGGCGCCAGATGCATGCGCCGATCCAGATGCCGGCGATGCCAACGACGAGAACGACTATGAATATCACCCATTGCCAGTGGTTAGAGATCCTGGAGAATCGAGAGTTAGTACAATAGTCGCAAAGGAGGTAGAAGGATGGGGAGAGTTTACCAATCGCCGCTGGACGCATGTGATTGAATGGGGATTGCGTTGGTCGACGTGCTTGCTGTGGAGGAAGTCGTCGAGGGCGCTGCTCCTTTCTGGACGTTACACATGCTGTGGTACCAGCTGGTGATGGATGACAGGCCGCTGGGGTTCGCGGTGCAGGCAGTGTCGCAAACGCCGCCGGTTGTCGTCGAAAAGGCCGTGAGTCGAGGGTCGAAGCAGAAGCATGACGTGTATGCGCTGGGATTGTTGGAGGGCACGGCCGGGGGCACACATGCGCCATTGGCATCGTAGAGATGGATGCAGGCAGCCGCGCAGGCAGGCAGTTTTTGGAGGTTGCCAAAGGGCACGATGGTGGTGATGGGCAGTTGATTAGCTGTAGCGAGCGGTTGTTAGCCTGCGGGCCTCTCGGGAGGCTGGCTTGAAGGGGGCGCTTACCCATGATGACGATGGAAAGGAGTAATTAAAAGCAAGTATTTACTGAGAAAGAATCCGAGATGGAGAAGGATGAAGTCGCTGTGGAAAATCTTGACGCCTGCGCCAATCCAGAAGAAATGGAAGAAGCGAGAGAAAGATGCTGATGTTTTTTTTTTGTTTGTTTCAGAAAGGGCGCTTGACCAAACACCCGTGGGTCAGTCAAGTCACGGCCAAATGATGCAAGTTCCGTGAATGTGCGCAAGCGACAGCTGTCAAAAATAGTCGGATGTTATGCGCCAAAACAAAACGCTAAGCGATTTGTGATGCTCGTCTTGTGTTTTTCTTATTTTTCGAGTCTTCTTTCTTCGGTCTTTGTCGTCTTTGATCGGGGAGAGTCGTCGCCTGGAGGAGCTGACTAAAGCGAGAGCGAGGTCTTTGCGAACCGGGAAGGCCGGGAAATGGCTCGAGGGATCAGGTTGAGACAGGCAAATAAAAGAAGAAGTCGAGAAACGTAGCGAGAGGAAATGCGACCGAACGCGAGCGATGGAACGCGAAGCTGGTAGCAAGAGACGGCGAGAGACGGGTTCGTGAGAACTGGAGGTGGAAGGGAAAAAAAAAAAGAGGCACAGTGGATGGAACGAGCGAGATCATGGGGAGGACGGGTCTGGAATGCAGCGCGCGACGCCCAGCAGGAGGGATCCGGGCCGGATTAGCGGTGCATTCGTCGCTGCAGCGCACCTGGCACAGCCTACAGGCGCCAAGAGGGGCCCCCATCGGGAGCAGCGAGGGCCTGTAGAATCCCGTATTCAGCGCGCGTCAGCGGGAATCCGGCGCTGGGGGTGGGCTAAAGAGGCTAAGTTAGAGGAGGACGACGGAAGCGGGTTTTTTCCATTGGCAGGGGTTGGATGTCAAGAATGCATTTGATGTTGTTGTTGAAAGCGGCTATTGGGAGCTACCTGTTTTGGCAAGGCGAAGCTAGCGATTTACGAAGAGCAGCTGGGATCACCAGTAATTAGTACTCTGTTGCTTACCACCTGCATAGGTGCACGTATATGAAGAAGTGAATAGATGCAGTCAAGGCTCCGTGCTCTTTGGACGGGACTGTGAGTGAATGTCATCCATCCATCCATCCATCATCCATCGATCATCAATCAATGCGACCCAATCAATCCATTTTTAGCTGCATTGGCTTCTGTTTGGTGGATTTCAATGGCTGGCCCTTCTAGAACCGGTAGGCCAATGCGGAGAAGGCGGCGGCTAAAAGGGCAGGTCGCCACTACAGTGGACTTGAGTACCTGTACAAGGCACCAGTGAAATACGAGATGATTGCGATTCAACCACGGCCACCAGCGAAGAGAAACAAAACAAATGCTCACGGCGCTCTCAATGTATGCCTGTAGTACCTAGATTGATAGGTCAAATATATTTATCAAACAACAAGACTACCCATCTCCATTGGTATGTTTCTCTCCTGGTCCCCTCCAACTCCGGTCTCCGATGCAGTGGCTCCCCCCTGCCGCAGGTATATTGGACCCTGCAAATTGTTTCGTCCTCCTTTACAGCCGGGACGTCATTCTGCGGTAAGGCGACAATAGGTGCACGTGTGCTTGTCAAGACTCGAAGGCGGCAGTACCGCTACCCTGTACGATGTACTCTGTACTTCGGACATGCGGGCTCCAGCCTCCAATATGCAGCTCATTACGGATGGTGGAAACCGGCCTCGAGCATCAGCCAGTCGCCATGATCTAGAAATTTCATCCATTTCATGTTGCTCTGTTCTTCGCTCAATCTCAATCTCAGCCACATGCAAATGCTTCTACAACACAGCTACATGAGGTCACTTGCACGCCTGCAGATCCAGCGCCCATCTATCGCGTATCGTATGACACGTTCTCTGCGCTGCTCCTCTATTTCTCTCGCTCCCCTCAAAGACCCCTGCCCTACGGCTTCTGATCTCCGAAACAGGGGGGCTGAGCAATAGCTGGCCCGCCCGAGATTATTGTTCTGTTTCTAGCCTCGTGCTCGTGTTCGCGCCGCTTGCTGCCGCTTATGCCTGGCTCTGCTATGGAGACGAAACGTCTCGGCGGATGCGGCTATAGCCATCGTCTTTCTATCGCGATGCAGCGCCGTGTGTAAGTGAGTTACAGCACCATCACCACCACGATTCGGGCATCTCGTGATCAGCATCTACGTGTGGATGGGAAACATCGATTCTCCGCTCCCATCTGTCAAAAGCGGGGAAGCAGAGCAGCACTAGCAATTGCCCAGCGGCTATCATGGGCATGGATCCCGTCGCTATTGTTTCTCGGTGCAATAGTCGGGCTTGCGCCGATCACATCCCTCAGTGGCCACGTCCGGCTTACAAGGCATGACAGGCTATTATGGACAGCAAACTCTGCCATGATGGGTGCATATACGAGACTTGGCCAGGGAAAACGGCTATTGACAGCGAAAGCAGCTTCCAAAGCGGTATTTTCCTCTATATCCTAGTGAAGTCTCATCAAGTGCTCAGCCTCAAGTCTCCATGTTTCATACAGAGCCAGCGCACTCATGGAGCCTGCTCCAAAGAGAAAGACAAGAACGGATCATTTCGAACCCCATTGATGGTCGACCTGTCCGCATACAGTCTGCCCCCAAGATTGTCTTGTAGGTTACTTGGCAGAACCTTGAGTGGCCACCGTTGATCTGTCATCGTCGTCGCGGGCCTTGTGGCTGCTCTTGACTATGCCGACGACCACCCCAGGCGCGTGCCAGGGGCCGCTCTCTGCGGCGAACCTCTGCATCACATACGGCACTTGGGAGGTGGCTATGCATAATGATTCTTAGCAATCTGCTCTCAGCAATTCGGAGGTCGCATATCTTGCCTGCTTTGGAAGGAGATCCACTGGGCTTATCCTTCACTTGCCCTGCCTGCGCAGAGACGGTACTGCTGATATTGTCTTGGGGCATATCGTATATGTCGTATTGTGTGAAATCGGCTGATATGGCCGATATTGTTCTGTGACTCTGTCTCAGTTGATGAGTGTTTACTGTTTAGCAGACTATTGCAAACACAAACCACCATGTCTCAGGGATATTAGCACGCTTTATACTCTCGAGAAATCCTCGAGAAACCCTTCCAGAATCTCGTTGCTGTAGTTTTCAGCTGGCCAAAAGAACCTCACACAAGCCAATCCTAGGATATCATATCATTTTCCAGCTCACCATACAGCCCATTATGGATGCCTGTGCGAGGTATACAGGTATCATCACTATTATTATTGATATTTCTTAGGGATGAACCAGCTTTCACGGAGCTAGCTTGTACAAGTACTGCTATTCTTATCATGCGACCTAGAGATACACAGCATAAGTATGGCCGCGTCTACTTCGTACAGAATGTTGCTTCACCGGGATCATGCGGGATCGGAGCATCATGTCTCAGGCATGCAGTCTCTCGTTAGTCGGACGATGAGGCAAGTCCTAATTTGTGTGAGGGCTTGGCATACATGATATCTAGGACTGCGCTCGACCTGGGAGCAGCTGAGAACTTTGGTGAGATGACTCAATAACTGGGCTTCAACGGCTATCCCAAGCGATTTGGTCTATGCAGATGAGCTAGTTCGGACTGTAAGCCACTGGTTCACAAGAACCATTGTTCGGAACTTTCGCGGCCTGGGTTCCTTTCTCTTAGACGCCATCTTTGGTGTTATGTCCTTTACGCCACGACGTGAATAGATAGGTGACAAGGATCAGAGCCACTTTGGGAAGCGCCATTCGCTACTTCAGGGACATGTCCTCTCAATGACGTGTTTGGATGAGCATAATCTTGAGACATGTTGCAACGGGCGACTGCAGCGTGCGACAGAAGCATCGAATGTGCAAGGGAAAGATTACCTACGTATGAGTTGTCCATTCCCTCGTTTTCACCGCCCCTTGGTCTCTAATCAAGGTACAGGCGGGTTTCAACTGGCATCTCTGGCTGGCAGTTGTTAAATCAACACTCCTGGATGAGTAACGACACGACAGTAGGAGTACAATAACAGCAGCTGTTCATGATGAGGCCTCCTCTTAGCTACCTTTGGCATGGCGTGATGTACGACGGGCACGCTGACTGCGTTGTCATTTCGGCATCTACTTTCCTTCATGTAAGTTCAGTTTTGGCCGTATCTAGATATAACCTTACCTCACAGGCTTAATTGCTAAAAGCAACGCCTAATACATGTAGCTACTTCTGAAACGCCAGGCGCTACAACGTTCAGTTATGCCCTTGTTCGTTAGATGAGAATTAAAGCTATACGACGCCTATCCGACAAAGTCTTGTAGGTCTATTAGACAGGGTGGCACATATCCACAGCTTGTTCCTCATAGCAAGGAGATGTCAGCGTCATAGGGAGCACAGCACCTGACAAAAATGCTTCATCTCGCCCAGCCTTCTCTACGAGTTTCCTATCAGAGCATCTCATGAGCTCTTGCGTCGTACTGCACTAACGCAGGGGCACTCAAACGCTAAGCCACGATTTGCCCAGGACTGGACCGTAATCTCGAGACTTGTTTCCGAATTTTGAACTATCCGAGTGATGTTTTACTTGTATGGCATGTCGTCTCGGTAACGGCAGTGGACGACCTGTCTCCTAAAGTCACTACAGGCGCGTTTTGAAGACCAGTTGCTGCCCTTGGTTTGTGATTGGAGCATTCGAACGTCTTAAGTTTGGTGGCATTTTAGTCGTGTTTACTCGCCAGTTAGATGTTTATATGTCCTTCCTCGGATTCTATAAGGGTAGTACTCTCTATTTCACTAGGTTGGATCAAGATATGAAACACTACATGCAAATCCTTTGGACTTTGGCTATGGGCCTCTCGTGGCTTTTCTCCCAGGTGAGTAGCTCTAAACGAACAACAACGATGGAACGTACACGACGAGGATTACGTGGCTTTCCCGGTGATATAGCTAGTATGTGATAAGCACGATTCGATTCCGTCTTTCAGTGAAACAAGGCAATATCTTCGGAGGCTCTTCCGGGTTTTACACTGTCTCAGATCGCATGACGAATGATGCGGACTCATACTACTACGCCAATAATAGAAAGAAAAGAAGAAAGAAAGAGAAAGAAACGTGCCATTCGGCGAGTTATATTACACTTCCCAGAGTCTTACAGCTTATACCAAAATAGCCGTTTCTTTCTGTAATGGTCCGATGGCGCGTTGGAAACTTGATGTCGTTTCACGATTGGTGCCATGATAAGTGGTGCCAGGATATGTTCTTTGCTGATATCCTTACGTTGTGTTCCGTAGCACCTCAGGCACATGCTCTCACATGGATGCTTAGATACATTCATGCCTAAAGCTTGGCAGCTGAACATGCCGTTGACACGCCACGACGTTTTCTTTTACTCGCACGGGTGGCTGTAGGACATGTAGACGAGGCCACCTTTGCTACCTGATTTTGGTGTTGCAGCCAATGATGGATCCGTGCCTCGACCCAAGCAACATGAGCCTGAAGGATATATTTGGAAGGTATCACAGACTACTTAAAATTTGTGTTGCTCCGTCTCGTTTTTCACGTGGGTTGGGCCGCAATGGGTTCGGCGAGTATTGTCGGATTTGTCCTCGAGTCTTCGGGGGTGCTGAAGCTGCGTTGCCATGAGGCAACGTTACGATTGAACATGTTTGATACAGTTTACGGGGCTTTATGAACAAACAAACAAACTACCAAGCCGAGAAGCGGTAGTGGCACATCGGATAGTTGTCGGTGCTATCGCGAAGCGCGTGGCCTTGGTTGCTCATAAGATGTGATATTGCAAAGGCTTTGAGCGACTATGATGACAGGAATGGCTGGTCATGATGAAGCCACGTAGCTGTATACTCCCTATTAAATTTCATTTCATATGTAATAGGCCTGAATGAAGGATTGAATCAGGCTGGTAGTTGTAGGTTAGCAGGCGAGTGACTGTCATTGGCGATAAACACCCGTGCCAAACGATGTAAGTCAGCGGAAGATGGATGCAGGTGGCTCTACTTGCGGTGATACTTGCTTGAGCCTCGGTAATTATCAATGATGGTGAAATGGATATTTTCGATGAACAATCTGAGGATTACAGTTATTGGTCGATGCGTAGTAGCATGAGTCATGAGCATGGCATTTATTATCCACCACAGGTAGCGGTCTAAATACAGAAGCGAGGAGTAATACCTGGTAGCTTGAGCCCGAAGCTCTCAGTCGCAAGCTCTAAACGCTCAACGCTGACAGTTAGTTCTCTTGGTTCTGTACAAAAATTGGATACTGATTGATAATGCGGGGGACAATGTCCTATATCGGCGCTTGTCTTGTTGGAATCGTCCATCACTTCTGCTTTCCTAGCTGGGACATTAAGGGTCTTGGTGTCGATGTTTGGGCATGGAGATAGGAGCCTGACGCTAAAGTGGTCGAATAACAAGACATGGTGCCACGTCGAACTGAGGAGTAGCTTGTTAGTCTCAGACAGGGACAAGGATATGCATTCATGGGCGATCAATATTATTTCTTCAAGTCTATTGAACAAACCTCGTGTGATTGCCTCACCGGAAAAGCAACATCGCTGCAGCTTCATTGACATTCCAGGCTAAGCATGAACTGCAGAAAACGCGTGTTAGTGGCAAGCTCTGCTGCTACAAGCTCTGAGCTGCCGCTACAAGCTCTCCAGCTGCTATAAGCTCAGCTGTCAGTTGGTGGCTGCGGTGGCGGTGTGATGGCCATGCGTCCTCCCACGCAGTTTTCGCCACAAAAAAACAGTTCGCCCGCTTAGCGCTCCAAAGTGCATAAATCATGCATTGAGCTAAAGCTACGTCACGGGTCTTGAACCATGCAATGCAATGCCATTGCTTTTATTTTCTGTCTGATCGCCAAACGCTGCTTTCCCCTTTTTCGCAGCAACCTCGCAGGCGATGAAGCATCATGCTCGAGGACAATAAAAACGACACGTGCTCCGGCGAGGATGCCATCCGGCCGGCGTCCAAGACGGAGCGCGATCTCGAGGTGCAGCTGGTGCTGTCCCTGATTCTGGGCATTGGGGCCTTTGTCGCATTCTGTGTAAGCCTCAACTCTCATTTGCTGCTGGACGCGCATAAGACTAATTCGCTGCTCTTTTGTGATGATCTTTAGATTCTGCGTCCGCGATGGCCGACGCTCTATGCTGCGCGCAAGAGGCGCCTTGATCCGACGATTGGCCTGCCGCCGCTGACCGACTCTTTCTTTGGATGGATCCCCAGGCTGTACAAGGTGACGGAGGAGCAGATTCTGGCGTCGGCTGGACTCGATGCGTTTGTGGTACGTGGAGCAGGAGCTGTTGATTGTGTCAAGACTAATAATTTCTTTGCTGGCAGTTCCTGGCCTTCTTCAAAATGGCCACTCGCATCTTCGCCATCATGACCTTCTTTGCCTTTGTCGTGCTGTGGCCGATCAACTACAGCTACCGCAACTTCCAGCCACTGCTGGGAGGCAACCATACGACTAACGACCCCGACGACTGGGACGATCTATACCGGCCCGTTGGCCTGCCTCTGGGCTCGGTCGCGATGGGCTTGGCAGACAAGATAGACAAGGACAAGAGCCGGGAGAGGACGTTTCTCTGGGCCTACGTCTTTTTCACCTACTTTTTCGTTGCGCTGACGATCTACTTTATCAACAAAGAGACGTTTCGAATCATTGGCTATCGGCAGGACTACCTGGGCTCGCAGTCGACCCTCACGGACCGAACATTCCGCCTCACCGGCGTCCCCCCTGATTTTAGAACCGAAGCGCGCATCAGAGCCGTCATCGAGAAGCTACACATTGGCACGGTCGAGACTGTATCGATATGCAGAGACTGGAAAGCGTTGGATAAGATCATGGAAGAAAGACGCCGGATCCTGCATAATCTTGAGGTGTCCTGGGCGCGCTTACGAACACAGCAGCAATATCTGGCCGCGAACACCCGCCATCGCAACGGCCGCACCAATTCTTCGCGGAACAATAACAATCATATTAGCGAAGGCGATGAAGAATCTGGCGAGAACTGGGGGCTGCTAGGCGGCGGCTCGGGCCAGACCCACGTCTCGGAAGGCGATCGACCACAGGCCTCCATACGCTACGGCATCTTTGGACTGCGGAGCCGCAAGGTCGATGCGATTGATTATTACGAGGAGAAGCTCCGGAGGATCGACGAGGTGGTCATTGAGGCCCGCAAGAAGGAGTACCCCACTACCGATATGGTGCTTGTGACTATGGACTCGGTTGCGTCGTGCCAGTTGATCGTCCAAGCTCGAATTGATCCCCGGCCTGGGCGGTTCTTGACCAAGGCTGCGCCGTCGCCCGCTGACATTGTGTGGAAGAACACGTACGAGCCACGTGGAGTAAGGCGTATCAAGGCATGGGCAATTACTCTGTTCATCACAATCCTGACGCTTGTCTGGATTTTCCCAACGGCATTCCTCGCTTCGTGGCTCAGCATATGCACTATCCAGAAAGTCTTGCCATCCTTCTCCCTCTGGCTCAAGGAACACGCCATCATTCACTCGTTGCTCCAGAACGGTGTCCCTACATTGGTAGTCTCGCTGCTCAACGTTGCTGTTCCTTATCTCTACGAATTTCTGTCAAACCGCCAAGGAATGATCTCTCATGGTGACGTGGAGCTGTCGCTAATCTCCAAGAACTTCTTCTTCACCTTTTTCAACACCTTTTTTGTCTTTGCTATTTCAAGAACCGGTTTTGATTTCTGGAGCGTGCTCCAAGATTTTCTCAAAGACACGAGCAAGATCCCCAGAGCTATAGCGGCTGATGTGGAAGACTTATCCGTCTTCTATATCAATTTCATCATGCTGCAGGGCATCGGCCTGATGCCCTTTCGAATCCTCGAGGTTGGAAGCGTGTTTATCTTCCCGATCAATCGATTTCTGGCCCAAACTCCGCGAGACTACGCAGCGCTTAAGAAGCCGCCTCTGTTTCAATATGGATTCTATCTGCCGACTTCTCTGCTGGTTTTCAACCTTTGCGTCATCTACTCCGTTTTGAGATGGGGATTTGCTATCCTTCTTTTTGGAACGTTGTACTTCTCCATCGGGTATTTTACTTTCAAGCACATGCTCCTCTACGCCATGGACCAGCCGCAGCATGCGACTGGAGGTGCTTGGCAGATTATTTGCTACCGTATCGTTATTGGATTAATCGTCTTTGAGATTGTCATGATCGGACAAATTGCTTCGCTCTCGGCGTTTGTGCAGTCCGTCGCGATTACGCCTCTCATTCCCTTTTCGATTTGGTACAGCTACTACTTCAAGAGGCGATTTGTGCCGTTGATGAAATACATTGCCCTGCGAGCCATCCAGCCTGATGAGGGCTCTGATGAAGAGCAAGCTGTTGTAGATGATGAGGAGTCTGATGACGCCAGCCCTAGTCGTTCGCGAACACGAGAAATGCTGCGAAGAGGTAGTACGTTGGATGAACTTAAGGAGAAGGGTTTGACGTTTACGAATCCGAGTCTTATCGACCCGTAAGTATCTTTCATCAAATACTCTCTCTCTCTATTTGACATAGTTCATATATATTGACGTGTTTCTTCAGTCTACAGCAAGCATGGGTCTACACTGATCCGCCTCCGATCACAATGACAGACGAGGAGTCTGAGGATGGCGGAGAAGGGTCTGAAGATCAGCCGACATTGATGCTGCCTAATGCAGACAGCTCCTTGGGCATTGGAGAAGATAATGTTTGGCTGAACACAGCAGGACGAGACCGAAGTACGCGATGAGATGAGCCGAGATGAAAATAATTTGTGACAGAATGCATATTGAATGAGGGGGAGTCTGTGAATATGACGAGGGGGATATCTGCTCTTTTCTTTCTCATTCTTCTTTCATTCTCATTTGAGGGCGTTATTGATTGATGACTGATACACGATGTTTCTTTTTCTGCGTTGGCCGCGATTACATCTTTATGCCTTGCTCTTTGCCACTCTTATATATGGCAAGAACGATACCATTGATTACTCTATTTAGATAGCGCCTTTCTTTAGTAACTTGTGTGTTTGGAGGAGGAGCGAAGACGAATGACGAAGGAGAGCTCGAGGGAGAGTTCAAACTAAATCCACAACATTGCGTATAATCGCCGAATCGCCATTTCCCGCTGCATGTGATGACAGCACCCGTTTATTTTTAACATCAATCTCTGCCTGGTCGACTGCCCTAAGAATACATCTACACTTCTTTTTTGCCATAACTGTCATTCTTTTAATAACCATAGAGAAAGAAGCCTCCTGCTCTGGAGGCTAATCTAACAAAACGTCCTCTCAAATCTTTGTCTCGAGGGGTGTTGCGGGAGCCCGGTCGACAAGGTCGAGTGGAACTTCTCAACGACCTGCAAATAGGCCTGGCGAAGGGATGGCGGTTATAGCGCTGGTGACGAGCGGCGACAGGAGGATATACGCGCTTCCTGGACAGCTGGCTGACGTGGAGACGGTATATGGAGGTGGTTATGAGGACGAAGATGAGGAGCCTGGTGAGCGATATTCGCTGTTTTGTGTTTTACTCAATGCGATGCTGATTGGATATAGAGTTGTCTGCCGCCATGAAGCTCCCTGTCGAAGTGGTCCAGAAGATCTACCAACATCTATCGCCAATGGACTTTGATTCAGCGAGACATACATGCCGAGTATAGTATTTCGCATCTCTGGATCGCCCACTGCTCACGAGCATGCTGAAGCAAGGTGGATGGTGGAGCAGCATGATGAGCATCCTATCGCCTCTGAGATCTACAAACATGTCGAACCTAAGCCGCGAGAGCATCATGAGCAAATGGCTTTCGAGAGAATGCAGCCTCTTGAGCTCGGAGAAGTCTGCCTTTGTCCAAGTTGGCCATACGGACTTTAGCGCTGCTGTGCCCAGGTCGCTGCCGGGCGATATGCGTGGAGCGATGAGCTTTACAGTTAGTCTGTGTGGGAAGTTCTTGATGGCTGTGCATGGCCGGCTTGTTTACATATATGAGCTTAACCATGTGTGCTTCCCGGAGAGGCTGTTGTGGTCGCTTCCGATTCGGCGCAGACAGGGGCTGCCGATGGGATTGCTGCGGCCGGTGGCGAGGATCTTGTGTCCGAAGAGGGTGATTTCTTGCAGTATGGATACTTCGTCGGAGAGATATGCCGTGGCGTTTCTGATGGAGGGCCGGATTGGCATGCTTTGCGACATCTTGACTGAGAGGACGGGCACCTCGAGTCCTGCGTCGAGCTCGGCCAAGAGAAATGAACCCACGGCAGCCGCAGAGTCTGGATCTGGATCTGGATCTGGATCTGGATCGCGAGTGGCGTCTGCATCGGCATCGTCGCTATCGTCATCGACGCAATGCATCTGTCAAGAGCGACTGGTATGCCGCCCAGTGCCTCTGGAAGATGGCCCAAGGTCGGTGTATCGCAACATCTGCCATGCAGATGATCCTCCACGCGCAGTTGCCATCTGTCCCCAAAGAAAATGCGTGGCTTTTGGATGCGGTTCCGGAATTGAGCTACACTGGGTCGATGCATTGACTGGCCAGAATCTCAGTAGATGGTTTCCACTGACATCTCCAAGCGACTTTCTGTACTTCCTGCCCCCACGAAGGGGAGTAGACACGCCGAGGAAACTGAGGTTGATTAGCTCGGCCGCCGGCCTGGGAAATCCTATAGACTTGCTAGATGGGATTCTTTACGGTTTCAGTACATCGCTATTGGGGTCCGGGAGTACAGCGACAGTATCATCTCTGGATCCTGAGCCTTGGCATGCGCGGCGTGGATATGAAATCCCATTTGCGACCAGCGGATCGAGCCAAGATGCCGATATGGACCCGGACGAAGATCTCTTGAGTACGAACGTGCCGCGAGATAGCCCTCTTCGGCGGCTTGCTGCTGCGAGCGCAGACCATTTCCGTGCGGTGCCATTGAGCGATGGTTATCATATCCTCTTCACCGACCCTCGTACTGGAAACCTATGTTTGGGGTCTGATGCTCCTGTGGGCTCTCTTACTCGTCTCCTTCGCAAGGTCTGGTTTCGTCCTCCCCCACAGGCATACTCACCTGTACCCCTGCTGTATGCTGCTGGGGCCGATCTCAGACACGGTGTTCGTGTGGTCGCGACTTTTGCAGCCAGGCGACGTGAAGGAGAATATGAGTTTTCTGATATAGGCCCAAGAAGCCTTGAGCATGGGGACTCCAAGCAACAGCTTATTGTTTTTTATACAGTTCCGCCGGACATCTTTTACGATTTGCGCCGCAAGGATTCGGAGACTAGATCTACTGGACATTACTCTCCTGAAATCCTAGAAGCAGGGCGCTCCGAGTCGAGATACGACCCCATTGGCATATTTAGCGACCCCTTTGGAGAGCACTCGGCTTATCCACTAGAGATACCAGGACACGTGCTGGCGACTTGTGGGAATCTCACAGAAATTGCTTTGAACTCTTCTCCCGACTTGATCATTTGGGCTTTTGCTGCGGAGGGATGGGCCAAGACTTGGGTGCTGGATGCGGGGAGACGTGAGCCTATCATGCGGTCTGCTGCTCAACGAGATGGGAGTATCAGACAAGTTGATGCTGATGGCGATGTCATCATGGTTGACACTATGCCCTCAACGGATTCGTCTTCCGAGATGAGTTTCTGGATTTTAACCTCTTTGACGGCGCTCCAATCAGCGACACGGATGGCGAGCCGGTAACGGGCAAGACGACGACGGTGCGGTGCTGCCATGGCAAGAGACATCGTGTGCGGGGGGACATTTGGCAGATGCAAGACCATATGGATGATACCCTAAGCATAGACTTGGTGGAGGAGGTGGGCAGTATCACGAGGCTGGATATTGAGCTTTTGACCTAGTTGTCCTAGACATGGGCGTGACTCTGCCTTGGAGAGGGCTTCAGCTCTTGTCCATCTGGGTTTGAGATTATGATTATAGTTATGTCAATATGGTTACTGGGTAGGATAATGCAATATTGGTAATGGATCATTTGAGTATTGCTTGTGTGAATGGCTGGTGTGCCGTTACTGTGAATGTATTCATTGTGAATGTATGCATTTTGCCGATAATGCTTGTTCCTGTAAGTGTTCTTTACTTTACTGTTAATACATCTTCATTAGCCTTATACTTGTTATCATAGATGAATGTTATTTCGCTGTTATGCATCTTGACTATTCTTACAGTGACATGCTAGATCTCTCTCCAATAATCAATAATAAAGAAGAAACCACCGAGTCAACTTGCTTCCTAGTATCAAGCTCCAGGTTGTGACACTGGGGGAGTGCTCTCGTTAGCATTGCTCATGGCCATACCGGGATACATTACCGGCCCCCCTCCTTGCATGCCTTGCCAGTTCATATTTGGCCAGCCCTGCTGAGCAGCCATCTGAGCGGCCATTTGCGGCGTCATGTGAGGCATCTGTTGCATCATGTTGGGCATTTGTTGTGCTGCTGCTGCGTTTGGCATCTGGGGAGGGCTGCCAGGCGTTAAGGATGCTTGAGTTTGCGTGTGTGTTTGCGTTTGCGTTTGCGTTTGTGCTTGTGCTTGTGCTTGGAGTTGTGGTTGCTGGGAGGCCATGTTTGGGTATTGGCCTTGGGCTTGCATGAAGGCTTGGGGGTTGTACATCATGTTCATGTAGGGAGGGTAGAAGGTGGGTGGGGGTCCGTTTGCTGGGTAGCCGTTGGGTACCATGTAATGATTCGGAGCTTGGAATTGAGATTGGGGTTGGCCGGAGGATAATTGGTAGTGTCCGGCTGTTGCTGAGGAGGAGGGAGTTGGTGATCCGTTTGTGGTGGCGAGGCTGGGGGCGGCTAGGTTGGGACTGGGATTGATTTCTGCTATGGCGGGGATTTTGTTGTCGAGGAATGGGATGGTGGGAGAAGTGAGAGCTTGTGGAGGAGTTGTGTGCGGTTGAGCTTGTTCTTGCTTCTTCGCGGGTTTATCGTCGTCGTCACTGTCGCTTGAGTCGTCGGCGTCAACTAGCCTGGCGATAGCGGCTTCTCGCGCGCGGATTCCCATGTCTTTGGCTACTCTGTCTGCGTCCTTGCCGTAGATGTTCTTGAGGTAGCGCATGAACTCGAGATAAGCTGAGAAGACGGTGTTGATGTGGCCGTCGGATAGCGTGACCTGCGCGTCCTTGGCATCGTCGTCGCCGGAAGCATCCTTTTGGGCGTCGAACTCGGCAATGGCCAGGGCCGTCTGGCAGGCATTTCGGATCTGGCGGCCGTTCCAGCGCATCTTTTCATTCTTCTCCCAATAGTCGCTTGCGTAGTTTAGGATTTCCTTCTTGTTGATGGTGATGGAGCGGTTCTTCTCCTGGAAGCGCTCCTTGATGAGGCGCAGGTTGAGCTTGAAGATTTTGCGGGTGGATCTGAGGTCGAGGGGCGGGTAGTAGAGGCTGACGTGGATGCGGGAGGCAAAGGCTTCGTCGAAGTCGCCGATGCGGTTGGTTGTGAGGAAGAGGATGCCGGCGTAGTATTCGAGGACGCGGAGGAAGACTGTTTAGACGTAGAAAGTCAGTTATGTGTGGGTTTGAGTATTGAGGAGAAGAAAATGGGATGTACCGGCGACGAGTCCGTTTCGGATAAAGTTCTTTGGGGAGCGTTGGGCGAGAAAGACGTCGGCTTCGTCGAGGAGGAGGATGCTGCCCCAGCGGTTGGCGAGGCTGAAGTTGCGTTCTAGGGCTGTTTCGACTTCGCTGGCTGTGGTGCCGAGATCTCCTAAATTGTAGACATGTTGAGTCAGAAACAGTTGATGCTTTCATGTCTTGAAGATGCGTACCACAGGTAATTTGGAACAATGGCTTGTTGAAGCGTTCAGCAACGCCCTCTATGACACGGTGAGTAAGTAGCTACAAAGAACAGAAGTTGTACAGAGCCTACCAGCTGTGGTTGTCTTGCCCACTCCAGGAGCTCCGTGGAGCAGGATGATAAGACCCTTTCCTATAAAGCAGTCAGTAAACATCGTTGAGCCCTTGGTATCTTTGCTGTAGCATTTCAATAGAGCTCTAGTGAGATGCAACCTACCTTTTCCTCGTACGATATCAACTTCTTCGTTGTCACTGACTCTAGCAGCCTTGTCACGAAAGTGTTGAGCGACCAAACAGTGGACTATATCCTTGTGGCCCGTTGGGAGGACAAGCTGGTCAAAAGCTGTCTTCTTCTTTAGGACTTCGTCCACGGCAGTCAAGTATTTAAGATCGAGTTTTGCTATTTTTCAAGGGGTTAGTAACTGAGAGAGAAGCAAGCAATGTTGAAATGAATTTTCGTACCCCATTTACGGCTTCGCAAGACGAAACCGAATACCCGATACGGCATGATCAAGAAGTCGTCATCTGTCAGCGGATTCTTGGCTGCTGTCAATTCCTTCAATGCACGCGGATGAATAGCCACAGGCGGCTCAATATTAAGCTCCTCGGGATTGGGTATGATGCTTGCGGCGTATTCCTCATATCTCTTCTTCTCAATGTAGGCGTCGGCATATACATAGTCGCCTTTGCAGCAAGCGCCCAGACACGAGTGCGCATCCTTGTCGTCTGATGAAGAACTTTGTCCCAGATCTCGTCCAATGATGGATTCCACCTTTGGCTGCCAGGTATTCACCTGGGCCGACTCGTTCGCGGCGTTTGCCGCAGCTGTTTCTGCATCCTTTACTGCAAAGGCCTCTGCAAAGTCAATCATGACTTGGCTGTCGACCTCGTCGCGCGTCTCCAGCGCAAAGCCGTTGTAGTGCATGTGCTTTATATGTGCAACGTCAACAAACACCTTGCCGCGCTCTACTAGTGTTCTTCTGTAGTACATCTCGCCGGTTTCTGTGTTTCCATTGCGAACGCGAAAACCCCCGGATGCGAATCGGATGGGATAGACGTCGAGAGCAGTGATGGCCTTTTCGCTGTCAAACTTTTCAATAGTAAAGATTTGGTATACCGGGCCCAGCTGTTTGCCGTCAAAGTCGATGTAGACGCAGTGAAGAGTGATGTTTTCTACTGGTGAGTTTTCGTCCTTGTTCCAGTTTCGCCAGGGCGGAGTGACCAAGTGGCCGGTGCTGGTGATGTTCATGACTCTGTATACTTGCTGCTGTCCTTGGCCGACTACGGTGTCTCCTGGCTTGAAGAGGTACCAGATGTGTTTGAATGCTATTGTTCGCAGGGCGGAGGGCTGTGATAGGAAGTTTATTTTGGCCTGAATTACGCGATCCATAAATTGAATTAGGCAGCCGAGATGCTGATAAGCCGTCAAGGAAGACGTATGTTCGTCTTTCGATCCATCTTCAGCTGCGTCCTTAGTCTCAGAGGTCTCTTGCTTTTCATTCCCAGTTTCCACCGGTTTTCTGTCCTCAGGCGGCTCCTCCTCGGATTTGGCAAGAATAGCCTCTCCTAGCTCACGATACCTGGCACGAATCTCCTTATCATAGTGCACAAGTGCCCGGTAGGGCCGGACCATGACGATCCCATTGTTGCTGTCGTATGGCTTAGGCTTCAATTGGAAAATCTCTCGAAGTATGTCGATGATGTACTTTGATCTTATTCGGATTCGCTCGGGCACAACTTGCTTGCTGGGATCTGAACCGTCGGTCATCTCTTTCCATGTAGACAGGCTTTTTTCGGCCGTTGCCACAACGCCTACTGTACTTTCTTGTGACTGTGGTAACGTACGGCGCGCAAACCAGGGATTGGTGTAGTCGTCAAAACTGATGACCGGCTCCTCTATCGAGATATCAATGACAAAGTATCGACTCTCTAGCTGATTGGGGTTGTGTGGAAACTTGAACATTTTCCAGTCCATGGGGTTCAGTTCGACTATTAGCCCGTCATTGAATGCACCTGCTTTCGCATTTTCTTCTTGATTCTCGTTTTCAGTAATCTCTTCATAGGACAGAATTCGATCTCCAGGGCGTGCTTTTTGCAGCTCGTCTCTCAGCATGTTACAATAACTCTGCAACTTCGACGTGGTATTACGTAGATTGTCGCGCTCTTCTGAGGCAGTGTCCACGATTCCGGTGAGAGCCTCGATATACTGGAGCTCCCAACCGATTTCGTAGACCTTGCGACCTAGTGACCAAGTTTCATCCTTGGTTCTCTCCTCTACTCCAGTGAAGTGATTTTTCACTTGCAGCAGTAGCCCTTTTAAGTCATCACCAGAGGCTTGTTTTGTATTCTCCTTGAGCTGGGCCTCAAGTCTTTCTCGTTCATGATTTTGTCTCTCAACGACTGCCACTGTACGGGCAAGCTCCTCTTTCAGCTCAAGCAGCTCTTCTGCCGTTCCTAGTGGTTTCTTTTTCTCTGTTTCGGACTTGACAGGGTCTGACGTCTGGGGTCCTGTAGTGTTTGGGCCAGCAAGAGCATCTTGGCTGTCTTTAGAGGCTATGATTGGGTTAGCTAGTGATTCAGCCATGGTAGCTGACTTTTAGACCATTGAAGGCGAATTGATGGATAGTTTTCGTTGCCTGTTGTCTAAGTGCGAAGAATGCGGCAACTAGGTACTTCTTAGAAACTGTATGGTGTTAAGAGTTGTTGATAGACCTCTGCTGCCTATTTGATCTCCTGTTGAAACCCCGCTCCAATGCGTCATTTTCGCATGAAAAACAAGACAACAAGAAGGCGTCAGTGATCCTAAACTAGGCCATTTGGAGGGCGCGGCAAAGACGTAAATATAGAACACAATAGCTGACCACCTTGACAGGCCTACTGCAGAGGATGCCACTAGTGTCCAACGAGCTATCAGTTTCAGCTGTGTAAAGTGGCACCTCTGACAGGATCTGTCTATCAACGTATGAAGCCCCTCAGTTGATGAGAAATAGAATAAAAGATGGTCAAAAGCAAGCAAGCAGTTTCTATATATACGTTTCCCATACTTACTTAAAAGCAGGATATGCCTATCTGAGTGTATAGCTTCAATCTCTTTACTGACTAGCAGTACAACCTGATAACAATCTTATAATTAGGACTTGTCATAGAAAGAGACTATGAAGTTCCTCAAAGGCTTCAAGTAATTAATGATATAAGTAACAATAGATGATTCGAAATGCACAGTTGAGGCAATGAGGCTGGATATTATTTGACCGCGCGTGGCGATGTAAGAAATAGAAAGTACGCAGCAACAACCCCTGTCAAAGCGGGGACCCTTGAGGCTCTGAAACCAACAAAGTGATCACCTGCGCCTTCCTGTCCCCGAGTTTTCTCCCATCGAATACTTAAGTCTGTGATTTATCATTAATCATTCTCTGAAGCACCTTGCTTTGCAGCGCTATTGCAACGTTAAGGGTTAGCAAGGCTTTGACAAGCATGGCGCACCCCGGTATTCCTTCGATCCATCTCCAGCCCCCATCGGTCGACTTCATTGACAACCGGCTTCCCAATTTTCACGATGTTTTCAGGGATAGAGATGTACATTATGACCCTGTATTACGAAGATATGTAGAAAACCGAACTATCACAGACAGAAGTGTGTCAGATGCTGGCGAGCGCCAAGACAACAGCCAAGCTCTGGTCCAGTCCAGCTACTCGTTTGGCGACGTTGGGGACTCTGAAAAATTCTGGGGCCTGATTTTTCCAGATGCCATGAAAAAGTTCATCAAAGAGTATCCAAATGAGCCTAAGCAGCGCGACAAGTCTGGGTACAGCATTCGGACGCAGACAACGTGGGACGGTGTTAATGAACAGCTCCACAAGGCGCGAGAAGTCTACGATGGCACCAAACAAGGCTTTCGGGGCCGGTGTAAGCGGGTGTTTCGCAGAATCGGAGAAAATACCGTTGAACCAGCGCAAAACATTATCCGACTGGTCCCGGATATTGATTACGTTTCACCAGTTCTTGGTGCGGTGCAATTGCTTCTCAGTGTAAGGATTGACAAATGGCCAGAAAGACTGTAGTTTTATGGAGGCATTATTGCTAACTCAAATTTTCAAGGCTTTCACTATAGCATCTAGCGTGCGAGAGACAGTTGCTTCGAGTCTTGAGGATCGGGGTCTTGACGATCTCTTTGCTGATGTCGAGGTGTTCTTGATAACTTTCCCAGACATGAGCAAAGTCAAAGATGCCGCTGTGTCCCTGGTAGTCTCAGTTATGAAAGCAATCGAAGATGCTATAGGTTTCTTCATATCAAACCAAAGTAGGTTTCTGTGTTGATATGAGAGGCTTTACACTCAGTTTATAACTTATAGCTTGTATCATCTAGTAATCAGAGCAGCCTCTGCGATAGGTCGTGGGAAAACAGGGTACCAGAAACCGCTCCTTGAAAGTTTGGGAGAAATTCAAAAGAGCAGTCAAAAGCTCATCCATCAAGCACAAAACGCCCATTTTGCTTCTACTCAGATGGGGCTTAATGCCATCTGGAATGGTAAGTGGCAGCTGTATTTACTCTGTAGCGTTGTGTGTCTAACAGCGAACTCTGTATAGACACTGGACGCCTTGTCATGTCCCAGCGCATGACTGGTCAAGCAATGGAATACTTGATCGATAAAGTCGATCGCGGTTATCGAGAGGGAGCCCAGTTCTATAACACTGTGCATAGGCTGCTGCTGGACGCCGAAGAGAGTAAAAAAGCAAGAGACCTGAGTCTACAAAACAAAATCGCTAGCTTGGAAGAGAAGATTGCCAGCCTTGAAGGGTCTTCTAGGGCATCGACTCCTGGAACTCCAGAACATACCCAAGTTTGGCCAAATCAGCAAACTCCTTGGGTGGGTTATCCACCCCAATTTGGCTCATACTTGCCAGCTTATCACAACCCATGGCCCGGAGCTTTTTCGCCGCCAGAAATGATTCCAGGGCCTTCATTCAGCGCAAGTTCATACAGCAGTTTACCGATTAACCTTTCGCATCAATATCACACGGTGTCACCACCACCTCCACAGCCGCCAAGGATTGTCAGTTCTTCTCGCCTTCTTGATCTTCTCAATATTCCACTCGACCTCGACAAAACAGATCTTGATAGCGTACAAGATGGGAGTTACAGGATTCCAAGGAAACTCCGTGCCCAAGCCGAGCAAGTAACTCGAACAATGCAGTTCCGCGATTGGATCGTCACGCCAAGCTCGCGTCGATTGCTTATTCATGGCGAATTACCACGACAGTCTCTGGCGACTTGGCATGTTTCTCCTCTGTCGCACTTTTGCGCCATGATGATGCACATGCTACGCGCGCGAGAGAATTATATACCCTTGGTATTTTTCTGCGGATGCCACGTTGAGCCGGAAGACGGCAACATTGGCGCTGAGGCGATGATGAAGAGCCTGTTAGTACAACTACTACAACAAATTCCCTTTGCGGCTTTGACTTTAGATAAAAGCGTGGACCTAAACTGCCTCAGCGAAAGCAACTGCAGTGTATCCAAGTTATGTGATCTCTTTGTTTGGCTGGTTCAGCAGCAGCTTACTAGGGAGTATACGTTGGTGTGTATGGTCGATGGCATCGGGTTCTACGAGACGGATGAGTTCGAACCCGATGTAGTAGTCGTTATGAAAATGTTGCTACGACTCTCCGGAGAAACCTCCAAGGAGGACGATGATGAACTTCTTTTGCGCGGAGATATTAAAGTCCTCATCACGACTCCATCTACGACAGACGCCATTCAAGGACTGTTTGAAGATATGGATGGTAGTAGTGAAATGTCCTTTATATCAATGTCAGGGCTCCCAGACATAAATGAATATCTTGATATACCCGAGGATCTTTGGAACAACGAAGATTCAGAAGACGAATAATGCTTGGACCACGATAGTGCGATGTCAGATGGAGTTGACTCTCATAGTGATGGTAACGCTTAGATAGCATCATAATCACCTATACCTCTATTACGGAGTCATGCGATTCAAGATTGGAAATCACCTGGATTTGTCACACCCCATATATACACGCTTATTACAAACATGTCTCGATATACCTCGCCGCACAGTCCAACGCGTTTGTTGCCTTTTCGGGAGGACTGAGCTGATTCGCCCCCTGTCAATTCGACGGGACACCTGTTAGTCTGACAAAGTGCCTTAAACCTTATCTTGTAACTCTTGATATTGTTAAGTGATCGACTAGGGACCTATGCCCATTTTCGGGATAGAGCCTTTAGCCTCTGCCTCTTCATGACAGCATTATACACAGTATCTCAGATCGCAGAATTTTCTCCACCACTTTAGAACCGCTTTAGAACCGCTTGCTTCAGAGACTAACTGGGGACCTATGTCTATTTTGGGACAGATTAGTTGGGTTCTGCCCCATAATACGCATACAATACTTCAGATAGCCAAATCACGATGACGAATAATACGAAACGAGTCCACTATCCATTTTTTGAGATTTGCCGATATACCGAGATATCCCACTGGCCAACAATTGGCGTTCTCAACTTACGGCTGGCTACACGGGATGAATTTGCGAAGAGGTGGGGCTTATCACCCTTAAATTAAGCCACCCTATCCTTGTCTGCTCGCCGTAGACCGGGACGGTGGGACTTGAGAAACGAGTTGAGAAACCCATTTACTTCATATCCTTCAAGAATCCTATCCAAAGAAGGCATTTGTCACTTAGGCTATAAAATCGAGGGACAACGCTGAATAATGATTGATAATCAAGGAAATCGCTGAATAACAATAATGATGATCAATCCCGAGATGATAACCCGTCCTCTATGACATGACATCAGGGATTCAGTAGCCGCAGTCTATGAGTATTTAGACCCACCAAACTTTTCGATTTGATAACAGAGATCTTCTTGTTTATAACCGGGTTTTCTCGTCTGTTCAAGTTTGTCCTCCTATGCAATTACTACAGTATACTGCATCCTAGTCATAGCGATCAACTCCTCCAGCTCCTAGTCTTGAACCAACAATCTAGGTAGTTAACAACCTAAATCACAGCCTTGAGCAAGTACAACGCGGTCATCATGGGATCAATCTCTTCAGATGCGACCGCCCCTTCGCGGCTCTTCTCACCTTTCAAAATCGGCAACCTGGAACTAAAACACCGTATTGTCATGGCTCCCTTAACTCGCTACCGCAACGACGAGAACCACGTCCCTCTACCCTTTGTAGCGGATTACTATGCTGAACGAGCCTCTGTTCCGGGCACTTTCCTCATCGCCGAAGCGACAGCCGTCTCGCCCCGTGGAGCGGGATATTCCAATCTCCCTGGAATCTGGAGCAAAGATCAAATCGCGTCATGGAAACGAGTTACTACTGCTGTACACGCCAAGAAGAGCCACATCTTCCTTCAACTATGGGCTCTGGGCCGCGTGGCAGACAAAGAAGTCGCAGAGAAGGAAGGCATCAAGATCGTTTCGTCGAGTAACATCCCCATGGATAGCGAACACCCGGAGCCCGAAGCTTTGAGTTATGAAGAGATTCAGGTCCTCGTGGCGGATTACGGCCAAGCAGCCAAAAACGCCATTGAAGCCGGATTCGACGGCATTGAGATTCACGGCGCAAACGGCTATCTTGTCGACCAGTTCATCCAGGATGTTGCCAACCAAAGAACTGATGAGTACGGTGGTTCCATTGATAAGAGGAATAGGTTTGCTTTGGAGGTTGCGAAGGCGGCGGCCGATGCTATCGGTGCCGACAAGGTCGGGTTTCGAATCAGTCCCTTTTCAACCTTTCAGAGCATGAAGATGGCCGATCCGTATCCCCAGTTCTCTGCGCTGGCTAAAGATCTCAAGGCCCTTAACTTGGCGTATCTTCATGTCGTCGAGTCCCGTATTGCAGGTGATAGTACCGCCGGTGGAGGCACCGAGAAGCTCGATTTCTTGCTGGACGTCTGGGGAGACGATACCCCCTTTCTGATTGCCGGTGGCTGGAAGCCTGATGGTGCTCTGGAAGCTATGGATGGTCAGTATAAAGACAAGAATGTCGCTCTTGTCTTTGGTCGATACTTTTTGGCTACACCCGACTTGCCGTTTAGGATCAGACGAGGCCTCGAGCCAAACAAGTATAAGCGCGATCTGTTCTACGCAATCAAATCAAAGGAAGGGTACCTGGACTACAATTTTAGCAAGGAATGGGAAGAGGCTAGCAAGCATGGCTTGGATAATATTTTGGCATGAAAGCATTGAATAGCTCTGACTTAAACAGACAAGACAGGTCTGCATTTGGACGAAGTGGCGTCCATATTTTGGCCTGGCTATGCCTAGACAAGTTCTTTATGAAAGCACAATGGCTCTTTGCAGATAGATAAGGCTTATATAAACTTACACAAGCTCTATTTGTTTCATATTATAGTTAAAGAAATACAAAAAAGCCATCTCTAGTAAATTCATCCTCGCATCTCCCCTTGTACTGCTCGCTCTCGCCGCTTCCAGCCTTGCCGTCACACGTACAACTTTTAGCCCTGCTTGCAACAGTCGGTAAGCCAATAGAAGAATTTTGCCTCTTTAATTCATTTCTTCTTGGCTTTTTCAGGCTGGTATTATTAATTTCCCTACGTCGAAACGACTCTCATATCAGTGGACAATTCTTTTGGTTTTCAGAAGAAGAAGAAGAATAATAATAAAAGAAAAAAAAAAAAAAAAAAAAAAAAAGAAACAAATGGTGACAATTGTAATTGCTGTTGCTTTTGACAAAGAGAGTCGACAATTCTGTTTTAGCTGATATTATCCTTTTTCGGTGTTCAAGCCTTTCCCGCCAATCTGGTCTGTATGGTTGATTAGATCTGCATCTTCTGGCGGTGGCATTTGGGTGCCTTGATTCTCGCCTACTTGTAAGCGGTGATAGATTAGTACTTGGAGACTGCTTAATGCCCATGTCGATTACACCAAAGCCTTGGGGAAGGTTAAGATTGCTGTGAAGGGGCGGGATACGGATGAGGGCAGGTAACTGCAAGCTAAGCCAATGGGAAATTGGTTATACAAAGCCACGGGGAGAGTTAAAATTGCTGTGAAGTATTTCGACCCCGAGACATCTTTTCGGGAAGTGAGGTTATTGTCTGTGGTAACTGAGTGGAGTTTGTAGCCAAAAATCAGGGCCAAAAATCAGGGAGGTGGGAAATAGGTAGAAACGCTGAGAATTAATAGGATAAAAAAGTAATGGAGTTTTCAGAGGGTGCTCTTCTAATTCACAGCTATTGCTGGCTACTGACTAAGTTGCCTACATGTAATTGTCCCAATTGCTGTTGACTAGCTTGAGGACTGCTTCGCTTATCTACATTTGCATCGATGACATCCATCTAATAAACACGCCCCAACGAAGACGGGAGGGCTAGGTTAGTACTTGGAGACTACTTAATGCCAATGTTGATTACATCAAAGCTTTGGGGGAGGCTAAAATTGCTGTGAAGCGAAACGACCATGGGTCGCCACGGAGTGCCCGGATTGCCTTGCAATGTTGAATAGGCAGCTGTAAGTTGAGTAGACCGGAAGCCTGCTATATTAGACCCTTGGGGAGAGTTAAACTTGCTGTGAAGAACTGGCGTCTCCCTGCGTATAGTTGAGCATGCGGCTGAGCAAGGCGATACATCGACAGATTGTTGATTATCTTAAGACCTGCTTCGCTTATCTACATTGCATCGATGATATCCATCTAACAAATTCGCTCCGAGGAAATTGGGAAGGCTTGGTGTATGGCTTCGCTCACAGCGTTACCCTTTTATCGTACGAGATTTACCACAAAGTGCAATTGCTTTTGTAACGTGCAATGAGTTCAATTTGTACACGATCCCTAGTGTGCGAAATATATTTCTCATCCTCTTGCCTCTTTTCCCGCCTTATTCTGTTGCTAGCCCGCTCTTATCCTTCGTGCCACCGTATTAACCACCACCGCCCTGGATGCCGTTGGAGAATCCAATGCGAATAACTCCGTCAGTAGTGAGTTGAAGCGGGTTGCCAAAGCCTCCAGTATGGCCAAAGCATTGGTTGATAAACGTTGGGAATGCGCTCTCCACAGACTCTTGGCTGAAGGTGACGGCATCTCCATTGGCAAAGGCGCCAATGAATACCTCGCATTGTCCCACCAGCTGAGAAATGACTGACTCTTGGGCGCCGTCCTCTGCTGCTGGGATGCTGCACACGCCCCAAGAGCAGTTCGCGGCCAGCAGCTGTGGAATTGCCGTGTTGCAGTCGGCGAGATTAGCACCAGAGCCGCCGTCGTCACATTCGGGAGCTGCAAAAGTCAAGTCGCCCAAGGCCACTGTAGACGCGGCTGTGGTGTAGGCGAAAAGCCCGGCAACCAGCGCAGCGGCTGCCTGCGCCTTCATTGTAGAAGAATTCGTGAATGACTTTATTAGGAAGTTGTATAGGTGTTATTGGTTCTTGATAGAGTATTATAGAACAACTGATGATCGTTTTCCTCGCGGCGAGAAGAAGATTGATACTCTATATTTATACCTCTAGATCGTCACTATGAGCTTTCCTATTTCGGCAGTTGACATTTAGTGTGTAGGGGTCGGACATCCTCCATGTCATGCAACAGAGTCAAGTCTAGTCAAGTCTATGTCTGCATACCTACGGTGAGAGGACGGATAATTCAAGTAAGTCGTAGTGTCTACTTCTGGCTATATTACCTAGGTACGCACTAGATCAGTGATGGCTCGAATGCTGACAGCCCCGCGACAGCGCCCGCGATGCGGCAGGCTGTCTTATGCCTTGTTAGTACCGGAGCCCGGGACTATTTCGAATATTAGAACAACAACTTCCACGAATAGGTTTGCTGGTGAGCTCAGCGGCGAGCGATCGCTTGCAGGCATGTGTAGCAACCGGTGAATGTATTACTCCGTCGCTGTATCCCGCCCAAGTGAATACTAGGATTACCTACAATCGGGAATATTATTCTCTCCTTGGCATGGAGCAGGGCTTCTAAGCTCTTCAGAGTGACACATTCAAATGCTTAGATGATCTCAATTCATTCTTAAACATTTGGCTTATTAAGGCTATTATTAACACGTAACATATGCTGTAGGTCAATATGCTAACAGTGCTCGGATTCTTGCATCTCCTTTGCTAAGATGATGATCGTAAAACAACGATCCATATTTACTGACTCTGCGAGTGGACCGTGACGACGAATCTACTGGAAGATATGCTTGGAAACACGGCATTTGGGTCAAAACAACGTGGATGCTCCGTGGATAGATTATGGAGCAACGATACATGTACTATGGGGCTCGTTTAGTCAACAAAGATATTTAATCAAGCCTTGTGTAATCATGGAGCCAAGACTACCATCCAAGACCTCGATACACCTGCCCCGGACAAATACATTTGTTAACTCCAGGGACCCAGGGCGTGAATAGCTTAGAAGCTAAGACCAGTCGCCTCGTGAGATTGCTGAGACAGAATCCCCGCAGCCATGAATTCATCTGCCGATGCCCCAGACCCATACCAGTATAGCCACGCCTGTGGCGATTACCGCAGCGAGAATAGCAGCCGGCGGCATCATTGTGCCTAGCATCGCCATGCTCGTCAAAGTCGCGAAAATGCCCCCTGCTGGGGTAAAGGCCCCATACATGTATGATTGAAAGGCAGCAGCAATAGTTCCTTGATTCCTAATTAGCCGGCGCTTCACGGCACTTCTTTTGATGCTATTTGAAGGTATTTGTATGAAAGGCGACCGCCTACCTGCGCCGATCCCGGCAGGGCCAAAGCCCAAGCAGAGTATAAGGGTGCAAACGGCCGTAAACGTGATGGCCCAGGCCATGATGATCGTAAGGACATCTGTCATGTGCACACTATCAGTAATACGCTGGGTTATGAAGATGATCAAGACTCACGAGGTTGAGAGAGCCACTCGACGAAAGAATCCAGCAGCTCTAACATCTGAGAGCCATTATTCCAGTCGAAAAGCACGGGTGCCATGGCTAATATTTTAGATCAATAGGTATTTGTCGTTTGGCAAGCTTGTGAGGAAGCGTAGATATATGGGCAGTAGAAGAAGTATTCGATGCGAGTTGGAGGAATGCACACGACAGGGCGACGACAGCTCTGAATACTGGTTTAAGATTGATGCCCAAACAAAATACGAGTAAATTTAGAATCGCAGCGGTTCATAAAGTACTTGTATGCAGTTATAAGCCGTGACCCGTCCTCGCCAATTAAATCCTGTGCTCGAAATACGTTTTTCCGATGCAAGGAGCGCATTGGTGTTACATTGAAGCCTTCTTATAGGCACTTACACTGCAGAGTAAGTTTGGCTACCTACGAAGCTACTGCATGCGTCCAGAACATAATAGATGCCAAAAGTGCTGATTGTCTTGACCCAGACTGTTACTGCCGCTGTGACCTGTGCGGCTTCTTCCAGTTCATAGCATCAGCTTCAAGAGAAATCTATAGACTGTGGTAGCAACAATGCGCACCGAGTATTGAACAACAGGGAACAGCTTCTCGTAAGCTCTAAATTTTTGCCCTACTTTCTGTTTCATTTTTCACCGTTCTTTAATGTCCGACTCTGCAGCCAAATGATTCGGCAGGTAGTCAATGTTTGTTCAGTTTCAGGAGTTTAAATCCTGGCACAGCGGCAACTTTAGGTACATGTATAAGTCTCATTGGTACACAAAACAACACTTAAATACCGGTGGTCTTCTTCTTCAGTGACAATGTAGGAATTTGATGCTTCGGGCGAGATCAAAAGTTACTCTAAATTTTGTGAAAAAGGCATCTATATAGAAATAAATGATTTGTCTATTTACTTCAATTTTGCATAGCCCTCCTGCCAACCTCCAACAGTTACATGTAATTGCTCTGGATTAGCCGCGATCTTATCTTTGGCGGCAATCAACTCTTCCACATCCCAGTTGGCCCACACAAAACGTCCCTTGAGGAAATCTGAATCAGGGCCAGCAAGCCAGACGGCAAAATTGGCCATCAAACTTGGTGAATCATCAAATGCATATCCTTCTACGTTGGACTTGGCGCTCATGTCGCTCGATACCAATCCAGGGGCAACATTAAAGGCTCTGATGTCGGGATATTCGGCCTGAAAGAACTCCACCACCGAGGCTGCCGCAATCTTGGATGTCAGATACCCGCTCGTGGGGCCTGCAGCCGGACCCAAATGGTTCGCACTAGTGTTCACGCCGATAAATACAGGCTTGCCTCTTGGTACCTGAGACTGGTTGATGAAGTATTTTGCGAGGAGATAAGTTCCCAGGACATTGATCTCATAACCTTTCCACCAGTCGCTTGTTTCTGTAGCAGCACTTTTGCCCGGCTCTGGCAAGTACCCGGCATTAGCCACTAAGATGTCCAGGAAACCGACATTATTGATCTCTTGGAAGAGGCCTTTAACTTCGTCCTCCTTAGCGATGTCTGTTTGAATGGCATGGAACTTTGTCTGAGGGTAAAGTTTTGAGAGCTATGATATCTGTCAGACTCATGGTTTGCCAGTGAGCAATATTGAACATCAGACCTTTTGTTCTACCACTATAAGAAGGTTGAGTCTTCTTCCAACTAAGAAGATATGGTCGGCTTTTGCTTTGGCAAATGCCTCAACTATAGCTTTACCGATAGTTGTGCCTCCGCCAGTAACTAAGACGATTCTGCCTGCTGCAGAAAGATGCTGTTGCGTTGGATCAATGAATGGAGAGGGATTGTTATGGAATATGGTAGTCGGACTTGGGAAACTCATGGTGAGGTTTGTTTGTTATATTATTGCCGGAATGAGAACTGAATGTATGAGATATTGGATGTTCTATGCAAAACAATGCGATTCGAATGATAGAAATATATGTCCAATGGTCATGGAAGCCGAGCCTTTATATCTATCTTAAACCATATAATATGCACATATTTATCCTTCCCTGCCATTGATTCGCAATACCGCCTGTGGATATTCTCGCCTTTAACGAGACACAATTTCTTGATACCACTTCGATTTATCAGCTACCCATACTTCGAGGTCACTCAATCTATAACCATATGTAATCTATATTTCTTCACTCACATGGGCTAGAGATTATGGCGCGCGTGGTAATCTGTAACTCTCAGCGATCCCATTATGGAGACACGAAAACCGATGGGTCCATTGTTCATCGCTGGCAACAATTTCCGAAAATAACCAAGGGTACGGCCAGTTCTTTCCAAACTGATGTTCAGTAGCGACATTAAACGCGTTTAAAAGTCAGTTTGAATAGTTTTACCACAGCAATAAATAGGAGTCATTATAAGCCTAGTTTTACAATATCAAATTTCTAGTTTAAGCGTCGAGTGCCGCGGAACTGATGTTCGCCATTTGTGGTCTCTGTGTACTACTAATTGTCAATTGAAACTCTTAATGGTATGATAGCTACCTACCTCTACAGAAGATTAACGACGTTATGTAGCCTTGAACGAAACCGCGCAAATTAAATATCTCATTGCCTTCTTTTATGCACATTTTCGCAAACTGTTGACATGAAAACAGGAGGCTCGCTTCATAGCATTGCCCCCCCCCCCCGGGCTTTCCACCTAAAAAGGACCAGCGCCTATTGACATGCAAATAGTAGGCAGGGTGACGCTGAACTCGTGCGCCACACATGTTATAGCGGATCTTTCATCGCATCCAGATGTTTAAAATCTCCCCCAAGGCCTTACCAACTATAAAGGATCAGTGGCCTATTGACATCCAAGTGATTGAACCCCGGCTGCGCCACAAAACTGTAACTAGCTAGTTTCACAGCATTTTTTATCTCCCCCAGGGCCATGTCACTAGAGCTGTGACGGTTGCATCAGCGAATGTATCCACATGGTTTGAAAGCTCGCCCAAGACCGCATAAAAGGGCTCTAATGTCTACACTTGCACATATGCCTTTTGTTAGCTGGGTCTTCACGCCGCGCTGCAGTGGCGGTAGCGGTGTAAAATATTAGACGTTAGTTTATGCTACAGCATGAGTCCATATCAGGCTCTTCGGCTTGCCGGCCTATCTGCCACACCTTGTGAAGTCACACGGCGCTTCGCGCGGACTGCATAGCTGAACTTCCATGAGGGTGGCGGAGCTCATCTTCCAAGCTGTGTTTCAGCGCAATCGAGCATGATGAAGGTTTCCCGCTGTTGTACCAACGGACCATTCGTTATGCAATGTGTTTATGAGCGGCGCGGCACATTGAAATGAGCTGATAACGATGAACCAATTGTGTACAATTGTGAAAATAAAGGCGACATAGTGGTCGCATTGCAGCGAGTCTGCCTGTCCGTCCAGTAAAGAGATGCCAGCGAGTTTGTGAGGCGAGGTGCATGAGGCAGACAGCAACACGCTTCATGTCACTGAATCCTGCGCCCCTCAATGTTGGTTGCCTGTTTTTGCGCATTCTGCCTAACTCTGCCTCGCAGCCCAATCAGTACGGCAACAGGCATTTTCCCACTTCATTGTGCTCATCAGCTGAGAAAGGTATTAGCTTGCCTGCTCTTCTGGTCCCTTTGCTTTCCCCCCTTTGTGTCTTTCAGATAGATCAAGAGCGGTATACAGTAGCAAATGCGATTGCAAGATGAGCACGAATGAGCTGCTTAAAATCGCCAGAGAGTTCTTGGGAACTCTACGGCCACAAGACAAGGAGTTTTTTGAATCAAGTAGCTACAGCGACGTACTACAAGATGTTAACGATGTCCAGTCACAGCGTGAATTGACCAGAACAATGATAAATATGAAGAGGATACACCCTTTCCTCATAGGCATGGCCAGCCTAGAAAACATATTAGCTGCCATCAACTTTTCACAGGCCTCAAACGTCATGGCGTGCGTTTGGGGCTCAATCCGATTCCTTTTGAAGGTAAATGGTTCTCTGGCTTTGAACCTAGAAATAATGAGTATGGCTGATATTTTGTATCAGGCGACAAACCTCAACGATCGAGAGATTGACAACTTACTTGATGCGTATGAAGAGTTAGGAGATAAAATCCCCCCCTTGGATGAATATACGCCCTTTTTTAATCGGGGCACAGAGAGCCAAATTTGCTTACTACACATCTATCGCGATGTATCAACTTTCCATCAGAATTTATATAAGCTCTTTTCGCTTCGATCTGGTTGTAAGATCGAACTTGTGCTTCTACAAATGCGACGCAGGCTAACATCTCCTCCCTAGTATGTCAAAAGCTATATAAACCTACTTGGAAAGCATTGAGCGATACGACTGAATTCTTAGTCGAATCTCTACAAAGGCATGGGCAAATCATGAAACGATATGGATCACCCGTGCAAAATTCTCCAGCAAGTCTGAATGCTGACGGTGAAATAATATTTGAAGAACCTCAGCCTCACATTGCCCAAGATTGGGATTTTGTGAGCTTGAAGCTGCAGGAGTATGACAGTGAAGTCGCAAAGCGTCAGAAGGATTTTGATGAGGAACAGACATCGAAGAGAGAAATAATGAAAACAAGAGTGTTGGAATGGATCTCAGCTTCGAAAGAGACAGAATCTCTTCACAAAAAATTTCAAGATACAAAAAAGTGTCCAGATTCTGGTCGCTGGCTGTTCAGGAGATATAGCGAAGTCACTGATTGGATGAAAGAAGATTTGCCTCCAGAGTCCGCCATTTGGATCCATGGTAGCCGAGGATATGGTAAGAGTGTCCCGAAATTTCGAGAGCATCATTGCTGATAATTCCCAGGCAAGACTATATTGGCTTCGATCCTAGTTGATGAGTTGAACCAACTGAAAAATCGCAATCACATTGACCCAGAAAGCAAGGTCTATTACTTCTATTGCCAGGAAGCCGACGCTGATCACAGCACTCATCTTGGTGTTCTCAAAGGAATCCTCTACCAGATGGTTGATTCCAACGAGTATCTCATACCCTACTGCGCTGATAGAGCTGAATCAGGTGGAAGCACCACTTTGGCGCACGTCCAGGTTGCTCAAGCTCTCATCGAAGCATTCTTTGAATACAATTCCCGGCAATATGTTGTCATCGATGGACTTAATGAGTGTGAAACATCCAAGGAAATGCGCGAAATAGCAACCTTTTTCATGAGGCAGGTTTCTAAATGCGACACTGACTTCAAGCAAGGCCAATTGAGGTTGCTTTTCATGAGCCAAATGATACCAGAAATAGAGAAAGATCATATTATGCCGGAAGAGGATGGCCGCATACAGCTTAAGTCGACTGATAACGCAGAGGACATTAGAGCCTACGTGAAGGAGCGGATTCCAGAATTTTCATTGCCGCGCAGTACAAGGGGCGGGTTCAATCTTTCTGGAGCCGATAAAGACCAAATTCTAAGCATTATTTGCGGTCGGAGCGAAGGTATATCCCCCTTATATAGAAAATAATCAGCATAACAATAATACATGCTGATGGCGATGGCAGAAATGTTCCTCTATGCTCATTTGGCTATTGAGTATTTGCTGCAGCAACCAACAAAAGAAATGCTTCTGATGAAGGCCAAAGGAGAGATGCTACCACAAAAGCTTAAGGATATGTATGCTTTTGCAATCATGCAACTGATGGTCGGCAGTTTATGATTTACTAACGGCCGGTGCTAGTTACGAAAAACTTTTGGGAGCAGTGAGAGACGAGCTATTGCAGCTTGAAGAGGGCGAGGAGCACTGGAAGCTGGCTAAGCTTCTTCTCGGCTGGCTGGTTTGCGCAAAACGACCGCTGAGATGGAACGAAATGCAGGCCATTCTTTCGTACGTGCCAGAAGAGCAAAGAGTAGATTTTGACAACAGAATGCTACGACAAGCAGCTGAGAAATACTTGGGATCGTTAGTCTACATCTTAGATGGTGGCCATATTCGAATTGTTCACTCCACGGCACGACGGTACGTCAAAATTGATTATTAACTAGGTACTAATTAGCTGCTTCAAATCTGACTGAATATAGCTACATCGTCAACAATGCGCATATAAACGCGGAAGAAACCCAGTGTCAGCTTACTACACTTTGTCTCAGATACTTGTGTCTTCTTACTACGTCCAACGTTGATCAAGATGAAGAACAGCACCTAATCAAAGTGAAGCGTGGGTGGTTCGCTTTCCAAGATTACGCCTGTTCTCAGTGGCATAGTCATGTCGATACGGTAATGAAGGCATGTAAAAACCTCTTCTGCGGCAACACTCATGATGCCCAGCATGCGGAGAAATTTGGCTCTGCTTTGCAGAACTTTATCGACACACATCGCGAAGATCTCACGACGGACTTGCACTCGGACCTTGCAAGAGACTTGCCCGCTGAGTTGAGACAATACTCAGAACTCCCATTCTACGACAATCTCTGCTCATTGTGGAATCATATCTATACGCATCAAAAGGGTGCATATGATAACCGCAATACAGTCGGCATACCTCGGATAGAAGCAGCTCTACTCCGGAATAGGGACGCTCTGGAAAAACTCTCTCCGCAAGATATTGCCCACATTAGCGATACAATAGGAGACTATTATGGTACCAATCTGTTCAAGTGTAAACGCGTGCTATGTAAATTCTTTTACATAGGCTACGAAAAGAAAGACGATCGCGAAGCTCACAACAGTCGTCACGACAGGCCATACCAGTGTCCGATACGATGCAATCTGGCACCTCTTGGCTTCTCCAATAAGAAAGATTGGGAAAGGCATGTGCGACACTATCACTCACACTTGAGCGAAGGACCATCGGTATTTGAGGCTTTGCGATCTAGGCCTGGGCAAAATGGATTCCAATGCACCCTTTGCGGCAAGGAGTTTACGCGGAAAATCACACAGCAGGGTCATGAAAGAAGTCACTTTGGTGAGCGTCCATATAAATGCTCGTTTGAGGGCTGTACCAGGGCATTTGCGAGATTGAACGATTGCCAAAGGCATTGGAGGATACATACGAGAAGACAGGTGAGGTAAAGCAGGCTTTCATATTCTTTATTATTATTCTATGACTATATAAAATGTTATCCACTTCTTGAATTTTGTCGCTCAATTCTGCCCTCTAAGTTGATATTTCGCCTCCCAACATTCCTCCACAACTTCATATCCCTGAATGTGACCAACCCAACTCTTCTATATAGCCTGAGGCCTACTTCCACCACAATCAGGCCGATGCCATGCTCAAGACCTCCATTTAACTTCGTCGTGCCTAGGAGCAAGTATTGTGCCATTCCAATTGGTTGTCCGTTTTGACCAACCTCTGAGGCCGCATCAACGAGATCAGGCTCTTCATGTATTTTAAAGCGATCATCGCCCTTTATGCGGTCTGCGTTGAGAACTCGGCATGATAGTTCCACAGCGGACACGGTTAATGAAGTGATCTTGGCGTCCTCGGTTGAAATAGATGCTTTGTATTTAACCACGCCATTCAAAGATGCCCAAGACCAACTAGGCGCCCGCTCAATATGTCGCGTCTTTTCCCTCTCACTATAGGGTTTGTACCACGCCAAGAGCTCTATAAACCACTTTTTCCATAATCCGTATATGCATTCGTGTCGCCACAGCGTCTCTAGCTCACAAACTATGCCCATAATGGCGTCGAGTCTGTCGTCTGGCACCGTCAGGTCGCGCTCAGTATACTGCTGCACAACCGTCTTCCAAAGGTAGATTTTGTCAGTGTCATCGCTTCCGTAGTGAGGCTCTGCATCGTCATCAAACACTACCCATGGGAGAGCTTCCAGCGGCTGTGTATACTCAAGCCCTCTCTCAGAAACGCCCCTTAGATGTACTTCTTTGCACTGCCACAAAAGCTCATAATCGGAGAAAAAAAGAAGTCTTGTCGATAACATGAACTCTTGGAAGGTCCAGCCTCTCGTGTCTAGATGGTGCTCTGGTTCGTACGACTCTGCGGACATGTATACGGTGCCCACCCTGTTACCTGACATTGGGACCTGGAATTCGAAATCGGGACAATAGGGCTCTGTCTCATTCGAGAGAAATCCTTCTGTTGCGCTCTTAGAGGAAGATGCTGCTATGGTTACCGTAGCATTTTTGTAGATGGACGACATGCGAGTAATCTCCCTTTTCTTGTCGGCTACACAGTCTTGGATGATACAAAGCGCGTCGACCCAAAGGTAGCGAAAGCCAAGTTCGCGAGTGACAAATACGGCATCTTGTATAGACCGTGGAAGTTCCTCGAAATCGATATCAGCCGTCAGTTCCTCAACATTCTCGAGCAATAATCGGAGAGGTTGCGGACCTCCCCAACAATAACTCAAAGCTAGGTAAGGTGCGTGGGTCTCTGTCTCGTTGACTTTCAAGTTGAGTGTTGGTCGAGAGTCGTCGGAGTTCCCAACGTCAAGAACCCGAGACGGCAGTACGGTGTCTCGTGAATACTGGCAATGCTTGTGCGGCTCTGTAGGATGCCTACACTTTTCTAGCAAAGACCTTGCCGCTGAAAAGACACTGGCACTCTTTACATTTCGGTTTAAAGGCCGTCTTTGTACAATTCCCCCCATAACGTTGTCTAAGAGCTGTCAGATAATTGATTGCTTCAAAAATCAGCGGAAGAGCACAAACCTTCTTTGGCAAATGTATCTATAGCGATTTCGTGATTGTTAAGCCCGCCTTCCAATGAGCATTGAAGACCATAGATGCCTGAGTTACTAATTGGCCTTTGTGGGTGATTATTGCGAAATACAAGATGGCTATTTTCATCCCAATCTCGATCGTGTTCTTTGCAATCCTTTTGAACCGCTAGGAAGATGAACTTGCAGATTTTGCAACCCTCATCTCGAGAGGCGATACAGCCGGCTCGGGTGTGATGTTGCAGCCCATCAACCGAATTCAGACGTTGCAGCCCTTTGCGAGAAAACATCAGCTTGCATAAGTTGCATGGATCATCCTCAATACGCCTTCGAGATCTCCTGGGCAGCGACCGGCCGTCTATCTCGGGTGCAGGACGCCGTTGCCCTCGTGCTGCTTGGAGTTCCATGGTATACTTCCAACTTTTATTTAGACTGGTTTCTGGTCACATATATGACGTCGAATTGAAAAGGAATAGGCGTGCTTTCATAGGATGAGTTCTAAGAAATGAGCGTTTCGGAGAGTTCGCGTCTATACTCGATGGACGGGGAAGATAGAGAGTGTCAGTCGTGGCTATCACACTTAAGCTTGTTTCGGAAAGGAATCTGTGAACTGAAATCCGACAAAAAGATCAGATCACAACCGCTATTACACATGACTCGTGTATTCTTGGCGTTGGCTCAAGGCAATAAAGGCAAAGTTCGCCTTGCAGCCCAGGGCTTTCTGGCTCAACACCGACCAGAGCTGTAATAGGTGCATATAGATGCATTAGTGCATGCAATACTAATATAATACAGGCAGCAGGCGCCTAAGCCCCTGAAAGGATCCGAAACACCTCCAGACAATTCGCCAAATGAATTGGCAAACATAAAAAAAACATCAAAAAACTGCATTGTGCATGTAGGTACAGCCTGGTTGCCTTACCAGGGGCTCCGCCGCAACCACCACCCAACACATACGTTTTCAGCCTCGGTTTCGGTGACAGACAGTCTCTGCCTCGTTCGCCTAGGATCCACTCATGGCTGCCTGAGAGACGGAAATTCAACAACTGGACGGATGGGAAGCGGTATCATATATATTCCCAAATCTTCCTAGCGACAAAATGGATATCCGTAAACAGCAGAGGCACCGCTTCGGCAACTTGGGATTTGCGCTACCAAGTTCCATTCAACTGCCACCATGTCTAACCCATTGAAGCGGCGATTCGATCCTGTCAGGGAATTAAATGATGATGTTGACGATGGCACACATTTGTATTCAGGCACTGTTATTGCGCCTCATGCAACTATGCCACAGCCTTACGACACAGGATCGTGGCAAGTTCAAGATTACGGCATGCTTGACATGCCCCGGGAGAGTCAATACCACGGGCCAGGCTACATGAATCCAACAAGGTATGGCGGTAGTGTAGTTTGAATTCAAAATGGCAGTTACTAAATGAAGCAGCGATATTCCCGTTATGCAACCATTGAGTTCGATAGAAGATATATTCGGCGGCATGTTTCTTGACCCGATTGCTGGCGCGCAGATTTCGACGTTGAACATCAGTGAACCATCCTACAATTTTGACGGAGCGCTTCAAGATTGGCGAAATGAATTTGTCCTATCAGATACCGATCCCACGGGATCAGCACCATTTTCGTCTCAGGAAACGTCGCACTTCTCATCGCTGAGTCCAGGGTCAACAGGATCAGTACCGTTTTCGTCTCAAGAGGCGTCACAGCTGTCATCTTTGAGTCCAGAGTCAACATCTTCGGTATCAGTACCATTTTCGACTCAAGAGGCGTTACAGTTATCATCTTTGAGCCCAGCATCAACATCGGAAGATGTTATTATGCTTAATGATCAAGATGAAATATGCTACGGGATGGTAAGTGAGAGGAGAAACTATGCACCTCGGCAGTTGCTGACCTACAATACATCAGCTGCACAGTGTCGACGTCAAATTTGTCGGCGAAATGCAAGTCGTCCACTCTAGACTCAGTGAAATGGAGACCACGTATGAACGGTTCAAGATCAAGAAAAAAGATGATCATGTAATGTTATCATTCCACGACGCCGACGATGACGATAAAGACGGGACATTTGGTTACCTGCGCTCCGCTGTTGGCAAGACACTTATGCCGCTCCTGACTATGACTCATGTGAACCTTGAGCCCATCGGGCAAGCATCAAATCTCAAAGATACAATAGGGAGAGCTAACAAGGCAGCTGAGGCTATTGCGAAAGTCGATATCAACCTGTATGGACCGCGTTGTGCTGCAAAGGAAGTTGGTGACACGCTATCCCGCGGCAAGCTGTGGCTACAGAAATCGAATCATATGAAGTGCGGTGTCATATATGACAACCCTCACTTCCTTCGGCTCGAACTTAGTGGTATTTCAATTCAGCCTACGCAGCCAGTAAACCAAAACCATAACAAGGGCCCAGCGGGTAAGCAAAAACGACAGGAACGGTTACAAGACTTGGTTAGAGAAGTATACAACTCTATCGACCGTTCTCGAAACCTGGACAAGGTGAATGTTGGGGGATTGGTCACCCAAGAGCTACTCCCGTAAATATGTCTCAATTCCGTCATAAGTATTTGCTAACATATGACTGTTAGACATCAGCAAGAAGCCCTCGGCTTTATGGTAGAGAGGGAATCTGGCGATATAAATGATAGATACAGACTTTGGGAGACGAAAACACTGGACAATGGGAATGAGGAGTATGGCAGCCATGACATTTCGCATATCGTATGGCCAGTAACTAATTTGAATCATCAGATATTGTCACAGAATCACCAAACAGAAGATCAAGAATGGTATACGACCAGACGAAAGTGGAGGCGGCATTCTAGCTGATGAGATGGGCATGGGCAAGACTTTATCCATCCTGTCTCTGATCGTGAAAACTCTGGATGTTGCTACAGAGTGGGCTCAGAAGCAAGAGAGTAGCGCTACTGTTGAAGAAGAAATCCAAAGATCACGATCTACTCTTGTGATCGTTCCATCTGCACGTTTGTTGATCTTGACCCTCGACTCGATCGTATGTGCCTTGTGGCTGACTTCGTCGGACAGTTTTGGTATACAACTGGATAGACGAGATCGACAAGTAAGGTTCTTTCCATCTACAGCAATATCTGTATTGACCAGCCAAACTACAGATACCTTAAAGAGGGAGTCAAGAAAATTAAATACCACGGATCTGATAGATCCAAGAGTCTCGAGGAAATCTTAGACTCGGACATTGTTGTGACTACCTACAGCACTCTGAAGGCTGAGTTTCAGAACAAAAAATCGCTTCTCCATCGTGTTGACTGGTATAGAATCGTTTTGGATGAAGGTTAGTTCTCTGTACCCCATCTCAAGTCTCAGGGTTATGCTCACTCTTCAGCGCACATTATACGACGTCGAGCCACACTATTCTATCGCTCATGCGACGAGCTCCATGCCAGTTTCCGGTGGTGTCTGACGGGAACGCCCATTCAAAACAAGCTTACGGATATTGGCACGCTATTTGCTTTCATCCGCGCGGAACCTTTCTCCAAAGCTTCAGTGTTTCGCAAGTGGATTGAAGTTCCATTTGAGCAGAGCACTGATGACTCCACTGCAGCTACTGCTGTTAAAGACCGTCTTGTTATGCTTATTGAAGCTCTCTGTCTAAGACGTACAAAGGATTCGATCGAACTACCAGAAGTGCAGACCTATTTGCGCGAGCTCACTTTTACGCCCCAGGAGCGAGAACAATACGACAATACGAAGAAAATTCTGACCCGCATGATCCTCCATCGTGTAGGTGAGATTGATAAGGTCTCCCACTTTGGGACCTTTCAGATGAACTTGCAGATGCGCCTCTTGTGCAATCACGGCACTTTTCAACAGCCCTTCTCTTGGCGCCGCCGAAGCTATCAGGATGAGCGGGAAGCTGCCGCTGGAGCTCTCGGTCAGAACAGTGAAATCTGTTGCTCAGGTTGCCAGTTGCCGATGCCAATTTTGGGTTCTAGCTGGATGCGTAGCGACTACAACAGCCGATGTAATCATGCGTTGTGCCCCGAATGCATTGACGAATCTGGCAGAACACCAGGGTGTCCTGTATGCTTATTGACGCTTGGGCCTGATATGGCGGGAAACAATGCATCGACAAATGGTGAAGACGTCCCAGATTGGCCCGCCGATGACAGAGCTGGAAACAGTGACGATCATTACTTCAACAAGGAGGGTCATTCAACAAAGATGGAAGCACTAATTGAGGATGTTCAGAAGGACTTGACCAACACAAAAAGGTAATTTATCCTATAGTGCAGAATCGCAAAAGCCTTCGATGTTAACAAGAATTAGTATCATATTCTCTTGTTGGACCAGAACACTCAAATTGCTCTCCCGCTACTTGGAAGAAGCCAATATTCAATACTTCTGCATTGATGGTACCTCTTCACTTTCACAGCGGCAAAAGAAACTAAAGCAGTTTGCAAAGGATGATCAAACGCGAGTGCTCATTATGACCACTGGCACAGGAGGATTCGGGTGCGTTAATTGTATATCTGATGCCATTCTGATTGCATGTTACTGATCAGTCACCAGACTCAATCTCACCTGTGCCAATCGCATCTTCATTGTAGAATTACAGTGGAATCCCGGTGTCGAGAGCCAGGCCATCGCGCGCGCTATTCGACTGGGGCAGAAATGCGAAGTAAAGGTGATGCGCTACCTGGTTAAGGGCACTGTTGAAGAGGTTTGTCTCAGATTATGTCTCGCAACTCTGCTTTTGCTAACTGTTCTTAGGAAATGAGATCCCAACAGCGGTACAAAAAGCAACTTGCTGCTTTGGGTTTCGATGAGCTGCTTGAATCTGAGGATCACGCAGTTGTGAATGACTCTGTACCAAGCATAGTAATATCGCAGTAGAGTATAGCATTGATGAAGTTTTCAGAAGGTAATCGCGTTCTCGTCAGTTTACTCTACCTATATAGCTAATATTCTCAACTAATATTTCGTCTCAAATCTAAATACTTGTTTATGAGGATACAGCCGAGGAAATGTTCTTTTACAGACTTGCGTTTTAAACACAATGCACAAATGTTATCTTAAATGAATAGCTAATTGCTTGCTTAAATGATCATCTACTTACTAATGTAGCTCAAGGCAGCGCAATTACTTCAATCTCAACGCTAGCATTTAACGGAAGCCCCTTGACTACAACACAGCTGCGAGCAGGCTTGTGAGAAAACCATGTTTCATACTCAGCATTCATTTCCTGCACAAATTAGCGAATAAAACGGAATAAAGGTTTGTGATATAGCTCACTGCAAAATAGCTAACGTCGGAGATGAACACGGTTGTTTTCACAACGTTAGAGAGCGAAGAGTCTGCCGCTTTCAAGATTGCGTCAATGTTTTCACAGCATTTTCTCGTCTTCTCAGCGATAGAACCATCAAGTAAAACGCCGTCAGAATTGAGGTGGACTTGGCCGGAACAGTAAATAGCCGATGGAGTTTTGATTGCTTGAGACTAGAGGAAAGGGTGAGTTATGGTTTAGCTTGCGTTTCACACATTATAAAAGCTTACATAGGGCGCTTGGGCTATAAGTGGTCAATTAGTACAAAGGGAATACTAGAGTTGGCTTTAGGATACTAACCAGGGGCAGCATTTTTGGTATGTACAATAGTCTGGCGCGATGTTGACGAATTGTATCTTGAAGAAGCTGGCTGTGTAGCGAATATCGGTTTTGAAATGGAGATTGATCTAGTTGAACATCTTCTAGCAAAGGCCGAACACGCAGAACGAATTGGTGACAACATGATTGAGAAATTGTGCCTCTTGATGATTGTAACTTGAAGGTAACATGTATATCAATAAACAATTTCGTTTAACATTTGGGCTAAGCTACTATTAAATATTTCGTATGTCTTAGCTAGTACAATGTGTCAAAGGAGATTACTTCCGTAAATACGCTGCCCCGCTTTCCTGATCTAGTTCTCGCAAGATTTTCTACTAAATAGGTTAATAGCCCAGATAGAAGAGATAAAAAGAGACAAACGTCATCAACTAGTATGTAAATGTATATAACGAAACATATTATTTCTCCACTTCAAGCCTGGCGGGCGCTGATATCTAGTATTGATGAATTTTCTGCTGACTTTGATGATACCGCCTGGCCAATCGCTCCATGCATGAAAACTACTTGAGTAGCTCTAATGTTACAAAGCGTGTTCTATCGAGTCTACCTTACCTGCAACACAGCTACCTAAGATTTGTAAAAAACGACCTTTCAGATATGGTGTGCTATATATGTCCATAGATACCTCTATATGCCATCAACGATAGAAGTAGGCAATGAGCTCATCATATGCTTCCTGCAACTCGTCTTCTCCTGGCTTCTTACTGGTCAACTGAAATCGTAGATGCTTGGCCTCGGCCTTGAGTTCATCACGCTCTTCAGTTTCACTAGACTTATGCAGCACTTGGGAGAACTGGTATTTCGTCCGCACAATCTTTAGGCGAGTGTCCACGGATTGCTTTTGCGTATAGACCTTGAGCGACAATCGGAGGTATTCACTGCACGAACATTCAGAGTCAGAGATAAGATTCAATCATGAATATTGTATAAGGTGCGCATTGCCATTTTGTATTCGCGTTGTTTCTGTAGAAACCAGGCAAGTTTGTTGTAGTGGGCTTTTGTCTTGTGGTGTGTCGGCCCGAGGACTTTAAGATGAACTTTTATGCTCTGTGTATTAAGGTCAAAGGCGGCGTCAATTTTTTGCGGGCGATGAGGACATTTGCGAGCGCTGACGTTGTTCGACCTTCCAGTGTTGAGATAGTAAAATAGAGCATGCCCCTTCAGCGCCAGTCGAAAACGGACCCTATTTTGTCGTATCATTAGGGATAAGTCTTCTTTTGCTACCATTCCAATCTGTTCGAACGAGGAAATGAACTTACACAACGTCTTCCATTGCAGCAGCCACAAGTGACGAGACACCATCCATCAACCGGTACTGGCTCCAGCTCCGGCGGAATCCATTCATATCAGAGTATGTTGTTCATCTTTGTAGGGTCTTGTAGGATCGTTCTTCCATGTAAGCCATGCTTTAGCGGACAGCTCGCATTCAGTACCCGTGGCTAGATCTGGCGGCCATTAGGCTTTTCGAAATTAAATAGATGCGCCCAATTCTGATCTGCCTTCAAGATCCCATGAGTCAACGCCCTCGCCGAGGCTTACAAGAGCTGAGAAAGTGATGTCAGGGGCGGTACCTGTAGACATTGCGTTGTTTTGATTCAAGATAGTGCCTCAATTTGACTCTTCAAGTCTGTAAAGAATGGGTGATGATACAAGCCATGAATGATGGACGGAATGCGAACTATTGAGGGGCATGGTCAATGATGAACGCCCTCCAACGTTCTGCAAGCAGATGAAGACGGCTGCTCTAAGACCATCTTGGTTCTGCCGTGGACACAAGGCGAATCCAGCTATAGAGACGAGTATGGAGAGTATGTATCCCGACATCCCGTCATTACTATCGTTAACAGTTTACAGTCGCCCAACTTGGACTGGTGAAGGGTGGTTCTTTTATTTCATTGCGGTATATGCAGGTGCTCCTGACGTTATTTTGCCTAGTATGTTTTCATTGTTCATGGCACCTTAATGCAATGAACTCCTTTTAGTTGGGCAAACGCCGTGCCACGCTCGCTTAACAAAAAGGGAAGAGTGGCTTCCAGTGGCCATTGGGATAATAGGTGCAAGAGGCACAGATGCTGCCTTTACCACTTTTGTAAAGGACACAATAAAGGCCGCAAAACTTCCAGCCACCGTCGATGTTGGCCAGAATGCATTCAAGTCAAGCATATCTGAGATCAACAAAGTCGTCACTGCTCCCACAGAAATATTACTCATACATCAAGTCCCTAATTAGATATAATGGGCACGCCTCAAGGCGTAGCACTCGACAATCAGCTAAAGGCACTCAACAATGGCTCGGGGCGTTTTCTTGAGCGAAGCATCAGCAGGCGAGTGATTTATTCCCGATTTTTCTTTTACCTGTATGGTTACAGATTAGAATAGTAGCGGCTGATTTGGAGCTTGGCTCATATTCAGAGCTCTAAATGTATCAAGAAAACGTTCTGTTTGAGGTCAAAAAGGAACAAAAACCTTTATACTAGTAAAACTGTATCACCACCTAAGCGACAACTTTTTTATGCTCTTATTAAGTAACAGAAAAGGATAACAATCGAAGTAAGAAAAACACTTACTATGGTAATGGCCTAAGTAATTTGTCACTCATTTTATTATTTTCTCTTGTGATTCTGTCTCATGTGATTTTAAGCCTTCGCCCATTCTATAACGCGGCGAGTGTACTCCGACGGTGGGCTATTCGTCAAACCTTCTTTGACAAACGCAATGTGAGTCGCATTTTCATCCACATAATCATCCACTTGGTTTTGGTGTTTATCCTACGCTTCATTAATATCGTAGGCCAATAATATGTTATGCGATGTAGCCTAACACTTACCTTGATTACTTGAGATAGCTTGATAATATCTTCTTCAAATAACTCAAAAGCGCCGGAAATGATTGTAATAGCCCCGGCTGGTAGTGTTTCATACCATTCTTCGCGCATTTCAGATATCGGTGTGAACCAGGGGTTAATCGGATCAACTTCAGGATCATGGTTACTCTCTATGATGTTCCACATCTGAGCAATATCGTCCACTCCAACTAAATCTAGACCGATATTTTTACTCCTCTGTAGCGCCGGCGTAACAATGGGCACAGCCGGTGAGACTAACAAAATTCGACCGAAACGGTACCCCGATGGGAATGAGAGCAGAGGCACCTTGGGATGTGGGTGCGTGATGTGATGCAAGATGGCGAGAATAAGAATTCCGCCGACACTGTCGCCATACAAATCGATCTATAAGAGGTTAACGCATTAATAAGTAGTAACAGAAAGAGATTAGAAGCATGCGCCTCACATCTTTTACGTCTCGCCCGTGCATGAGATACACAATGGACTCGACCAACTGGCGAAGCTGCACTGGATAGACACCAGCAGGGCATGTATCTAAATGGGTTAGTAGACGTGGACGAGTGATACGTTAGTTATTCGAAGCTGCCCACCATAGCTTAGCACAACCACGGCGACGTCTTCATCTTTCGAGATGGCCGCTTTGTACACGTTATAAGCCAAGCCTATGTGGAAAGGAGTGGCGTACATGACTAGCCCGCCCCCGTGAACGTGTGCTATCACTCTTTTGGCTGACGGAGAGCCAAACCATAAGGCAGAGCCACCTTCGGGCATGTCTTTCCTGGCAGAAGGTATACCATGAGCTTGGACAAAGTTCTCATATTGTTGAGCCGTCGGAACGGTGAAGGATTGCCTATACAAAAAGAATGAAAAGGGTCAGCAAATGATAAATATTATGTACCAGCTTGTATATCCTTACTGCATCAAATCCTCTGTTGTCATAGCCATGTTGAAGTGTTGATAATAACAAGTTTTTTAGAGATTGGAAATATCCTGTGTCATTCATTTGCAAGATCCCAACCAGTTTAAGCGATTCAATGAAGAGTTTACATGTTTTTCAATTCGGCTGTAGCTCATCTTTTCCATAAAGGTAGTAGCATTTCCCAGCAGCTCTATGCGCCTGCCGTCATACTATATCACATCGTCATAACAATACATATCCTCATTTCTAAAGCTTCGTCGCGCTGCTATTTCTCTTTTAGTAATATGAAGATCGCTGCTACTGCCTATTACAGACTAGGGAGCTTATGCGTATCCACTTGGTAAACTGCCTTAACTGTCATCAGGCGCCGTGATTTCTGCAATAGGCGATGGGTTTTTTTCTACTTCAAGTTGTAGCAAAATGTTACATCCAATATTAAGTCCCGAGAAGTTCTATTCTCATATGCTATAGCAGAAGATCCTTTTAGTGTAGCGCTTATTAGTGGCGGTGAAGAGTTAGAGTGCCTCATGACGGTTCCCGAGGCAATAATAGCTTCAGCTCGAAGAGTAACAACGCCGTTACTCCCGCATTCGGTCTGGCACACAAGGTAGGTATGACTGCGATATACTGGAAGTTGAGAATGCAACTGTGATTAACAGGTATGATCCAAGTATAATGTGGTTAAATTCCCGTCATCATTACCTATAAGCTGACTAAAACTTAACCCATTTGCCATTTCTAGCTAATCTTAACATTCTGTGGCGCAAATGGTCGAATTTATTTCTTGAGAAAGATGTCGAATAAGCAATGCTAATAGGCTATGCGCAAGCGGCAGTGGTCGATTACAGCAATTAATGATGGCGTTCACTTGTGTTCACATGTATTTATAGTTATTTATCATAGTTTACTGAAATACTATATAAATTGACCCAAGTCTGGCAAATTGAATGCAACTATCTCAGCAACCACTCTCCCATTATTAATAAAATTTCATAAACCCGGCGACGAGCTCATAATATATCTTTTGATAATGGCAACTATATCATCAAGGGCTTCTGAGAGCATTTCACTAGACAAGAAAAAAGTACGAGTTCTGGACTCTGAATTAGCATATATCGATGTCGGTTCCTCCGGTTCAGAGACGCCAGTGACCGTGTTTCTGCACGGAGTGCCGACATCTTCATATCTGTGGCGGAATATTATCCCTTACGCGGCAACAAAGAGCCGATGTATTGCCCCGGACTTGATTGGTTTCGGAGACTCTGATAAGGTCTCGGGCGTATATCACTTCGCAGATCACCAGCGGTACATAGACGCCTTTTTTAGATGCTGTCGTACCGAACCAGATGATTACTCTGGTAATCCACGATTGGGGATCTGCTCTTGGGCTTCATTGGGCCTGTCGAAATAAACTCCGCGTTGCCGGAATCGCATTCATGGAGTTCATTCATCCCGTGGCAGACTGGAGCAGTTTACCATCTATTATGGCGTACAACTGGAACAAATTTCGCAACCCAGATCCCCAAGTTGGCCGAAAGCTCTTGATCGAGGAAAATATTTTCATGGAAGAGATTTTAACTGAGGGTGTAATAAGAAGGATGAAGAGCGAAGAGATGGAAGTTTATCGCAGGCCATTTCTGCGACCTGAATGGCGTGAGCCCCTCTTTCGGCTTCCAAACGAGCTTACGGTTGAAGATCAGCCAGAGCATACATGGAAGATTGCACAAGATTACATGGCGTGGCTCCTAGACAGTGATGTACCGAAGCTGTTTCTTTGGGCCAAGCCAGGAGCGCTTATATGGGAAGAGAAAGCAAATGAGCTGGCAGAAAAACTGAAAAAACACGCGCAGTGTGTGTGTCGGCGGCATTCATTATATACAGGAAGATCATCCACATGTAATTGGTCGCGAATTAGCTGACTGGTTACCTTCATCTTCAGACAACACAAGAGTAGCCTAGGCAGAATGGTAATGCACAGATTAGGGGCGTATGTTGAGGGAAACTTAGTTGTGTATCAATATTGAGATATAGATATGTGAAAAACGCCAGCATTATGCATATGCCCCTGTAAGATGATATCAGGAGTGACACGATTGATACATTCCGCTTCTTAATTATTCGCCTCCGCAACCCTCCAAACCAGCTTCTCTCCGCTTGGAGCTTGATCCCTTAGCAAACTCAAAGCATTCTCAGCTCGTTCTAGCAACGTCTTACCTTCCACTATACGGATTTTGTTTGGCTGGATAATGCCTTTTTCCAGTAAAGTTGGAACGATCTCAGATTGCAAACGCTCCTTGAAGAATTCGTTGCGCAGGTAGAAATGTGTTCGCGTTCCCATCACTTTGACCCCTTCTCTCCACTCGTCTGGCAGCGACTTTGAAACGTCCATTTCGTATTCTGGTGGCGTATCTTTCGTCGCATGGACGTTTATTACAGGCAGCATAACGGCCACTTTGGCTCCTGATTCCGCAATCTTGGTCAGTGGTCGCAATGTGTTTTCCAGCGAGCCAATGCAGTCCAAAATATAGGGGATTCGAGGTTCAGCTTCTGAGATCGTGCCGGCAAAATTGAGGATTTGTTCTACCACATTAGAATCATTATAGTCAAAAGTCGCCTTGGCACCCAGCGCCTTTAGCCGTTCGTGGTGTCTTCCACTTGCAACAGCAAGAACATTCTCATAACCCCAATGATGGAGGACTTGCAGTGCATAATCCCCTACGCTACTTGCTGCTCCCCATAAGAGGATAGGAGCAGTACGGCTCTCTTTGCTTGGTTCCTGTACCGGCCAAGGCAGCGGCAGCTCAAGGTCTGCTGTGATTGTGTGGAAGGCCGTAACTAGATTCGCTGGTACAGCGACAGCTTCTTCTAGAGTGAGGTTTGCTGGTAGGCGGCTACATAAATAAGCCGAGGTTGTCAAGTATGTCTGGTGGCTTTTCTCTCTGGCATTACGGAAGGCGAATCCGAATACTTTGTCGCCCACCTGTAGCTTAGGATCGTGGGTATCTGGATTGGCGGGATCGACAGGACCAAGAGTCACGACAGTGCCGCCAAACGAAGAGCCCATGACCTGGGGCGGTTTCACCAATAGCCCGCCATCAGCCTGATGGAGGTCCAGAGGCGTGGAGGAAGTCCATTCGACATGAATAAGAACTTCACCCGCACTAGGTGCCTCAGTCTGCTGATTGAGAATTTCGAGAGGGGCCCTAGCGGCGACAATAACAACAGCGGGATGAGTTGCTGGAATATTCTTTGGAATGGAGCTTGCCATGATGAGATGGATGTATAACAATAGCTGTTACAGCAAAATGGTAGTGCTCACAAGAAGAGGCTCTATTGTTGGCGCCATTTTCAAGATTGGCGAACACGCCTTATTTATAGATATTTGAGGTATTCATGACGCAAATATTAAACCTATATGAATAGGATACTAAAGACAAGTCCTTTCTATGTAGAAGAATATGGATTTCTAAGCGGGTTTAATTGGCAGCACAAGCCACTTACTCAATGGGATGTGCTCTGGGTCCACTCCGGGGGTCGAATCTGCGGCCCTCGAACTCAATTTGCCTTACAGCAGAGCAGCGCTATAGACGAAATCCTGCAGAGCCGTCCTAATGTCACGACGAAAGCAGAACTTGGTTAATCTACGTTGTCAACACTTCATACAAGTGTAAGCACTATAAACACCAACCCAATACAACTTTATTATGCTACACAGTTTATGATTAATACGAGAGCAGTGAGGGCGATTATAAGAGCTAACAAGCAAATTCACTGTAATTCACTCTGGTCTACACGTTTAATGGGATCATAGCCTATTCGCAAGAATAGCTCTAGACAGCGATCCTTTCGGTTAATTTGCCCCCCACTGCTAGCTTTGTTAATATGCCCATCGAAGGACGGTTGGCTATATTGCGCATGCTTAGCTCTCGTGCAATGCAATAAGTAAAAACTAACTCCTAAGTCCGTAATGAATGCTTACAAACAAGGCTTTCAGTCGCGCCACATGAGTTTCTGTGGAAGTGTCAGTGAAACATTGGGAGTATAAACCGGGCTAGATTTTTCCCCATATGTAGCATGTTAGACAACAACACTCAACGCCTTCATTCAGCGCTAACTATGCTATTTGGAAGGACAACCTGCGAAACTCCTTGTTGTAACTGAAAATCAGAACAACTAATTCCACCACGTCTTAACATCAGTTAGCCTCACCTTTTCACAAGGGGCAGCCAATAATAGACAACCTCAATCATGATTTGAAATTTATCATCTAATTAGTAATGAGACTGCGATTAATGCCTCTTCAGAAGACCAGCAACCTGTCAGCCAGGCTTTCCTGTTCCAGCAAAGTAAGATCTACCCGTCAGTTCCACTTTTAGTGACCAACTCTGAGGCTTCGGAATCGGCTATTATTTACTGGCCGTTCCAGAAGTATCGTTTAAGGAATTCTCTCAGGTGCGGTTTTGCGACCGATAATGTCTTGTCTTTTAGCATTAGAAGAAAATTCTCAATATGCGACAAATAGTCTTGACTCAGGGCTAAATAGAATGTTGCAGATGCCCGCAGCAGATAAATCGTCATTATTAGTCGCCGTTTTGATCAACTGTTGAGAGTGCTTCGTATAATTTCCTGCCCTCTCATACAGAGATCTAACCCCATGCAGGCCGTTTCATAATTCTTTGAGTAGCCAAGATTGTCTTCCAGGTGTCTGTGGCAACTATCAGAGAGCAAGCGTATGAAATAGTTCTCAGCTAGTGCCGCCGGGATATGTGACATTGTACATCCCTCTAGAGATGAGATGAGGTGTATCACCGTCTCACAAATGAGTACTGCAAGCTGATTTGGAGCGTCGAGGTCCATCGCTAAGCAAGGAGAGTCAGCACCCAATAGATCTAAGCATGCTGCATAGAGCGTATTGTGAATAAACAGTCGACGAATTTCAAGGACTGTAGCTGAAAGCTCAAGCAATCCGGACCAATAATATATTATTATTCCTGGTATTGTAGTAGTATTCTCAGGTCAGCAATGCAGCCGCAAAGTCAATTTGAGCCGAGAACTAACTATGCCAGAATTCTATAATTTATGCGTCCTGTACAAGTCTTGGCTCTATATTATTTCTATATCGCAGGCTCCAAATTGCAGACACCACGTTTGCTAACTGGGTAATCATCATGCTTCGCGTTGAAGAGGCTGTTCATAAACGTAGTAACGCATGGCAAATTCACCATCCCCTCCATATATGGAATCGTCCTGGACAAGCTCTTCTTCGACTCGGAATCCAAGCCGACTGTATAATCCCCATCCAGGTTTACAAGCAAGGATAAAGATATCCAGGCCCAGCTTCCCTGCTTGTTGCATGCCGCTTTCTACTAAAAGCGTTGCGACTCCTTTGCCTTTGTTCTCCGGATGCACAGCTAAATAGTCTAGGCCTGTAAATTTGTCAATGGGAAATGTTTTTTTGAATTTGGGTTCTTGTATGTGCTTACATAAATACGGCTTTCTCGCCATTATTTTATCTTTGATAGCCCCGACCGCGTCATCCAGCGGGTCAGTATCGCTATTCGGATTCCATTGGGTTGCTTCAGCGACTCGTTTGATTGCGGCTTCTTCCTCGGGGCTCACCACCGGGGCCATAGCCTCTGGCCAAACTGGTTCACCGTCCGCAAGCCGAGTATGTGATTCCGGCAAGAGCCAGCGAGCATAGCCTAAGAGACGGCCGGTCTCGGAATCAACCACCTTTTGGTGCCGTGAAGTCTCAGGATGGCTTATCAACCTGCGTGGGTATCGCTTGGTCATTGTGTCAATGTGTTTCTCCAGCGTGGTGTGGCGCCATGCCAGAACCCAATTCGGAATTTCCCAGAATGCCGACATGTTGTTGCGACTGAGAGCCGCGCTGTCAGCAAGGCTGCACGGGGCGATTGTGAAAGCAGTCATTTTGAAGATATTGATACGTAGGTCAACGATGTAACTAGAGTTTAGTACCAATCGTAACGAGAATATACCGACAGAAATCATGAATGGCCAAACTTGCCAAGTGTTCTTAAACCCCTTCGAAAGTAGTTTGGGAGCTCGCCATCGAAGGATGCGGAGAGCCCCGCACCTTAGTTCTTCTCCCTGGCATTTCTGCCTACCTACGTGTAAACACAGCTTCACTAACACAGCTTACATAAAGGGAAAAGCAATGGATGGTTTCTTTCTGCTCTAGCAAGCTTGACAAGCTTGTCGCTTACACACAACGAGTTAAAGCACAAGATACAAGTACTGTATTCCGAGACTAAGTCTAAGAAGCAAACCGCAACGGCGACTTTCATAGCGCGAAATGTCACATGAGCCATCTATTGAGATAGCATTATCTTGACAGCTCAACCAACTTGCAAGATAGTCTAGTTTACAAGATACTTTTACCTGATATGAGTTGGAAAGTCAAGGTGGATAAGGAAGAGTACAATTGTTGGAACGCAGGGAGCTCTTTTAGCGCGGAACTTCGTCCTGAAATGAAGCTCTTAAAGATTTTGGTGAACGATACTGGCTTAGAGGCGTTTGAACTTTCTGTAGGACTATAGGTTATGTTGCTGATGCATTGAGTGAAAGACCAAGGCTATGACAGTCCGTCTCAGGTTATGAGAATGCCCAGTTGGGGCATAGGCATATGCAAGGATGAATAGAGATATCGAAACTAGTAGCGAACAAAACTCTCTTAAACTATGTATGGTATATCCGTAGCTACCTGATCAACTCGTGTAAATAAGAAATACAGAGGTAGATGTATTTGCCTTAAATAAAAAACCTGCTTTCCTCGCAAACCATTCTTAGGACTTCGTGCGTCCGCCTATGGTACCGCAAAACCCATTCGAGTTATTGTAGCTGGAATGGCTGATTATGAGTTTTAATCTGGATGATATGAATCGCTCAATATGTAGTTGCGAAGATAATAAAGACCAAGAGGGCGTTGATCTCTGCAGGGTCTAGAGTGTTACAACGCTAGTGGAATTTGCGATTTACAGTAAAATACAATTGCTATTAGAGGAATGGGGTGGTTATAAGTCTAAGACTGTGTTGAGTGTAACACATCTAGCCAAGCTGCTAACAGAAGTGGGAGCCTATATCATATAGACTACTATTCTCTCATGAGGGGTATTAAACTTCGGTTTGGTAGTAAGATTTTAACTATTATTTCTGCTTACAGTTAAATTTTGTTAATGTTGCCCGCAAAATCGTAATACAAAAACGTACTATTCAGCGCCTAGCCTCAACATTTGATTCCAAAGTATAGGTGTCAGCTTATAGCTTCACAATATACAACTCATACACTGGACGGTGTACATACGTTACTCTAGAGCTTAGCTACGTAAATAAAGCCTATGTAATCATTTCGTATTTCAGTACTCTAGTCAGACCAAGTTTTCCTATTTAGCTGCTATCCTGCACCCTATCGGACCTATTTTTCCCGACACGTATAGATTTTCTACACATATCAAACATGGCAGCTTCCCAAAACGATGAAAAGAGCGACCTCTTTAATTGGGTAACAGAAGTCTGGAAGAAGGTTCTGTTCCAGCCAGATGATGAGATTGCAGTCAATACTTTTCAGAAATACTTTGCCAAAGATATAGTCATCAAGTCAGCAGTATACAAAATTTCCTTGCCACGATTGCTGTAATGATGGCTGACTTGTATTCTGTGATAGGATCAACCACGACCATGTCCCTCGCGAAGCCTATTACGGATACATTACCAGCACTCGTGCTGCCTACGACCTAACTCTTATATACGGTAAAGAAGTCAAAGTTTGGGAGTCTCCCAACGGTGGCGGCTCACTTGTGTACGACGGGGCGCTCAATTATACCGACAAAAAAACCGGAGAAGAGCAGACCGGCCATGTTATAATGGTTCTCGATATACGAAAAGATGATAATGGAGAGATGAGGATTGTACAGACGACAGAGGTTGTGACTAGAAGCGAGGGAAGCGTTAAGGCTTTCGAAGGCTAGAGATATTGCCAAAAGTTTCCAGTTTCGTTACTTGAATACTGGTGCAAGCATAGACGCCCATGTATACTTGCGACAATGTATCTGAATTTCAATCTTAATGCTGCAATTCCGCTAAAATTAAAAATCTTCTCTGTTTAACGAAGTATTGGGCATAGATTTTAAGATGTCGCCCAGTTTCTTCAAATGGGGTTGTGTCCCCAAGCTATCGAGACCACCAAACTGTCTGTACTTCTTCCTGCGATTCTCAAATTCCTTAATCACATCAGCATGTCCTTGTCTAGTTGCCATAGCCAACGCAGTTTCGCCATGCTGATCCACCATATCTTCATCGGCGCCCTCCTTGAGAAGCCGTTGTACAACATCATAGTGGCCTCCGAGTGCGGCATCCATCAGAGCCGTCCTTCCATTTTTATCTTTCAAGTCGATTCGGGCTCCTCGGTCGATGAGCATAGTCGCTACTGCCCAACATCCGCTTCGGGAAGCGGCCATGAGAGGTGTTCTTCCATTGTTATCCGTTGCATCGATGTTGGCTCCTTCATACAAGAGCAATTGGGATAGTCTCAATGATTCATCACTTTTTGCAGCCAGAAGGAGAGGAGTGCGCCCATTTCCATCCACCGCCTCAACATTAGCGCCATGTTCGATAAGTAAAGATGCTATCTTCTCGTGGCCAGAGGTTATGGCGAGGACTAATGCAGTTGGGCCTGTGCCATCAACGTCAGAGGTTTGATCTATACGTATACCACGCTCGATCAAAAGTTCTACTGCTCCTTTGTAGCCTCTTTCAGCGGCGAAGGGAAGTGGATTTCGGATTTGGCGCTCTGCTTCTGGCATGAATTGGTCCAATGCTTCATCTAGGATGAGCATCTTATCTGTGTACCTCTCCCGTCCACAAAGCAACAGCCAATCCAAGGCAGGTCTACCAAGCTCCCTAACAAGCTCAATTGCCGCATTGTGTTCTATTTTCACGCCGAGTTCCCGTTCTTGTAAAAGTTGTTGAAGGATGAATTCTCCACTTGATTTGTTCTGAGCCATCGCCCTAACTACCTCGCTGGTTATGGTTACCTTGGATCTCCTGGATTGAAGAAGCCGTTTCACGACTGTTGTGCTACCCCATCTGACGAATATTGAGAATTCTTCGGTTGTAATTGTAGGGCTTTGAACAGCTTGATGGTCGAGATACATTTGAAAGGCTTCTTTACCCAATGGTGCGGTCCTTTGATCTGCGTGTTTGGCTACCTGTTCCATGACGTTAACGTCAGGTCGTCGGTAATTTAGAACTAATTGCAGTAATTTATTTCCATTGGCCTTGTTATAAATGACAGCACGTATCATTTCAGATGAAAGCTCCAAGTCGCTCGGTCTTTTCGTGAAAAGAAATACCATCAAGCGTTCTTCGAAGTGCTCATTCCTCGCAGCATTTTCCAAAAGTTTTGGCGTGACATTGATGTCTTTCCCAAACCGGTTGAATAGCAGACGTGTCAACTTCTCAGCTTTTTCATCCATACCAGCTGCAGTTTCAGCTAGCTTAGTGATATCTCCGCCTTTCACAAATGGCAGAAGCAGTTCAATAACCTTATCGCCGCAGCCCTTGTTCCAGGCCGCCGCGTCAGCTATTTTCGAGATGTCCATATCCTTCATATAAGGTAATAGTAATCTCAACACTTCATCTCCACAGCCGTTATTTCTCGCTGCGACTTCGGATAATTTGGGGACGTTGATATCTGTGGCGAACGGCAAAAGGAACTCCAGCACTGTATGTCCGCAGCCTTCATTTCCTGCTGCAGCTAGTAGAATCCTCTCTGTCATGGCGAGTTGGTTGCTTTGATTGCGAAAAATGACTTCAACGACTTGCTTGGCAGCACATTCATTCCTTACTGCTTCCAAGACCATTTCGGGACTTGCTTCAAACTCGCTTGCTCGATATTGGTACAGCAATTCCGTTGCTTTTCCACTTGAATCGTGAGAAACTAGTGCGGTGATCACGCTCATATCCACGTTAAATCCTGGCCGTCTCAAAAATAAGCTCAAATTGTTAGCCTTGGAGCTCTTTGCGAGTGCTGAACAACTCTTAGAGTTTAGCGAGTCTAGATTTGCTGCAAGAGCTCGTACATCCGAAGGTATGTATTGCCGTTCAAAGCTCCGAAAGTCGTCCAAGTCGCAGTAATAGATGAAACGAATGACATCTCGAGTGAGCTGTTCCTCAGATTTTTCGTAATCCGGTAACAAAGCTTTCGAATGTCTTGCATCCGAAGAAATCCCTCTTAATGCATATATAAGATCCCGCGACTCCGTAGCCTCGCTTGTGCCAAACATTTTTAGCAGAGTATACAGACTGTTGCTTTTGTTCCACCAAGTAGTTTCCCTCCATATCCCCGGCATGATGTCTAAAACTGCCTGGCAGTGCGCACTGGGAGAAACGTCCAACATCAACGGGGCGATGGCGAAGACACGGGTAGAGACTGATCGTGTACCGCAACATAGCAATGCAGCTTTGGCATTTGCCACTTCTTGTAGTATCCAAACTCTTCGAAACCATGGCCGGTCCAAGAGAATCTTCAGCCCCTGACGTTGTATATCTTCCAGCGTTGACTTTTCATAAGAAAAGCTGAGCTCCAGCTGTATCTCGCCCCAGAGCGTCTTCCACCGGTCGTCTTGTCGAGTCCAGGATCTGCATTGTTGGCGGATGCTCTGTCTTTGCAAAAGCTCCATCGACTTCATAAAGACATTGGTCTCGTCCGTGCCGGATCCGAGCCAAAATACGACGCGGTCGGCCTGCTTATAGATCTCTCCCATCATCTGAACCTGATGACTCCGCTCCTTCAAATCCTTCTGATTAATGCAAACTGCATCTATCCACAGTATGCGGTCTTCGTCTCGTTGGCGAAGCTGCTGAAGCGCAAGATATAAATTTACCGTGACGCTCAGTGGTTTGCCATTTACGACAATGTTGTCTCGAACGTCGGGGAGGCCCCAGGTGTAAGACAGGGCCTCGTAGGATATCGAATCATCTCGCTCACAAAGGCTTGCCTGAAAGAGTTCGCAGGCTATCTCGCTCCCAGTTCCTCTGCAAAGGCGAAGTAGTCGAATCGCCGGACCACTGAAGTCGATCGGTTCATAGGCATATTCGCTCATGGCAGTGTCTTGCATTTCGTCTGATCAATGATGCGATTATTATGATCTCTGTTTCCAATGCGAAACTATTGAGCAACAGCTATACCAAGTGCGCATGGTAGAATCTGAATGTTCATGTTGGCGGTCTTCAGCTCTGAAATTCTGTCGACCAACCACAAAAGCTGCATGCATGTCGCAAACATAGCCACAGTCACACGGTCATACTGCATGTACTAGTAGTTAGGCACCAAGAGACTAGAATGAAGAGAAAAGAGTCGCTAGACATTGAATGAATGTAGCCTCAGGATGCTGTACGGCGTTGAGTAGTCACTTATACTCTGGCAAAAAAAGAAGGCCCAAAATATAAGTAAGAACAGAGGCGAGTTTGCCTTGTCAACCACATTTACGGGTGACCTTCGACCGAGCGGTACTACAACGATACCCCACGCTCTTACAAAAAAGAGATCTGACGCCCTATGTACGTATGTAAGTATCGAATTATTGAGTCAGATCAAGATCGTTTTCCATCACCACGGTATCGGCTTCTAAGCGTCTTGCGACTCCCAACCGGAGCGAAGCTCCGAGGTTGCCTCCTCCCCATCTTGACGCCACTTTCACGAATTTGATATTGAACGATTCTAAGCGCTTGACCAGTATGCATGCCAGCAAAGCCAGCGGCCTAATCGAATCCAGAAGCAGGGGACGGCAAGCTGAGAAAAATCCTTGGGAAACCAAAGCTAGAGTCGCTAGTGCAAATAGTTCCAGGCACTACTCAGGAGCATCAACAACGAAATCACACTATATCTCAGCCGCAGCGAGATTTCGACAGGGGTACTCCATGGCCAACGCTCGGTTTGAGCTGGCTAGTGGCGTATTTTTAGGCCAAGATCAATGCTAAAACTAGCAGACCGGTGATGGCTACATTCGAGACTCAGCTAGACTGCATTGGCAAATTTGCTGTTTGCCGGTGGCCGTGGCAAGCTCTCGTATAGCAAATAATATATAGTGTTCTAGTATTATCATCATGAGTGGCTTTTACCCATTCATTGATCTCTCTGTAGTATATTGAGCTCTGAGCAGCAAAAAATGATGTTGAAGCTTGTCGTCGGTGCCCTTGGCCTCGTCGCCAGTGTAGCTGCAACTCCATTGGAGCTTGCCGAGCGCAGCTCCTGTAGAGATGACAGTCTATACAAATGCTTTGCTGACTACGAATATTCTCATTCGGCGTCTGTATACTGCTCTGCCCTTGCGGCATGCACCAAAACAATCACGGTAGCGAAGCCCACGGTGTAAGTTTGCTCTGATATTCTATATTCGTGACAAATAGGTGCTAAGGAAGATCGTATAACAGGACAAAGACTGTGTGGCAGACACATACCGCGCCGACATCGACTTGCCACGTCCAATCTACAAAGACTGTCTACACAAGAACAGTCCCGTCGTCCACGGTAGTCAGGACAGAAACACGGGTAGTGACGAAGACATCGACGGCTACCAAGACGGTCACAGCCAGCAGTCAAGTAACTGAGGTATTCAAGAGAGCTGCTGGAGGAGGAAAACCGCAGCCACCGAAATGTATGCTCAACAAGTGCTTCGCATACACTCCTGATCGCATCACTGCCGCCTGCAGATGCATCAACGTCCCACCCAAGACGATTACAGCGACGCATACGGCCTGCAGCAGCACCAGGACAGTGGTATGTTTTTTTGGCCAGGACATTTCTTTTCATCCTTCGTTGTGCTAACCATACTGATCTATTAGACATCTACTTCGACGACAACGCCGAAAGTTACAGCAACATCATGGCACACGGTTGCTACAGCATTGACTACTGGCGTCACAACTAAATGCACGACGACGACTGTCGCTACAACTGTTACCACAACCACTACCACGACTACTACAATTCCTGTAACACAACCATATACGACTCCAGCAACCACTCCTCCTACAACTCCTCCTACAACTCCTCCTACAACTCCTCCTACAACTCCTCCTACAACTCCTCCTACAACTCCTCCTACAACTCCTCCTACAACTCCTCCTACAACTCCTCCTACAACTCCCCCAACCACTCCCCCAACCACTCCTCCTACAACTCCCACTACCACCCCCGCCACGACTCCTGCTACCACTGCGGCTGCCACTACTTCACCTATAGCGCAGAATCTCATTCCTGACGGCGACTTCTCATCTGGCTTGGGCCCCTGGGCCCAAATCAACAGCAACCCAGCGGCATGGGAGAACCCGACTGTCGCCACGATTGGCGGCATCACCCCTGACGGCACGATGTCACCCCATTTCGAAGTCACCAACCTGTTACCTTCAGGGTTATTCTTCCTCGCCAGCCCGACTTTTGCACTACAAAGTAGCTCTTCTTACACATTTACATTCTACGTTACAAATACCATCTTTACTGCCCCTTGGCCCAGCGCTTTGACGGTTCAAATCAACTGCGGCTCCTACACTTTGGCAACGGCAGACATGACCAAGGCAACACCGGGCGCGCAGAACCATTATCTACTCAGCTCCACCACTTTCAATACCCTCGCTACCACAGAACCACAGGTCTTGCGGCAACTGGGCAACTGTCAAGCACAATTTGCCTTTCATAGTGCTACGCCGCAGATAAATATCTGGGCGCTGGCTGATGTTAGTGTTTCCTACGCTGGTCCCATGGCGCCTCCGCCGCCTGTGACTGCCTCCGCCCCGTAAAAGAGAAATTCGGGCTGCAGTTTATACCAACATGATTACAAGTATATAGTAGATAGATGTTTGATAGACGACTTGATCAATTTTTAGAATTCCTCATTTTCCCCACATATAAACATACCCAAGTTCACAATAGAAGTAAAGCCCTATGCGATTTGCGTGCTTGTATCCGATATGGTAACACAGGCACTTTTTATATGTGTCTGCTGTTGATCCAAGCCCAATCACATGTGAGGGATGACGACGCTATAAATGCCCTGAAAACTGAATGACATCAGCCACGCAGCCAAGACTTGGGTTGATCTACTCCAGCACCAGCACTGCATCTTTCAGTCCTTCCTTCCATTTCGCGACAAGAAAATATCAGTCGCGTTATATATATCACTATCTTAACTCGGTGATAGATGATAAATTAAAATGAGCTCCGATAAAGCCTTCGAGCCCACTTTGAGCGACGTCCTGGTCGTGCGCGCCATGCTGGCTAAAACTACAATCCTCCCAGAGCTTGTGGGCACAATCTTGGACTACGCCGAATATTGGGCGCGATCAACTGCCAAAGCGGTGCTGAACGAAGCTATTGCCGCGCGTCGCGTTGGCCAGGGAGAATTCGATTACGAGGGAAACAAATTTCTAGTGAGAAAAGGCCAAATTGGAGATGGGGAAGAAACCATCAACTATATTGATTGCATCGACTAATACCGCTATAAGCTTCGATCGTACCCAGTGGGCCTGACGGAGCGTGCTTATAAAGACGAAGAAGACGGCAACCATGACGGCGACGACAGCAGCTCTCGTGACGAGCGGTTCTCAACTATAATCCCCCGTCCTCTGCCCGTCTTCAAAGAATTTGATCGAGATTTTTTCCAGCGAGCAATAAAGAATGCCTCTACTTTCAGCAACCCAGCGCGCAAGATTGTCTTTCGCATCAGCAGCCACGATCAAGGCTGGACCACAGACGAGGTGCCGGGCCCGTTTATTGCCGCCAAAACTTGGTTCGACGCCGGCATCGAGAGATTCGATGCCAGCAATTTCAGTGAGTATTCCTTACAGTTGGCAACGGACAATTTCCTTTGCTAAGAATAAAAACTCGCTCGCAGCAGATGAAGCAGACAGCCATGACATGAAACAGTGGACTGCGCGCAAACTAGGAACCGTTGAGCCACAAGTCAAAGAAGCCAAAGACAGCCACGAAGGCTGGGACTATCAATTCCCCTTTACGCCCTGGAAAGGCCCGTACGAAATCCAGCGCAATGCCATGGCATCTTCGGATTTTATAGATTTCAAAGTCACATGGACATGCTGGGACGTCATCGCGCCAGACTCTCCAGAGGCGCAAGACCTACTGGAGCAGGGAAAAGGGAGGAGGGCCGGCAATGGCCAGTTTGTGAGGAATCTCAAGCTGGGAGACGTCGTTACTGTGTGGGGGAGGGCCATGCATCGCGGGTGGGTAAACACGGTTGAGTCTGTCGAGATTGACATTTACTGGGCGCTCTAGACGATACCAAATGCCAGGTATAGAAGAGAAGATAAATCGATGTTATTAGCCTTGGGTTATTATTATAGCAAACGACTCATCACTACTTCAGCTTTAGATTTAATGACCGCACGGCTGCCTAATTTCTGTGTTGCACCATATGCTCTCCGCTCTGTACGACATGACATGTGCTTTAGAGTAACAAACCCTTTGGCCTTCTGGTGACGCACTCATAATCAGCTACCAGGTACACAGACTTTAGAGCTCATCTTCACCTAACAGATAGGCATACCAAGGAAACGAGGGAGGGGGGCAATTACAGCTCCCACACTGCCAGCAACCGGCGTGCAGGTGACTTCAATTCTACCCAGAGATAATGTGCCATTATCTCAGCTTTGAGAAACAATCCCTCCACTGGTGGTCATTCGCTTAAGAGAAAAGCGAAAATTTGCGTTAGAGAATATATAGCCGATGTTTCCACCGCGCAATGTTTCGCCTATGGAACAACATCGTGCATCGCCGAATCTTTTACCGCCAACAGCTCTGTCATATACAAGATACTCTATCAACCTGTCTTCGATTCATACTAACTTCAAGAGGGCATTCTTGAAACTTTTAAGAGAGAATGAAATTCCAATAGGATGCATATTGCTCGATAAACCTCCATGGCAAGCCTACCCAATGTTGTCAAGACAGTACAGGCTAGTCATGTAATAATAGCATCCCCAAAATAACATGGCTAAATGTAACAAAGGCTTCGCGATACCAGAAGCAGCAGCTCGAATCTATACCTATTGCATCATTCAAGCTTTCCCAAGCGTAGCACTGTATTCAATGCTTACTGGTAAAAAATGCTCCATTTCCTGGCATGACCAGAGATCGCCCCAATCCTTGCAATGACCCATCGGAAATCAATCACCTGCTTCATGCTGATTGCCTCTTCCTTTCCCATGCGAATACTAACTATGTGCCCCGTCTCAAGCGGATTTTGAGTGCGTCTGCGATATTTTTTAACAATATCGTTCTTCTTTGGAGAAATAATCAGCAACATCTTTTGAATAGTGTCCATGTTCAGCTCCGCGCGGTCGTTGTAATCCCGCTGATTCCTAGGCATCCAATGAAACTGAAGCCAGATGGCAGAAGCCTGTCGATCGATGGGGAGTATCCCAAGACATTGGATGCCGAAAAACTGTTCTTTCCACAACTTGCGCAGGTCAGGGCCTAAGCTTATCATATTCCAACTCTTGTCGCACATCTCAGAATTGATGGTAACGACGTAGCATAGCTGTGACCACACCTCAGAGCCAAGAACAACCTTGAAACACGAAAAGGCGTCTATTAGTTGAATAAAAGTCCAGCTGCCATAGCTAGCAATGAACGGTAGAATTTGGTAAACTTTTGGAGACTCGTCTTGGGTGAAGATGCAGCGGTAATAGTCTCTAACGAGGCACTGGATTTACACGTTAGCGTTATTGCATTTCATGAGCCGCCAGCACGTTGTAGCATCAAGTACCTTTTCTTTCTCAGCTTTTTTCTGCGGAAGATTCTTCCTGCCTCTCTCTAACTGATTTAGGCGCTCGAGAATTTCCTCATTCTGTTCGTGTGTGTTCTCCTCTCGGTATGAATTATCTCTAAAGGGACGCTCGTACGACACTTTGAAAGCTGCATCAGCAAATGTATGCTACTGGAATCAGAAAACAGAGGAGATAGAACGCCTACTGCCTATCAAAAATGACGAAATATACTGGATCTGTGCTTCCAGATAGCTGCCATGGAAGCGGTCGTCAATAACTTTTCGAAGCGCGGAATCAGGACACAACAGAAAATACGCCAGCTGAAAGTAAGTAAGTCGGGAATCTTTCGATTTGTCCTTTTGGTCTTCTGAAACTCCGGCTTGAATCTCCTTGATCAGCTTGAGCCTCTCTTCGATATTGTTCATCGGGATGATTGGGTCGACACTGGCATGGGTTGCATGATCTTTATGATACTGCATCAGCTGCTCCGTGGTTCGAGGAGCAGTGTAACCGGCGGGGAATATTCCTGTTGATTCGTCTGCTGAAGTTGAACTATCCATGGCTGTGGAGGCACTTGATGCTATACACAAAATGGTCGCAGATAGACGAGGAGCAGAGAAAGCGAAGATGATGATGAAAGTGTAGAAAGAGAAGCGGACTGATCTGGAGTGGGAAGTGCTTTGTGGAATTTCAGTTAGCAGTTGGCAGTTGGCAGGAAGAACAACAAAGTTCTATGCGCCCTGGCGACCTTCAAAGCTCCTGCTTTTATTTGATGCATTTTTAATTCGCCTACATGCAGATGTCGGATATTTGAGGATGTAGAAACCAACTTGCATTTAGAGCGACTACTCACCTGAGCCTTGACTGTGTGTTACACAACATCTCTGGTTGTAAGGCTCTGTGTTATTATTCGTCACTCTGCAAGACGCCACACACAAGACAAATGAGAACACAGCGTTTGCAGCCCCTGCCAGCTGAAAGCTGCATACAATCCCTGTTATCATTGCTTTTTCTTGCCTGGTAACAATCTATGTAAACCAGAGCTGCTCCCGTCATTCCTGATTTCCACACTATTCCGCATCAATCCTTATCATCCGCCATCTGATCAAGAAGTGAGAAACCACAGCCGCTCTGCCCATCCCTAGACCCAATTGCGATCCATACTAAAAATATGCCCAGGACAACTGCCACATTCACTCCATTTCAAGCGATATGGATTCTTCCTCAAACAAACAAGATCCAATTGAATCGGCGACCGTGGATTCTCAAGCAGCCAACTCCCAAGCAGCAAAGGCTGAACCAGCAGCCAATGCCTCGACCAAAGAGGAGCTCCCCGCCATAGAGAATCTTTGTCTACATCAGCCAATGGCCGTAGGCTCTGGCAAAGAATACATTGAGAAGCTTCGCTCTCTGGAGAGCGCTTGGGGCCAAGTTCACCATGGCGTCCAGAGGCGAACCAACACGCTAAATGAACTTCGGTCCGGTTTCAGCGACTTCAAGAAGGAAGTCCAAGCAGTCGAGAGAATGTTGAAGGCGAGAAAATCGAAAAAATCGAGAAAATAATAAAAGAACGAGACTCTAGCAACATTTGGGTTTGGTATTTGTTGTCGGCTTAATTCTTAAAGCATAGCTAGCATGAGGGAGACATAAAGGCATGAATATTATTGACATAGCAATTTGACTATTGTAAATACCACATCCACTTACACAAATCAAGGCACCAACCTCACACCCCCCTCACAGGCAGTGAATCCCTCTTCACAAGCTTCAAATCCTTCGTCAACGAGTTCCTACACGTCCCCGTCGCCACAAACTCATCAATATTCCTCAACGTACACTCCGCAATCTCCCCCAACGCCTCCTGCGTGAAAAACGCCTGATGGCCCGTCACAATCACATTATGAAACGTCATCAGCCGCATCAGCACATCATCATGGATAATCTCCCCCGAGTGATCATCGTAAAACAGCGCGCCTTCGCCCTCATACACGTCCAGCGCCACGCCGCTCAGGTGCTGCGTCTTGAGAGCCCTAATAACAGCTCGCGTATCAACGAGTCCACCGCGGGAAGTATTGATGAGCATCGCGCCGGGCTTCATCTTTGCGAGCGCGTCTTCGTTAATGATCCGTCGAGTGCTATCCATCAAGGGACAGTGCAAAGTGATAATGTCAGATTCAGGGAGAACCTCCTCCAGACTCTTATACTCCCCAATGCCCTCCAACGCCGGCGACGGATACGGATCATACGCCAGAATCCGACATCCAAAGCCCTTCATAATCCGCGCCGTCGCAATCCCAATCTTGCCCGTGCCTATAAGCCCAACCGTCTTGCCATGCAACGTCCGGCCCAACAACCCATCCAGCGCGAAATTGCCCTCTCGCGCCCGATTATAAGCTCGATGCGTGTTTCGGTTCAACGTCTGAATCAGCGCAACCGCAAACTCAGCAACCGCCTCGGGCGAATACGACGGCACATTGGCAACCATGATGCCAGCCTTCTCAGCAGCAACGAGATCAACATGATTGAAGCCAGCACATCGTAAGAGAATCGCTTTGACGCCCTGCCGACCCAACGCCTCTACCACAGGCGCACTCAAAGTATCATTCACAAAAGCACAGATGGCATCGGCCCCCTTCGCAAGTGCCACGGTATCTTCCTCAAGTGCAAACTCATGAAAGACAATCTCGATATCTGCAGAGGCAGGATGACTTGCAGGCGATTCTTTGGCTTTCGCAGCGGCAGCGCTACGAGCTGCTTCAATGTAGCGCTTATCGTACGGCTTGGTGCTGAACACGGCGAGCTTCATCGTCGATTGTGGTTGATTGGATTGATTGAAAAAAACAAGATTTAAGTTCTTACTCTTTTCAACGCAAATTGAGGAGAAGAAAGAGGAAAGAGGCGTTTTATTCAATGAGGGGGCACCCGGTTGGCTTGGCACAGAATGAGGAGGTTATGCACTCATTAAGGTTTCCGCGGCCAATGATTCGTTCATGCTAGCTGCGGCTGCAAAGCGGACATTCACATGCTTCGTCCTAAATACTGTGCGTACCTATCATAGCAAGCTGGTAATTGCTGGGGATATCCTTATAGAATGCTACAGCTAGTGTAGGTATATTCACTTACATCTGCGATAAGACGAGGCGAATACATACAGTTTCACAAAACATCTGGTGACATATGAAGCTGCAAAAGCCATCTTCGTGTAATCTTGTCTCAATGGAGAGGACGAAGCAGCCTTCCTATGCTCGTCTTTATCACTATTATTCACCAGCAAAATCATGTCATGCATCATACAGCATCACAAAATTTCCAGAAAAGCCATTTTGCAACATCTTTTTCATTTTCCATTTCCACTACCAACATTACATCTCCTCCATTCCCCTATCCCCTTTCCCTCCTATACGCAACTAGCAAACCGTGCACTTGAGTCTTTTGTTTCCTCGTCTCCGAGACTACTTTCCCCATAAAGCAATTCCCAGGACCAAAAAAAATCATATGATAAAGACTTTGAAAAAAGAGAAAAAAGGAGCAGCCATCGAGATCCATTATCCCCTATTGGATCTTTTGACTTCGAGCCTTTGTAACTTCCAAAAGTCATACTAAGCATGATAAAATAAAAAGAGAAATATGTGTGTTTGAATTCGACTACAAAAGTTTTGACACGGAAAGCCAGTTTTTGTGCTTTTGACAGTTGATCCGATCAAATCATTGGACCATAAATACTTGAAGCCTCATCATACTAGGGTCGGCCAAAAGCAGCTCCTCGGCCAGCGGCGCCAGGAGGCATACCACGGGCTTCAAAAGGAGATCCACCAAATGCTTCAGGAGGTCCTGGAGGTCCATTGAACCCACCGAGCCCAGGGGGCATAAATCCGTGAGGCGGTCCATTAAAGAAGCCAGGCGGGGGCGGAGGCATGTTACGCGGAGGCATACCAGCCATGGCCTCTGGAGGTGGTGGAATTGCACCAGGGGGGAAATTGGGCGGGAACATGTGCGGCATGGGAACGTTGCGACTTAAACCTCCGGGCAATCCAGGGGGAGGCATCATAGGACCACGCTGCTGCTGCTGGGGTGGTGGCATCTGAACGCCGCTTGCCATCCAATTCGGTGGCATTTGGTCCATGGGAGGAGGAGGCCGTTGCAAAATTTGTGTGGGCTGGCCGAGACGCGATTCACGTTCGGCATTGTGGAAAGATTCGTCGAGAGGGAACCCTGGAGGCGGCTGGGGGCGCATCTGGCGTTGTGGTCCCCGATTCTCTCTTGGTGAAAAGTCTGATTCCAGCATTGGTGCTTGCTGCTTCTGCGGCTGAGGCTGGGACTGAGGCATACTTAAAGGAGGAGCACCGGGTCCCATTCTCATAAGATTCATTAAGAATTCAGTATTGTTGTTGTTGCGAGCCTGATCAGGGATTCCTGAGCTTTGGCTAGAGAGGCGTTGGTGGTGGCCCACAAGATCTTGGAGAAGCTGATCTGGCCGAGCAGAATGCTGCTGTGGCCGAGGGGCAAGAATCTCTTGCACATGTTGCGGTGGCGGACGAGCCATGCCGTTGGCTCTCTCTCCGCCATATTGTTGGAATGGCTCTGGGGATGCCAAATTACTCTTCTTTCCCATATCAGGGTGATTTCCCATGGGTGGTGGAGCAAACGGCGAGGGGGCCGGGGGAGTAGCACTCATGCTCTGCTTCTGGAGCTTGAGAAGGAGCTGCTGGAAAGCTTGCTTCTCTTCTTCAGGGGGGGCTACTTGCATGGGGATGGGGCCAAAGCCAGGGGGATACTGGGTGGCCTGAGGCGGTACACTCGTCGACTGTTCAACCCTGCTCCGCTGTTCTTCTTGGGGCTGGTGGAAGAAGGATGTAAATCTCGACGATTTGCCTGCAGCCTTGGGCTTAGCAGGTGCTTCGTTTGCTTCGCTAGGCGGGGAAGTAGGCTCAAGAGAGCTCTGGCGGCCAAAGGCAAGGAAAAACTTGTCAGGGCCGCTCTCGATAGCTGACATAGGCTGATGGGGAAGATGAGGCCTCTCGGGCTCTACAGCCGGTTCAGGGACAGGAGCTGATGCTAGTGGAGCATCTCCGCCTCCTCTGCCCTTTTTCATCTGCTCCATCCATTTCTGGAAATCTTGCTGCGTGTGTGCTTCGCGGAGTGCTTCGGCGGGCTCATCAAACCACTCGGGGTCACGTTCTACACGCTGCTCGCGATCGCGGTTCCAACGCCGGTCGGGTGCTGCCCCTCGTCCGTTTGCACGATCATCAATCGTTTCAGAAGTATCTCGGTCTCTCCAGCTCTTTGTCCGATCTCGCTCCTTTCGTTCGGTCGCTGGAGAGTCTGCCGCTACGAGCTCGGTCTTGTGCCAAGAGTCGACTTTGCTTCTGCCAGCACTAATGCGAGTGCGATTGTCAATCTCGGCATCTTTGTCTCTGGTCAAAGTCTCAGATGTCCTTGTTACACGGTCGCGCGTGGCATCACGGTCGTTTTCGCGCAGTGGCTTCTTCTCATCTCGAAAATTGCCACCCATGCGGCCATGGAAGCGCTCAGCTCCCTCAGCTCCAAAGCTCTTGCGGGGTTTAACAGTACTCCACCCCTCAGTATCTAAATCGTTCTCTCCGCGGCGTCGAAGAGCATTGGGTGCGCGCAGGCGATCTCCATCTGCTTCGCTGTTTCGATTGCGCAAGCCAAAACGGCCTACTGGATCGATGTCTTTGGTCGCTTTGTCGCTTTCTAGCGTCTTGCTGCCTCGGCCAGAGGAAGCAAATGCCATCCGAGGAGGGGCAAAGACAATGTCCTCGGGGTCTTACATGGTTTATATTGTTAGCACCGTAGTAATACTTCCATTCACACATTAGATTGGACCAACTTGTACTATTCCGCGAGGCATGGCCAATGCCAGTGCGGCGATTATTCTGGTCGAGGAGTGGATTGTCAGAGGGCCGAGGTCGATCGTTGGTTGTTTTATTTTGCGCGCGAACTTCAGGAGGCGCCCTGTTTAAAGTGGAATTAGTAAATTGTGAGCTTTAAGGAGCATCTTGAGTCCAGCTGCACTTACCCCATCCATTCCTCCGCTGGGGGAAGCTTCTCAGGTTTCATACATAGCGGCGAGTCTCTCAGGAAGAGCAAATGCTCTACAGTGTATCGAACGGCCATGTCAAGGCGAGGAATTTGTGACGCTCATCCGGCGAATGTCTCGACGAATCGCTCAACGAAGTGGTGACCCTGTCACAGAAAAAGAGGGCTAGTCGGCCGAGAGCCGCAAAGGGAAGATAAGAGTGTCGAGTATCTGGCCTGTAGTGGGGTGATGTAGCGCAGCGTATAGGTGTCAATCGAGGGGCTGGGCACGGCGTCCAGTTCAGAATGCCGCACAAGTATATATCTAGCAGTCGAAGAAGCCGTAGAAGAGCTATAACAAGCAGCGATTGTAAAGGACGCGTTGCGATTTCGAGGAGGAGGCTGAAGCCGACCGCGGAGCTAAACAGCTGGGGTTGCCACTAAGAGGCAAAATGAAAGGAGAAGGTGGAACAAAGAGAAAAAGGAGGAGAATGGCTGCAAAAGTATGTGACGATGATGATAATTTGGCGAGAGGACAAAATTGGGAAGGGCGTTAAAGGACGAGACGGAGACAAAGGGACAATTAGGAGCGTAGAGGATTGGATTTGTTTGTGCGCGGGGAAGAGTTTGGCGGTCGGGCGGAAACAAGAGGACGCTGCGTCAGGGTGGCTGCGCGCCGAGGGAGCTGGAAAGGGAGGCTGGTTGCGGTCTGTTCCAGTGCGGATAATCGCTGGGATTGCTCGATTGTCTGTGGTTGGCGTCGAGCGAGGCGGCGAGGAGGGCGAGAAGAGGTCGGCTGTCTGGTTGATTCGGGAAATTGGTGATGATGGTGATGGGAGCAGATTGCGTTTTTGGTGGGGACAGCTTTTTAGGAGCGGCAAGAGAGCAAGGACCAGGCAGAGAGGAGCCCCGGCGGGAAATTGCCAGGTGGTAGTGGCGGCTAGCAGCGTCTTCAGTGGCAAGGAGTAGGGCTTCAGCGGATGGCGGGCTGTAGGCAAACTGGGGTTTAGCTGTCAGGCTGCCTGGAGGCTGGAGGCCTGGAAGCCCAAGAATGTATGCTGAAGGCTGGATGCACGCACTTCACTGTATTAGCAGAGGTGAATTATAGGGTGATGTCCGATTAAATATTGAGCACAGGGCAAGTATCCTCTTAAAAACAAAGTCGGTTACCTGTCCGATTAAGGTAACAAAGAAACATACGGTGGCGTTGGCTGCCAAATCCAAATTGGACCTCTTTGGGCATCATCAGGTGACTATACGTGCAAGTAAAGTCGAATATCCAGCATCAGTCTTCATCTGTTTGCTCAACACAAAAAATCATTTGCCAAAACTAATTCACTCGAGGTCAAGTCCATGTCACTTAGTTCACCAAGTTACAGCAGGATCATGGTGCGTTCAATCGTTGGTTTCATATTCACATCAAAGTGCTCACATCTTAGGGTAAGCCCAGTACATGTAAGACAATCCATCCTCAGCTCTTTGTCTCTCTCTCTCTTCCTCCATCACACTCCATCCAGTCAAATCCTTTTCCAATACACCCACTAATCAATCCTTCCAGCAAGTAGAAAAAACAATTTGTCCCTTGTTACTCAACAAAGGAAACCAAAACGGCTCCAGCTCTTTACGCCCTCGCCGCAGCCACCTCCTCCTCCAGCGGCAAGATATGCGGCAGCGGCCCCAAAGGCGTAATGCTATGCGGGTTAATCTGCGTATGACTCCGCGTATAATGCCATTTGATGTGATCAAACTGCGTCGTCTCCTTAAACGCCGCGTGGTTCCAGTACAAGTTACGCATCCACTTGTGCAGTCGCGGGTAGCCGCTGCGAATGTCGCGAATGTTGCACTTGAAGTGCTGCACGTACACCGGGTCGAAGCGCGCCAGCGTCACGTACAGCCGGATGTCCGTCTCGGTGAGCGTCTTGCCGAAGAAGTAAGGGCCGTCGGTCTGTGAGGCGAGGTGCTTCTCTGCGCGGTCGAGGGCCTCGAAGACGCCCAGGACGCCCTTTTCGTAGGCCTCGCTGGAGGTGGCGAAGCCGGCCTTGTAGACGCCGTTGTTGATGCTGTCGTATGTCCACGCGTTGGCTTCTTCGATCTGGCTCTTCAGACTCTCTGGGTAAAGGGTGATAGCGCGGTATTTCTCCTCAATCAGGTCGTCAAACTGATAAGAGTCGTTAGTCCTTTGTCCATTTACAGGCCTATTTGATATTAGACACTCACCTCTGATCCAAACATGCGGAGGATCTCGCTGCTCTCATTGCTGACAATCTGGTTCGTCTTCTTGTCATACAGCACCGGAACAGTAAATCGCCCACTGTAATCCTTGTTGGACGCAAAGTATACCTGGCGCAGGTGTGTAAAGTCGTGCAGCGGGTCAGGGATGACATTCTCGCCTGGAATGTCCTCAGGCTTATCCTCCTTGGTGGCGAATCGCCATCCGCCCTCTGCCAGATGCCAGTGTACCACTGAGAAGGTGATGATGTCCTCCAAGCCCTTGAGCTTTCGTGCAATCAGGGTGCGGTGTGCCCATGGACAGGCATAGCTGACGTAGAGGTGATATCTGCCCTTCTCAGGGGGAAACTCAGCACCGGACTCTCGAGAGATCCAGTTGCGGAACGAGCTGACTTGTCGCTTGAACTCGCCAGACTTGTCGGCCCAATCAGTAATTTTGGCGGCCTGATAAAATACCGTTAGTATATACAAGTATGTGAGCCCTTATGAAGGCTACTAACCATGTTGCTTTGATTTAGAGACGGCTGTGAAGTGAATAAACGTTTCGTAGAGATAGGAGGATTATAAGTCGTATGACTGCTGCTTCGCGTATTTGAGATAGGACTTCCTCTTTTGGGCAATGCCTGATAAGTTAAACTCCTCGTAATCTGCCTATGATAATAATTCAAGATAGTACCACGATTGGCTCCAATCTTCAACTGTTGAACTGCTGCTCTCATTTATCGAATTGATATCTGACCCCTCACTCGCCGTGAAGGAGCCCTGACGTCTATATATACAACTCCTTGTGGCTAACTGTTAGCTTTGCGAAAACGCCAATAGCCCCTCTAGCGCTCCCAGCTGCTTCACAACCTTTCTCTGACTTAAGCATTGCTAAAGGCGCCGGGCAAACAGCTGCTCCCTTTACCAATCCACATGTACGAAAACTACTAGCGCGCCTGCCAAGTGTGACGTAACAATGCCTTAAAGGGCATTAGCGCCTACATCACTCAGCCATGACTCTCCCTTTAGTCATCGCTGAAATCAATATTACTGGGCGGGATGCAGATATTACTTAATACAAATAAAGACGCAGAGCCTCGAGAGATCCATCTAATAGCCTTTTGAATGCGGCGGTTTGTCCGATGCTTATTCATTGCACTCTTGATTGATTAAGCATAGCCAACATGGAATCAAAGGGACTGTAGGACCACTGAGTATCAATCTAGAAAGAAAGCAATACACAATGACGGTATAATAGGAAAATTCTCGATGATAATTCATTTTGTTTCAAATATCTACTTATTTAGTGATAGCTACTCCTTATGATCCGCGACATGTCTATTGATAACTGATCCCACTTATTTGATATTTACCTTAATGTACGGAACCTCCACGTCCTCTTCGTCCAGATCCTCGGCCACCATCTCAAAGATCAGCTCCTTCTGGTGTGCAGGAACGGGCTTCTTTGAAATGGTCTCCACCAGCTCGCTGAGCTTCAGGCCATAGCGATCCTTCAGCTTGGACGGAGGGAAGAAGCTTGCATATAGCAAGCTGACGCCAGAGCTGAGCATGCTGATGCTGAGGCCCTTTGCTTCAAAATGGTCGAGAAGCTCCTTCAACGTAATGTTGTCGACTTCAAATCGGTCCCAAATCTTGTCCAGCTTGACCTTGCCATCAGGTCCCTTGTACTCCACCTTGGGACTGGCAATGGGCTCACTAAATCCGAAGAATGGCAAAGCTAGGTTGATGAAGCCGTTCTTGAACTGCTCAATGTCATCCTTGCCATCGATGACCTTGTAAAGCTCAAGGACGACGAGGCCTGTGACAAGGGCAGTGGTGGTGGCAATGGCTGGAATAATCTTGCCCGCAATGAATTTGGTCTTGTGTCGATCGGCAGGCTCAATCTTGTAATTCTCTGCTCTTAGGTTGCTGCAAGCAGTGATGAAGTCAATGTGGTGGTTGGAGTCGTCGTCCTTCTCAAACTCAACAGGCTGCAGCTGGAAGCCAGCCAGAGTGCTTGCCGATGGAAGACTTCCAGTGAGAGAACTAAGCTCATCTGTGTCATCAAAGGTGCTGGCATTAGGATCCTGGAGACAAAGTTAGAATGAATATGAAATAAACGTGAGAAAGTAGGTAGTAAAACTTACAGGCTCCTTGTCATCGGCTTGAATCTTGACATTTGCATCAGGGGCAAAGTCGGGCACAATGACATTTTCGAGCTCCTTCAGATAGATGGACCTATCAGTGCCAGGAGACTTGATGTTGAAGTTGAATGCGTGGAGGTTGGCGGCAGCAACAATGAATCCAAAGTGAGTTGCATTGTTGGGGTCGAACTTGAGCACATCTGGGGCTCTCTTCGGGCCGGACCAGAATGGGGTGCCGCCGGAGGTGGTCGAGTCCTTGGGGAAGTTGTACAGAAGCTGTTGGACCTTGTTCGCAAACTCCGTCTCAAAGAGCAGACGGGCCCATGCAATACAATCCTCAAAAGTGCGAGGTCGCTCAGTAGTCAGATAGTTGCGGATGGTCTCAAGAGTTTCCTTGTGATTGCCGCCCTGCTTGAGCGTAGCCTCGATGAAGTTGGGCTGCGTCAGGTACAGGTTGACAGTCTGGGGAGACTTGACAAAGAACTTCTCAAACATGTACTCCTTGGCCCAAGCAATCGTGTGTTCAATCTTGTTGGGGAAGCTTCGAATGGTACACATGGGGAATTCTTTCTCGGGAGGATCCTGAGAAGAGGAGTAAGACTCTGTCAGGTGAGGCAGGACAACTTGTGTGTTGCCCTTGGTACCCAGAGTTCCGCTCTCGAGCAGTGGCTTTCGGAAGAAGACGCATCGTCGGTCGACGTAAGTTCTTGCTTCGACATTGTCTAGAGCGTTGGTGACACCATCTAGGCTTCGCCAGAAGTCCTCATTGAAGACGTGCTCAGTGTCGGGACTAACGCGCTCTCGCAGCGTCTCAATGTGGCCTACTAGCTCTGGGTTCATGCGCTGCACAGCCTTGGCAGCGCAGTCGCTCTTCATGCTGCCAACATCGGCGGCTCGGAAAAGGAATTGTCGGTTGAGGTTGCTCTTCTCGATAGAGTCCATGTCGGTCACGTAAATCTTGCCGTTGGGACCTGTTCCCAGGCCAATCATTGCCCAGTTCTTGAGCATCTCGCAACCAATGGCACCGGCGCCAACGAGGAATTGCTTGAGATTGGCAATCTTCTCCTGGTATTCCGTTCCGAAGACGGCGATCTGTCCATCATAACGGCTGCCAATTGGTTTGCAAAGTTCTGGGCTTCGCTTGGTAGAGGTTGGAAGTGACTCTAGCGAGTCAAAGTACATCCATTGCTGGATGGGGTTGAACTTGCCAGACACGGCCTTGAGGACCTCCTGAGCGGCAATACCACCAAACAATGCTGCCATGGGGCTAAGATCACCAAGAGCTTGGAAACTCAGCTCTTTCAAAAGCTTTTCGTCAATATCGATCTCGAGTTTCTCGTCGGCGGCAAATGTTTTGGCGGCCTCTAGGACCACAATGGCATCCTTCTCATCCATGGGGTTGGGCAGTCGTCCATTGGCGACCTGGAAAGCATGAAGAGCCTGGAATCCCAGATGAAGCTGCTGAGGGCGATCGAATTTGGCATAGTCGGAAATGAGGAACTCAGGCTCCTTGAGAGCAGCTGTGAAGCTCTTGAAATCAACCACCTTGGGCATCTTGACCTGCTGGTAGATGCCTCCACGCAGATACTGTCCGAGACCTGAGACATCGCCAATAGAGAAAGTGTACGGGCCCTTAACTGTAACTTTGCGTGGCTCGCAGCCGTTCAGCTTCTCCATGCCCTCAACTTCGGAAAACGTGACAAAGTCACCATCTTCAAGGCCATGTCGTGTTTCGTCGAGTGCCGATACCAAACCCTCCTCGTCAATACCGGCAATGATGCCGCTCACAGGAGCCTCGCCGGTCGGATCGATGATGGTAAACTTATCGCCAAAATCGCAGAAGATGGAGCCAAACAGGCCGAATGTGTCGACAATAACAACAAAGATTCCCTTGGAATGGCAGTAATCACCCACAGCCTTTTGTATGGAGATTGGCGAATTGGTCAGCACCACGACCTGGTATTTGTCGAACTGTGAAAGGTTATCCTCGATTCTGTGATAGAAATAGTTAGCTTAGATAACCGGAAGTAAGAATCTTGATGGTCGTACCCAGGAGATTGGTGAACCTTGACGGGAGTATAGGCATTAAGTTCTGCGATACGCGGGGCAGTGACCTCGTCCCTGGGCTTGCCAACATCCGCTGGAGTCAAAAAGAACTGAGCCGAGAGATCCGCAATCTTGACTGGAGCAGGATCGTAGACTGTCAAGCTCTTGACACCGGCCAGGGCAATATTCTTCGCAATCTCTACACCGAGACCCTTGAGACCGACAACGAGGACGTTGGAAGCACCCATGCGGCGCATGGCCTCGTGTCCCAGGACATAGAGCTGTCGGCTGTAGAGAGACTCATCGATGTCTGTGGTTCCGATGACAGAGTCGTCGACTTGCATTCTGGTCGCAAGATCGACCTCGGGAAGCTTGGAGGCCTTTTGAAAACGCATCCTGGTCAGCTTGCTTCTCATGCCAAATCACGTCATGCTATGTCACTTCTCGCCGATAACAAAGAGGCAGCTAGCGCGATGTAGAAGAGTCGTAGAGAGCAGAAACTTACAGCCATGGTCCTCTTGTTATCTTGTCGAGACTCCCCTTCGGAGAGTCTTCGCTTCGCCAGCGCTCCGGAGCTGGCCTGTGACGAAATCTTGGATATGGTAATCCAGCACCTAGGTCGAGCGAGACCCCACCTAGATGCTGCAGACGGGGTAGAGAGAGAGCTGGAGGGGAGGATTTATGCGAGGCTGGCCGAGATATGCCAGAGAGATTCTGTTCGGTGCGAAATCCAAGATGAGGCTCGCGAGAAGAAGAGAGGCGTTACAGCAAAGGCTTGGTTTGTAATGGAGAGGCGTTACAGCAAAGGCTTGGTTTGTAATGGAGATGCGAGAATCACGGCCGTCTGCTTGGCAAGGCGTTGGTTGATTCCAGCAAGGCTCCAGTTCTTTTGATGAGGTAATGTGGCCAATCGTTGTCACGGCACCAGTGCGAGCAGCATTGAAGGTACAACGACCATGTACCGAGAAGAGGGGCAGTTGCAAGTCAGGCAAAGGCCAGGCGGGGCAACAGGAGCGGGGCACTGCCTGCGCCGGATTACGGCGATAGGCCCAGGCAGACAAGCGCTGTTAGGCGCTGTAAAGCTGTTGGAAGATGGCAGCCGGCAGCCGGCAGGTACCCGGGTGGAAGCTCGCGGACCGCCATGGAAGCTCCCAACAACGCCAGCTTTGGCGGCTGCGCTTCCGGTCTCAAGGTATGTGTGAAGAAATCAAAATAGATGTGTGTATGGGGTTTAGATATAACTGTGCAAATAATCGATTGCTTCTCCCCGACAGGTCTGGTACACTGAGGTCACGGACTAGAATAGCTGTATCTACATACGCCGTACACCAAATTTGCGGGGGCATAGATTATAAATGGATGGAATCGGAGAGATATCGCAAATGCTACTGCTATACATCGCTGGGTAGGTAATACAACGTAAATGATCCAATAAATCTGCGTACATGTAAACAGATGGATAAATACGCATGAGTAGTGTCCGAGTTAGTGCTCAAACTACAAGTACTACTAGTAGGTAACAGTAGCATATCACCAAAGGGATTGTAGCAGCCAATCTAGCTTCAATCTAGAACAGAACAGACAGTCTTTGACTATATATCTCTTCTTTTAATATATTCAAATATTTCTTTATCCAAGATATTACGTCTCTCGATCGGTTAACGCCTCGGTCGTCTATTCAATTTTGAGCAGGTGAACGTCGCTACCGAATATGTTAGGCGTTACGCTCCATGAATTGATACCAATCCGCGATAGCTGGGACTTACAAAATGAGGTCCGAGTTGGGAGGAATGGCACCTGGAAAACCCCTGGGGCCGTATCCGTAGTCGCTGTTTTCAACATCTGTTGGTATGATTCTCGAAGATGTAGACTTATCGAAACATACCTTGAAATATCAAGCCTTGCCTTCCCACCAAGCTTCATCTGAGGTACACCTTCATCCCAGCCTAGTAAGAGTTTTAATGAAGCGATCGTCAAGCATTGATAGGTAGATAGATTATACCTTTGATAACCCGTCCGACACCAATCTGAGTTTTAAAACCCTCCTTGCCTGGCTCGTCTCGCGGGTAAGAAGAGTCAAATCTGTACAATAACCCATGAGCAATGTAATCGGATGTCGCTACTTGGCTGTGTTATACACCTACTGTGTGCCCTTATTGTCCGGCTGGGATGTATCCTTCAACCAGCCCGTGTAGCCCATAATAACAGTCTGACCCGGTTGAGGGCTTGGGCCAGAGCCTTCCTCTAAAGTAGTAACTGTGACACCCATCGTAGCGTTAGATTGACTGATCGCAAACGTTTCGTAGAAATATCGAGCAATTCGAGCTGTGCTTGAGCGAGAGGAAATTTTGTAGATTCAAGCGGACAAGTCAACCCCTCCATTAAATGCTGTCTCGCCAGCGGGGTAATACATACAGGCGTCTCTTCCGAGCTGATCCACGATGACGACTTTGCCGCAAGAATAGGAGGGTAGCAACGCCACATTGCTATCCCCAAATTGTGCTAAGGGGTGCTCTAGCATTCTCAAAGCCCACATTGAACCTGCTGCTTACAAGCCCGCCCCGCTAAATCCTGACATGCGGTCGGCGGTAAAGCTTCCCAAATGCGCTGCTCATGGATTATAGCTTGGGGCGGCGGTATCAAAGTATGTGGCTAGCTCAAGGCACATTTGTGGCGTCCAAAAGGTTCACCGTGACAGTAGGCGGTGGAACTTTGGAGGAATCAATGCCAATCAAGATCAGCCGCCCGAGGCGAGTCCCAAGCGCAATCAGAGATGCCCCTACATCAATATCCGATGCAGATATTCTAAACGTGGGCGGCAACCAGAGCAAATTGCGAGAATCCCATGTAATCCACTCGCCGTCATTGCTCAGGCCAAGTCCTATGGGTTTTGCATTTGGAAAGGTAGGCGGGTTGAACAGGAATGTGCCCACATTGGTGATAAGCAGATTGGATTTGGCGGAGTCGAATTCTATATGATTGGCGAGCCCACACATCCCCAGCGTCGCAATGCAGTCTCCTGTCGAGGCGTCCAGAAGACTCAGCTTTTCATTCCTTGCGTAATCGCTGTCTTTCTTTGCTGAATAGAGGATGGTAAGATATCGGCTGTCAGGAGAAAATAAAATTTGGTTTATATTTGAAGTCGGGCAAGCCGTTTCATACTTGACAGTGCATGTACCAGACTTTGTGTCATAAATTTGGATTTTGCCCGTACCAGAAGCCAGCCTCGTGCCATCTGCTGACATTGTGATGAGCGTTACCGGCCCCTCATGCGTCGCTTTCATATCTTTCCACTTTTCAGTTGGTAAATGATACAGCCGAACAGCCCCGTCCTCATAACCGAGCATAAGATAAGTGCCATCAGGTGAAAATGTTGAATATGACAATTCGTGCGTTTTGTCACCAAAGGAACCAAGAAGTGTTTTCGATACGATGTCCCAGTACTTTACTGTATCTTCTCTGGACGTAAATGAAACTGCCATATCGCTTGGTGAATCTGCGATGGATATGGTGGAGCCATGATTCGTCTCATGTAATGGCTCGTAGCCACCGTTGTTTGTATTCCAAAGCTTGGGTCCAAAGGTTTCATCTATCGAGACAAATTTAGAACTGTCTTGGGAAAATTGAATCGACCTTGGCCAGCCGTATAGATCATTGCGATCCATAACGTGATCATAAGGAGCCGAAAGAATATCGTGAGGTACCACCAAAGGCACTGGTGCCAAAATTTTATGCCTTTCACCCGTTGTGATACATTTGCCAGAGGCGGTATCCCAGAGCTTGACGGTGCGCTCTCCCGCAGTGGTTACAACCCTTTTTTTATCTGGAGAAAGAACAACTTCGAGAACCGCGCTTCCGTGACTTTCGACCTTTTGTGACTGTATTTCTGAGTTAGTATCCCAGACTTTTGAGTTCCCCTGGCCATCCATCGATATGAGTAATCCCCCGTCCGGAGAGTAGGCAATGTTCGTGACTTGCTCGCCATGGCCGCTGTATGTTGCTATACAAGTCCCATTTTGTGCATCCCATACCCTAACACTTTTATCGTATGATGCTGAGGCAATTCTCTTTTCGTCGTTTGATAGAATAATGTCGGATATATTGGCCTTAAGACCTTGCAGCATGGTATCGCAAGTGGCTGTTGAGGTATTCCAGATTCCGATATTCCGACGACCCGACCCAGTATCAAATGTCACTGGGCAAATTACTTTATGGCCACCAGACAAGAAGATTAAGGGTATGTAATTTTCTCCATCCACGCCTTCAGCAGTCAAGCTAATACCAGTCGATATATCCGTGAATCTGATAGTGCTGCGTGAATCAATAGATACCAATATTTGGCTTTCATGAGAAAAGAAAGTTCTGCTGGTGCTGTGACAGTGGTTGTAGCACGCTAGCTTACGGTCAGTTGCCTTTGAATCGAGAAACTGCAGAGTTTTGTTCGAGATGATTAGAAATGATGCCCCATCAGGTGAAAATTCAAGGATTTTGTCGCCGTGTTTGAATTGATGAGTTGCGGTACACCTGCCTGTTGTTCTGTTCCATATTTTTAGACTTCCATCTTTTGACGATGAAGCAAGCTGTTGACCGTCTGGTGAAAACTTGGCGAATATAATCTTGTCAGTATGGCCTCTGAATTCTGCGACACAGCTTCTTGTAGCTGTGCTCATAACTTGAAGAGTTTCACGCCAAGTAAGATAGAAGAGATCGTTGCCGTCAGGTGAGAAAGTAACGGATGCGGACATCACATCGCCATACTCAGCAATGCGAGACATTGATTTCATGTTCCAAATTTCCATCTCTCTCCCAGACAAGAAGAGAAATTTATCTCCAGTAGGAAAAAAAAGAATTTGAGCTCCACGTTTATGCTTGGTCTCGAATGTTGCCAGACATGGATCCCAATGTGTTTGCATTATAGGCCGAGTAGTTACCCACAACGGGATGCTTGTGTCGAACAGCTCTCGAACAATGCTCTTCTGGGGGGCAAACACTAGCGCAGAAGAGTATATTTGAAGCGGCGCTCTGTTCATGGTGCTTAAATTTGCGAGTACAAAACGACGTGTGTCTCGCAAGAGATTTCCAACGGCTTGAGCGTCAGTGTTCTATTATGAAGTTAGCTGTGAGTTATATATGAATGCTTAAAATGTATGTATTAGTGAAAAATATAGCAGATGTAGTAGATATAGAAGAGGCAACACATATTGCGCTTACCTCAAGTCTATCTAGTAAACCATCTATCATGTAGATACTCTCTGCGCTTTGCTTCAGAATACTGAGCGCTTCAAGCCACTTGAGTAAATAAGTCGCTAGGAATTTGTGTGTTTCATCATTATCACATATCCTGCGATTGCTCAACTTTTGATGATGGGCCCAGTGCACGCAAGCATACCGAACTTCAACGGGCAAGCATTTGTCAATAGTTGCTTGGCTTATATCTGATTGAAGCGTTCCTGGAGACCGAAGGCAACAGATATCTTCTTTGAGAACACGAGATAGTAGCCCAAGGCTCTGGGAGAATAACTTCAAATGAGTTTCTTCTTCATTTACCCAGAAGTCATTTTTGGAGTGTGCTTCTTCAGCATCAACCAGGAAATCTCGAAATGAAAGATGGAGTAGTCTCACGGGAGTATCCAAATCGGTGGGGACACTAAGAACTGAATGCAAGAGATCGAGCTGATCTTCAATAATATCTGTCGTAATGTCAAGGAGACGTGAAAGGCTCCTAATGGACAGCGGTCGAGCCAAAGTGACGATGGAGCCAATTAGATATCGAAATCTATGTAGCACTTCTTGTTTTCTGCTAGGTGAAAGACCAGCAATGAGGCGATCCAAAACCGGAAGATATGTCATATCCATGCCAGATATCTTTATTGTCTGATACTCAAGAAGTCTGTTGAGCTGATGATGGGGGCTTCCTAGTCGTCGATCGCTAAGAAAACGGCATATGGTTGCTGCGGCGATGAAGAGAGGAATGGCCGTGACGATTAATTTCTGCAGCACATCCTCGCCGGGCCAGTCGGGTCTTATCTTTCGATGCTCAGAAACGGACATGTTGTAGTCTTTTTTGATGGCCTGAAGTTTATTTCGCATGAAAAGCCCAATATCGAGTGTAATAGTGGTGGCGGGAACTGATGCGAGAAGTAAGTTATCGTACTTTCCACCAATATTCTCAAATCCAAGCCGGATGGGCAATTCGGGCCTGCTTGTAAGAAAAAACTTGACTCGAGGACTAGTCGTCTCCTGAGCCTTTGAGAAGACGCTGATCATTGTTCTCATATCATCCTCTGAGCCGCACTCGTCTAAAGCGTCGATGGCTATGAGCAAGTTTGGCCCCCAGCATCGCGGATTTTTGCTTAGTGGGTCGAGAATCAGCTTTTGGAATTGATCATTCAGGGGTTTCTCATGAATAAACGGATCAATAACCAAGACTTCGCGGATATGAGGGGCGAGACACGGCAGTCGGCGAACAAGCTGAGCGGCTATTGTGGTGAAGAGAAATGTTGCTCTCCCACGATTTCCTTCACCTCTTTTGAAGAAGAAGCTTGCTCCCAGAACATCGTTGTTGCTTGAAAGCTGGGCCACTGTCCGAGAAATTGTGGATTTTCCAGTGCCCGCCATACCATTCAGCCAGAAGATAGACTGGCCATTCTGCTCGGTGCTCCACTGCCGTATCTGTGCGATGACTTCAGTCCGCGTGCCTGGAAGGCAGTATGACTGCTCTCCATCTACGCTAGAGTCAAAGGTAGCGGCTTCTGCTACTCTTAGTTTTGATAGAACAAATTCTTGATGCACGTCGATGAGTATTGATCTTGAGTATGATCTTAGTCAGAATGGTGTTACACACTTTTGGGGGGGCTCAACATACGTTTGTTCAATACTCATATTTAACAAAATATTGGCCTTTTGCCTATCAATAGTAGCAATGATATCGTAAACCTCTCGTTTCTTAAAAGGCCACATAGCTCTAGTAGAAGTATTCTTCGCTCCTAGATCTAGTTTCGCTACTAGCTCTGCTAGCAGCTTGCGGAGGTCGAAGACGGTTTGCCGCAGAACCGGCGATTCTATCTTGGTGGCCCCTTTCGATCCATTTAGCAAGATTTCGAGCTCTTTGATAACAACTGTTAGCCGATCGACCTCTCTTAGGAGCAGCCGCACTTCTTTTGGGGCATTTTTGACGTCGAAGCAATAAATTGAACACATGACGCCGATTTTGATAAGAAGGTCAACGACCTGTGAGATGTTGGAAAAAAGGCCCAACACGTCCATGATAACGCCATATATGCGCGAAAAGGGCAAATGGGCATATGAGGAAAAAGAATACAGCAGGATAGATCGCAGCCAGGAAAGAAATGATCGGTATCGCATCCAGAGAGGAAAGTATAGCTAGAAAAGGAACAAGAGCCACAAGAGAAACTGTAGCTAGCAAAAAGATCGCATCTAGGGAAGAAACCACAGCTAGAGGTGAAACAAAAACTACAAAGAAACATAGAGAACGGAAGGAAGAAAAGAAAAGAAAAGAAAGGCTGGGAGACATACGAGAAACCTGTCATACGTACCTGTCCGAAAAGAGATCTTGTGTAACACTGGGGAGCCGGGGATGGCAGGCAATGTACATGCAGATGATGAGGCAAGAGAGGCAGCGGTTATGAAACCAGGTGTGGGCGGGGTTTATGTGATTATGACCTGTTCGGACGAGGGTTTGGATTGAATCACGTATTATTCATTAATTTACCGAGGATGTTCGACCAACACATTGTTGCAGATACCCACGGCGGAGTCGGCCTTTTTTTCGTTGTTGGTTGTTAGTTGTTGATCGAATGGTACATGGATGTATTTACTCACCTATCACGGAATGCGCTACTAAGCGCCCACTGGAAGCGCCGAGCCGCGATGCAGGGGCCGTGATGGAGTTTGCAGAAGGGCTGTATGACGAGAAAAGCGGGCTGTGATTGAAATGTGAAAGACTAATTCCTAGAGATATTGTTGCTCGATGCAGCATTCATATGTGTTGTTCCCTGGTTTTGCCCAGTGTCTGATAGAAGCGCGCTGCAGAGAAAGCGGGAACACCAACTGAGAGAAAGAAGTGCATGTAGTAGGACCAAGATAAAACCATATATGCAAACCGAATTACTTGCAAACGTAGCTCTATTCTCTTTTTTAGCCGAAAGTCTACATTTCTGGCTTTGGGTGCTGGATTTATTGAGTTACCAGCAGGTAAACAAACATTGAAGCGTCACGGCAGCAACCAGCGCAGCAGGAGGAAAGAGAACGAGATAATAAAAGAAAGCTACATGGGCGCCACGTAGAAGACGATTTTAGAATTACACTTATAGTTTTGTATTCAATGAGGATACTCTACTGCAATTCGGTGTACACAAGTAAACAATTCTTGCAAAGTTCTTCCACTCCTACTACACTCCAGACAACCCCTAAAGTACCACCAATCTCAACAGCTCTCGCAATAGTCGAACAGTCGTTTCTGGATACCATAGCTGCACTTTCTTTCTTGGAATAGTCTGTTATTATCCATACCTTTGCTGCACGAGTTAGCAGTGTAGTGTAACCGATCATCCAGCTGCCAGGACCGAGTGCCAACTGGCGGCAGACCAGCGGAGATCGAAGCAGCCCTCATTGTTGCCAGCTGGTTACCCAGCTACCATTTATTTATAATGCTCATTTCTGCCCGACGAGTCAAAATTGTTTTGTTTTCCTTTCCTCAACTACGCGAGCTTGAGCGCGTTGTTTGGTTACGTTCCGATCAACACCTTCTTCCAACACTTTGGGTATAACAACGCTTCAACTGCACCATAGTAAGTAGCAGTGACTTATGATGATAACTTTATCGCCTATATGTACTAATATGCGTATAGTTCAGAACAGTGCTTCCATCCATCTATCAATATGGTTTTCGGAGAACTTCGCCGAAGCCGCAGCTTGGAGTCCCTGCGCAAGGATCTCTTTCACACCATTACCAATACCACTGAAGGCGTCTACTTCCCGTCTGGCGCTTCCATCTTGCAAGACAAAGACTCGGATAAGGAACTCCTCGCCGTGCTGTGCCCACAAGAAGGGTTCAAGGTAACAGACGCTGGTATTGCCCATCTGAGCAAGCTATTCGTTCAATGCAACAAGTGGATTCCCGTCATTGAGGAGCGCGGCTACGACATGTATTGGGCTGTGGTCGCTTCCAGCACCTCTCAAGCCCAAAGTATTGATTTGTCACCTGGTATGGCCAGAGCTGTGGCGTTTGCTCTTCTGCGAGCCAGACAGCGCTGGATCCTCCTCCAGAGAAACCCAGAGGTGTCCAAAAGCAATGTCAAGACTCATTTCTCAGCCGGCCTACAGCGCCTCCTTGAACACTTTGAGGAACGAGACAAGAATCCCGCCATTCACGCTTCTCTCAAAGACAATGAATGGAAGCTGACTGAAAAGGAGAAGAGAGATGGCAGCAAGGCTCACCTGATGGGTCCTGGCAAGCTCATATCTCGAGGCAGAATTGCACTTTCATTCACCGCCCCGCAGGGACTTTATCCCATCGGACAGCTTGCTGGTATTCCGCAGCCGGAGACCAACCGCCTCGGCATGATTGACAGCTCTGTCGAGAAAATCACGCCTACCGAAGCTGTTCAGTCTTTGATCTCGCATCATCTTGCAGAAGTGCGTCGCGGTCAGAAACGCGCCACTGCGGAGGACGATGCCAGAAACAAAGTGCCTCGTAACGCCGCTGAAGAAGATGACGCTCGCGGCGCTGCTACCCGTCGCATCTTCCCAACTGCCTTGAAGACCAAGTTTAAACCTAGCTAGATGCGAGGTCCAAGCTTTAGAAAAGATCAGGCAAGCAGAGCGTCGAGACTACTCCTATCAAGTCCACTCCTAAGCGGGCTCAAACGGTCGACACTCCGGCCAACACTACTGCCAGTGCTTCATCCATGAAGAGACGCTTCTTGAGCGAGGAGGCTACCACTGCTACCAAGAAGCAAGTGTTTGCCAAGGGAAAGGCGAGATCGGTCTCTATGCCATTTGCCCCGTCGCCGTCTGTCTCACCGGCCAAGAGAGCAGAGATGTCCCGCTCGCCCTCTTTGTAGGGTGGCAAAGGACGCAGCTCAGAATTCTGGAATAGGAAGCTTGGAATTGAGATTGAATATTGGCTGCAAAAACTGAAATTCAAGGCTTTGCTAGGACAACTCAAGTTGTTTATTGTTTGCTTATTTGAGAGGGCCGGATTATCATGTCACACGGGTTGGATGGGTTGGGCTGACATGATCTGGATTAGGGTTGCAAACGGATTGATTGATTCGCGGATATGTGTATGAGAAGCTATGTATGGTACAAAGAGTTTTATGAACTGAATAACAAGTTTCATGGATCTGAGGAATGAAGTGAATGAGGGCGTTGCTTTATGAAGAAATGTGTGCCCTAATGTTTACATGTACCTTGGAGACGTGGTTTACTCACCAGATTCATTTGATTTCCCCTACAAGTAACCGGAATATTTCTTCTATCTGTGGAAAGCAGGCAATAGGGATTCGCATGAGTCGAGCTTGCTGGAAGTTCTCTTTTGCAAGTATGACTTCTCCAGATCCCAGGTGATCAAATAACTGAAGCTCTTGTAAGCCGGCATGAATAGCACTCCTAAGAGTAAATAATATCTTTTGGCTGCGGCTGAGTCGGGTACTGGTGGTGTATATTCATCTGTAAGCGTTGTTATCACTGTGGTATTTGATCCAGTTATTCTCGTCGAATTCATCTTGGCGCAGTGGCAGTGCACTTGGCAATCCCAGCAGTGGTTGGTCCCACGATGCAGCTTGCCGGTGTTTTGGCACAGACTCCAGTATTCACGGACAGATTCCGAAGCCATGCTGTCGAATAAAGGTCTTCTACCCGCTGCATCTTCTGTGCCTGTAGATATGCTGCACATATGAATGATCCAAGCCCTCCTAGTCTCGGGTGTCGCCGCTGCATCTCATTTGCTCAGCCCCCCAGATGGAGAGATGACAGGCGCTGGACTCGAGTGGACTGGCCCTCCAGGGCTGTTTGCCAAGAATGATGGACGCCCTGCAGCGGCCTGCCTTGGCGCAGCTCTAGCGGCTTGGAGCTCCCCATGTGCCCTGAAAAGGGATCCGCCGCATTTTGCAAGTGACAGCGAGAATGACATCAGCTGTGGAAATGCGCAAACTTTGGGACAAGTGATAACAAAGAGAAACACATAGCGCTGCTTGTACTAATAGGCAAAATTACAAAATAAAACCACTAGAGGTGGAAAAAGGAAACAAATCTGCCGCCGCGTCTCGGGTAACCGGCAAGGCAACTGACGTAGGTGGGACATTTTCTGACGATGATCCTGCGAGGAATGCGATGGAGGGGCGCAGATGCGGGTTTTGGTTCTAGATCCCCCCCTGCAGCGGTTCGCATGTGGCTTTGCCTTTTTTTTTTTTTTCTGTTTTTATTAGATGCTCGGTACAGCCTCTTTTTGGTTGTAATTTTGGAAACTGACAGCTGGAATGCTGTGTATTGGTCCCTTGTAGGTATGTGCTTACGGTTGGTCGTTGGTCATATTATATCGGAGGCCTTTTTTACTCTTTTTGTCCCTAGCAACGGACCTGACTTGACTGATCGGCTCTAGTTTCGCCAGCTATATACATACAAGAGCTCAGCTCAGCTCAGATACAAAAATCGCCAGCGACCCCTCACAACGTCATCTTCTCCGGATTTCTGCGAGGCTGAGTCGGTGACAATCAAAAGTCTTGGCAGCCTTGTTGATCAACAATACTTGCCGCTTCTGTAAACAATCTCATATCGCCTGATCGCCATAGTCACCTATTGTTTATCTGTTATTCAAATAAATTACTAGCGATGCCGGGAGACATCACAACGCATCACGACGACACCTCGTCCTCCGGGTCCAGCGACCACAATGAGGAACACAAAGGCCCTCCCGGTGGCTACGACAAGACGCCCCTCCCAGACGCCCCTCAGGGATACACCGTCCGCTTCGTCTTCCACTCCGCGTCGAATGTCCCCGTTGCGGATCTGCACACCGTATCTTCAGATCCCTTCCTGGTAGCCACGCTCAAGGGCACGCAGCCAAAGCGCCACAAGGAGGACCCCGATCTCAAGTACAGGACGAGGACCATCCACAGAACCACCACGCCTGAATGGAACGAGGAATGGATCGTGGCCAATGTGCCTCCCGGCGGCTTCACGCTGAAGTGTAGGATGTACGACGAAGACGTTGCCGACAAGGACGACAGGCTGGGCAACGTGACGGTCAATGTTGGCTCCATCTCTGAGGACTGGCCGGGCATTCCTCCTCCGGGACAGGAGTTTGAGGCCAAGAAGCGCGTCATGAGCAAGCGAGCCTTTATCCTCAAGGGCATTGCCAGTGCTATCAGCCATGGAACTCATATCGCTCCTCGTTTACGAATCAGCATGGAGGTACTGGGCAAGTCGGATCCTCCTTTTGCGCAGATGTATACCTTGTCACCGACGCGATGGATCAAGCACAACAGTCCCATGATTGGTCGCATCATCGGACAAAAGGTGAATGCGAATGAAGCCGATGACGAGAACCACCACGAAAGCCAGGGAGAGAACAACGATCCCAAGTCAACAAAATACGAGTAAGCCACACTGACTTGACAATATGCTTCTTATACATTCACTAACATCTGTTGTAATTTCAGCTTCCAGGCAAACGAGATACAGCTCCAGGGCCCAGTGCCACCCTCGCTCTACCACCGCTACGTAGAGTTCCGTCCAGTCATCGGCTCGCTCTTCTCATCCACCGGGCTCAGGGGGAAAATCCTCAACAAGGCCCTGCACAAGCAGCACCACCGCATCTACAACTACGACAGCAGCACCGAATATGGCATTTACAAGCCCTGCTCCAAGGAAGCCTCGCTCCAATTCCTCCGCATGGTGCATTTCGACGAAGGCGGCCGCATCTTCACGTACGTGCTTACTCTGGACGGTCTCATGCGCTTCACCGAGACGGGCAAAGAGTTCGGCATCGACTTCCTGAGCAAGCACACCATGCACGCAGATGCTGAACGGTACATTGCGTACTCGGGAGAGTTCTTCATTCGCAGACTGCAGCACCCGGATGCCAGTGACAGCGTGGAGCCGCATGAGAAGACGCACCCAGGCGACTCTCTTCCCGGCGGTCCGCCAGACCAGCCGCCTCCTCCAAACCCTGCCTTTTACCAGCTCTTTATTGACAACGAGTCGGGAACATACCGCCCGGAGAAATCCATCTTGCCAGATCTTAAAGAGTTTCTGGAGAAAAACTTCCCCGACATGGGCATCGTCACCATGAGCGTCGGAGACGAGAGGCTGCAGAAGCTCAAGGACGAGCAGCGGACCATCAAGAAGAACGAGGGCCGTATGATGCACGTCGTCATGAATAGCAGCACCGACAGCCTCAGCTCTGCAGAGAGCGCGCTCAACGACGAAAACTACAGTCTAGAGACGGGAAGGAAAAGCAAGAAGGAGGCGGCTCATGCGGTTTTGCAACATCCCACTTCCGATCATTTCAAGGAGGCTGCAGAGATCATGCTGCCATATCACGGGAAAAAGGTGGAGTGAGAAATAGGAGTTTGACACAAAAGAGGAACCCGAGAAGAAAGTTTGTTGAAGGAGAACTGTTGAGAATCTCTATGACTGTATGGATATGATATGATATGATACCACCGCTGTTTCCTTTCAATTATCAGTAGTACCACCCGTTGCCGTTAATGTAATCTTTGAACCGTGTAATTATAAACGTCCCTGATAAACCCATAGTGCATGCGTGCTCTGGCGAAGAATTATAACTTGGGCCTCACCGACACCCAGGTGCTCGTGCATTTTGCAATCTCGATGCCTCTTCCGTCCCGGATCTCGCACTTGATGTTTGTTCTTCTCCCCTCCACGCTGTCCACCCATGCGTTGACCAGTACCGTCTCGTTGATTGGGCCAGGCTTCAGAAACTTAATTTCAAGACTGGCCGTTACATTTGCCGCGCCAAACGTAGATCCCACCTTGCCAAGAGCATTGTTGATGTCGTGCAGAACTCCCATGGACTCATCCGCCATGGTCATGACCATTCCCCCGTGTAACACGCCCTCGTATCCACACACGCCCTCGCCCAGGGCGAAAAGAGTGCTCACGTGCATAATGGGACGCGAGGGGTCCTGAATATGCGTTTCATCTTCTGTGTGGAAGAAGGAGAGCACCTGCTGCACTCCGCGCGGCGTGGCCAGCGTGGCGCCGAGGAGCTGGTCGTGAGATGGGCTGAGGGGATTGAAGCATTGAGGAACGAAGGGGACTGTGTTTGGCGTTTGAATCAGGCATGCACACCACGGGATTGAGAGGAAATGGGCGACTGCTGAGGTGTAGAGCGTTGGCGAGGTGTTGGGCGGGTTGAAGCCGAGAGGGGGACTGAGGACGCGATTGCGCAGCGTGATTGCCAAGGGAGAGGCTGTGGGTGGTTCATTTGGCTGCGTCATCTTGGAATCCTGGACTTGAGGATGAGAGTGAGGATCTCTGGACAAAGATCGCGACATTGGGATGAATCAGCCAAAGTTGGGCGTGAAGACGGTGTGGATTTGCATGTGGTGTTTCGAAGGAGTAGTCTATCAATCTCCCAGTTGAGATTGCCGAGGTCGTCCACTTTTACCCGGGCTGCTGGAGGCTGGACCTGGAGCTGAGGCGCTCTGAGTCGGCACCTAAAACGATACAAGGTTCGGCAGCAACAGCCACTTTGTCGCCACCAAACGGTGCCTTGAATTGCTGGATTAACAACACGAAAGACTGACAGCAAAAAGAGAGCTCCTGCGAGCAAAAGATGGGGCTTCACCGGGATTCGAACCCGGGGCCTCCTGCAAAGGCGATTCTAGAGAACCGGGGACTCCAGGTTTGCTTTCCCGAAGCAGGAATCATACCACTAGACCATGAAGCCAGTTGTAGACTTGAACCCATCACTGGCGATGAGGCCACTGGTAGGATGCTTAAATAGGAAGAAGGCTGGATGAAGTTGACATTTGCTTGATACAGGTATAGACAGAGTGCCTGAGAGTAGAATGGAGATTGAATGCAGAGATGACGCTGGGCTCTTCTGGTTCAATCACAATGGGGGCCCTCATTTTAGGGCGCGGAATAGCGTCTTGTTCTTGGTACATGTAGCCATGGTTAAAGAGTCACCAGTACAAGAGATAGACGCAGGGCGTCACAAGAAAGCAATGCGTCAGCTCCAAGAATGATTGGAGGCATTGAAGAAAATATTGAGCGGAATTTTATTATACAGAAAAGAAACTCAAGACCAGTGATGGGGAAAAAGATGGAAGTGGAAAAGAGTGCGAAATTCTTCTCACATGATGCTGAGCTTTGGCAGCTGCCACGACGAAAGCTCCTTCCCTCGCTGTACAGATACAACATTTCTCCCCCAGCTTTTATTGCACCGGTACTCCAGGCTCCTCTCTTCTCTTTCAAACCGCTCGAAAGTATCGTCTGCAGTTAAGTTTCCTTCGTCGTTGTCGATTCTAGTCTATGAGTTTACACTTCTATTGGTGCTACTATTGAGATACGAGCATTCGCATTTTCCACTTCATTATTCTTGTTTATCCATGAAAAATCATCGCCGGTTCCATACATGATGCATCCTCCTCCCAATGATACAAGCGGGTCGGAGCTGAGCCCCCGCCAGGTCGAGATCCTCATCACCATCGAACGAACAGGCGCTGGTCTCTCGATGGTAGCCATCACGCTGACTCTGCTGTCCTTCTTCCTATGCAAGAGATTACGAACTACTCCCAACATCTTTATCATGTTGGCATCCATTGCCAACGCTGGCGCGAGTATCGCATCGATGATTGGATATGATGGCCTGGATAAAGGAGAGGAGTCGACTCTCTGTCAGGGACAAGGCTTCATCTTCGAGTGGTGAGTTATAACTCGCTACCCTGACGTATAGGGGCCGGATGCATAACGAGCTTCGTCGCATATAGGTTCATGCAATCTGATCCGTGGTGGTCTTTCGCCATGGCGTTCAACGTCTTCCTCGTCTTTTTCAACAATGCTAACCCGGCCGTCTTTCGGAAGCGCATCTGGATCTACTGTATTATCTGTTTTGGCGGCCCCTTGATTCCTGCCATAGTCTTGGTCTCCATCCACGACAATGCAAAGGGCCCCGTCTTTGGGAATGCAGCGGTAAGACACTCTTAAATCCAACTGATTGGGTCTAGAAGCTAATGTTTCGCCAGCTCTGGTGCTGGATTGATTCTAACTGGAGCCTGGTGCGCCTATATGCGTACTACATTCCCATATGGATCTGCATCTTCGGATCCATCTTGATCTACGTTGCTGTGGGATATCAGGTGTTTCACCACCGCAACCGCTTACGAAAATTTACAATGCCGATTGCAAGAATGAGAAAAATGAGCAATATGCGTGCAGCTAGTGAAGCCGGAGACTCTGCCGAAGAAGTACACATTTTTACTCTACACCATCTTTGTGCTCCGATATGCTGATACTTTCTCTAGAGCCTCACGCGGAAAATAGACCATTATGGCACTGCCACTACTGAAGTCCAGGTCACATCCATCACCCCCGAGAACGACTACTCCGGCCTACCTGCGATTCCTCCGGCTATATATGCCCATGGTCCTACCATTGTATCACACGGCAAATCGTGGGTACCAGTACACGGATTGGGCTATTATTCTCCAGAAGCATATGGGAAAACGCCCCATCAGAATGCAACAATATCCGCAAGGCAGCCAGAGCAACCAAGTACAGCCTTGTCACGTTTGCGGCACGTCAAATCCAATGCATCTCTCAAGTTGAAGCGATTGGATCCGGTCAAGATGGCCTACTTACGCACAAGTTTCATATTTGGATTTGCGATTCTGATTACCTGGATTCCAAGCTCTGTCAACCGCCTTTATAGTCTCACGTATCATGGTCGCGTCAACTTTCAGCTCAGTGTTGCCAGCGGCTGCGTGCTGCCGCTCCAGGGAGTATGGAACGCCTTGATCTACTTCACCACGAGCTAGAGTACCGTTCGTGAAGAGCTAAAGGCTTTGCAAGCAAAGGTTTGGGCAAAACGGCATCGAAATTATCACAACACCACACAGATAAGCGATAGACTGGATCCCATGGCTTACGGTAACAGAAACACGATCGAGTTACCTATGATTTCACGAAGTAAGGCCTCGCGAGTTTACGATGGCGACGAAATAGACTTGTCGGGGCAGCTCTATAGAAGCGGTTCCATCTAGTTTCTAGGATGACAACACTCCAAGCTATGGATTGAGATACTTATGGTATACGTGTAACGTATTACTATTCATCTTTTAGCAAGTTGTCACTATGAGAGCAGATGTCGATGTTTACGGGTAAAGTAACATCTTCAGTTTGCGAGATTCGGTTGCAGCATATTATGGAATCAGTAGAAGGGGATTTACTTGCAATTGATACTAATATAATTGTTCTCATCGTCTTTTTAAAATTTAATTGTTCGAGATTTCTAGATTCTTGTTCCTAGTTATACTTGGCGTATATATCTTCACCCTCGGCCGCATCGACGCCATCGCGAACTACGGCAGTAACGGCTTCATCAATATCAACATTGCCCTCGTGCAAATCCAACCAACCGCTCTTGACGCCTTCAGTCGCAAGTACCCTGTCTATAACGTGCGCTACTGACTCCCTGGGAATATTTCCCTTGACCGTCTTTGTTCTACCCAGCTCGACCTTGCCCACAGGGTCATCCGTCAATGCGCCAGGACGCAAGTCGATGCCCACCAGCGTGCGGCTCGTCTTGGAAACCTCGTACAGGACCTCGTCGGCGGCGAGCTTGGCCTTGTAGTACGTGGCCAGCGGGCCGTTGTTGACCTTTTCGGTGTATTCTTCCCAGTCGCTGGCGGGCCACCAGGGGGCGGCCTTGCGGCGGGAGCCGCTGTAGGAGACGAGGAGGAAGCGGCTGATGGAGGGCTTGGCGGCGGCGGCGTTGATGAAGTGGATGGCGGCGTCGCGGTCGATGCGGAATGTGCCTTCGGTGCCGTATTTACCTCCAGCGCCTATTTTGAACAGTAATTCTTAGAATGATTCAAGAAAGAAGAGCGTCTCTTTGTTTACTGACCGGCACTCCAGGCAACGTAATCCGCGTTGACCTCGTCCAAGATGCTCGCTGCTTTTTCCTGCGTGTCGACGGCCGCGATGCTGCGGACGAGCACTTGCAGTTTGCCGGGGAGGCCGGCGCCGAGCTTCTCGACGTCGGGGACTTGCTCTTCTTTGCGAATGATGCTGGTTACGGCCCAGGAGCGCTTGAGGAGGAGGGGGGTGAGGAGCTGGGCGATTTTGCCGTGGCCGCCTAGGATGAGGACGTGGCGGGGTGAAGCCATTTTGAATTGGAGACGTGGATTGATAGACAGTTCAAAGTTGAACGATGGATATTTGACTTCTAGCAACTAGAACTGTTATAAAGGTAGCAAATATAGATGTTATATATTAGTCAAGTCCAATACAATGACGCGAATAGAGCTTCGTGATGGCTCATCCGTCAGAATGGGATCACGCAAGAGGCAGATGACGACACTGATGGCTTCATTTTCGGGGTTCGTGCGGGGGTGGGGCGAAGGAGAATATAGAGTTGGGCGGCACTTCCCGAATGAGATTGAAATGGGAGCTGTTGTTAAAGCCGAAAGAGAGAGATTGAGGTGATTGAAGATTGAAAAGCATTGGACTTTGTCCTACCGAGGTGTAAAAAGATTGGGTCATAAGTAGGCCTAGACTAGGAGCAGCTTGAAATTGCTGAGAGCTTAGCAGTTGAATGCCTAGTACACAGGTAACCAGGATCTCAGGCTCTCGGGCGTTCAGTTCCTAGGTAAGGATTAAAAGTGCTGTGCATTCAACTCGCATATATCGGTGGGGACTAAATACCCAGGTATCTAATAATCAACTCGAGAAAAATTGACAAGGCTGTAAAGAGCAGTGGACCCGGCACTTACGAATGCAGAGTAGAGGAGCTCATCTCTTACAAAAAGGCCCTCAGTGGGCGTTGGAAAAGCCATGAAAACACCCCATGCATGACGAGAAAACTACTGGAAAGTCGCTCTCAGGAGCTCTTCTTTGAACTTGGCGTATGGTAAAGTGGAGAAAGGCAACCGCCTTTCACAGCGGTTTTAGTGGTTACGGAAGGCACCGACTGCTTATAAGAAAAGGTGGCAAGCTGGCTTTTAGAATATTTAAAAGAGTCCTCCTATTTGGACCGTAGAAGATTCCTATTTGGACTGTAGTGGCCTGTGCGTTAGAATTTTCCAAAGGCTTATGTATTTTTAAGAATTAATTTAACAGTAATAAAATTTTATAAAAATATTATAAAAAGTACTATAATATAGTATATTAAATAAGCTATATAAAAATAGTTTTTTCATTACTATAAATACTAAGATAAATATAATATTAATATTTAAAAATTAAGATTTTAAAATAGGATTTTCTTTATAGTTTTTTAAGTTTTTAAGCTAAAATTTTAAAAGTAAGATTTTTATTTATATAAACTATATAAAAGATTCTAGTGCACTTATTTTAACTTATATATAAGGATTAAAATCTTTAATTAAAGTTTTTATAAGTTTTTAAGCTTAATAATTAATTAAAATTAAAAAGAAAAAGGTTTTTATATTAATTAAATAAAATTTTATTTAAATAAATTTTAATAATATTTTATTTTATTTATTTTACTATAATATAGCTCTTAGAAAACCTTGGTGGTTTTGGAAAATCCTAGTGCACGGGCCACTTAGCGCGTTGCACAGGCCACTACGGTCCAAATAGGAATCTTCTACGGTCCAAATAGGAGGACTCATTTAAAAAATGCTGTGAAAGGCCATGCCGAGGTTTATAGGGTACACAGTACAAAGTACTAGTAGTGCTACACTCGCAGTAACATGGAGAAGGATGGCATTGGGGGGAGTTAAAATTGCTGTGAAACAAAAACGAAGATACTATTGGGTTTTTGGCGACGAAAAAAATCGCAAAAAGCCAGGTGAGCAATAATACTTCTTGCCATGCCTTGCCCTGGAGTAGGTTAAAAATGCTGTGAACCCAAGGCGTCCGCTAGCTTGTATTAGCTTATGTCAGCACACAGCCTCTGATCTCAGCGGCACTCTGACACGAGGGAGCTCTGTCTGAAGCTTGTGCAACGCGGGACGGTTCTATGCAACAACAGATTGATGACTTCATAATCTCAGCTTAATACAACTAATCACTTACTGAGCCGCAGCAGGTCATCTTTGTTTCCATCGTGCAAAGTCCTCATTCACAGCGCACCTTTGCCCCTCACCCGCATTCGAGTCTCACCCTTGCCTGCATTTTGTCAAGATCAGAGTTACATGGGCTTGAGCTCTTACAGGGGTCTCCATCGAGTCATGTCCAAATCTGTTTGCATTGTCGGTACGCTGCAAACAAGATCCTCGTCGCTTTCGATCATTCCTAATGACTTGCAGGTGCTGGGCCTTCCGGCCTTGTCGCTGCCAAGACGCTTCTTCACAATGCTCCCAAGGGCCAGTTCAAGGTCAGCGTCTTTGATAGCCAGGCCGCCATCGGTGGTCTATGGCCGACCTCAAAGACCGATTCAGGCCGCCTCGTCCATCCGTTGATGGTTGCAAACCAGAGCAGACACACGGTGCAGTTCAGCGACTTGGCATGGGAAGACAGCGCACCGCAATTCCCCCGCGCGTGGCAGGTTGGCAAGTATCTTGAGCAGTACCAGAGCAGATATCTCAACGGCCATCCCGACTATGAGCTTCAGCTGAAGAGTCGTGTTGCAAAAGCTGAAAAGCGAAACGATGGATCAGAGGGCTGGAAGGTACTCATCAAGTCGGAAAGCGGCGAAGAATCGAGAGATTTTGACCACCTGATCGTGGCTACTGGATACTTTGGTAAGCCCATCATTCCCGAGTGTTTCAAAAACGCGAATACGTCGGTTCCCATCATCCACAGCAGCCAGTACCGGGATCTGAAAGGGCTTTTGGGCAAGGGCAGGGAAAAGGGAGGCAAGATTCTCATTGTCGGAGGCCAAATGTCTGGCGTCGAGATCGCGGGCACTGTTGCAAGCCATCTCTCAGCTGCTGTCAATTCCCCAGAAGAGTCGGAAATTGCAGGGATTGACAAATACTCTATTTATCACGCGATTCAGAAGCCTATATGGGTGTTTCCTCTATTCACTTCTCCAGAGGTGAGACTCTTTTCTTCTCTCGCGCTATTGTATCAAATACTAACAGATACCAGCCGACATTCTCATCAGCTCCTTTCGCGCCCTTAGACCTAGGCTCTTATAATATCAATAACCGTCCTCGGCCATTGGAGAATACGCAGGGCCATATCAGTGAGGAGCATGCGAATATGGTGCACACCATTTTCGAGACCTCGCTCGGCGATCAAGAGCAGTTTTCTTCCCTACTAATGCCCAATGATGAAGAAAGAAACCAGCCAGCCTACCTAGCTGTCAGTGATTGGTACACCGAATTTGTAAGGTCAGGCATGATCACCCTCTCTTTCGGCAAGGTCGTCTCTCTAGAGAACGATCTTGTGACGTTGGATGATAATGATGCCCAGATCGATGAAATTGCTGCTGTTATCCTTGCTACTGGCTTTGACCCGTCACCATGTATCGAGTTTCTGCCGCAGGATGTCCTTGCTACGCTGCAACACTCTCCACGACACTATAATCAAGCTCTTGCCCTGGCCTTTCACGGCACTCATCATCCAGATGTTCCAAATCTCGGATTTGTGGGATTCTACAGGTCCCCATACTGGGGAGTCATGCAGATGCACGCCCGATTTATAGCGGATCTGTGGTCAAATCAGACGGGCGATCTGCCAGATGCTCTTCAGCGGAAGCTTCAAGCCGATCAATCAATTAGGCGAACTCTCAGTTTACGCGACAACCCTAGACTCTCGCAGTTCCCCATGGGAGACTATATGTACTTGATGCAAGAATTTTCTGAAGCTTTGTCGATACCCATGCACGAATCGATCATGCCGGATACACCTACGCTCTCCCGAAACAACCTTCCGCTCGATACACTCACGCCTTCGAGATATCCTTCTCCAAGCGACGATGCTGCAGCAAAAGGTGAAGCCGAGAAATCTCTGAAACAGACTCGTGATCTGTCTATCGAATGCCTCACGAGTCCGCGTTTTGTTGCACGTGGCGTCTTTAGAAGCCTGCTTGGAGAATGGCGCCTTGAACGGGATCTCACCAGCCGACTGCCTTCTCATCCTAGTGGCAAGTTTGTTGGCACAGCGCAATTTTTGCTCCGCGAGCGAACTTCTGAAGGCCTCCAATGCGCCGCAGATCCCAACAGCACTGTTAGTTGTGATGAAGATGGAGGCGAGGACCTAGAGTATCTTTACATCGAAGACGGGGAATTTAAAACAACCTCTGGTTTCGGATTCAGAGCCACTCGACGCTACATCTGGCGCTACGACTCCAAGAAAGACCTCATCAGCGTATGGTTTGCCAAGCCCGATGACCAAAAGCGAGCAGACTATCTCTTCCACGAAATCGAGTTCGAGTCTCCACCGCCAGGGGATAACAAGAGACGCGAAAATGAAGGGTGGAAAGCAAAGGCTGGACATCTTTGCATTGATGACTATTACAATGTTAAGTACGAATTTGCATTTAACAAGGTGAATTTGAAGAAGTGGAGCATAGAGTATACGGTTAATGGGCCAAAGAAGGATTATACAATTCATGGGACGTATGAACGGATATGAATGTCGCTCTAGACAGCGTCGTATACAAAGCCAAGAGAACATAAGCTTTCGTCTTTTTAATAACACAATGCAGCATTAACAGATGGAATCTTGTCTTGATAGATATTCCATCACCTATGATTAATCGGCTGGTCTTTGTTGGTGCAGAATTGTTTTGTGAGAGGACGATGGTATGCAGAGTCACGGAGTCGAGTAGCTTCATCCCAAAGCCCATCTCCTCATAGGCATTTGAAACAAGCGTAATACTAAACAGGGAAAAAAAAGCCCTTTATTTTTGCAAGCTAGATTTCCATAACCGGCCAAAAAGACTTTTTTTCTGCTCTCATCGCGGGAGGGAGCGAGCTTTGACTGAGCACTAATCTTTGCGGCGACATCATCACATGCCAGCCTACCTATGTTACCAGACAAAGAAATTTAAAATTGGCATAGAGTCTTTTGGGGCATCGCCTTTGTTTTAGAGACGTGGTCAGTAAATATTTGGCGTGCCTTTTAAGAATTGCGCAGATCGCTATTGGGCAAAATGAGTTCCGTTTTGAAGGGGTATTTTACACGGACATTTTTAAAAAAAGAAAACACCCTGCTTCGATACTTTACCAGTCATGGTGCAAAAAAAATGGATTCTAAAACGTTCTTTGAAGACATATAATCACTACGAAGCGTTTGAACAAAGACCAAAGAACACTGACTATGGATACTCGGATCAACGATGTATTGGTGGCTTAATTAAACTGGAACATGCCCCATCCCGTTAAACGGTAGATATACGGTAGGAACATTAAGTTAACAACGAGATTCGTGGACATATGAGAACAGGCTTCGACGGATTTCGCCACTGGACAGCGTTGCCGGCCAAGAACAACTTTCCTGTGTCACTTCCACACATTATATGAACAGTTTCGTTGCGAAATTACCTCTAATCGTGTTCAAAATTTTGAAGAGGCGCACGTCTTTAGTCCGGTAACGTATCCTTATTCACACCACGATCAACAAACTTGGCCAACATAAAAAGGTCTCTAATCGCGTTCTCTCTTCAGCCAGCTTGGATTCGATTCTCCTCACACATCGTTTCTTTCTAAATATCCCACCCACGCCATCTATATACTAGCCTTAGCAGCAATACATTCTCGACACGCGGATACTTACTATGGCAGAGGGAAAGCACGAGACAAAACGCTTCATACTTACGGGCGCCCAATTGCTTTTACGCCTTTGTCGGCTAAAATTAGCCATGGGTATTCTCATCATGAACTCCATTTTCCTGGGTATGATGAATTCTCATGATCTTCACGTCAATCGAAGCTTAGTCATTGCCGAAGGGTTTGCGGCCATAGGTGCTGCGGGTTACTCTGTAGCCTTCGTCGTGAGCTTTTCTATAATCTTAAGTGTCAAATCAAAAGTCTGGACTATTTCAATTTTGAATATTCTTGGAGAAGCCTTTCTGATGGGATGCTACATATTTATCGCCACGGTGTACAAGCGGGCTCTTGGGAATTGCAAAGGTTATGCTGATACACCTTTTGGCGATATTAATGGGGTGAAAGGATTGCCCAGCGTTCGAGATTCATGTGGTATGCAGGTGGCCAACTTTGCTCTATCGATCACTGCAGCATAAGTCAAAAATATCTACTTGTACGTTTTGATTTGTTGACCATCCTTCTCGCCACAGTATCCTCACGGTCGGATGTATATTGGTGGAATCTCTCAACATCTATCTTCATTAACACCAAGGTCATGCATCCTCTTTGAAGAACAAGACTTGAAGCCGCTTATAGCCTCCTTAGGGCTCTAACAGTTTGGATGGTTGTCGGAAACTCTCTATATCAACGTAAAGGACGCTTTTTACTAGTCAACGATCAGATAGTTATAGCTACGAAGGGTTGAAGGAGCTGAAGCGCCCTTTGCAAGCGAACATTGAAATTTAGGTAGAATAAATACTTGATTCTTGAAAAAACGGCCCCTCAAGTGTTTGAAGCATAACGTTACCGACGTTAGAGGAGGTAAGGAACAGCATTTGTCAAATACGGCGTTTGCAGAATGGTCTTTGACATCTGCGCCCACTCTATATATAGCCCCAGCAAAACTAACTCAGCTTCAATCTGAGCTTCTAAAATGCATATATAGTCGTTGCCAGTTATTTCTCATCGTCGCTGCCTCACAGTCTTTTCCAGCCTTGCATTTTGGGTCGTCGGGAGAGCCTTCAACGACAGTACCTGTGAGATCCCAAGATTAAGAGACTCCTGGTACAATGAAGGTTCAAATTCCGAATCGTTATCAATTTAGTCAAGTAGCTGTCAATGTTGGTTCTAAAATTTCCTTTGAAGGCGGTCTAGATAACAATATTCGCTCCTCCATACCCCACGTCAATGGCTTCTTCTTTTTAGAATTAATGGACAGCGGCTGCTTGATGAATACGTGTACTGGGCGATGGGAAGCAGGAATAAAGTTATGTTAAGCTTGTATATATATGACAAAGTTGTATTATTAAACATTAGTTATAGATTTTAGATCGTGTCCATATTTGGAGCACTACGATCCAGCGCAGCGCATCTAGTTCCCATCATTACCATAAGAATGTGCAGAGCCAGCTGCATAAAAGCACAAGTAATGCCACCAATACCCAGCGAAGTTCAATGGTGAACTTCGTTTCAAGCCATCGCTGCCATGCTTTCATACCCCGTTTGCGGTTGGGGCAAGTCGGGGTGCCATAGATGATGCAGCCCAGCCCAGGCCGTGATTCACACTCGATGTGCTCTCTTCGGCGCTTCATCAGTAGCCTGTTTTATATTAGCATATATTAACAACGGAATACTAATGGAGGGATAGCTTACGGTACGCTGCCTCTGCAAAACCTCAAGTCTGTTCCCAAATCACAGCGCTTGGAATTGGGACATTCGAGATGAAGGCGTCGGCGCTCAACCAGCCACTCCACCTTGAGCTCGATACCAGTATCAACAAAGCTGTGAAAATATCGGCTGGTATACTTCAGAGATAATGCGTCCGGATATATCAGCATCTCTGAGATTTGTAGATGAATTTCTGTCGGCAGGCTGAGGAACGACGCTCGTGGCTTCCCGTCCATTTCCGGAAGAGCCCCGCGGTCCTTCTCGGAGCTGCATTGCGAGACGGTGGAGCTCATGGCGGAAGAGCCGGAGGATGAAATGAGCAGAACGAGTTAAGATACTGCTTTTCAGCGAGAAACAGGAGATGGCCGCATAAAGGAGAGAGAGGTTTGAAGAAGGCTAAGATGCCTGCTTTTGTGCATGTCCTTTGGCGGCTGCCTTCGCCGTGTGTTAGTGAATGTCTGAGTCTAATCCAGGGCTGGCAAGCCACCACAACAACGGGCTGACCTCCAATACGAGTCGCCTGTTCCCTCATGTGACGGAAACCGAAACAGCGGACACGCGGAAAGGCTGCTCGGGCTATGCAGGACTCCAGGCACGGCAGAACGTCAAACGTTGGAGCTGCAAGGCAGCACCATTTACAAGGGCCGCGGCGCCTCGTGGGTGGCTGGGACCTGCGTTTAGTGGAGGCCGCTGGACTGACACACCCACCGGGAGCCACTAGGACAGGCAGCGATGGAGTCTTTACGGGTGCCTGATCTCGGCCCGCCGGTCCCTACAGCAGGCCAGATAACAGGCCTAGACGTCGATCTCAGATGTCTGGTTTGTTTATTTGTTTATCAGCCGCTGTGCTGTCAAGTATCGAAGCGCGATGTTTGGAGAAACGTGGCTTTGTGCTAGTTTAGTTTGTGGCATGGCCGAAAGGGGCAGACGGCCGCATTTAGAAAGAGGCACAAGAGCTTGACGTCAACGGGCCAACCAGAGAATTACATGTATGTAGGGACCATTCTAGATGGCGTTGTTGGCAAGTCCTACCGACATCTGGAGTACAAGTCCTATGGGGTCCCATTGGAGATGTGCAAGGACTCATATCCCTGTGATGCGGCTGAATATCAACGCCCCTCGCCGGGATATGAATGGCAATTCTGCCAACGGTGGCCATCGTTCTATTTTTATGACATCTTCGTGATGGGGGCTGTTGCTTTTATGAGAAGTCTACAGAGTTTCAGGGCAGAGTACAAAGTACAAACACGCCCAAGAGAGTGGCGGTGCTTCACGTCTTTCATTTCGGTTGTCTTCGCACGTAAGAAGCCTAAAGTCATAGGGGAACAAAGACAGTTTCGCAATAAATGAACTCCAAATAGCTTTCCGGTATTCTTCTACGGCTTAAAATGTTTGTTAAACTGTATACATCAAGAAAATTGCCCTACGCATCTTTTACTGAATCATATTGATCTCCATTCTACACCAAGTACTTGACCACTCTTTGGTGAGTCTGTGTGCATATTGGGCCAGCAAAGAGACATCTATTTACATTGCACCCAGATCAGCATTCAATATAGCAAAAGGTCTTGGAAAACGCAGTATCACAACCTGAAACAATCATGTGAATGCCAATATTGTCGGTAAACACGTAGGCTTCTTGCATATAATTGGTATGAGTGCGGAAGAATCCATGTATATACTGTATTTGAACCTCTAGTGAGGGACCCTACGCCACTCAAGAGAGTAGTGTGGAGACATTACTTCAGCGCCAAATCTTACTGCAAGCCACATCAAAGTTGGTGCTGCTGTTCGGTATTTCTCACCATCAATTTTCAGCAGCTGCATCCTCGTCGTATCATGCCGTCAGATACATGACACAGGGCGCTATCTGCATCTGATACCAATTCATCTCTTCCGTGGCAAAAGAAGCGACTGTGAATAGCTGCCAGGGTCCACATCGATCGGATCGCCGCGATGCCTCGAAAAGTGTGTCATGTCCGCATCAGTTGTCTCTCATCATGAATCCTTGCTCTAACCGATTCATTCTCTTTCAGTTCATAACACAAGATGTCAAAGACCAAAATCGTGAAAGCCAAAGGCGTTCTAGAGCCCGTCGCACTGAAGTGATGAATGATCTCAAGAAGCAGGTGGAAAGCTACCAGCAACAAGGCGCAGCGGCGTCTTTAGAGATGCAAAAGGTTGCTCGAGCAGTCGCGCTTGAGAATCGGCGCTTGAGAGACTTGCTTAAAATACGTGGAGTATCAGAAGACGATATTGCACGACACATTGCAATGCCGTCAGCGCCTGCGTCTTCTACACAGGCCAGTTCATATGAGCCGAGCTCCATCAGATGTAGAGCGTGTGGCAGCACATCTATCGTGGCAGAAAAGCTTCCACTTTCGGTCCCAGCAAACACATCATGTGCCAGCTCAGATATCTCACAACAAGAGTCTGTTCCTCTACAGCCTTCACCTTCCGTGCAATCCAAGCCAATTCAGACACCCAGGACGGATAAGAAGATCGCAATAGAGGTTGACCCCAAAGCAGTCGCTTTACCGCCACGATCCATTACTTCTCACGAATTTGGAGACAGGCGCCATCAAAAAGAGCCAAATGATGGACACCAATCTCCATATCGCACGTCTTGCACGGAAAAATACAAAGATAAAGTTTGCGATGAAGAGATATCCTTGGGCTCCGAGGCTCCTCTCTCAACGCTACGCGATCCGCATGACGCATCTAAGAAAGAGGTTCATACTGACGCTATGGAAACGTCTTGCGATACTGCAGCGTCTATCCTCGTGGATCTTCACCATCACGCAGATACTGAACGTGCTCGTGCTGCTCTCGGCTGCAAGGGGCCAAGCAGCTGTACTGTCAACAACATCAAAATATTTCAACTGCTGGAGAACTTTTCTTGACACCTTTCCAACATCAACACTAGTTATTCCTTTCTCAAATTATCTGGCTTCCTACTATAAAGAGCATCTCAAAACTTTATTTCCAACCCCGCCTACCAGCAATCCATCGAAGGGCATACACCAATCCCAGCAAAACCGGCACTTCGATCAACGGTCCTACAGTGGAGGCCAATGCCTGATCGCTATTTGGACCAAAGGTCGCTACCGCCACTGCGATGGCCAGCTCAAAGTTGTTACTTGCTGCTGTAAAGCTTTGCGTGACAAGGAATTGGTATTCGAAGCCTAGCATTCGGCAAATGCTTACGGTCGTAAAGAATACAATAGTAAAATACACAATGAGCGGCGCTGCAACGCGGACAACCGAAACAACTTGATGCACTACTTGGTGGCCTTGAGCAGCAAAGAGGACCAAAATGGTGTATAAGAGTCCAATGAGCGACCAGGGCGAGGCAAAGCGAATAAAGACGCGGTCATACCATGCTGGCCCTGCGAGGAACCGCAGCGTAAATCTTGTGAACACAGCTGCGCCGAGGGGAATGCCCAGAAAGGCAGCCACACTAGTTGCAACGACAGAATAAGAGATGGAACCAACATCTTCGTGGCTAATGACACGGATGAAGAAGATGGCAAGTGGTGCGAAGAGAACCATCTGAAGAATAGAGTTGACCGCAACTAGAATGGCGCAATAGTCATTGTTGCCTCCAGCGAGAGCATTCCAGATCAAGACCTAGTCCCATGTATGTTAGCATTTTACTAGGTGGTGTTCCATCAAGGCAAATTGGAGAAACAAACCATGGCAATACATCTTCCTAAACCTACGAGAATGAGGCCGCTGCGAAGAGCACTTTTATCAGGAAGAAACGCCCATGAAAGAGCAAGCTGATGATATATAAGTATTAGCTATTCGAATGGGGGTCAAAGCGGAAGAACAGAGACGAACCATCAAAAATGGAGCTATGATCCAATTGATGAAAACACTGAAACCTATTTGCTTCCATAACTCTTTCTTGGAGAATACTTTGTGTAACGACTCATATTGGACTTTGCATAGAATTGGATACATCATTACCAACAACCCAATAGCTACATTACTGTTAGTTCGTAGACCGTAAAACTGGTTCAGGTAGTAAAGACCTGCCTATTGGTATGGATACGCCAACAAATGTCCCCTTTTCTAGTGCTGGTGACATTGACGGGACAAAGTTGCCAAGAATGATGCCAACAGCCATAGCCAGGAATATCCAGACGGCGAGGAAACGATCCAGCAGGCCCAGGGACGCAAAAGCAGAGAAATTTCTCTTCTGCTGCATTTCATTGTTGTTCCCCTCTTGACTTTCTGCCTGAAAGGTCATTTTTTCTGGCTGTAAAGCCATTATGTCGACGAAAAAGTATTGAATCTCGACCGAATAAAGTGTTCCTGGCGGGCTTCGACAGGGCGTCTCTCGCACTATATTTCGTATGTAGCTTGAGGATAATTATGCTGTGGAATAGATATACCCAGCAACATTAATAACGGAAACAAATGTAATGGCTCAAAAAAGTCTTTAGCAATTTGGAAAGTATCTGATGCTCTAGCAGTGCAATGCTATCCAATTTGTTCGTAGCAATATCCTTGGTGGTAGGAACTAGGTGAACTGTAAGGAGAGTGGAGCTGCAATTCAAGTAACCAATTAAACGCAGGGCATGACACACTCCCTCGCTCTCAGTCACTAGATACGACTTGGGCTTGAAATTTTATTGACTGTTTAGTTATCGAGTATTCTTTTGATTGGCAAAAGGGTTGTAAAGTAAATGAACATTTAGCAAATGTATATATATTAATAGCTACTTCAAGGCATTTTTAAAAACAGCTTCTTGAGCTCTGGGACTTGTCGTTCTAATCGATCTGCAATCTTACATCGAGTTCAATTACCCCTAAAAACAACGGAAGAGCTCCAACTGAATTACATAAAGAAATAAAGCATCGCCCCAATTTGCAAGCTCCCAAAAGAAAGCCAACTAAACGCAGCAGATGTAGTTGCACTGCTGCGTGACCCAGAGCCTGAGCCTGAATCAGAGCCAGAGCCAGGGTCATTAGATGAGCCGTCGCTGCTAGTAAAGTTGGCTGGGGGATTCGACTGCCCGGTACTGTTGGCAATTTCCTTGTACTCGATTCCTCCAACCCAAACCCTCGCAATATCCCTAGTGTTGGAAATATTGTCCAGCGGGTTGCTGTTGAGCAACACCAAATCTGCCCGCTTACCAGGTGCAATCTGGCCGCGGTCCGTCAACTGGTGATGCTGAGCAGGGAGTATGGTTGCAGCTCGGAGAGCTTCTAACGTAGTCAATCCGGCTTCGACCAGATTTTCCAGTTCAAAGTGCAGAGTCAATCCCCACGGTATAGAGATGTTGGCGGTGATTGTTCCGACAGAATCTGTGCCCGCCAAGATGGGTATGCCGGCAGCATGAACGGCTTTGACATTGTCGTAAACGTTCTGATAGCTATCTGGCCCACCAACCTTGTGGCCTGTAAAGGTCAATAAGTCGACGTTGGAGAAGGCGTATCGAGCAATATTCATTGTCGGAGTGCTCCAAGTGGTGGGAGACTTCCGAGCGGTCAGGATATTGGAAGCGTTAATACGGCCATTTGTAGGGATATGCTGAATGCCGTTTGTGCCCGAGATGGCAGCTTGTGCCCAGGCATTGAGATCAGAAGCATGAGTCATGGACAGTTTACCAAAGTTGTGAACAGCATCAACAAGAGCATTTTGCATGCTTTGACTGGGGCCATTGATCTCGGCAGTGATCTTATAAAAATCGGAGTTATTGCCAAAGGTGTAAGAGACGACCTCTGTGGCATTTTGGTTGGGATAAATGAGATACGGTGCAGTGAGATTAAAGGTCTTGGAGTGCTGGCTGCCAGGTCCAGTAGCTGGTATACCGGCTGAGATGAACGATGCCACGCCCTCTACATTGCGGAGAGGGGCGCATTGAGTGTAATTTCGACATGCCATGTTGATGGCGGTGGTGACTCCGTAAGAAGCCAATATCTCGAGCCCGGCAATGCTGGTTATATGGACATGGCTGTCAATCAAACCAGGGATCAAAACGCCCCCATTGCCATCAACTGTGGTTTCGATATTGCTTGTGTCGTTGCTGATATTCTCGCCATCGATGATGACCGTTTGGGGAGCAGTGAGTTTGACACCATCGAATACACGAACATTTGTGATGGCAGTCTTTGTTCGTGGTGCATGCTCTTGTCTTCGAACCATGTCGCTGGGATTTAATGCCCGCTCTTGCGTCAGATGCTCAAGACAAGCAAGGCTGCCTGGTAAGAACAATCCAGCGAGTGTTAAAAGCTGAGCTGGTTTCATTTTGAAAAGAGTTGAAGAAAAACAAGAACTATACGACTGGCTAACAATGAACGATCTTGTATGTATTGAAGGTATGTGGAGGTTATTATGACTCTCCAGTCTGCATAAATTGCCAACAGAAATTCACAAGTTTATATATTTGACAATTACGGTTCTCATTATGTGTCTCTGAATCCATCGCAATTTTCAGGCTCACTTGAATTCTCCTGCAGATTCGTACACTAAGCTTTTACCAGAGACAACAACATACGCACAGGGGTATCTATGCTCCCATAGGGCTGGTGCTCTTCATAAGTGTTAAATATTGCCGGGTAGATCGTCTTAATTCCACGAAGCTATGTCAAGGATTAAACGAACAGAGCTTGGACATGTCCAGGCCGAATTGACGAGGCCTGTATTCAGTTTAGCGTACGAAGGCAATCAATCTGTATTGCATTAGTTGACCTCTCCCCCAACGGCGCACAAGGATGCATGCCGAGATGCTGATTGGAGGAGCAGCAACCACTGCATCCTGCAAAACTTACAGGGATCAGGCTCGTACACTAAGTCAGAGAAGGATAGCCTAGGGGTCTCATCTGCTATTCTCGTCCTGTAAAGCCTCGCCGGGCTATGGAATTGCGCAGCACTTCTGCAAATGCGCCTCGTCTGGCTTTGCCTCATTGCGCGCAACGGCCTCCAGCTATTTCTACTGTCTCCATCTTTGCGATACCTATGCTCCATAAATGTATCGGATACGGCACCGCCTGAATACGGAGCAACTTACTTGAAAGATCCAAGAAGAGTCAAACAGAACCCTAGTAAATAAAGAGAAAGCATGAGTGGAGGTTCACGAACATTTCACCACAAGTCAAGGAATGGCTGCAGCCGTTGCAAGAAGCGACGCGTCAGGGTTCGTTTGTCCCACGTCTTGTCTGTAAGAGGTTTCTAGCATTGATTGCTCATATATGATCATGTATATTATCAAAAGTGTAACTTGCAAGCCCCAAGTTGTGCCAACTGTACTAGGAGAGGTGAAGTTTGCGACTACCGATTTCTCGGCATAGACAGCCCGCAGGACCATGTATTTGCGCCTAATAGCCATGTTGCATATATGAGGAGGCACCGGCACTCAGCTGTCTCCTCAAGGACGCCACCGCCGACTGGGTCTGTGCTGCCGTCCACATCTCTAGCTCCTTGGGCACAGTCAAGCGTGGATGCTTGGTCTATAAGAACGACGTCTCCTCTTGGAGTCCATAGCCTGGCATTAAGCTCTATCCAAGAAGACGAAAAGCACCTCATCCAAGACCAGCTTGTTGATCAACAACATTTCGGCGATTACGTTGAACATAGCATGGCAGCAATCTCAACACTCCACGAGAAGTCCACGGACGCATTACTACCTGATCATGGTAGTAACAATCTGGAACTCGCTGCGTATCAACACCATAATACAGCATCGAGCAAATTCCGACAGTCAGTAGGTACCATTAACGATCGCAACTGGTTCAGTGTCCTTGTCTTCGCCATCTCTGTCCTCATCTTCCACTTTGACATCCACAGAAGAGCCAAACGTGGGCTCTCAGATGATGAATTCATGGAGCCTATCTTAGCCCTACGAGGAGCTGCACATTTAGGCATGGAGCTAGGTCCATGGCTGATGAAGAGCAGGCTGCTCGCTGCAATAAAACGGCGTGTCGAGGGTGAAAAGCCGCCATGGGATGATCTCGCTAAACAAGCCATCTCGAATCTACAATTAGTAAACGAGACATCGTCGCCGCTTCAGACTCGCGCAATTTATCGCGATACCTTGAACAAGCTTCAGTTTTGGCTGCGATTTTCATCGTGCAAACCGCGAACTTGGCTGCACTTTGTATGGTGGCCAGGGGCTATCGACCAGGAATATCTGGATCTTCTAGCGCGAAAAGATCAAATGGCGTTGATCATTCTCATTCATTGGTGTGCTGTGATGAAGTCTTCGCCTAAAAAGTGGTTTATGGAAGGGTGGGCTGAAAACGTTTCTCGACCTGTGATTCCACAGATTGGACAAGAGTGGGATGGTGTTATGGAGTGGCCGCTATCAAGAATATGAGTGGCTACGAGCAAATGATATGGCTCTGGTTCTTAGGAGTGTAATTTAATTATTGCCTATAAAATACTATTCATTCATGGATGCATGGACCTCAATAGCACTGAGAATGCATATACAGCTTACACCGTTCCCTCTCGTCCCCAATCTGTTGGCTCACTGCTCATCTCAAAATCAATCCTCTTCGACTTCACAATTTGCCCATGTTTTAGTAACGGCTTCCTAACCTCTTCTCCGTCAACCTTTAAGCTCTTTACAAATGCCTTCCCTTCAGAGCCCGCTCCAGGTGCTGAAATGATCAGGGTATGCTCCTTTCCAACATCTCCCGGCCCAGGAGGCAACAGAATCTCCACCTCGTCGAAGAATGGGGTGGCAACAATATACTCATCGCTCGCTGGGTTGACAGGGTAGAACCCCAGCGCCGATAAAACGTACCATGCGCTCATTTGTCCCAGATCCTCATTACCGCTAAGCCCTGAGGCCGTTGCGTTGTAGTTCTCCCACGCAAGCTCACGAACTTGTCTTGCCGCATCAGCAGGATACCCGATGGCAGAATACAAATAAGGAGCGTGATGCGAAGGCTCGTTGCTGTGCATATTATGACCTCCCGCGAAATATTCGTCCATGCGAGCCTTCATTGCTTTCTTGCCGCCTTTGAACAGCGAAGCCAGGCCGCCAACATCATGCATCACGTTCAGCGTGTAGATCCATTTGTCGCCCTCGGTCCATCCCCAAGTATCATTTGCCCACGTACCATTTGCGTTACGGGCCTGCATAAATTCGGTTTCTGGGTTCCAGAGCTTCCTGTAGTTTTGAGAACGCTCTCTTAGCTCCTTTGCATGCTCGAGATCCCCAGCGTGTTCGGCGACTACTGCAGCAGCGTGATCATCGAAGGAATAATCAAGAGTGCGGCTACCAGACTCGGCCCAGCGATCATTGTCGACCCATCCATGTTCGAGGTAGCTTGTCAGTCCAGCTCGACATTCATAGGGAGTGCTTGGTTCTCTCGAGTAATAGAGTAAATCGGTGTCATTCTCAGGTGGCACGTAAGCGTCTACGTAGACGGCATCCCACGCTTTCGCGACATCGAAGTCGTTAAATCCTCTGATTAAAGCATTCGCAATCACAGCGTCAACGTGAGTTGCAATCATTTCGTTGTTCTCAATCATGTTGTTCCAAAGGGGCAACCGACCAGACCAGTCAAATATACGCAAGAGAGAGCGCATCATGGAATCGACCCGTTCCGGAGCAAAGATGGTAAGTAACGAGTGCTCTGCTCGGTAAGTATCCCAGATTGACCACGACTGGTAATATGAATCATTTGCTTCATGAACACTGTCTGTATAGCCACTATAGAAGCGGCGCAGACCACCCTCAGATGATGTCGTGGGCTCGGAATAGTCGCTAGGATACTGAAGAGCATGGAATAGCCCTGTGTAAAAGATAGTTTGGGGGTGGTGGTCTGCATCAGTCTCGTTTACTCCAGAGATTTTGATGCGGCCGAGTCTTTCTAGCCACGCTGACTTCACGTTGTCGACTGTTGTTTCGAATGTCGTCCCATCTGGTATGTCGATATCCAGATTCTTTCTGGCTTGCTCCACGCTTACATACGAGACTCCAGTTCTCACCTCGACTCTTTGGACCGACTCATCGAAGGTGACAAATGCACCCACAAAATTGTCTTCGATGTATTTGCGCTCTTTGTACAATTTATCAGCTTGGGTAACCCCGTAGGAGGCAAATGGTGCAGAAAAGCGCGATACAAAGTAGAGTCTAAATGATTCAGGCTTATCGGGGCCTAGCAAGTATTCTTGTCGCTGGCTATTACTTCCAGATACCTCTTGAGTCTCGGGTTCAATTTGGACGTGGCCTGTCCAATTGAGGCGGCTGGCCTGTATGACAAAATAAGGCTGCCGTGCCTGGGTATCTTGGAAATCAACGCGTAGGTGACCAACATGGGCTGATGCACTCATCGCTACTTGTATGGAATTTTCATACTTGGCTCCGTCCAGGTAGTCTGAAGCATTTGAAGATGGGCTTTGCACGGCATACTGGGCCTCCGGCTCAAAGACATAATCTCGTCTTCTTACACGGCCGTTAGCGCCCTCCGTCACGTCTTTATTTGGGATGAAGTTGGCGCCTCCCGGGCATGGAGGACAGGCATCTCCGAGAAGATCTGATGTCGCTTGTTCAGTAAGATTCCATCCGGATTCGCCCCCCGAGTCTGCATCAAGCGTCACTTCATACACGTAGGGCGTGCTCCTCTCATCTTCCTTTCTGAATGCCAGTCCCCGGTGCTGGAACAGGTGATGGATTTCGTCTCCAAGGCCCGGCATAAGTGCTACATGGCCGTTTTCACCTATCCAGATGGCAGGCTGGTGAGTTGCTTGGAAGCCATGCATGCGGCGGTCGCGGTCGTTGTAGGGGACCTGCGAGATGAAGTTTTCGCGCGTCTGGGGCGTCCATCGCGTCATTCCGAATGGTGGTGATACAGACGGAATCATGCCACCAAGATCGTTAGGATCATAGCCCCGGGTGCCGACGAGGGGGTTGACATATTTCAAGACACCTGCGTTGGCGTGATAGTCCTTATTTACAGGCTCTGGAGCTGACTCTGGAGAGAATGCAGACTGCGAAGATGAAGCTGCCGCGTATGCAGCCAACGATGAGAGAGTGAATCGTAAAGGTAGATACTTCATTGTTGCAGGCGTTTTACAGTAACAGCTTTCGCTGAAGCTCACATTTGAGGAATGAAACGAGACAGATGAATGGTCAAGACGTAGAGCGGCGGTAAAGCAGAGCGCGCAAATGACTAAGACCTCGTGTTGGCCACCTGACCTCCAGACAAGGACTCAAAAACACAAATGTCACCCAACTTGAGTTTATGCAATTCGGCCTACGATATTGAAGCTTGCAAAATACTACAACGCAGAAGCAGATGTCGCGGCATTCGACTTCTATTGCAGCCACCATTTCGGCCCATTCCGGCGGTAGGAGCGTCGATCGTCCACTTTTTGCGGGGTTCCAGTTATAATATGACCTGGTGCGTCGAAACAATAGAATAACCCATAAGTTTAGACACTCTTGTTCATTCTTATACCTGGGCAATAAGTTGGGGATACCATAGGTCTATGGCCGCGGTAACAAGAGCAGTTTAGCCACGGTGACTGCATGTCCTTAGCGTATGGCGAGAAGATTGGTGCATTATAAGCGACTTCACTGCCTTGGGAGAGATGAAAAATGCTGTGAAGACTTGTGTGTGAAACGATTAGTCTACCCATATGTTCCCGAGCATAAAAGAGTTCAGCCGCCAATGTTACCATTGAGTTTGAACCAAACAGCATATAGTTCTCGCTATCGCTATTAGAAGCACAACCTGGTTTCATATGTATTGGAATGCCAAGTAGAGTCACATCACTCTTTGACGGTATAAGAACTCTAATTGCGCGAATAGGCTTTCCGCGAATCTTAGATGGCTATTTAATCTTCACAGTTTAGGTCATAAGACTCATTATCCCAAGAGTTTGAGAAGTTCACACATTTATCGAACCGTCCTTGTAACATCAAAAGACAGCTTCCTATATATGTATAGAATTATTCCATATTTTCATGCGCGAAATTCTCATTCCATCATATTCATTCTTTCCACTTAGATATCAACCTTGATAACTACCTTTCCCTTTGCCTTCTTTTGCTCAACCTTGTCATAGGCTGCCTGAAAGTCCTCAAACTCAACCACGCTGTCAATCTGTGGCTTCAACCCACGCTCATCAATAAAATCGGCAATCTCCTTTAGATCATCGCCCTTGCAATCCATAAGGAACCAAGTGCTCTTCGCCAAATCCTTTATAACAGACTCGGGTTTCAACTCGGCCGGGTTGCCGACAACACTCAACAAGACGCCATTCTTCTTCACAGCGGACCAGCATGCCGCCAGAGTTGATCCACCAACGCAATCGAAGGCCAAGTCCACCTCACGAGAGGCGTCTTCCTGAGCCCAATTTGCGACAGATTGTTTCTTGTAGTCGATAATCTCTGTGGCTCCGGCCTTTCTGGCTGCCTCAATGCCGGCACTACCGCACTGCGCAACTACAGCGCCAGCGCCAGCGGCTGCAGCAAAATGAACTGCCCAAGTACCTACGCTGCCACTTGCACCTGTGATGAGAACCCTCAATTTGCTGTTATGGGCTCTTGCGTCTGCATCACCGTTAATCCCCTTCTTATTCAAAATTCCTTGAGTAAAGAGTCCTTGCCACGCAGTCAAGGTGCTCAATGGGGTTGCGGTTGCTTCAATCCAGTCCAGCGTCTTTGGCTTCAATGCCAGTTCCTCTGTATGAACAATCGTGTACTCTCGCAAACATCCTGGATACCTAGCATGGAGGCGAAAGTATACCTCGTCTCCAGGCTTGAAAGAGCTGGAGGGTGGCGAAGTAGCGATGATACCAGCGCCTTCAGTTCCGGGGACACGCTCTCGGTTTGGGGGAAAGAGACTAGGGAAGTTGACCTCCCAGCCTAATTCACCAAGGCATGGTGCTGTAGCCTTGATCTTGACGAGGTGCTCATCTTGACCAGTAGCTTTGGGAATGGGAGTTTGTAAAAGTTTCAAGGTTGTAAGCTTGGGATCTTGCTGGTAAACAGCCTTGATGGTGGTGGGGAGATTGGATGTGGCCATCTTGACGTATTGGTTGGCAGTAGTGAACAGGTTTCGCATACTTCAGATAGAAAAAAAATAGGAAAAAAGACTTTGTATAACAATTATAAGTTATTTAAAATCCCGACAGTTCAAGGCTCTTTATACTTTTCTTCTGCGCAACTCACGTCATTGCCGAGACTATGAAGCTCATAGTGCGAATGAATAACCATAACCCCAGCGGGTAGCCTTTCCGCCCATTCTGCCTCTCCCAGCCGGGTATCCATGCTCTACCCACGAATCGCCGACCCGCGAAACGCCAGGCTTGGCTACAAAAACCTTAAACCTAAAGTGCATGATGTGGCTTTAGTGGCGCCGCCGGCAGAGATCGACCGCGGGAAACTCGTTATGCCTTTATATAAGGTACAGGTAGGTAGGGTGATATTCGGGGACTGCCGAAAAGCAGATGGATCGGGAACAGTAGCCACATTGGAACACAGCTTCTTCCTAATCAGACCTGTTTATACCCACTTCAAAGCACTGTCTCGCACTTAGCAAGCATATGGTAATATCATCTCTGCCTCTTCTGGCTGCTGCAATGCCGAACCACTTGCTCCGTGTCTCGGTCGGCCTGTCTCCACAGCCCCGGGATCCGCTACCGAGATTGTCCCAATGTGGCAGCATATCCCGATTCGGCAGATGCAGTGTGGCAGTTTATAAATGACGATGCTGCCTATGCAGCTGCAAAAAGAGAAGCTGCGTTTTGTTTCCATTTTTGTATACCATCAATGACCACCACTATGCTATAACGGGTATCAGGTGTGTCAATCTGGGTCAGACACAGTCAAGTGTGAGGGATTAAGGTACAGCAGTCTATCACACAGGCACTGTCTCTCAGAATGTTTACGGTATATAACATCTTATTGTTAATTCACGCATATTCCTTATCCCACGATTCTCTTGCGCGTGTCATCTCATGGCAAAATCTTCTCTAAAAGTAAACGAATCCCAAGAGTTGCCGTTCAGAACCAAGCTACAAAAAGAAAACTCAGACTCGCAGCTCGTAAAGCAGCTACAAAAGGCAGTTAGGATATTCTCATGTTGATACCAGATTTATCAAAACGAGCAGCTTTTCACCTCTCCAAATTCAGTGCCTCAACGTCCAAGCAGCCCAACTTAAACATTCATGCTTCACTCAGCATAAGACGGTCGAGCCTTGATTCGCGCCGCTGCTTCCGCAATCTCCTCCTCAGGAAGCAAGCTCCGCCACACAAAGAATTGCGCCGCCGTAAATCGACCTCCGTCGTATTTCCCCACAAAACGCATCGCCCTCATCCTCGCATCATCCCATAACGCAAAACCAAGCCGGCGGAAAACGTCAAACGGCACATCAGGTAAGGGTGACTCTGCGGATCTAAACGCAAAATCTATATAACGGTCGATTCCAAGACCAGTGGTGTCCGCGTCTATTGGGTCTTGTCCTCTAAATGGGCTCTTATGGATTCCAAGTCGCTCTGGGGGACGGTCTTTGACGAGCAGCTCCAGGCTTTGTATGGGAGGATCGGCAGGGATAAGTCTGTTACCAAGATCATAAACGTTACCAAACTGAGTTTTCCTCATAGTTGGCTTTGGCATCTCAGTTATCCAAGTCCGAGCTTTGATCGCCGGGGGACGGGGAAGTCGGTAGTAATCTATCGGCGACCTTTGTGAAGGTTCACCATCTTCATCATCTTCACCACGAAGCTGCTGTAAATACTCGCAAACGGTCTTTGCTTCTTCCTCCATGCCATCGAAATAATGGTTGTGATTAGTTACAAACCCTTCTGGCTTAAATCTCGCGGCTTCTTCGATATCCTCTAGTGGCCAGCCCAAGCCATCAGGGTCTCGTATCGCCAGTTTTTGTACTTCTCCAACCAGCTGCATCTCCATAAGGCCCTTGCGACTCGCATTTCTTCCACCCAGCTGGGAGGGCGATTATAGTTTGCCCTTACTGGCTTTCCAACAGACCGAGTCCATGAATGTGTAGTATTGCGCACAAAGATCTGTAGAGGATACTCGCGAGTACCGTAGTGGTATGGGTTACATATACTCTTATCATGCAGGCGCCCCAGATTGAATCCCAAGCAAGTATTTGTCAAGGCAGAGATTCGACACGCTGTCGCTAAGCCGGAGCGGATAGATTCTGAACTAGCAGCGTTCAAACTGTCTGATGGCAGCGTAAGAGGCGGGCAGCGACAGCCGTCACTCAAATATAGAGGCTGTTCCTCGAACAGCAGCTTGAACTCATGCAGATTGTTGACAGGCAGAGCAGAAGAACGGGTCAATATCACGGCCCTGACCAAGTGCTGAATTTCTATCTTGAGTGGGCACATGGGAAGTACAGCATCCATTATTTCATGGGCATAGTGATCAAAAATGCGCGACGCAACCGGCGATGCTCTGATGAGATTGAAGAGAGCGTCCAGATCTGTCAGCTCGCCTATGATTCGCAGAACAAGCTCAGTTGGAAGTGCCTCCAGCGATAGCTGATGAGATAACTGGGATCCGATTTCATTTTCAGCCATTGGAGAAGCTGGTACTCTGGTCGCGCGGGTAGACAGTTCAGTGGTCGATAGATGCGCCGGAAGAAGCGTTGAGGGAGAGTTGCCTTCCGTAACTATGGGCAGTGGGATATTCAGCCCTGCGGAAAGGGTATTTAATAATCTATTCGGCTCCTATGGATCCAAACCTCGAGAAATAGTCCCATTATTGGCAATAATGATTGTGATTACATATTCAAGAAGTACTACCTGTGGCTCATAACAGCTAAAGGTCAAGGCGTATTTATCCAAAGCTAAACGGCCGCAACTATCGGCTCTTCTGTGCTCTCTTCAACAAGTCGATAACAAAAACAGCACTGGGGCGATTCTCAACGTGATCAAAAATAGTAATCGGTTATACATTGCAACCGAAAAAGATTTGGTGGTTTACATAGGGACAAGCTAAGCTACCGGGTAGTCTGTCAATCGTGATGCATCGACTCCTAAACAAGTCACCAGGCTCAACGATATTAAGCAGCCAATTCACACAACTTACACTCCACTTCGTAACACAAGCCCAAATATGACAGTAGCACTGAAGTTTTGATTGAGAGACAGAATCCAATTGCACTCTTGTATATATGAGAACCTTGGAATGCATACCGTATGCCCGTAGCCTTACAACAAAACTCCTCCGTAATGCCAAGTATCTGGCACCGCTACAACATCTCCCGCGGGAATAAAGCTCGGGACATTTGTCACCGCATTATGAGAAACAAGGACACGGATACACGTACCATCGCACCCAAAGACCCTTACAGGTACATAGACTTACGTGGCTGGAGATCTCGCTTGCAGCCCCAATGGCAGGGTCCAGGGCGATCTCCAGAAAAAAAAAAGACGGGGAAAAAACGCCAATCCCCCCTGAAAAGCCGCGCGCACGGATTTCACTGCTACTGCCAAACAAAAAATAGGTACAGCAAAACGGTTGAGCGTCTGTTGAAGTAGTTGTGAAGACTTACCTGCCTCTTTTGTCTCTCCTAGGGCCAGGCCATGTTTTGGAGTCTTCCAAGCCAAGAGTTTCATTTCACTTCTCCGTCGTGTAATCCCGGACCCTCCAAGCACACCGGCACCCCGTGAGCTGTTATGCGCATTATCGTCACCGCTAAACTGCGGCGCCAAGACCGAGAAACGGTTTAGAATCACGTCCCCGTCGATGGCCATTTCGCATCAAATATTTCAGTCGGGTCTTTTAAAGGCGCTAAAATTAGCTCGGCTCCATCGCCCACCTAATGTACAAGTATTGGCGTTCCTGAAAGGGAGCGGTATTTGTCCTTGCGTTGGCTTATTATCTCATGTATTGAATTTGCCGTGTTGGCGGGTTGATAATACCGCGGGAGGCCGCATTGGCGCCATGTAATACAGACTTTGCTATTCTGCAAAGGATAGAGTATAACGACACGCTCCTAGTAAGCAGAGCTGTAAGCACAGCGTTTCGGTCTCTGTAGACATCAGCTCACTCAGAAAGTAAAGCACCAGTAGTAGCATCGTGTGAGAGGCCGACGGTATTGAGTGTATATACCCAAGTATACATACAGTAGCACTCGATTCACACAAACTATCCCCTGCCCTGTAACGGAATACGGGGTTTGGGTTTGGAGCAGCATCTGCTAAGTAGCATTTGTACGGAGTAGATTGGCTGTTAGCAATGCGCTGCTTTGCAACTATCGCCATTTTCAGCTAGTTTCGTTGGTCCAATGCCGGGACTGGAGCCTCAATAGCCGCTGAAAGCTGCAATCTATCGAATGTAGGAAATAAGTGAAATGAGATGATGTAAAGGCCTCCTTTTTTTTTTTCAGCTTCTCTTTGAAAGCTGACACCAAACGTAGCTTTACTCTCCTCTGTGGCATCAGTCGTCATAGTCCCTCATTACAGCCACGAAGTACTAACGGCCTCTGTCAGCAGCCTCTCAGCATGAGACAATTCCCCTCTTTACTGTAAGGCTCAAAAAATAAAAAAAACTCACGATGCCGCCAAAATCGTACCCTGGGTCTGTTTCCCCCGATAAGTGGCGCCAGGGCCCGGATCCCGGTTCAAGGGAGTGGGCCTCTGTGCTGGGCTTCATTTAGCCCCTTGTTTTTCGTTGTTCTTTTCGTGCCCCTAATAGCCGTTTGGCAGCTATTCTTTTTCTCTCTCGCGGAGGACCCCAGTCTTCTTGTCCCTCTTCATCGTGAGTTTCGCCGCTTCTGCTTGTCACAAGCGGTCGCGTGCGCCTGACGCAGTCTGTCTGACCTTTTCACTCTTTTCCTCTTCTTCCTCTTCTCTTCTATACTTTCAAACCGCGCAGCACGTTTTATAACCGCCTTTTTTTTGTCTTCTTGACGCTCTTTGACACGAGCTGTACACGTGCTTCTGGATCCAGCTACACTGCCTCTCGCTTTACTCTGTCCTAGTATTAGGTAGCATACGCCCTACCCGACGTAGACCAGGTCTGGTAGTACCGAATAATCCATATCTTTTGTCTCTTCTGCTGGAACAGCTGGCCGTCCCCTTCATCGACAGATCGCGGCCTGGCTGGAGCGGCGCCTAGTCCCGGTAGCTAGATGGCTCTCATTGTGGATATTGTGCGATCGGTCCTGTGCACGTCGTGGCTTAACCTTTTGCTTGTCTTTGTTCCTGTCGGATATGTTTCTTATTTCATCGGCCTCAACTCTACGATAATCTTCGTCTTCAACGCTCTCGCTATTGTACCTTTATCGTCTTTACTTACCGACGTCACGGAGAAGATTGCCAGCGATGCTGGAGATACCATTGGCGCCATCCTCAACATCAGTCTCGGCAACCTTGTCGAGCTGATATTATTGTAAGTACCGCGAGTTGTTCTTTTCCTTGTCCCTCTTTCTTCTTTTGAGCATTGACGCTCTTGGTACTTCCCCTCGTTACCCCTCCAAGCTAACTTATATCTGCAGCATGTAAGTCGAATCAACCTCACGCGAGCAACGAATGGTCTCCCTCCATGATTGCCATACTAATCCAACTAGTGTCGCCCTCAAGAATGACCAAATCCGAGTCGTCCAAGCGTCCATTCTTGGATCCATTCTTGTGAACCTGCTCTTGATTTTGGGCTCGGCTCTTCTGACGACCAAGCTCCCCGACCAAGAGTTCCTCCACGATGCCGCCGGCACGCAGCTACTCGGATCGCTGCTGTTTGTGTCGGTGTTTACTTTCTTGATGCCTGTGAGTGGCTGTCCCGCTCCATGTTGTCTATTGCCGAAGTAGACGTTTGACTGTTTAAATAGACTGCCTTTGACCACACATTCAGAGGACAAGAAGGCGCCGAGAGCATGAGCCTGAAGATGAGCAGGATATCTGCTGTCATGATTCTGCTCATTTACATCCTGTACTTTTTCCACGAAATCAAATCTCGCACGCCTCCTCACGACATCGAAGCCGTATCCCACGACGAAGACGCCGATGACGTTACGTTGATACACGACGCTGATCAGGTTCCTCTTCGACCTATGCCTCTTTCTTCCGAAACTCTACACGCTTCGCAAGCCAGCCACAGAGTCGTCAGATTCGTCGACGTAAGCCCCATATCAGAACACGCACCTCTCAAAGATGGCGAGCGGGATAGCTTGGACGGCCTAGACCATGAGAATGAGCTGGAAAATGAAGACTACCTCGAGAACGGAGAACCAAAGGAAGAAGCAGGAGAAGGCTTGTACAACTCTAGACGAGCCAGGACGCGAGGCCGCTCATTATCGCTGGGCTCAAGCAGAGGAGCACTGAGCGAGACGTCGGAGGGAGGAGACCGAACTGAATTGATGGCGCCATATCTCACGACGAGGCAGATACTCCGCGACAGCCACGTCAATCTCGACCGCATAGTCGCCAAACCGAAGCTGAACTCGTTTGGACCCAGGATCGATCGCATCATCTCCTACGTGATGCTCATCATCACATCAGCGTTCATGTCCGTATCCGCCGAGTTCCTCGCCAGCGCCATCGACGACGTGATTCGACAGGGCCATCTCTCTGAGTCGCTCATTGGTCTGATCATCATGCCAATCATCGGAAACGTCGCCGAGTACGCCACCGTGGTTATCGTCGCCGCAAGGGACAACATGGGTCTTGCACTGGCAGTTTCTGTGGGCTCGTCTATCCAGATTGCATTATGTGTTACTCCCTTGACGATTATTGCGGGCTGGATCATGGATCGTCCGTTGATGCTGACTTTCAACCTGTTCGAGATCGCCACGCTGTTTGGATCGGTCTTGCTGGTGAATTTCCTGATTTTGGGCGAAGGTGTTAGCGGTCCGCTGCGGTCCAGCGGCCTAAAAGGTGGTTTGATGTGTGCGTGTTATGTGATTATTGGGTGAGTCGAACCTGTGATATATGCTGATAGAGGGATCTTGCTAACGGATGAAACAGACTTGGAGCTTACCTGTCTCCTTAATACAACTGGCGATATCGGACATGTTTTTATAAATGGAGCTTATGCATTGGAAGCCAAAGCAAATGATTAGATGCATCAAATAGAGATAATCATAATGAAGAAATATAAAAGAAGTAAAACTACGTTGGTCAATGTGCCTGCACAGAGATCATGCTGCAAGTGATCTTACGTAATCACATGCCTAGGCATTTTGACTTCTAACCTCCTAAAGAGAGAGCTCAACACTCTTTTCTACATCGCTGGTTATTCCCCGTCATCGATTCACGCACGCATCGGCATGCTCTAACAAGTATTACGGGTAGCGCAAGCATTTGGCGACGACTCGTCTTTTTATTCTCCCTTGCCCACGGCCATGCCGCGTGAGCGGGATGATTCAGACGATGAAGACATTCCGCTGCACCATAAACGGCCCTTTGGCGCTGGGCTGAAGCGCACCAAGATCGAGTTTGTCAAAGCGACAGATCCAGATGCCAGCAACACGGTCAAAGCCGTTGGCGGACAGTCCGCATCCATCGGCGATATCTACGCCAGCATAGTTCTGGGCAGCAGCTCTACGGACACTGCGTCAAAATCCGAACCCGCCAGCGATGAAAAGGAAGACACGACATCATCGCCAGAAAAGCTGCCAGAGCCTCTGATCTGTCCACTCTGCTCTCTTCCCATTACCACGACGCTGCAGAAGCACGAAGCCTCGCTTGCGCATCAAGTGAGCCTGGAGCATTCCCACCCGCCATCTGCGCTGGATCGATCGCGCATGGGTTTGCGAGCCCTGGAGTCTCAGGGCTGGGATCCCGATTCCCGCCTGGGTCTCGGCCGTGAGGGCGAGGGAACCCGGTTCCCCATCAAGATTCTCCCGAAAAAGGATACGCTGGGCGTTGGGGCGAAGCAGCCGGCAAGTCAAAAGGTGGAAGAGAAGCCACGGCCACTGACGGCCAAGGAGATGCGCGCTCTGGCGGAGAAGGAGAAGAGGAAGGGAGAGCGGCTACAGGCTGAGATATATAGTCGGGTAGATGTGGAAAAGTATCTCAGGGGAAATGGAGGTGAGGATGGCTTATAAGCGTGAGGTTGACGACGTTTGGATATTACATACAGAATAACGATGTAAACATCAAACCAAGAGGTGCACTTCTAGTCGAAAGTCCATACACCCGTGGCTGAAAGAGTCTGATTTAATGGTCGCGTGATACGTTGTCTTTACCGTACTTTGTTTTGCACGGCATGATTCTATACTGAACACGTCATGTGCACTACTTGGAGGTTAAGGGAAATATTGCAACGTTCAATTCTAGTATAGCATCGATGATGATCGTCCCTAAGATGAACTGGACCCTGAAATCTGCACCTCGGAGTACCAAGGCGGTAGTTCTAGTCAAGCCACCGCTAAGCTGCTAGAGCTGCGCATTCTTAGGGAACTTGTAGTGACCTCATCGGCCCCGCTAGCGCTAAAGTTAGGGGCCAGGCGCTAGAGGCCGAGCCTGAAGCAGCCTGGGGGTCGCCCGGAGTTTCAGCCTCTGCATTTCCCAACCCCGCCAAAACCGGAAGCTTCTTGGTGATGCTTCACAAAACAAACTTGACCTCCTTAGCCTAGAACCGCTTGAGCTTGCAGCAGCTGTTTGGACGCCGGCTTGGGTGCTGCTGGAACTTTCCATTGCCGACATCGAACTCATTATCGCAACACGATCCTTCGCTTGTAGTTTGCACCCTCTCAGGCCATCGCCGCCGACCTCCTCCACCATCACCGCCTGACGGGACAGCTCCGTCCACCGCGGCCAAGATGGGGTTGTCCGTCATTGAAGAGCAGCATAATGGTATGGACTCCGTTTCTCAAGTTCGAGAGTTAGTATGAACGGCATTACTGACTCCAATTATAGTCATCCTACAGGAAATCAAGAACATCACCCAGAACGACGTACGAGACCGCCCGCCCCTGTTTATCCCCTACGATGGACCGAAATACTGACGCAGATCGCTACAAACCACAGTGGAAGTGCTTGATCGTGGACGAAAACTCTAAAAAGATTGTCGACAATGCTGTTAAAGCAGACGATATTCTCAATAGCAATATTGCGAGTCAGTCTTCGCCTTCGTCTGCCAGGGACACCACCATATCACCAAAGAGCTTTCGGCTAACATGGCTACTATACAGCTATCGAGAAAATCGAAGACCGTCGAGAGCCCAATCCCGAAATGGATGCCATCTATCTCCTCAGCCCCGAACCGCACATTGTCGACTGCCTCCTGGCCGACTTCGAGCGCCGGCGCTACCGAAGGGGATACCTGGTCTGGACGAATCTACTGGAGCCAGGGCTGCGAAGACGCCTCGACGATTTCCCTAACATCCGCCAGCTGCGCGTGAGCTCTCGAACGCTCTTCATCGACTTTTACCCGCGAGAAACCCACCTTGTGACGTTCCGCGACCCGTGGAGTTTCCCGATGCTATATCACCCGTCATGCAATGCTCTAGTGCCCAAACACATGCAGCTTCTTGCGCAAAGGGTAAGCCAGATTGAATGTTTTTACGTTAAATAGACTGGAGATGCTGAATTATTGCGCCAGATTGCAGGTATTTGCATTACGCTGGGGGAGTATCCAAAGGTAAGATACTACCGACCGAAAAATGCTATCCACGAGGCTTCCGTACTTTGCACACACTTGGCGAGATTCGTACAAGAAGAATTGGACGGCTATGCTCAATGGGACTCCAACTTTCCGCCTCCGTCAACCAGACCTCAGTCGACGCTGCTCATTACGGACCGATCGATGGACCTCATGGCACCTCTAGTACACGAGTTCACTTACCAAGCCATGGCACACGATCTGCTCCCTATCAAGGACGGCGACAAGGTAACTTTTCACACGACCATCAACGAAGGAACCCCAGAAGCCGAGGAGAAGGACATGGAGTTGGCCGAGAAGGACAAGATCTGGGTCGAAAACCGCCATCGCCATATGAAAGACACTATCGACAAGCTCATGGGCGATTTCCAAAAGTTTTTGGATCAAAACCCTCACTTTACAAAAGAAAGTGGGGACCCGACAAGTCTGAGTGCCATCCGAGATATGATGGCAGGATTGCCTCAGTTCCAGGAGATGAAGCAGGCTTATTCTCTGCATCTCACCATGGCGCAAGAGTGTATGAACATATTCCAACACCACAAACTTTCAGACACTGCTATTGTTGAGCAGACCTTGGCCACTGGACTGGACGAGGACTATAAGAAGCCGAAGAACACCCTCGATTCCGTGGTGCGGCTGTTGGACGATGATGCGGTATCGACTGGAGACCGGCTGCGACTCATTGCCATGTACGCGCTATACCGCGGTGGTATGATTTTGGACGACGTCAAAAAGCTGCTGGCACACTCAGGTCTACCACCTCAAGATGTGGAAACCGTCGTCAACTTTGAGCACATTGGCGGAAGAACAATGAAGCAAGGGCTCAAAGACCCGCAGCAACTAACCGTCCCCCTATTTCCTGTTGACCTGAAGAATGCGCAGAACGAAGAGGAGTATACGCTATCGCGCTATGAACCTGTTCTAAAACAAGTCTTGGACGGATTGACCAAAGGATCTCTGGATCAGACTAGCTTTCCTTATGTCAAGCCACCACTTGATCCCAACGAAGACCTTCTTGCAGCTCAAGCGGGATCACTTCGAGCTGCTGGACGACCAAACTGGGCAGCAGCGGGACGTCGACCCCCTGAAAATCGCCAGAGGCTGATTGTCTTCATGGCCGGTGGTGCAACGTACAGCGAAAGTAGAGTATGCTATGAAGTTGGCAACGAGCGCAGTCGAGATGTCATCTTGGCGACTTCTCACATGCTTACGCCCCAGCTCTTCCTTCGCCAAGTTGGAGACTTGAGTCGTGATAAAAGGCAGCTGGATCTTCCTGCGGAACGCAAGAAGCACGCGCCCGCACATCTTTTCGAGCGCCCGGCACCACCACCTCAGGCCCAGCCGCCGCCAAGGCAGCCAATGCCTGCCGGAGGACCTCGACCGGGCGGTCTTCCAAGCCAACCGATGGCTCGTCCGGGTGGTCTTCCCAGCAGACCAGTTCCCAGCGGCACTGTTCCCACGCAGGCCATGGCGAATATGAGCGTCAGCAACCCGCCTAACCACAGGCCTACGACGTCAAATAGCTCACATGACGATGGTAAACTACACAAGGAGAAGAAGAGGAGGAATTTCCTGGGCCTGAAGAAGTAGGGTTCTTTTCGGGAGAGGTCTTTTTCGTCTACTTCTACAGCGTCAAGTAGTGGAGACAAGAGCAAGAAGCAGCATGCTTGAACTTTTTATTTGCTTTTTGGAAGTAGAAGGATATCTTTTTTTTTTCCTGGGCACCCCCCCCTTTTTTCCTATTTTTGCGAGGAAGTGTTAATTCTTTTTCAAAACTCCTTTATCTTACTGTTTCCTATTCAAAATCTTTTTGGGTATATGTTTGTCTCCTGTTGTTGTTTCCCTAAAAGCGTGGCGTGGAGAATTGAGCGACAAAGTTGTGTCATTTGCGGGTGGAGGAATGGGTTGAATATTTCATGTGCCGAAGACGCCTTAATATTCTAATGAGTTTCAAGATGATGTCTCAGTAATAGAATTTTCTTTCTTTTTAATGAAGAGTGGGTGTAGTACTTTAAATGGCATGTCCGTATATAATGCGTGCAATGAGAATAACGTTGAAATCGTGCAAGCTAACAGGGATATATAAAACAACAAAAAGCCACGCCGACATGCTTCGCTATGCCACCATGAATCATCACAAGAAGTAAATTTGCCCATCAAATCAACTCCGTTGCCAAAAATTCAAAACCGAGTCTCAACAACCTTCTTCGCCTTATTCACCCTCTCCTGCGTCCTCTTGACCCGCTCCTGGTCCATACCCATCCTCCAAGTACAGCCCGCCGCAAATTCACACGTCGAGCATTTGAACGCCTCTTCGATAGCCACGCCCTTGGGTTTTCTGTCGCCGCGCCACCAGCTCATGTCGCCGGCGAGATACGTATCCAGCGTCTGTGGAGAAACAGGGAAATCGTGCGTGTTGAGCTCACGGCCGTCTTCGCGATAGACGTATTTCACGCAGAGGATGTGGCCTAGGGAATCTGCGCCGCGAGGGAAGGTGAGGCCGATTTCGTGCTTGACGAGGGGTAGAAGCTCGCGGAGGGTTCCGTACTTGAGAAGGTCGGGTGCGCCAGGAGCTGAATCCGATCCGAGAGCAGTGTGACTATCGTCTTGAGTTTCGCCTCCCCGTGAAGCAATCTCCCTGAATTCCTCCGCTGAACTCGTTGGTGAATCGAAGAAGATTTCGTCGTGAAGTTCCCCAATTTGAGACATGAATGTGTCGGAGAAGCGCACGTCGGCATCCAGTCCATATCGCCTGTATATTTTGAAAAAGTCCAGCTGATCAGCAGCCATGACAGACAAGAAGCGATGGTATAATAGCAATTGAATCTTTGCGGGGCGTATTATTGCTGGCGATATAGGTGTTAAAGTACCCCGTGTTTTGATATCCGCTAGAAAGATCTTGCGATCGCTGGCCTTGGCCTTGTTAGTAGATTTGGGAGGTGGAAAATAGTCAGAAATCATTGATTGCCCCTCGCTGGGCTGCGATCCTTGGTTTGACAGCTCCGTCTCAAAATCCGGATTCGGGTTGTCGTAGCTTATATCGTCGATGACGCCGTTAACCAGATTGCCGTCGACGAAGCCCCAAACTTCCAGCTCTCTTGTCAAGCCCGTATCGCGCAGCGTTCTCAGCCCCTGAACCAAATTCCACAACCTCAGCGCAAATCCGTCTTCTTTCTGCACAATCTCAATCTTGACAGTGGTGTGGACCTCGTCTTCAAGCTTCTTGTGCACTTTGGATCCCTGCTTCATGGCTGGTGTCCGGGTTCTACGCCCGCCAGGCAGTTGTGTGAGTGTGTACCAGTACTGAAGCTCGCACCATGCTCCGGCAGTCAGGTCGGTTACTGTTAGAGGTCTCTTGGGGAATGCTCGAAATCTCTGTAGAGGTGAGCGATCATCTTCATAATCGGCCTCGCCACCGTCGCTGAGCTCCGTAGGTGGCGGCGATTGGACGGACCCAAGCGCTTGTAAAGCGCCAGTTACTATATCAAAAATTAGTACCTTAGAGCTCAGTCTAGAATGGTGAAGATGAATTTATGCTCACAATCGGGATATGCGACAGGGTCGTGAGCTGATGTGGCAGATGAGAGAGCCCGGTTCTGATCTGCACCCCATACAGGTGCTTCTGGCGCCTTTCCCTTATCACCAGGAGTAAGCGCCAGTGCATCGTGGGGATACACACGCTCGTGAAACGCCTTTACTTCTTGCGATGCCTTGAAGCCTGCTACTGTCTTCTCCGCAGAACTTGCAGCAGCAATGAGCGCCACAGCGTCTGTCGACTGTTTCGAGGCATTGGAAGCAAGTTGGATCAAGAGCTCCTCGTCGTCGGTCTCAAAATCGTAGCCAAACTCATCGTCGCTCATGGTTGCCGCAGAAACTGGGTCATGATGCTGTCGTTGCTTATATGCGTGGAGGCGAAAGCAATGGCGGGGTGACCGTGAAGAAGCAGCTCAGCCCGCGCGGCTCAAGATTCGCGATCGAAACACGCGATCACGTGGGGCTAGGCATCTGCTGAGGATGTGCTGTGGCATGTTCCTGGGTGACCTGAAAGATGCCGATTGCTACTGTATATGATTGATTCATATAGATGGGACGGTGTTCAAATGAATGGAGAGCTACTAGCTGATCAAGACTGAATTCTCAATACCGTGATAAAGTGCATATTACGGCACGCACCGTTAATGCCACCAGCGAATGTCATCACAGGTAGAGAATATTTTAACAGCTGAGATAAGACCTGTTTCAAAGCTCTGCACCGTTCCACCTCGTCAATCACAGGAGGCTAGTGCCATCTCGCATCTTGGCAGTCAATTCGAGGAATTAATCTCTCATGCCCTCCGCTCGCACTTATACGAACCACATCTCGTATATGCAGCGCCGCTGTAAGTGCCATACCTAGGCCATCATTCTGCTAAGAATATCCATCCTGGCTACTGCCCAAGGTGGCAAGTGGGCTCAAGCGCGAATCGTCACTCATCCGCAAACGGCTGACTAAGCCAGTCTTTGATCCTGTACAGCTGTCTACTCTACTCTACTCTACGTGGGACGCGAGTTCATCCAGGCTCCTGAAGCTGCGCCTCGACACTGGACTCGACGTCTGCAATTTCCCGCTTGCGACACTGCTGAGTCGCCAATTACAGCGTCCTCTACAGAAGCTGCTCCCATTGCGCAGCGAGCAGCGCGGACCCCCCTGCGAGAGACGCCTGGCTGCGTCCATCATAACCCCTTCCGACCTGGCCTGAGCTTCGGCGGATACTAGGACCGGCCATTGCGAACACCTCAGCCTCTTCAACCTCTGCGTGGCATGATATAACCACAACCCTCAGCGATGCAGTTACCACATAGTGCGCCAGCAGCGCTCCTGGCGACCCTCTTTGCGGCGCCGCAGCTGGCATCGGCCTTTTACCTGCCCGGCGTCGCCCCGTCCTCCTACGAGCCCGGCGTCGCGGTCCCTCTCTATGTCAACAGCATCCGCCCCGTGGCCGCGCCGCAAGATGCCCGATTACACTCGGTCGTGTCCTACGACTACTACCATCCCGCCTTCCAATTCTGCAAGCCAGAGGGCGGCCCGGAATATGTGCCGGAGAGCCTGGGGAGCATCCTGTTTGGCGACCGGATCATGACTTCGCCGTTCGACCTCAAGATGGCCCACAACGAGACGTGCAAGTCGCTGTGCGCGGTAAAATACCAGGAAAAGTCGGTCGAGTTTGTCACGACGAGGATTGAGCAAGGATACAGCCTGAATTGGCTCGTGGACGGTCTTCCTGCCGGCCAGCAGATTCAGGACCAGCTCACGGGTACGACCTTTTACAGCCCTGGATTCCTGCTGGGACAGGACGACGATGCAGGCAACATCGTTTTCAACAACCACTACGAGATCTGGGTCGAGTACCACGAGGTCAATAAGAACCCGAACCAGCTTCGAGTTGTCGGCGTTGTTGTCCAGCCCAGCTCCAAGAAGTACGAGGGAGACGCCGATTGCGGCGACAACCACCAGCCGCTCATCTTCGCTCACGGCGGCGGGCCACAGGATGTCAAGTTCAGCTACAGCGTGTATTGGGTCAAGTCGCCTACTGCCTGGGCCACCCGATGGGACAAGTACCTGCACGTCTTCGACCCCAAGATTCACTGGTTCTGGCTCGTCGATACGGCCATCATCGTCGTCATCCTTGTGCTTACCGTCATGTCCATTTTGGTCCGAACGTTGAAGAAGGATATTGCGCGATACAATCGTCTGGACCAGATCAATCTGGACGACCTGAGTGGTACTTCGGTACTGGAAGATGGGGTTCAGGAGGACTCGGGATGGAAGCTGGTCCATGGCGATGTGTTCCGGTCTCCCTCCCGCCCGTTGTTACTTTCTGTGCTCTTGGGCAACGGAGCCCAGCTGTTTGTCATGACTGGCTTCACCATTCTGTTTGCCCTGCTTGGTTTCCTCTCGCCGTCTAATCGCGGTTCCTTGGGCGGCCTCTCCGTCATTCTTTATACCATTCTCGGAATCGTTGGAGGATACGTTTCTGCCAGGACTTACAAGTCCATGGGTGGCGAGCAGTGGAAGGTTAATATTGCTCTTACCCCTCTGCTTGTTCCCGGTATCGTATTTACCGTCTTCTTCCTCTTGAACCTGTTCCTTTGGGCCAAGCAGTCCTCTGGCGCCGTTCCTTTTACCACCATGCTCGTCATCGTCGGCATCTGGTTCGTCATCTCAATCCCTCTCTCCTTTACAGGCTCTTGGCTCGGTTTCAAGGCCGTTCAGCTCGAAGCTCCCGTCCGCACCAACCAAATTCCTCGCCAGATCCCCCCTGTTACGACATACCTCAAGCCCATCCCCAGCATGCTCATTGTTGGCCTGCTGCCATTTGGTGCCATCTTTGTCGAGCTGTACTTTATCATGAGCTCAATCTGGTTCAGCCGTATCTACTACATGTTCGGCTTCCTCTTCCTCTGCTACGGCCTCATGATTGCAGTCTGCGGCGCCGTTACGATTCTCATGACTTATTTCCTCCTGTGCGCCGAGAACTACAACTGGCAATGGAGATCTTTCCTCGCTGCTGGAATGAGCGGAGGTTACGTCTTCCTCAACTGCCTCTTATATCTGATCACCAAGGTGAAGCTTGGTGGTTTTGCGGGAGTAGTCCTGTACATTGGTTACAGCGCTTTGATTTCCTTCCTGTTCTTTATTCTTGCTGGTATGTTGCAAAACCATGCCCCTCTTCTCCCAACAATGACAAAAGCTAACAAGCTATTAGGCACTATTGGCTACTTTTCTTCTTGGTGGTTTGTACGAAAGATTTATTCTTCAATCAAGATTGATTAAACGGTATAGAGCTATACGTGGTGGCAGAAAGGGTTAAAGCAGGGCTTTGAAAAAATGATTCTTAAGCAACTTGTAAAGTACATGTATGAACATGGTGTGCGCAACGAATATTCGTTGAAAAAAAGGAAGGAGGAAAGATCAGCAATCTTTCTATTTTGCACATTCAAGGCGATATTGTCTTCGTTTTCTCTTTTTGGTGCAATTATGGAGAAAGTGAGAGGGATTGGGTGGGAAAAGAACATTTTGCGGGATAGACATGTTTCCAATTGAAGAATATTGTTTTGAACTACCTCAGTAACGTGCTTCTGGTATTGTGTTGTATTGGTTCTCTCTATCCTATTGCTGCTCTATACAATTCTAAGCTTAGCCTTCCACGCCCGTGGCATGAGTTGGTCGAATAAGGCAGCTAATCCTCATCGTCATCATCATCCAAGTCATCCAAATTCGTAAACTGGAACTGCTTCTTCTCCGGCCTCGCGCTCGGAGGCGCGTTGATAGCCGCATCTCCAGAAATACCAGCAGCGGTGCTCGCTCTCCGGAAAGCAGCTTGTTCTTTTTCTCTCCGCAGTAAATCTTCTTTGCGGAGGCGTTCCAGCTCTTCTCGCCTCTCGCGCTCGCGCTCGGCACGCTCTTGCTTTTCCTTTTCTTCCTTTTCCTTGCGCTCCTCTTCTTCTTTGCGTTTGCGCTCCTCTTCTGCCACGGGGTCGTAGCCCTTGGGATCGATACCTTGTTCTAGAAGGATTTGGTTGGATGCCAGGGCTCCAGAGCGGATTTTGTCTTCCAGGGGCCATGGGAAGAAGAGCTGTCCTGACAGGGGGTTGAGGAACTGGCTCATGTTCTCCGGCAGGCTGGTCAGCTGAGAGGTTTGGGTTTGCTGGGTTGATGGGTCCGGTAACACGCCATTGATAGGAGCGGGGCTTTGCGTGGGATTCGGCGTCTGAGCAGAGGGCGTCATGCCTGCTTGAGCTTGAGAGTCAGGTAACGGTGTTTGGCTCTCTTGCGTCGTCGAGGCCAGGGCGTTTAGTATCGCAGAGGGCGGCATGGACGTCTTGCTGATGCGGCGGGCATAGCTGAGGAGCTCTTCGTAGACAATGGGGTAGTTTGGCTCGGAGGGATAGACGGTGACTTGGGTGGTAACGATGTCTTTGCGGGTTGTCGCGAGGCTGGTGAGGGTTTCGCGAATTTGGGAATCTAGAGACGTGGAGAGCTGGCGAAGTTGTTGGATTTTGAGATGGTTGTTCTGATGTGTTTGCACTGCGCCATGGTTAGGGTCGTAATTATAGGTGAAAACTCGAGGCTGCTTCAGCATACCTTCTTCCAATCCTTTACAGAGCTCATCGTCGGCAGTCTTGAGCTCCTCCGCTTGAACAGTGGAGGGGTGGTATTTGGTGACCGAGTCGATAAGATTAGCAAGGGCTTTTTCCAGGCGCTCAAAGCGAGTGTCGATGTACGTGTCCATCTTGTTAATGGCTCGGCTACTTGGATAGACAGCGTAATCTTTTGTCGACGTGTAAGCGCGAACGGGAGATCTCGAGAGAGAAACGAGGCTGGTTTCCACTGGATCATAGCTTGTGTGGGGCGTGAGAATGGGATCGTATGATTGGGCGTCAAAATTCAAGATTGGCTTAGTCAGGGCCTCAGGCCAAAATCTCGCCCGAGAATCGCCGGCTTCAAACTCGCGCATTTTTGAGTGACGGCGCATCTTTCTCCACGACGAACTGACGAGCAATTGAACGATCTTTGCGGTTTTACTCGCTACCAACAGTCAAGATGGTCTCTCAAGTGCGTCGCAATTAATTCTCCTACCCTACTAGCCCTCACATGGCCGGCAGAATTGCCTTTTCGCGATGAAGCTAACTTTTTTCGCTGCGAATAGACCCCCCTCCGCGCTGCGGAATTCAAGAGCGCTTACGGCCCCAAGTACGTTCGAACTATACGATCCTGAGGATGGAATATTCTGCGATTCTGCGACTTGCCCTTGTCTTGGAGAGACTTGCGAAAGGCTTTCCCGGGGGGATCTCGCGCACCTTGGATAGCGGTTCCAGCAAGCTAACATTTTCGCAAAGATACGCTTTCCAGCCCAACTTCAAGGGCATCAGCGTCCAGTCCGCCGCCCGATAGTAAGTCACCGGACTTCTTTGTTTCTTCGATATCTACGGCTGGAGAAGGATGACGAGGAGCGGCGGGAAGAAGTCTTTTGGGCTGCATAGTGGGGTGATTGAAACCGGGAGTTATCATGGGATATCTTGGCCGCATTATGCAATTGTCCCAGACTCTGAGAGCCGTCTCTTCAAATCTTCTCCAAACAATTAGACGTTTGGTACAGACACAAGGCTCTGAGTTTGCTAACTCGTCAACAGCGGCTTCCGATCTGCCACTATCGGTGCCGGCCTCGGTATGGCTCTGGTTCTCTTCGCCTCCAGCCTGCCTCGTTTCCGTGCCGATGTCCTCTCAGTAAGTTGTTCGCTGGTATAAAGCAGGAGTTTGTATACTGACAAGGTTGGCTTAGAAAATCCCCATTATCGGCAGCACCTGGGAGAAGAAGGAGATCCACCCCGCTGACAACGTAAGTTCTGTCCTATTTGATTTCGTCAGGAGAGTGGATGCTGACTGATATGTTGATAGCCTTTCTAAATGCATTTCTCTATGGATTGGTGTTTGGTGAAAAACTGTAAGGCTTTGCGCAGCGATTGCGGTAGCTTGCCTTTGTATAAGAGATACACAATAGACATATTCTAAACTACAGTATTTATTATTCATTACAAAAGTGATATGTTTATGAATGGACTGTAATACTTCCTTTCTCCTCTAAATGGCTTATGCTTATGTAGTCTTGCCTAAGCGTAGTTGACTTCTTGATCCAGGCTGCACAGTGCCTTTATGCGGTTCTCACTGTCTGCGTCTCATTGATCTTGCCAGCTCATCTCATTCCAACTTGCTGCCAGTTCAACACCGTGACACGCCTCAGCCCATGCAAATTCATGTCAAAATGGAACGCTCATTATAACTGTTAAAATCTTCATCCTCCTTCTTTTCCTGAATTACTTTGAAAATTAAGCAAAGTCTCCTTCTACCGACATGGCATCGCCAACGGGCGGCGCCCCTGACGCCCTAGCAAGCTTCAAATTCGCATCATGGGCTGCCGGCGCTGTCCCAGTCGCTTTCGTTCTCCATACATTGCTCTTCAAAACCAGCGCAAATAGTTCTGGCAGTCTAGGTCTTGGATTTACTGTTTTCCTTGCGGCGGCGGCGTTCCTCTGGCTGGGTGTGGTGTCTGAAATTGTTCCCGAGCCGTATCTGGTGAGCATAACAAGGGAGAATCTGCAAAGTGCACAGCATGCTAATCGGATATGTATCAACAGGATGAAGTATTTCATATTCCCCAAGCGCAGAGGTATTGCGAGGGCAAATTCTTGGAGTGGGATGACAAGATTACTACGCCCCCGGGATTGTAAGTTGGAGGCTTGCCGATATAAAGGGGAGCAGTTTATACAAGGGAGGTGAACTAACAATGCGGCCAGGTACTGGATATCGATCTTGATCCCCCAAGCAGCAAAAAGCAGCGGCCTAATCTCTTCTTATGCATGTGGTCCCAAGTCTCTTCGGGCAACCAACGCAGTCGGCATCATCGTGCTGAGCTACATAGCCCTGCTCTGTCGAAAAGCAATCGAAGCACGTCTTCATCAGGCGCATTCATCCATCAGCATCAGCTCCACATCTCAGTATGCCACTCACACAGCCTTTAACATTGCTCTTTTCCCTCTACTCTTTTTCTTTTCGGGGCTTTACTACACGGATGTTATATCCACAGCTGTTGTCCTCGTATCCTTCTTAAACCATCTTCATCGCATTGGTCGTGATCGGAGTTCATTCTTGAGCGATGTCATAACCATAGTCCTAGGGCTGTGCAGTCTCACCATGAGACAGACAAACGTGTTTTGGGTTGTTGTCTTCATGGGAGGTTTAGAGGCCGTCCATGCTGTCAAGAGTTTGCAGCCAGAGGCGGTTGTCCAGCCGTACATGACGTCGCTGTCGGAGCAGTTGTTGTTTTTCTTCAAGAGATGGTCCGTTGGACATGTGCATGATCTGCCATTGAACATGGCATACCCCGAAGGTAAAAAGACCCCTAAATCTTCCAGCTCAAAACCAAATCCTAACCAAGGGATTCCAGACATGCTATTCACCGCCGTCAGTCTCATAGTCGCAGCACTCTGCAACCCCTTAAGACTCATCAGGCAGATATGGCCCTATATCACCGTCCTAGCCGCCTTTGCAGGATTCGTAGCATGGAATGGCGGCGTGGTCCTTGGAGACAAGTCAAACCACGTTGCCACCATACACCTCCCGCAAATGCTCTACCTCTGGGCCTTTTTCGGCTTCTTCTCACTCCCGCTATTCGTCCCGTATGCGATTCTAGTAGTCGATGCTGTACGAAGCGTCCTCATTGCACGGAAGGATAAAGACATACCCAAAGAGAGCAAGAATGTAGCACGTAAGCCGGCGCTGTCCCTCCCACTGAAACTCTTCACCTTCATCTTCAACAATCGACTTCTATGGCCGCTCTACTTGGCCGCTACCTTTGTCCTGTCGGGCCTCGTCGTCCGCTTCAACACCATCATCCACCCGTTCACTCTCGCCGACAATCGCCACTACATGTTCTACGTCTTCCGATACACCATTCGCCGCGCGCCTTGGATTCGATATTTCCTCGTCCTCCCGTATACGATCAGTCGCTGGCTCGTCTGGGGCACTCTATCCGGCTGCACGAATTGGATCTCGGGAACTCACAAGGACGCTTGCTCTGCATATTACCACTCATCTCGCCCGTCGTCATTTACATGCGATCCCTTTGTCGCAGCAGATGTTGATGCATCTACGTCTAGAAACTTTCAAGAAGAGGTAAAGAAAGACACTAAGCAAGACCCCCTCTTCATCTCAACGGAGCCCGTCCCAACATCCACCGGGCTCATATTCCTGCTCGCCACCACCCTTTCGCTCATTACAGCGCCATTGGTTGAGCCACGCTACTTCATCATACCATGGGTCGTATGGAGGCTTTTGGTACCTGCTTGGCGACTGCATGACCATCAAGAAGGAGAAAGTAGTCTGTTCGACGGCGCCAGTTCAACATCACTCTGGGGCAAATTCGTCAACTTTTGTCGCGGTTATGACGTTCGGCTGATCTTGGAAACAATCTGGTTCGTTTTGATTAATCTCATCACGGGATACATATTCCTCTCCAAGCCATATGTTTGGAAGGCCGAAGACGGAAGTATCCTCGACGGAGGAAGATTACAGCGCTTTATGTGGTAGACCAAAAAGAATTACGGATAGAGAAGTGTATTTGCTTAGAGGCTGTAACAAAGCCCCATTTCTTCTTATGCCAGATGAGTACGATTGTAAAAACTTTCAGTTGTAAAAATATTCCGAACCCAAATTGCAAAACAACGCCGCGCCCATGTTCCCAGTATCCATAGCCTGAAATTCCCAAGTCAAGGCCTTTCCTGTAGGCATTGTTTTGATGATTTACATCCTTATGTTGCCCCATATCCAAAAACAAAACTCGCTCTAGTCATATATATACTTTTTCTCCCATGCTGATGGTAAAACAAGAAAGAGTGAGTGAAAAAAGAAGAAGAAAAGATGATGCAGTCATTCTGAAAGTTGTTTCAATGATGATGCAGTCATTATGAAAGCGTTTTGATGATGTGTCACCATCATTCAAGGTGACCCCCCTTCAGCCCTGAGCCTATAAACTTAGGCGATCGAGACTCAGGCCATCATTACTCCTCACCCTTCGAATGACGCCCATCTTGAAGAACTTCTCCTCTCCGGCCGCCGTCCTGCCGCCGATATACCACTTATCCGCGCCGAGCGCATCGCGAAAGCCTTCGCTACTGCTGTCGCTGCCCCTTCTGCGCGAGCCGTTGGGGATAGGGATGGGCCCGCCAGGAGAACCGCGCGGCGTGTGGATGGCGACGTTGGTGGACGATGTCGTGGCGGCGTTTGAGGAAATTGCGCGGGCGGTCGAGGACGTGGTGGAAGATGCTGCGGCTGCGGCTGATGTGGAGGCGGCGGCGGCGGCAGCAGCAGCAGCAGATGCGGAAGCGGCCTGCGATGTGTGTTTGGTGGCTTGTTGAGAGAGGGCGGGCGCTTGTTGTCGGAAGGAGTTGAAGAAGGAGGAGAGGAAGAATGGACGCTGTGACGGCATCGTTTTTGTGTTCCCCTTCTCCCTGCGTGGCGATGTATAAATTGTCGTAGTTGAATAAATAACGCTGTCTACTGAATGCTGATTGTAGGTAGTATCCAAGATTTTTTATTCTGATTTCGCGCGTGCTTGTGCGTGCGCGCCTGCGTCTTTGTGTGCCGTAGGTAGGGTTGAGACGGTATGGTACAGTATGCCGCTTGTGGACGATCCCGGGCTGCAGATTTTCAATGCAGAGTGGCTGCCGCTGCAGATGCCGAGAGCCTATCGAATGAGACAAAAAGTCGTCGCGGTTGGGCTGCGACGCGGTGAGGCCCAGCGATGATGCAGAGATGGCGCAAAGAGTCGTGTCTATGGCGGATAGGCCGTCTCGCGTTGAGAGCGAGAAGCCGAGGAAATGAGAGGCGTCACCGTCAGAGGCTGCCAAGGGAGACAGAGATGAGACGAAAGAACAGATGGCGGGTGTCGCACAGCGTCGGGAGAGTCGAACAGGACGAGCGACGTTCAGGAGAGGCCGCGGCGCGAAGATCGAAGACGCAAGGCAGAGCGTGAGTGCAAGGGCCGGTCGTCCGGAGATGGATCTGAAGAGTTGGTGCGCTGATGGTCCGATGTTTCTGAGACCGAGATTCTGACGTCGAGGTCGGCAAAACTCGGGCTCTGGCGACCAGGGCAGCAGACGGCGGCCAGTGGCTAATGGCGGGGCCGTGATAGGCTGGAGGGCCTGGAGAAGGGGCCTGGAGCCGCTAATAGCCTAGTAGGGGCTGCTAGAAGAAATCTGGGGATCACGGACCAGGCCAGACCCCAGCCTGCAAGTCACACTGTGCACGTGCAAGACGTGATGAAGATGGTAGTATCACTCTGGGACCTCATTTATCTCTGCGCTTTTAGCAGATGGACTAAGAGATTAGATGCTAGATGCAGACACTCGGCCTTTATATCTTGATGCCGCTTGGATGCGGGGAAGGCAGAAGATGATGGATCGCGAACACGATGAGGGAGGCCTAAAACTACTGACCCGGCTCATAAACGGGGCGTTGCCCGGCGTAAAACTTTGGCCTGCCCAACTGCCCTTGACACAATATGGCGTGAGCTTTCGGCCGGCAGATCTGACCTGCATATCTTCATGCACGCTCAAGACGCCGTTGGTCGCATTCATGAGGCTATTGATGCAGATTGATTCTCCGCACTCGTTGACCAGCAGTTCTGGAGTTGAGAATCGGGGGTTACATTCCAGCGTGCCCAGAACGTCGACGCCGATTATCAAGTGGTCACGTTGTGCACTGCCTGATGGGGCTCCGATTGATTTTGAGCTGTTTTCTGTACTCGATGCTATATACTATGTGCTGTATTGATCACTGAGTGCATGGGGGAAGCGAAATGGGCTGGAGGATTGGAGTCATGTGCTCTGCTTTCCCTCGGGAAAAAAAAGGAGAAGGATGGATGCAAGCAGCTGGGCCTCGCGACGTGCTTGATGACCTCGGCTTAAAGGAGGATGAGAGAATCACAAAACTGTGCTTGGGGACATGGGGATTCAGCTGAAGCCTGGGATACTGTCTATTGAATGCTAAACACAGTGAATACTGGACTGCCGAATGATTCAAGGACGCTCCATTCATGCGCGTTTGCTAGGTGAGAAACAGCCTAAGCCAGAAGCAGCAAGAGATTTGCTCGGCAGTCCATGAGCCTCTGGGAGTCACAAGCCGCACCAAACGCTTCTTCTTTCTGTCTTCTGCAAGCACTACCAAACACGCCCACGGCAGTTCGCAAGTGCAGGGGTATTTCGCCTTGCTTGAGCGTGAATACCCCGTATTACCTGCATCAGCGCGTTTGAATCTGCGTCTGCTAAATGGGAATAAGCGCTGGAAACGTGGACATGTCCGAGGCTTTACATGATCGATTGCACTAACAACACGAAGTAGAAGACTTGTAGGTTGAACCAACAAATAGTCTATTTCTATCGAGCAACTGGATCTATATCTTATACGCCAAATCATGCCGCTAAATCCAAAATGAATATTCCTCAACTACACCATGATACCCCCGTTCACCAGCACCGTCTGGCCCACAACCCATGAACTGTCTCCGCTGGCCAGGAACTTGACCGTGTTGGCGATATCCTCCGGTTCGCCAAGCCTGTTAAAGGGGCTCCACGCCTTGATCGTGTTGACCAGGCCCTCAGGCTTGCCCTTGTAGAACAGCTCCGTGGCAGTTGGGCCAGGAGCCACGGCATTGACGATGATGCCCTTTGCAGCCAGGCCCTTGGCCATCACTCGAGTCATCTGCTCAATGGCTCCCTTTGTCGCTGCGTAGAGGAGATATTTGGGCGATACTGATGAATGATGGCAAACACCTGTAGAGATGAAAATGATGTGCGAGCCGGGCGGCATGTGAGGAACCGCCTTTTGAGCCAAAAAGTACGGGCCCTTGACGTTGAGATCGAAGCTCTTAGCAAAGTCGTCCTCGGTGGTGTCCTCGACGTCTCGCATCAGCATCAGGCCTGCATTCGCCACGACGGTGTCGATGCGGCCAAACTTGTCGACGGCGGCCTGGACGAGGCGGTCGATGTCGTCGATATTGGCGGCATCGGCCTGCACAGCAATGGCACGGTCTGCGCCAAAGGAGTCGACGAGGGCGTTGGCGGATGAGGCGTCGTTTCGGTAGTTGATGACGATGCGGGCGCCTTCTTGGTAGAGGCGCTGGGCGCAGGCTTTGCCGATGCCGCTGGAGGCGCCGGTGATGAGGATGACTTTGTCTTGAAGAGACATTATCTATATCTTAGTTTATATATGAATATCCAAGTGATTGTAAATGAAAGATGTGGTTGACAATGGTTGTTGGAGTGAGTATTGTTCTATTGTTGATGCTTTACTGTTGTTAATCAGACACTTTCAAAATCATAGTAGATACTGTCCATATATATATAGATATATATTATTAATTATTTACTCTACGTTGTAACAGATTTGCAGCTCCAGGGTTCATGATGCCATCACGGAGCAGCGAAAACGACATACGATTGAAGGTGCACCGGATTTGAAGCCGTTGAAGCAACTCCCGAGCTGTAAAATCGAGGGCTCGCGGCCCGTACTGCTGCATTCCCGGGACTAACGCATCGGCCGTAGAGGATCAAGGCGAGAGCCTGTAAATCCGATGGCGCTAATCATCTCGGCTTTCGCTTTCCTTGATTGACATTTCGAATGTTCCGCCATTACAACTATGAGGTTCCATTCCGAGATAAGAAAAAAGAGTTATAGCGTTTATCAGTCTGAGTTAGCCCACTATTGAGACAGAGGGTCGGTTTCATATAAGCTAGCACGTATAAGACATGATGGCATCATGGCATTCTACGATGACTGTAGACACATAAGAGAATGATACTGATTAAGCTGTTCTAAGTAGGATGCTTATGATAGTTTGCTTAAAACTTAAAAAAATTATTGGCTTCGATTCAGTTGTTAGAGGGCACAACCTGGTTGAAGTACATACCTCGAATTCAATGCTACGGTGCATTGACGAAGATTATAGTCTTGAACGGCCTCGGGAATTGTATTATTGTGGAGAAGTGAGCTTCTCGGAAAGAGAAAAGAATGCTGTGAAGCCCCGGCCGCCACGGATACAGATGCTCACATGTACACTTCATCCATGTACCAAAGCCCCAATCAACAAATGAGCTTTGGGGTGAACAAAAGAAAGAATGGTATGAATAGAGTCACGACGCATGAAGCTATGCTTGTTCTTTATCGAATACGTAACTCACGTATTGCCCAAATGCTTCAAGGGGTCGCGCGGGTAGGCACGCCGAGGCGGTTTTGTACATATTTAGCAGATACTTGTAACCGACACTTTTACATGCCTCATAATCCAATTGACGAGTAAGCTACGGGAAGGGTTAAGAATGCTGTGAACCGGAGCAGTATGCTGCACATGTATGCGTGTACACCCCGTAGAATAAGGTGCCTAGTGGTACTTTGGGACAGGTTAAAAATGCTGTGAAGGTGGCGAGGCCACATTCTGCGCTCTCTTGTAGGGAAATCTAAGCCGACGTTGCAAGATATGTCGCTGGTATATCTTCAGTGCCTACTAGTAGTGACAGATTTCCTGGATACATACCTGCTAGGTAGCATTCATCAGCTTAACTTTTTTTCCGCTGTTTTAGTATTGCTCACATACGTAGGTGCTCCACTTCAGCTGCAATCACTTAATCCTGCAGCTTCATCGAAAAACGCGGTATACTACATGTACTACTTTTATCTGTACAAAATAGTACCAATTACCAGAAATAAGTTGCTATAGAAAATAGAAGACATATTCTAAAGGTCATACAAATTCTTAAAGTAAGCGCTAATCATAATGATTACTTGTATTTGTTTATGGAGCTGCAATTGGATATATGTGGCGATGATAGCAACCAGAAAAGCCATAATCACATGCTCTCCCGCTTATTCACTCACTCCCCAAACGCGCATCTTACATCACAACAATTTCACGCAATCTTAATCATGGGCAGCTGGCAAGCATATCTCGGCTCGTGGATGGTCTGGTGGCGATTCAAGGCCTCGCTCCAATCCTCCAAGGCCCTTCGCCAGCGCATCGAAAATGATCGCCAGACCAAGAGCACGCGCCCGCCAGCGCATCTAGAAGCGCAGTTCATCATCGAGGAGCGCCATCTTGGCGGCTGTACTCTCTACGACGTAGCACCGAAATCCGAGATGCCAAACCAGGCTCGCATCTTGTATCTTCATGGCGGCTGCCTCTTATTCGAAGCCGACGCGGTGCACTGGCAGCTGGTGGGAATGCTTGCAGAGCGACTACAGGCCGTGGTGACAATGGCGATATTCCCGCTGGCGCCGGAACATACTCTGATGGAGATTTTTGATGCCGTGAGGCCGGTGTACGAAGACTTTGCTTTGCCGTCGCAAGAAAAGACGCCCTTTTTTGTTGTGGGCGATTCTACCGGCGCGAGCTTGGGCCTTTCTCTTACCCAAGAGGCTCTGAAAACAGGCCGCCCGGCAGCATCGCGGCTCGCGTTCATGTCTCCTTGTGTAGAGTTCACTTTTCTGAATCCAGAGGTGCGGGAAGCCGCCAAGACAGATCCATGGCTGGATATTCCCGGCTTTGAAGAAGCGGTGCGATATCTTTGCCCGGATGTATCGCCCGATGACCCGCGAGTGAGCCCGCTATATGGAGACGTCAGCAGGCTTCCGCCGACATTGATATTTGCTGGATCAACCGAAATGTTGACACCAGATGTCAGGAAGTTTGTGGCCAAGGTTGTAGAGCAGGGACGAGAGATTGAGTATGTGGAGGGAGAGGGCTTGATGCATGTGTGGCCATTGATTCAGTTTATACCAGAAGCTAGAGAAGCTGTGGATAAAATGGTAAGGTGGCTAGAATTAGGGAAAGGCGCATGATTTAATATTGTAGAGCTTGGGTAAGAGTTGTTTGAACTGTGGATGAGAGGGGATGAGATATGAGCACGGTACGTGTTGGAGGAACGGATTGAATATTTGTTCTTATTATGATTATATTTTATGGGAAGCTTTTTCATGACTTATTTTGTTACATCAATATGTAAGCTGCCTGAGTGCTTAACAATGGCATTCGCATTGGCATGGTTGGGCTCACCTACTAAGCCTACATATATAATAGTATAAACTCTGTTTTCTTCAGTAAACATCTGACGGATATGCTATCCCTCCCTTTCCCGCAGCCACTGTGTGCCCGCCATCTAGTTCTTACCGAGCAGCTCTAAATAGTGGCCCACAACTGACACCACTTGTTCCTCGAATCCCTTTGCCTTGAATCCAAAAACCTTTTCTGCCTTGGTACCATCTACCTGTGTCTTGTTCGTCACCAACTTCTCAACAGTCTCAAAGCTGAATATGCCTTCGGCAGCTGCTTGAGGGAAATGCTTCCTGATAATCTCGGCGGATTTTCGCCAGTCAAATTCCTCGAGATGGTGTGATCCGGCCAAAAAGTCCTGGTTGCCCTCCACTTTGGGATCCAGGGACAGGACATGAAGTTTAGCAACGTCATCGACGTGGACGGGAGGGCCTGCAATGGGGGTTGTTCGTGGTGTGCCGAGCAGCGGGCCCATTAGCATGCCGTTGGTTCCCCTGACGATCTCTTCGGCAGTTGTGACAGTCTCATCGCGTCCGAGGACGTAGAGAGGGAAGATGTGAATGAGGTCAAAAGGCGGGTTTCTCTCAGCGATAAATTCTTTCGCCTTGTTAAATGCTGCGGATTTGGATGCTCCGTAAGCGTCGAAAACATTGGTAAATGGACCATGAACTGTTGGGGTTCGTGTCTCCTCTGCTTGAATATTAGCAAAATGAACAATGAAGGCATTTGGGGATCATAAATCTCGGCTAGATAGCTCACCATTAATGTATTGACCTGAGCCAAACGTCTGTAGATTGACGATGGAAAGGATAGACCCAGTAATGACAACTCTCTTAATACCGGTGGTCTTCTCTGCCGACTCCAAGATGCCTACAGTTCCCTGAATAGCTGGCTGGATCAGGTAGCTTTCATAGTCAACTCCGGGAGGAGCGTTGCTCGCTAATGGAGAAGCAACGTGCACAATGTATTCGACGCCCTTGACAGCTTCGTCATAAGCTCCAGGAACTGTGATATCTGGTACAATTACGCTGGTCAACTCTGAAGCGTAAGGGGCAACAGGCTTGAGTTTTGATATTTTGTCAAAGCCGGCTTGGTTTCGCACAGCAGCCCGGACTTTGTAGCCTGCTTCAAGGAGGAGAGTGAGGACTCGGAAGCCAATCATGCCAGTGCCTCCGGTAAGCTATAACATGTTAGTGATGAAGCTTTGATAAAAAATGGAATGCAAAACACTGACTAATACGAGTTCGCCCGCCATGGTGACTGTTGTGAACTGAGTTATGAACTTGTTATAATATGAATGATGAAAAGTGAATGTTGAAGAAAGGATACTGGTGTATATAAATGTTTATGATGACGTCAAAGAATATTAGCTATAAGTTTTATTATTGGAGCTGAAACTGGTATAGATGATGATAAAACTCTATTTATATGTAAATATAGTTGAAAGATTCATCTCAAAGCCAGTCGAGGCTAAAGAAACGCCATAGCACTCGGAGCCTCGGACACAACGGCGCTCGGTTAAATCAATCCTATGCTTCACTTCTTCAGTTTTAGTCTCATCTCATGTTGTGTCTTGGAGTCAAAAATAAAGATTTGTAATAAAATGAATCCCATTCACGCACGCCATGGTATCTATCGCTGTGTCTAAGCCCAAAGTCCGTTTCGCCCGCCTATGGAATTATAAGTAGGTGACCCACGAAGGATCCAGCTGCTTTCCGAATGCGTATAAAGGTCTGCAGATGGTGTTGTAGATGGCGCACTATCATTGGCGGGAAAGATCAATTTCCCGCACAATGCCGAAAAAGTCCACCAACACTGAACCACATTAATGGAGAGTGCCTCGGTCTGAGAGAATGATTAGTAATGATATTTCCGATGTCTTCAACGCCCTTTGCTTCTCAAATTAATAATAATACCACAGATACTATTGCAAGACTTTGGCTGATTAATGCTCTTTAAGAGATGTGTTGATGCAATCTTTGGATATAGATTGTTCGACCGATTCCAATTGTTGAAATCGCATCTGTCTCCACTGCGCCAAAAGCCAACGCAGAGGTGGTGGTAACCGGAGTTAACATGGAAGTTAAGACAGAGACTCTCTAGGCCTCTTACAAGATTAGCAACGGTTTTGCTTATCGTATTGTTATAGACCAATATTGCCTGTTTCTTGGGCAGCTGCTTGTAATCTTGCTGCCGGCGACATGAAAGAGTTAAGACGTCATTGTGCTATACAGGGCACTTTAACCATCTTCTTTAACTTACCGACTGGCACTTACTAACATCTGACCGAATACAAAGAGGGCTATATCGTATGCAAGTTCGGAGCACCTTTTGCCTTTTTCGTAGTTCTCAATGATTGTGGATCATTTCGGGCTGTTTAAGGCGGGTCTATTAGACTGCAATTTTGGGCAACACGGCAATACTTGGGAACTAGTGAAACTCGAGCACAAGCTCGCCGATGCTTTTTATAGATGCCTATGTAGATTCCGATGCATTACTCTTATAACTTAACAACAATGGCAAAGCTAACATGTTGCTCGGAAACACTTTTATACGACGAGTAAGCAAGAGACAAATAATAAGACAATTAAAGAACGATTCCTTTTTTGGCTGAACGCTTTCAATTATGACATAAGCTTCCCTGTGGTAATAATGTTGAGAAAACGATAAACGCATCGCAACCTTAGGGGCCGCGAGGATCAATTTCTATTAAGTCAGAGTAAGTATAAATAAAGAATTTCGCGTCCAATAAATGCTAAAATGAATAAATCTTAATCAAGTTTCAAGTAAAAGATCGGATTAGCCCTCTTTATGACTTTATACGGTGAAATTTATATTATTGGGCATTCATTCTTCTTGGTGAGATTGCCAACAGCGAGATGGTCTTACCTTCAGCCGCAAATTCATATGATAATATTTACTCTTTAAGAATGAAAAAAGAACAAGGAAATAAATTTCGGCGTAAATGTTTGCGACACAGGCGCTTTTAAGAGTACATTCAGCCGATGAAAAGTGAAGTTTCTGAGACGCTTAATAATTCTACCGATGCTAAACCGCAGTATCGTCAAAACGTTTACACCTGAGCTATGTAAGCCAACTATCGGCAAGCTTAGATGGCTACATTTAAGGTTTAACGCTGACGTAGATTTTCAATGTTTGCGCAAATGATTTTCTAATTCATTGAACATTCATGCACTTGGCCGCAATGTTTGACGGATTCGATATATTCACCATAACAACGCAGGTTGAGCCACATGTCTCAATCTTCGGCATTCGAAGCGGCGATGCCTCGTCAGCGAAGCGCCCGCCTTTACTGCTTCTTCACGGCTTTCCCCAGAGCCACCATATATGGCACGAGGTTGCAATGCAACTAAGAGACACATACAACATTGTCATCATCGACTTGCGGGGATATGGAAGCTCATCGAAACCGGAAGATGTGTCGCAGTATGCAAAGAGTTTCATGGCTCGGGATTGCATAAAAGTGATGGACGAGCTTGGCATCACTGGCTCATTCTTTATCTGCGCTCATGACCGCGGCGCGAGAGTAGCGCATAAACTGTGCGTCGACTACCCAGACCGCGTTCGCAAAGCCATATTCCTCGATATATGTCCTACTCTAGAGATGTATACGGTGAGAAATCCGAACTTTGCGAAGATGTACTGGCACTGGTACTTTCTGATTCAACCATCGCCGCTGCCTGAGACGCTCATATCTGCAAGTCCTCGGCAATTTGCGGAATTGTTTATGGGAGGACGGCAAGCAAGCGGTCTTGCAATATTCGATAAGGAGAGTCTAGAACATTATGTCTCTCATCTCGGAGATCCAGAAACGATACATTCGATGTGTCAAGACTATCGAGCGAGCGCTACATTGGACCTTGACGAGGCACGAGAGGATATCAAGCTGGGGAGGTTGATGAAAAATCCCTTGCGAGTCTTATGGGCTAGGCATGGAGTTATCGGAAAGCATTTTCATGCGGTCAAGGATTGGAAGGCTGTCAGCGATGCTGAGGTTGATGGACATGATGTTGATTCTGGGCACTATCTTCCGGAAAATGTGCCAGATGAGGTTGTGGCCAATATTCTAGAGTTTTTGCAGTGAATCATCTATAACTGGATGCGTATAGACGATTTTACAAATTCGAATCAGTCTTTGTTACAGGTGCGATTCTATGATGATGCAGTGAGAACGTCTGTGTAATGAAGCGCGGTTCCGAAGGTCCCAATGAGCTAGGGACACACAAGGACATGAAGAATGAGGCACACAGTATTAGCTCAACGGATAGAACGTATCCATAGTATGGATTACAAGGCATTTTGATGCATATAGCAGTTTAAACCCTGTGAACCATTCTCATTACTATTAGTATAATAGAATTGTGCATTTTTGATCTTGCAATGTTTCATTTGGAAGACGTCTCAGTAAGTAGATGCCCGACCTAGAAAATTACCCGAATAGGAAGATTGTCTCGGGTGAGCTTTTAAGCTACGTCATTTGGTATTGAGTATTTCCATCGTGTAGAAAGTAACATTGATCAACTTGGTAGAAAATTCAGCCTCTACTTTCATATAGACAGATCTTACATCTAACACCCGCGGCTGGGCTATTTATATGCGCTCTTGGCGGTGCTTGAGGCATTCTCCAGAGTACACAGTGGTGTGTGTATTATACCCCGCCAATCGCCGGCTGCTCGTGTATGCGAAACATGCGGCTTAAAGAACAAGCGTACATGTGCGTATGTTGATCATTTGCTACGCACTTTAATTATCTCGCTTTCATCATTTCATCATATATGTGTTTCGAACTGTCCGACCTATTCTTTGGAGCATCTCTCACTACCATAACCAAGCGAACATGGCACCCAAGCTTCTCAAGATCGCGGTCATCCCAGGCGATGGCATCGGCAAGGAAGTGATGCCAGCAGGCGTGGCATGCTTGGAGGTTCTCTCCAAGATCTACAACATTCCGATTCAGTTTGAGTGGTTTGACTTTGCGAGCTGTGATTACTACCAGAAGCATGGCGACATGATGCCTCCCGACTGGAAGGAAAAGCTGCTTCAATTCGACGCCATCTACTTTGGCGCCGTGGGCATGCCCGATATCGTCCCAGACGACGTATCACTGTGGGGGAGCCTGATTAAGTTCCGTCGCGAATTTGATCAGTACATCAACCTTCGTCCATGCCGCCTGATGCCGGGAGTGCCATGCCCTTTGGCTAACCGCAAGCCGGGCGACATTGACTTTTGGATCGTGCGGGAGAACACCGAGGGAGAGTACAGCAGCATTGGAGGAAAGATGTTTGAGGGAACGGACCGCGAGGTTGTCATTCAAGAGACGGTGATGACGAGAACGGGAGTGGATCGCGTGCTTCGATATGCTTTTGATCTTGCCCAAAGTCGGCCGCGCAAGAAGTTGACCAGCGCGACAAAGAGCAATGGAATCAGCATCACAATGCCTTACTGGGATTCGAGGGTACAAGAGATGGCTACCAAATATCCCGACGTTAGCGTCGACAAGTATCACATCGACATCTTGACGGCACATTTTGTACAGCGGCCTAACATCTTTGACGTTGTAGTCGGCAGCAATCTGTTTGGCGACATTCTATCTGATCTGGGCCCAGCTTGCACAGGAACCATCGGAATTGCCCCATCGGCAAACATCAACCCCGAGGGCAAATTCCCGAGTCTCTTTGAGCCCGTTCACGGCAGCGCTCCGGACATTGCTGGCAAGGGCATTGCAAATCCGGTGGGCATGATCTGGGCCGGCCAGATGCTGCTGCAGCATTTTGGACATAAAGAGGCTGCTGATGAGCTGCTTCGGGCGATTGAGACTGTCATGGCTCGCGCTGAAGTCAATGTGCTTACGCCGGATGTTGGCGGTAAAGGAACGACGGGTGGATTTGGAGATGCGATTCTGAATGAGATTCTGGGGAGGGCAGACGCATCAAAAGCATAGATGTAAGGGATGTTTGCAGGTTGGGCGTGCTGCTGGATTGTGTGCGACTTACACGTTGCTAACAGTCCCTAGGCTTTAACTCGGAGTGACACTTGGTTCCAGTTCCTTGATAATTTTACATGTCCAACATTATGAGTATACTTGTGATACAAGACTGGGATCAATGATAGGCCACAAGCTTATGAGAATAGTACGAGAGCAATAAAAAATTAGACATCTCATCCTTCTCTCGTTTTCTTCCCATCGTCAACACCGTGATGTAAGCAACGTGCAACTAAGCCACAGTAACACGACCCTGTAAGAGCCGCGGAAGCCAATTTGTCAGCCTCGTTGAAGAGCTGGTTCCGCACTTTCTGCGGCAATATCATCCCCATGTGTCCGCAATATGCCGCAGACCGATTAATCAACCACAGGCCCATCCAATTATCGCCCATCCAGCGCGTCGCTGTCCATCATGAGCCGCCGGTACGAAACTCTGGCGACTACTCCAGCGCCCTTTGCGTGCCTGGCTTGCCGGGATTCTAAGCGCCGATGCGACCGCTCCATTCCGCAGTGCAAAGGCTGCATCCAGTGAGCCTTTCCCTAACCCCCTTGCATTGCAGTGTCCACAGGCCACTATAGAGGACTGGTGTTAATCAGTGACGTTGCCCTGCTAGAAAGCGAATTGTGTGCGACTATCCGTACCGCCGGAAGAAGCGAGAGCGAAAGCGACCAGCCAACAATACTGCTGTCTCTCCAATTTCAGGTCTCCTCACAGACCACTCTCCAGGCTCCGGCTCAGCGGAATACTCCCAGGCAAGCCCGGGTTATTATGATCTCGCGCCTTTGCACCCAACAGGTGCCAATTTCCTCACTGAGCGGTTCCTGGACCCTGAGGGCTTCCGCAGCGCCCAGCTGAAAGTGCCCGAGTTGGACGTGGATTACTTAATTACCAAGGATGTATCCGACTTTGTTGGCGATGTTGCAAACATCAAGGCCGTATCAGACAAGTTCTTTAATTCTGTCCACGAATGGATGCCGATTGTATCCAAGATCCAGTTTCTGGCCAACTTGGTCAGTTCGTTGACTCATAAACGCGCTGAACTCTTTTTCCTCATTCTCGCTATGAAATTGGTTTGCGAGCCAGGTTCAAGTTTAAGAACGCCGCTTTATCAAGTAACAAAACGTTTGCAGCATCAGATTGGAAACTCCGGGGTTTTGTCTCTCCGGGTCGTTCAGGCGTCTGTCTTGATTATTATTTACGAGCTGGGCAACGGCATATATCCATCGGCCTACCTTTCCATTGCCAGTGCTGCTCGATATGCGAGTGCGGCTGACCTCGATAAGTCAATCTTGTATCGCGAAATCAGCGGTGTTTCGTGGCCAGAATTGGAGGAACGTCGTCGAACTTGGTGGTCACTGCTTGTTCTGGACAGGTGCGTGTTATACCTACCTATGATTCCCATAGAGAGATCCATCTGCTATGCAAAGATACAAAGAGTCAGACTAAACGGCGTTTTAGATACTTGAACTTGTCCGATCCGAGTCGCCACCTGGTGACTCCTGACCCACACATAGAGAATTGGCTCCCAGTTGATGATGCAGCATTTAATGATGGAGTAAGTAGCTTCGTGCGAAGAGCTAATTATAGTCATTTGTTTTTAACATGCTTTTCCTAGACATCCCGACCTGAAGATGCATTTACTTTGGCTTCAGCTAATGCTCTCACTTTGGGCCGATTTGCTCGCTTTGCGCAAGCTGCCCATTTACTCGGCCAAGTTTTACACCATGTTGCTGTAAAGTCACCAGAGAGCGAGACTGCACAGTTGAGACGGACTATTTTCTCCTTGGTTAATGTTTCCAGCTTAGAAGCAGAGTTCAGGCGGCTGGAATTCTGCTCACAATCAGCTGTGTGCTATTGGTAAGTGTGATCCAAAATTTACGCGACTCTTGCAAGTACTGACACTTGGTAGCGGAATACTCTTGCTAGACTGCTCTCAGCGTGAGAGAGAGTTGAACTGTCCCATCATATCTCTCGACCACTTGTCCGTGGAAAGCAGCCTGATTTCGCAGACCGTTTTGCAGATATCCTTGTACATTGCAGAACTGACCGAACAGGAGATACATGCTCGCTCGTCTCCTTTCCTCCTGCATATGATGTATAGGGTGGCCATGCTCTACTTGAAGGCTTCTAGGGCTACTCCTAGCGAGTCTCTTACTGATAAACTGCATCTTGTCAAGCAAGGGCTTGAGATCCTCGGGCGTCGATATCATGCTGCTCGTAAGTGTCTGTGCCCATCTTTTCTTTGTAATATGCTAACCAAGTACATAGACTCGTATATCTCTCTACTATCCCGGCAAGAAATAATGCAAGCAATGCAGTAAACTTGAGTAATAAGGCCTTTGGATTTTGCACAATAGTTTTTCCCACGGTTAGCGAAGCGTTGTTCATTGAAAACAGTATGTAATAAGCGTCTTTGACTATACTATTCTCTACATATAACCTGCGTCTTTTGCAATTCTATCCAATAGTTTATGGAGCTTCACAGCTTTCTCAAAATCCGAATAGCAATCCTTATTGAGCGCATAGGCTTCAAACAGTCTTGCAGTGTTGACCCCAGGCGGAGCGATGTGCTTGATATGACTCGGCTCATCCTGCTCCCAATCAATTGTTCGGGTTTCGCCATCTTTCGTGACAAGTCGCAAAGTTCTTGGATTGGAGCCAACTTGAAATCCTCTACCACTGGTCGTGAGCTCCAATTCTCCTTCTGAGCCAGTAATGAGCCATCGCAAACTGTGTCCGTCAATCGGCTGCGGCGGCGTACGCGTACTAATGCTGACCATTGCACCGCTTTCCAGCGCGCCTTGAACGAATATGTGGTCAGGGGCCGTTCTGCGTTTTTCTGGATTGACTACTTCGCCAGTCTTGCCGCTGACTAGTTTTACCACTGGGTTCTGGACAGCGAACGTGGACTTGAGGCTCGTAAGGTCTCCGAGTACAAAAGTAAAACCGCTCAGAACTGTTCACCGGTGCAAGTAAGCATAAGCATAAATAGAAAATGCAAGGAACAGACTTACAATGAGCAAAGAAGATGTGAAATTCGTTCCCACCACTTTCAAAATCCAAATAATACTCAGCTTCGGCAGTCCAAATATCTATCGGTCCAAGAGGAGAAGAAATTTGGACATCAGAACTGGTGACTCTTCCAATTGCTCCGCTCTCAACCAGTTGCTTGACCTTTGCGAGCCAGGGATCCGCACGAAATTGAGTACCAACTGCTGTCTTCAAGTTGCCTTCTTTTGCCAACTGCAGCATCTCTTCTGCCTCTGCTGTACTAGCCCCCAGAGGCCATTCAACAAAGACCTGCTTCTTGGCTAACAAGGCCGGCTTGGCTGCAAGTAGGTGCTTTCCAACCTCAATTGACACATCAACGAGCTCGACATTGGGGTCATTAGCTAGGTCTTCAGCACTGCCATAGGCCTTGACAGAGGCAGGCAGCTTGTGAAATTCGATTGACCGGCGGGCTGATTCAACAGACGAGTTGCATACCGCTACGATCTCATAATGGGGAGAAGGACGGAGTGAGGCTAAGTGTGCTGATACGCCCCATTTGCCTTGGCCTAAACCGGCGGGCTCAGAGCTGAGACCAATGAGGCCAACACGAATGGGAGACATTTTGTATAATATGAGGGTAGAAGATGAAGACTAAGAGCACGGATGGAAAGAAGGGATGGAAGAGTTAACGGCGTCAGAAGCCTTCTAATTTATATCTGATTCACAGCTCTATCGGAGTTCTTTATTATAGTGACAAGTCCGCGGAAACTGCAACGAAGTATATTTAAAACAATCGTGCCGGAGTTACTAATTATCCTATACAGATAGACAATTTACAAAGGCCGTCGCGATATCGTATGTGGAGTAATCGCACTTACAAAACCACCAATACCGTGGCTTGGAGCCCCGAGACCCGCTTCAACTCCGCTGAATCTGAGATTGCCGGCTCATCGGAACTCCGTCTGCTAGCATGCTAGGCTCCACTTGAATTCCGTATATTGTCATTGACGACTCATATTATTGCGTTTATAATTAAAGATTAGAATTTTTGGATGTCTTGCCTGGCATGTCCCTTTCGGGAGCTGTTGACTTCTGATTTGGCCCCTTGCCACTTATCTTTTACCAGAATGAATACCGAGTGGATTGAACGTTGTTGTACGTACTTGAAATCATATTCTGAGCTTTCTGAATGAGAATTCTTGAGCGTCATGCAGTCTACTAACACTCACAGAGCAGAGCCGATATAGTACGATGGACTTTCGCTGACTTGTACACGATTTTAAAACCCGTGGCTCTCTAGGTTACACTCCATGATCAATGTCAGCTACAGAAAAAGGAACAAACACTCAGGTTCAATAATATCAATTCAGCATCTATTGAACGCCAAAAAGTCATAAAAGGAGTAGTGCTCATCATAGATGTTATTTCGTAATCTGTTAGAGCCTTTACTTCTTTTTCTCAAACAGCTCTAGAATATCTCGGTTACCACACGCAGCAGCCACATCGATTGCTGTTTGTTGAGCATCGTCTTCCATCATTGGATCAAGGCCCATCTCCAAAAGCTCTTGGAACCGCTCAACATCTCCTCTCGCAGCAGCGTGTAGCAGCCCTCTGCCTTTATTATCTCTCACAAAGAAGTCACCTCCCAACTTTTCCAGCAAGGGTTTGACATGTTGTCCCGTAGGTCTATGTACCTCTTCCAGAATCCAAGAATCTTCAAGGGTCTTAGAATGATCATAAAACGAAAATAATGCTGTCTCGCCACGATTGTTGCGAGCGTTTATGTCGATGCCGCATTCAGCTAGAGCCTTAAAGAAGGTACGTAAGCCTGCAACGGCAATACCTTTACCTAGTTTATGTAGCATGGTGTCTCCTCTCTTGCTGATAATCATAGGGTCTGCACCGGCGTCCAGTAACATTTGTGCCTCACCAACTTCATGTCTTTCGACGGCGCGGATCATGGCATAGTGTAAAGGAGTTTCACCATGACAATTTCCTTGGTTCAACAGTTTGGGTGCATTTTGTAAGGTATAAGCAAAGAATTTCGCGCGTACGATGGGCTCGATCTCCTTTTCTCCAACGAGCATGTAATGCAGAACATTGTGGCCAAAGTTGTCTTGAGCTGTCAAGTCTGCACCCAAAGACAGTAGTCTCTGAAATGAGTGAACGTGCTCTTCGAGTAGATTCGCGGCTTTGGCATGTGACCCGAGTATGTGGTCTGGGCCTCTGGTACTTTCGCATACCATGTGAAGAAGAGTGCGTCCTTTCGCATCCCGGTGGTGAACATCCAAGCCTGGGAACTCGAGGAATGTATCCGCTATATAGCCATTTAAGAGGACTTCATGCAAAAGGGTACACTCCACATAGCCCTCTGGCACTTGTGCGGAAGAGTTGATTGCCGCTGAGAAATCTGACTTCCTTTCCACCGGTATAACCGCCTTCAAGAATTTTGCAAACGGATCGGCACCATGGTCTAGTAAAACTTGAACGATCTCCATTGCTTTTGTAGCATCTTGATAACTTTTCTCTGATGGGCTGTAATGCGGCCACAGCTTGCTGGCGGCATGATAGAGCGGATATTCTTCATGAGGCTCTATAGTCTTATTCTGAGACCCATCATCTGTCTCGAGCGGCAACTTATCTCGACGTGTATTTGGATCCAAGTCTCCCGATAGAAGTGCGCGAAGCACTTCCGCATTGCGAGAGTCAATTGCAGCAAAAATAGAATCTACCACCACAACCGCGCCGTGCTCGATAAGAAATTTAATCATATCAGCGTCGTGTCGTGCATACGAGAGACAACTCTGGCCTTTGTTATCAACTGCGTTGACGTCCGCTCCTCTTTGAACCAACATCTTGGCTGCGTCCCAATTGTAAGGACTAGGAACTCTACGGCCTCCTTGAAGAGCCATATGTAATGGAGTCTGGCCCTTTTCATTACGCATGCTGATATCGGCACCCATATCAAGCAGATATGGCAGTGCTTGGTGGACATGCCACCAGTGATAACCTCGCGCAACGTGAAACAGAGCACATTCGCCCGAAGAGTCGTTTTCGGCGATATCCACTGCGTAAATTTCAACTAGTAGCCTCACAATGTCCATATTGGGTGACGCTCGCTGAACTGCAACTAGGATAAAAGGTGTGAGTTGAGAAGTTGCGCCGTCTCTCTTTGCGTGCCATAATCCAGGTCGTGTTGTGTCTCCGAAAGCATGCCAGTCACCCTTGCTTAAAACCAGCTCCATTTCACGAGACGCTAAGCTTTCAAAGACAGATACCAAGCCAAGGCGTATGAGATGATATAAGGTCAAGTGTTTATCTTCCATGGAGATTGGGAGGAAGCTAACCCCTAACTGAGATATTTCGTCGATAAGGTGGTACTCCCTCTGCGCCAAACACCAAGTGAGAACTTTTGCTGATACCGTCTCGTATTCACCTTGACTCTTGGTAATATGAGATTTTAACAGTCTCAAAGCTTGCACTGAACCCTGTTTTCGATATTGGTGCATGGTTTCAGATAGTCTCGCGAGATCATCATCGTATTCGTCGGCCTCTAAGCTGGGCGATCCTTTCCTAAGGACACGCATCAAACAACCAGCCGTATAGTCTTTGTTCTGTGTTATAGCTCTTTGAATAATGCTACCCTGGTAAGTTCCACTCCCACTCTCTATGAGAGAACAATCAGCTCCAGAGTCAATCAGCATATCCATTATTTCTTCAAGCCTTGCTGTGTTGTGTAACCGTAAGTCGAGAGCTTCGCGGTGAGATGAGCTGGACCCGGCGCCAAGCAAAAGTTCAGAAAACCTCCAACAATGCATAAGGCTCATTTTTCGAAAGCTTTGGACTGATTGGTGTTTATTTTGGATATCAATTTCTTCTTCAAACTCAAGACAAGCTTCAAAGATGTTGCCCAATTTAACATCAGCTCCGGCGTCAAGAAGAAGTCTAACAGTTTCTGGCCTTCCTGACATGATTGCATAGAACAGAGGCGTGATAACGTTCCCACCATCCAGCATTTGAGCATTTACTCCCACTGTTGCGTCTGATTTCGTAGCCGTCTTGTTCAGAGCGATGCCTTCAACTCCCCCTAGTGGTATCGAAGTTGATGTATTGTTTTGTTTGCTCTGGATTGCACTCAAAAGTAGACCAACTATATTACTCTCTTTGGATAGTGCGGCGAGATGGAGTGGTGTTAGTCCTTCATGCGTATAAACCAGAGGATTTGCACCAGCATCAATGAGCTGCTTTGAGAATGCCTCACTTCGAGTAGCAGCTATATGCAGAGGTGTGATCCCATTATTATCAGGGACATTGAGATTTTTAACCCGTGACATGACAAAACTCAGTGGCATAAGTTCACTTTCAACGGGCACTCCTGGTTCAACATTTTCAGGGGCTGCGCATAGAATATGCAGCGGCGTGCGTCCAGCGTGATTTCTTTGATCTAGATCCAAGCCGAGATCAACGAGCTTTCTCCACAGCGGAATCAGTTTATAGCCCCCTCTGTAGAAGTCGTGGATGTCGTAACGCGAAGCAAGTGTATGAAGCAAGTTATTTCCCTTATAATCGACAGCGTTGATGTCAAGATTTAAGTTGATCAAGAAATCGAGTCTTGACATATTGAGCTGTTTCGACCCTCCGTACGGTTCCGTCGCTGTGTAAAGCTTGACTGCCTTATGAAGAGCAGTTTCGCCTTGGTAGTTGCGCTGAGACGGTGAAAGTCCTCGGTCAAGCAGAATTGTAAACTCTTTGTGCGAGTCTCCCTCAAATAGTTCGCTACGGTGGGCGAGAAGGCGAAAGAGAAGATTATTGCCGTCTCTATCCACTTCATGAATATCAGCACCAGCGTTTTGAAATAACTCGATAACTTCAGACAACGTCCAGTTGACGTTGTGAAGGCAAAGCAGCGGGGTAAGCCCTTCGTGGTTCTTTGCATTTGGATTTACGCCTCTTTCAAGCAATATTCTGAGAACATCCGTGTCTGTCATGTACTGTTGCATGAAAATATGTAGCGGGTTGTTGCCTTGTTTGTCCACAATGTTGCAGTCTGGTCCATATTCTAGGAATTTCTTCACAATGTCCTTTGTATATATCCTCAGCAGAGAGTGAAGAGGTGTCTCTCCATGTGGTGTCACCGCATTGATATTTGCATGCCCTTCCTCAATTAGCAGCACCATCGAATCGATTGACGACCATCTGTCGTTAGACATAATGTGAAGGGGCGTTTGGCCGTATTGATTGACAGCATTTGCATCGGCTCCAGCCTCAATTAGTAACCGCACGAAAACAGGAGACCCAGCCGCGACATGCAAACATGTTCCATCTGATCTAGTTCGGAAGTTGATATCAGCTCCAGCCTCTCTCAATAGCGCAAATATTGCTCGTTCCTCTTCTCTATAATCTTTCACGAGATAAAGAACGTCCGTATGAGCGAAGAGCGCACGGAAGCAATTCAATTCCGTGGAATTATCCTCTTCGTCTGTCCGATGAATAGCCCCGTCACTTCCAGTAGTGTAGCGGACGGTAGGGAGTGCGCCGGCTTGCAGAAGAATTGCCACCAGCTTGGTCTGTAGTTCCCTACAAGCTGTGTATAACAACGTTTTGCCTTCGACAATTGCATTGACATCTACTCCCGGATGCTGGAGAAGCCTCGAAACGACTGCTGGTGATCTTGATTCCGCTGCCCACACCAATGCTCGATGCACAAGATCAAGATTATCTCCAATAAATGGCAGAAACGCTTCCACTGCCTCCAAATGACCATTGCAGGCAAACATTAGCGGCGTCTCCCCAAATACTGAATAGTAAAAGGAAGCAAGCCATTTGCCATCCATAGTTTTCTGTGTCAGAGGGTCGACGCCGGCCTTTAATAATGCCGTTACAGCCGCTGAGTGGTTGCTGTAAGCTGCCCTATGCAGAGGTTTGATTCCGGTGACATTATCTGGCACATCTGGATCCGCGCCGGCGTCCACCAAGACGGAGATGACTTTTGCGTGTCCTTCCACAGCAGCCCACCAGCTAAAGTTTCGAGATTGTTAGAAACGTTGGCAAGAACGAGACTGAAAGAGACACTTACACTGGTGTTCTATCGTAAAAGTCGCGCCCATTTACATCAAAATCCGCTAATAGCTCTTTGGTATATGATATCAGCCCGGTTTTAGCAGCAACGTGGAGCTGCGTAACTCTTTTGGCTCCTAGGCCTCTGCCAGGCCACCTCATCTGGAGCCATCCCGCCAAGTTATTTCCCTGCTCGAACAGCTGATGAAGCCTGGCGTTGATTTCGGTCTGGTCTTGGCCAGCAGCCTCCGACTTCACGATATGCAGGTGCCAATTGTTGACTGCATACTCAAACAGCGGATGTTTAAGCCTCAACTGGACTTCTTCGTCGGATACTTTGCTTGTACCCGTTCCTGGTCCATAGTTACTGACAAGGCCCCAGTCTCTCCAGTACCTACGCCCAACATCGTCACGGGTATCGATTAGTATTGTATCTAGGCACCCAGATTGTAGATAGAGGAGACATTGAAGCGCAAGCTGAGCATGTGTCGACCCCAGTTCTAGCACAGGATATCCTGTAGGATGACTCTCATCTGATCGGGTGGTTCCTTTGAGATACTCAGTGAAAGAATGGTGAATCACTGAGATTGTCTCATCAGGCAAGATTTCCAAGAGTGGCCCACAGGCAGCCCTAATAAGTTCTTTGGTGGCTTTTATGTCTCGCACGGCACCGTCAGGACGGCTGACCCTAATCATTTCAGCAAGTTCAAGCAGCCTCAGTGGACGAGTAGCGTGGGTGACGGCCTGTAAGATGAGACGCTGAATAACCTCTGGCACCCCGGACCTTGTGGCATGTTCATTGAGTAAATCGGTATACAAGCTGTTCAAGTCTGAAGGAAGCTTCGAAAGCACTGTAGCGATATTTGCTCCTGGCTCGATAAAAGCATCCATGGCCAGCTTGGCGTAGAGAAAGAGGCCATTTGCCCGGCCTGGCACGGCTTTCGCAATAGTATCCCAGTCAGCTTTTGGGATATCAGACTTTGCTAAGACGAAATGAACATATGTTGAGATATCCATATCAACCAAGGTTTCCTGTAACCGAACTTGTAGGCCATGGATCAGTCTCAGAGGCACTTCGACACTAGGAACTGGGCGACTGGTGATCAAAACTTTGACTGTCTTTGGCCGCCAGTGTCCCAGCTTTCCAAGTATCTGTATGAACTCTTCATGACCTCGATCTATTTCATCGAGTGCATCAGCGACACAGAAGACCTTATCAGGCAAGCTAGCAAAGGCTAGACGCAAGTGCTTCCACAAATCCTCCATCGAAATACTATCAAGAGACCGACCCGCTTCTACATAAGCTTTAAGCTGTTTCTGCAGAGGCGGACTGTAACTCAACATTTGGTCAAACCAATCTCGCAAGAGAGCTCGAGGCTCGTGATTTGCATCAATGATTTGGCGGAAGAAGAAGAATAGCACAGGACACGTTGGGTTTGACTGGGTAAGTTCATGGATCAATTTTGCCGCCATGACTGATTTGCCTGATCCTGGTATCCCTTTGATCCAGAGCAGTCCATGGTCATCGCTGTGCAGCCATTTTTGATACGCATCACTCGAGGTGAGCCAGGCCCCTGTACCAGCAACATGGGAGGATATATGCTTGCGGTATTCTCCTCCAGCGATATCATATGCAGTTGGCTGCAGCCAATCTCGGATTTTCTCGATGACATCGGGAAGTTCCGGTAGTATTTGTTCTGGGTTGTAGTCGCTGATGTCGTCGCGGCCGATTAAAACAGCATCGGCGTCATCATCACTGGCGTTACTTTCACGGTTATTTGTCTGGATTGGTCTCATGGTGCTGGTATCGTGGAGGTGATTAGAGCTCCGGTGCTAGTAGATTGGTGATAGAGTTGATGAGCTTCAAAAGAGAGCGAGAAACTAGGCCATCCTGAAGATTAAGTTTATAGGAGATAGATTCCAGCATCCTACTGCGGGGTAGCTGACGCTGTTTTACCTATTTTTGAGGCTCAACTCACGACCGAAATCTAGGACTTGCATTGAGTCGGTGAGGCGAAACAACTGCCTAAACCTGATCCACCCCAACAGCTTATCTATACCAGTTTCAGCGAACGTCGCCTAATGATTGGGTCACTCTAAGGCTTGATGCTGACGTTATTTGCTGTCAGAGTCATAAACTCATATGTAAGTATAGCTCTAGCGCCAAGACATTGCGCGCAGATGTTTTGTGGCGAATATCATTCTTGGGTTGAGAGAAGAATTAATCATTTCATCTGAGACGTGCAAACATTAAACAGCCTCTAGTTGCCAAAGAGCCAGTTGTTGATCTCAATTGCCCTAAACTTTACTCTTGTATTGTAGTTTAGTAATCAGCGTTCAGGCCAGTAGGGTACGAGATACGTTCATGTTTCCAATCCAATGTGCCTCTTGAACGGCGTGTGAGTGAAGCTGTTAATAGACAATTTGATTCATTTTTTGAGATCATATTGTAGAAGAGAAATGTATTATGTCTAGACATGGACAGATAAGCAATTGGTAGTTTAGGTAAAAATAGAAGAAAACGGGAAGCAAACTGGAAAGAACTAAAGGAAGCGAAAAAGACAAGGCTTTGTACTAGCATTAAAACGCCCATTGGTTAAACCCATTGTATCATCAATTTGAGGATGGATTATTAAGGCAGCGGCTTGATAAGCTTATAAGCTTAATAAACATCTCTACGGAATAAATGATTTGTAGAAACGTTCGCCTATAATACCGAATCCTACGGTGAGCGGGAAAATTATGTAATTCCAAGACCACACCGGGCAGCGAATCCAGTGTCAAGGTTCATGACGCCATACACTGCTTCTCTATTGTTGGAAATAGGTACATGTTTGGCGAGCTATCGAGATTATATCGTGCATGGCGTGCGGCATGCTTTGGTGAGCAAAGTTACACTCTTTCGCTCGAAGTTAAGATTAAGAAATAGTAATACTTGCCGTGATTATTAAATGCGCCTGCGGAATTAGTATCTGCGGAATTAGTATGACGTGAAGTAACTCTGTTATATATAAAGATACTAATTGTTCACTTAAGTGTAGATGTGGAATCATCTTTATTGATTAATCAACAATCTGGAACATACAACTGCTTCCTTTATACGTACACGACTATCAACATAAATATCGAGAGGGCCCCATCAAAACTCGTTTAACAAACACCTTCAAATTCAACAGACACCTTCCAAAGAATCCTACTGAGAAACTGTTACAATCTCGAGCCATGGCAGAACAAAAAGCACTATTAGTTACAGGACCCGGAGATCGAATTGTGTTGGGAACCAGACATATACCAACCCCAGGACCAAAAGAAGTTCTAGTAAAGGTAGCAATTGCAGGATGTAAGTGTCTTGATACTCTAGCTTTTTGCAATCACCATTGACTTGGCTAGTGAACCCCCATGACCAGCTAGTGCGTGATTTGGGATATTTCATCGGCAACAACGTGCCTGCACCTATCGGCATAGATATCGTTGGAACAGTCCATGCCGTTGGAAAGGATGTCGACAACTTCAAAGTTGGTGACCTGGTATTCGGAAATGGGGACCCTTTTGATGGAGATTACATGGCCACGCAAGAATACGCGCTGATGGATATCGATTTCTTGGGACATGTGCCCTCATCGATCACACAAGACGAGGCTGCCACCCTGCCTTTGAACGCACTCACAATGTACATTGCTCTTTTTGATGCATCCACACATGGTATTCCCTCTCCTCTGACTCCAGCCGGAAAGTCGTTCGACTATAAGAATACGCCACTTGTCATCCTCGGAGGTGGCTCCAACTGTGGGAAATTTGCTATCCAGCTTGCCAAATGGGCCGGCTTTGGCACCATCGTTGCAATCGCTGGGAAAACCAAAGCTGATTATCTTGTCGAGCTCGGTGCTACACATATTATTGACAGAACATTGACCGACGATCAAATCGAGTCCGAGGTGCGAAAGATTGTGGGAGATGATCTTTTGCATGTTTGCACTGCCGTTTTAGCAAAGGATCAGACATTGGGTGTTCGCCTTCTGTCTAACAGCAAGAAAGGGATTCTTGTTCCAGTGACTAAGGGTGCAGTCGATGAATCAAAATTGGGCGACAAAAAGGCTGGATATGAGGTGCGCGGATTCCTCTGTCGCCCGCATGCAGAGGATAAACGTGAGCTGGCAACGGTCTTCTGGAAATCTTTCCCAGATCTTATCGAAAAGGGAATTCTCAGGCCAACTCCTTATGAAGTAGTCAAGGGCTTGGATGCAAACAAGATCAACGAGATTCTTGATGCATATGGTCAGTCCAAGGGACCAACTAGGCCAAACATTCATGTAAGCGGCGCTTAGATAGATCGCTTCAGATAAAAATAAATCAACGCTATTATTAACAGATCTTCTATTTATAATGGATAAAATGACCGTTTCTAATCGAACGTCATCAAACATCCGCCAGAATACTCATAGGGTGAACTTTCAAATACTTCTCCATTCCCATTCGGCGATAAAAGTTGACTTTATTGTGATCAACTACCAAAGCAGCCGCTTCTACACCGTCCATGACAGGATCAGCAAACATTCTAAAGGGCTTCTTTCCTCTTGGAATGTCTGACAGCTCCGCTAGTGTATCAGCCACCATAGACGGATCAGCATCAGGCGGGCACACATTAATCGTGCCTGTCATGGTGTCTTCTCCCATGCCTTTCGTGGGGCCGTCTTCATACTCTGCTGCGATGTTTGCAAACGCGGGCTTTGCAGCATCCGCGAAATGGTTGGTGCCCTTTGTAAAGACACCGGGGGACACTAGAGTTGTTTCAATTCCCCAAGGCGTCAATTCGTGAGCGTATGCTTGTGCAAGATTATCTTGTGCGGCTTTGGCGGCGAAATATGGTCCGATCATGGGAGACTTGCCGCCATACGTCGAGCTGCTGCAAACCCAGATCAAATGTCCAGAGCGTGCCTTGCGCATATGAGGAAGTGCTGCCTGATTCAGCCTCTGGCATCCGACGACATTGACATCATATTGATCAAGCAGTTGCTTTGGGCTAAAGCTTTCAGACGGGCCCCAACACATATGGCCGGCGTTGTGGATCACAGCATCAATCCGTCCGGTAGATCCGATGACGGTATTCACAGCTGCATCAACAGAGTCCTGAGACAGAAGATCTAGAGGCACAGCTCGGAGATCTACCTTGTACTCTTTTGCATATTTTGAGATGTCGTCTTCATGTTGCTTGGTGTCACCGTTGTGTGAGTACATACCCGCAAAGACGGTGTGACCTCTTTTGGCGATGGCACGGGCTGCCAGAGCTCCGAAACCAGTTGAAGCTCCTGAAATGAGATATACAGACATTTTTAGAACTGGTGATATAAATTACGTATAAGTGAAGAATTTGAATGCGGACAGTTGAGATTGTAATCGGATATCTGATTGTGGTTGGGAAACATTGTCAATCAAGCTCATCGAACAATCGCATTTATACACTTTGCTACTATACGTGAATGCGACTCTATTGATTCATCTTTCGGAGGATCAAACAACATTCACAACGATATACCGAGATACCTATTCCCGAGTACATGGCGGAAGGTGATCGGGATAAGGCCCTGTCGGAAATAAAGTTAAACCGCAACTCGAACCGCCGAGTCATAGTTTCAGCTTCAAAAGTGGCTCACAACATTAGTCAGGCTTGCGAATTCGGGGTTAGGCGTTATCATCATGATTAAGCAAAGCGTTCCTATTACCTCTTTTGTACTGCCAAGCTTTTAGAGTAATAGAGTTATAGATCTAGTGGATAATCATTTGAGAGCCTATTGCTTTTATTGGTATTATCACAGTGGGTTGTTTGGGATAGCTGTTCTAGCAACTAGGCCATTTACAGTATTGATGCTAAAGGGTATTTCTCAAGCTAGGGATAGCTGTTACTTTGGCGACTGAGGTATGGTATGGAGCTACGGAGCATGAGCTGGATGTATAGCTAGCCTCGTTGCTTCATTTCAATATTGTCGATAGAGTGGCGAGGCGTTGTCAATAGTCATTGAAGTTGGGAAATGGGTCTTATTGAAGTAACTACAGCTATATTAGATATATTATTGAGATAGAAAGTACCTGGTAGTCGCCCTTATTATCGACTGAGAGGCGCTAGCCGAAGCCACTCATTTCTCTTTTCCGACGTCACGCATGTGCAGTATATTAGATATTAAACTTGTGACTGCAAAAACATGTAAATATTATCACAAAAAAAGAATTTAAGTCAATGCCATTAGGAGACATGGCATGCGTGTCCTTGGCATTAGCCAGCTCGCGTCTCGGAGTTAACAATCTCCACCTTGATTGGACGATAGCATTGGGTATCAAGAGAGAATGAAGTGCCAGATCCTTGTATATCACAGGTTAATCACACTGCAAGAATAGCAACGGGTCGTTTAATCCACACTGCAAAGCAAAGCAATAGCCGGTTGAAAGTGAGCGTATTGCTGGTGCTATTGAGGGTCAACTTTACGTTACCTTTTCTTCCTTATACAGGTCTTTGACTATGCGTTTTTTCATAGTGCATGACATCATAAAGGTTCCTCCAGAGATGAAATATTCCCGCACCTTGCCTTGTTTGCTACAAATGTAACATCGTTATAGTATTTGCAGCAGCACCCTGGCTCGTAGCTCTGCCGCAACCATCGTAGTACCTCATTGGCTTCCTAGGTATCGCTGTAAAATTCTGCCTATCTGCCGTCATGCAAGCAGTGTACAAAGGGTAAATTAGCTAGAAAGAGGAACGGAAGAACGGGGCGAGCTACTGCGCTATGGGATTGATGCAGATACCGCTTTGAGACCACAACCCGGACTTTGCGCTCTTTCGTAGAGAAAAGACGATCGCCCCACTAGCTATTGAAAATCCCGATTTACAACCATAGTTGGAGCCCTGCCGCTTTTTGCAATCATCTCCTCGGATATATCGCTTATTCAGCATATCCAACATATGGGACATCCTCTTTCTCAGCCCTGATATGGACCTATCTTCGGAATTTCCGCCCCTCAAAGAAATCCATTTCCGATTGACTGTGACCTTGAAGCGCATTATGGATCTGATGTTGTATTCGCGGGTGCAACACTCGATGACACCACTGTGAAAGCCCACATATATAATGTACGGCTTGGCCTCGTCCTTCACATCATTATACCATTTCACTTCGCTTCATTTTACTCTTCATCCTCGACTGAATACCCTCTAACTTACCAGACTTCATACACTCAACCACCATCACAATGTCTCTCCCCAAGACTTACAAGGCCATGGTCACGCTCGAGGCCAACAAGCCCTTCACTTTACAAGAGCTCCCCCTAAAGCTCCCCGAAGCCGGACAAGTCCTCGTCAAAGTCCTTGCCTGCGGCGTCTGCCTGTCCGATGTCTTCATTATCAACGGCCACATGGGCACCACCTACCCGCGCGTCACTGGCCACGAGATTGTCGGCGACGTCGTCGCCGTCGGTGAAAACGTAACCCGCGTCTCTGTCGGCGAGCGTGTCGGCGGTCCCTGGCACGGCGGCCACGATGGAACTTGCCGCGCCTGCCAGCACTCACAGTTCCAGTTCTGCAGCAACCAAAAGGTCAACGGAGTCAGCTTCGACGGCGGATATGCCGAATACGTGCTTCTGCGAGCTGAGGCCGCGGTGCGCGTGCCCAAGGAAGTCGACCCCGCGGAAGTTGCTCCGTTTTTGTGTGCTGGTGTTACTGTTTTCAACGGGATGCGCAAGCTGCGTGTTGAGCAAGGAGGACTTGTGGCTGTGAATGGACTGGGAGGATTGGGTCACTTGGCGGTGCAATACGCCAGCAAGATGGGATACGAGGTTGTCGCCATTTCATCCGGAGACGACAAAGAGGCGCTGGCCAAGGAGCTCGGAGCCAACCACTACATCAACGCCAAGAAAGCGGATGCTGTCGCCGAGATTCTCAAGCTGGGCGGCGCCGACATGATTGTCCAGACGGCTCCCAACCCCGAGACCATCAGCAAGCTCGTCAAGGCTCTGGGACCCGGCGGCAAGCTGCTCAACCTCTGTGTTGTTGGAGAGGTCCCCATTGACACGGCCACTCTGGTTTCCAAGGGCGCGAGTGTTCACGGCTGGCCGAGCGGACACGCAAGTGATAGTGAAGATGCGATTCGATTTGCACTTACACACGGTGTTCGCTGCATGATTCAGAGATATCCGCTTGAGGAGGCGCAGCAGGCGGTGGACGATTTAATTGCCGGAAAGCCTCGGTTCAGGAATGTGTTGGTGATGAACCAGTGAGCTGGGCGGATGAGTTGATAGCTATATTCATTGTTATATAGCTTGTAGTATGAGAGGAACTAGTTAGCTACGTATATGTAGCTAGAGGTTATGGATGGATTACTAGACAGACTAGAGGCGTCATACAATAGTCTAAAATGAGAACAACACCGCATTGTGGCGACAATCCACCGGGTGTCCCTGTACATCACGAAACATGCTGTGCACAACAAGTTCAACTTGTGTTTCCTGTGACACTAACTGAACCAGTGCATCGCAGCGAGTTCACTACAATCATTGTTGTTCAAATAAATATGAACATTTGATAAAAAGACAGGTAAAAAGAACACCTCAGGTCCTCCTTCCCTTTAAACGCCATTCTCGAATGTTCCATCCCCCAGCATTAAAAATCCGCCGTAAATTCCGCTCCGGCGCTTGCCCCGCCACTGAAATCCAGGGTCCTTCCGCTTTGAATCTGCTACCGATTCCATTTCGGACATCCGACCAAAACATCACCAGCCTGTCACAATCGTAGCCTCTTTTTTTTCCTCCTGTCCTTCTCCATCGCACCCTTTCTATTATCCTCTCCTTTCTCCATTATTTCCATATCGTGTTCAGAGCTACGATAAGCTCAAGTTTTCACCTTTTCCAACGTCTGTAAAATATTCCCTTTAATAGTACATATCTATCCCTATTGCCTACTTCTTCCCACGTCCCGCCTCTCACGTCGCATCGGGCGCCACACCACTTTTCTTATCCAAAGTGATACATCAGCGTGCCGTACAATAAATACACAAAAAGTACACAATTTCACAGCCTTTTTTTTTGGGCGGAGCAGTAGGGCCGTCGAAATCCCTCGGCTGGGCATATTTCTGTACCTAAACTGCTCATTTCTAGCAAACCACCTTTCCCGCTTCATTCATCGTCTATAGCGTCATCGCCATCAATTACCGCCACCATGTCCAGGTCAACGCAACTGTCCCTGCAGCTCAAGGAAGAAGGCAATCGGTTGTTCCAGGCGGGCAACTTTATCGGCGCAGATGGCCTCTACTCCAAGGCGTAAGCTCTCTCTCCCACCAGACCGGAAACCGGGAAAAGGTGTCCAGCACTCCAGCTACAGCGACTGCTATCTCTGCTACTTCACAATTACACATTTATATGTATGTAGCCTGGCTATCATGTTGAGCTACGGCTGGACTGCTGGATAACCTCCCTCAAAGGAAACCCGTCCCGCATAAATCTCACATACATACAGCATCATCGCCGACCCCCAAAACCCAGCGCTCTACACCAACCGCGCCATGGCCCGCCTCAAGCTCGGCCATTGGGAATCCGTCATCGCCGACTGTCAGACCTGCCTCGGCCTCGCCCCCGAAAACATGAAGGCCCACTACTATCTCTCCCAAGCACAGCTCTCCATTGGCGACTTTGACAGCGCCCTCACAAACGCCCTGGCCGCGCACAAGATTTGCGCAACCACGAATGACAAGTCGCTCGGCGCAATCACGAACATTGTCCTGCGCTGCAAAAAGGATCGCTGGGAGGATAGGGAGAAGAAGAGGCTGCGGCAGGAGCGGGAGCTGGAGGAGGAGATGCTGGAGATGCTGGCTAGGGATCGCGACGTCATGCTCAAGGTGGAAAGCGATGAGACTGAGCGGAGTATCATTGAGGAGGAAGCGAATGAGAAGATGAAGGCTCTCAGGAACGTCTTTGAAAACGCCAGAGAACAGAACCTGAAGCGACGTGAAGTGCCTGATTGGGCGATTGACGATATCAGCTTCGCCATCATGGTTGATCCCGTCGTGGTAAGTGATACTCTACTAGATTTTGGGGGTTTTCCCTTTCTAATGTTATCAAATGATAGACAAAAACTGGCAAGTCTTACGAACGTGCCACCATCATGGAGCATCTCCGCCGCCATCCTTCTGATCCTCTCACCCGCGAACCGCTCAGCGTCGCCGAGCTTCGGCCCAACCTCTCGTTGCGCCAGGCCTGCGCAGACTTTTTGGAAGAAAACGGCTGGGCTGTGGACTGGTAGTTCCTCTCACGCTCTCTGACTTACATATCTTGATCTCCACGTCTTTGACAGCGAGCGACTTTCTCTTCGACTAGCGACGTAGTAGCCGCGGTTTTCCCTTGATGAAAAATTGATTATTGATGTTATTCAAGAGATATAAAGAATCTTTGATAATTTGCTTGCTCATGGCTTCATTATATTATAGCTGGGCGTGGCATGGAATCGATGTGCTAGGCATCGCACGGCGTTTCAGGAGTTTCTACACAAAAGGGCTTCTACATTCTTTAGCAGTGTAGAATCAAATTGCCTTACAATAGATGCGTCACTATTGATTGTAGGATGAATACTGATGTTACTGGTGCTGGTGTTTTTTAGACGCATTTGGCAATTGCATACTACATATCCACAGTTATCTTGATACATCAAATGGACTGGCTGCGTTGTTGAGACACAGCTAGAGTCATGAATAACTTTTACCAAAAGAAAAAAAAAGAACCTGATAGTGAAACAGAAACCCAAATCATATACATCGTGTATTGCTGTCCAAGCGCAAAGCTCATCACGAGCCATTTTCCCCTTTTCTAAACCACTATATACAAAAGACATAATGCCTTGCCATCATTTATTTGTATTGCACAAGTACGTTGCCGCCACCGCTGCTTCTTCTCATCTTTACACGTCCAGAGCTAAAAAAGAAAAACGCATACATCTCTAGTGATCTTCACCTAGCTCGCGCACAGTTAAGGAGAGGGTATCGTCCCGTCATGACCATCCGTTTTCAAATCAAACCAACAGCTTGCTTCTAAAGCGTAACATCATTGAATAGTGAATGAGTGTGAGACCAGCAAAAATTATGAATGAGGCCGTCATGGATAAAATGGCATAATGAACAAGCAACGTAAGCCACTGAAAAATTGAAATTTCCTCAAACAAAGACCAAAAAACGCCGACCGAATGCAAGATATTATCATCGCTTCACCGGTTGTGACCTGCACTTTCTTATCTAGACGAAAGCTGGGGGTGGAGGGTGGCCAACTCCTCCTCCACCTCCACCTGCCGCTGGATCAGGCGACCCTCCAGGCGATGTTCCGTGAGATGCTCCTGGCGAGCGATCCGGTGATCTTTCACTGCCTTCGGCGCTGGGTTCCTTGACAAGCCCTACGCGTTCCTCTTCAGAAGGCTGGGGTGTCCGCCGGAAGACCCTGTTGAAAGAGAACTGACGGCGTGTCCCGTGAGGTGGTGGGGTCGGAGCGAGGAAATGGGGTGCGCTGCCGGATTCGGCGCCGCGATACTCGGTGTCGGTGTTTGCGTGGCCAAAGTACATGTGCTCGCGGGTCGGGCCATAGTAAGCACCGGCTTCGTCATCGGGCTTTTGCTGGGGTAGCGTAATATGCTTCAGAGCGAGCGGATGCATCGGACTGGGGATCTTGTCGGTACCATACTGCGCCTCTTCATCCTCGTCCAGTTCGCTGACGCTGAGAACGTGATGCTGGTTGTGGCCTCGACGGCCACGGATTGTTCCTGCTATGCTGGAGAAGACACCGGGAGAGCGTTCATGTTCTGCGAGCTCTGCTTCGGTAGGGAAATGGGACATGCCCAGCGGCGGATGAGGAGTTCTCGGCGGGGCTGGAGAAGGGGGGACCGGCGTTGAAATCCTGGTCGACCTGGTGTGCATACTAGACGCAATAGTTCGTCTTCGCCTTATGCCGTCCCACTCGTACATCGGCTGGCCGTCTTCGCTGATGGGAGCCATGCTCTCGGCCATCTTCTCTTCATGAAGACGCCTGAGCTCCTCGGCTTCCATCCTCAGTCGTGCGTTGGAAATGCGCCTGATAATAGCAGCTGCGCCGCGGATTGCGTCAGCTTTGGGTTCCGTCTCGGGCTGCGCCTGTTCGGCAATGGTGTGAATCTGGTCGAGATCGCCATTGAATACGGCAGCGTCGGGGACATCCTTGGCAGACTTGGAGAGCTGTAGCAGGACCACGCCGGAGCAAATAGTAAGGAAACCCAGCACAACGGTAACAATAGATTGTGCGGTGCCCTTGAAACCTTGGAATAAAACTGCAGACGTAATGATGGTTGTGCTAGTAAAATAGACATAGTATGTGGGTGTAACAATGGCGGCGTTGAAGAGATTGAGGGCTTTCTAGAATCCGATCTCGGTTAGTTTGTCATTTCGCTATTGTTTCATAGATGATCATGAAAGCTCACGTTGAGGAAGATAATTTCGGTAAGCAGAGTGCCCACAACGAAAACAAGCAGCACCCACAAGAACCACTGCTTGTATTCCGGCTGCCCGCTGGCCCATGCGATAATGGCGGCGCCCAGACCCTGGGTCGACACGACACTCAAACCCCCAATCCAGCTGCAGATGGAGATGTAGACCAGCATATTCTTCTTACCATATTTTGGCCCGACGAAGAAGGCGACTATGACGGACCCGACAATGATGACGCCCGTGTAGGATAAAAAGCCCGGTGTGATGACGTACTTTTGCATCTCTTCGATGTTGGCGACGGAGGATTCCTGCGGTGCGTTCATGACGATGACGACCGACCCCACGATGCAGAGAAAGCATGCCACTTTGCCGACCAGGCTGAGTCGCTCCTTGAGGAAGATGGCAGACAGGACGGTGGTGATGACGACGGAGAGCGCACCGAGCGGTGTGACCAGGATGGCATCGGTGAAGGCGTATGCGACAAAGTTGCAGACCTCGCCAATGATCATGAGAATCATGCCCGCCCACCAGTAGGCGTTTTTGAGGTAGCTGTAGCCTTCGCCGGCAGCTTCGTTGTACTTTGTGTTTGCCTTCAGCAGGCCGACCTTTTTGAGGACGAAGGACGTTCCAATAAAGAGACCCGAGCCAATCGCCAGGCCAATGCCGATGGCCTTGTAGTATCCCGGCCGCACAGAGCCTTCGCCTCCCGGCACGATGCCAGCTCGTGGGAAGAGGAAATCATCGTCCATGGCGGATGTCGACTGGCAGCCCTAGAGAGGGCGAGTCGAGGGGAGCGTAGGAGAGGATGCGAGAGAGAGGTGAGAATGTCGGTTTCTATTTTCGAGCTGAATACATGGGCGAGCTACGGGATCGACGGAAGGGAAGAGTATAGTTTGTGGGAGCGATTGACGATGCGACGGGACGATCCAAGTGGCGGTAAAACGAGGCTGAGGACCGGGCACCAATCGAGAGGATGGCGTTAAAGATAGGGTTCGGCCGTGGAAAAGGATAATGTCGGGGTTGAAGCGTAAAATAAAAAAGACCAAGAACCCAAAGGAAAATCGTCGAGAAAGCAGCGAAGGGTTATGCTAAAAAGAACTTGACAAGAAGAGAAGAGGGCTGCAAGGCCTAGGAACAGGAATAGGTATAGGAAAGGGAGCTACGCAGCAGGGTGTTGTTGGAGATGCGGGCTGAGACGGCGAGTGGCCGCGAAGGGGCTCAACTGCAACGTGCACACTTTGGAGATTGAGCGTGTTGGCCCAGCCCACTTGGCATCATCCACTAAAAGCAGGCTGGGGAAGACGCTAACAGGGAGCTAGAGCTGCTGGGCTGGGCGCTATAAGGGGGCCCCTGGGCGGGCGGCGAGAGCGTGTGACAGCGATCAAGGCCACTGCTGAGGCCACTGCTGAGGCCACTGCTACGGCCGAGAGGACAGCGGCAGCATAAGCAGCAGTTGATGGCGAGCCGCATGCATGTGAGATGAGATGCTGAGAGACACCGGGCAAGTAAGCTAATCTTGTCCCTGCAGATGGATTCAAGTCGGCAAATGCACTCAATAGCAGTTTGTTTTTTTGCTTGTCGAGTTAGGAAGTAGCAAGGCCGCAATTACTGCGAGCGTATTGTCTTCCAATTTGCGTGTCTATAAATAATCTGCACACAACGCCACTCACTCGAAATACGCGTACGGGGCAACGAGTCAACCAACGACGAAATCTGTTACACTGGAGCCAACTTCAAGCAGAGAGTTGCAGTACTACCTCCAGCGACTTCACGCAGTTCTTGTATTTCCCAATGGAGTATTTTCTGTGCTTCCGATTATGTAAGTGAGCGATAAAGCCATTCAGGTTTCTAGATCAAATGCAAAAACTGCTACTCCATCTGCGGGCAATGCTTAGCTGTGCCCGCAGGTACCTCCTCCTGGTACGAATACGACGAGGGGTCCCCCTGCTCTTGAAGAGGCCGGAATCTGGTTTAGAGAGGCTGGGGTGCGAGGAAAGATCAGCACCGGCTGACGCAACGGCTACGAAATGCATCCATCCCAGCACAGCCTCGCTGTGGCTTCCTCGTACCGGCAAGCATCATGACGCCTTTTTGGGCCTTTTGGGACTGGACTGGGGACTGCTACAGACGATAACCCACCAATGGCTTCGACAATACCAGAGATTGCTAGAGGCGACGAAGAATGCGCATTCGATTCTTGCATTTGCCAAGCCTCGGTTAGCCCATTGCACGTTCGTTTCGCCCGGTCCGTCCATCCTTTCCACTGTCCTCTTCATCGTCTTTTCTTCTGCACTCCGTACCCATCTATTGATTCCATCCACTGATCTGGTTTGCCGAGTCCCCAAAAACGCTGCTGCTAATTTTATCCATGTCCAGTTTTTAAAGCCCTAGCCTAGCGCCAAGCGCCCCTGCATCCTGGGCACGTCTCAATGTCACCTTGCAGTCGTTATTGTAAAGGCTCCTTGTCTTTATTAGCAGACAAGATTCAATCGTCTCAATGCCAATTGTTTGATACCGATATGCCTGTCATTTTTTGTTCCCGCGGGCTGCTTCTACCCATGTCCATGTATGCTTTATACAATTGGATTCCAGGGTTTCTTCTCTCAGCTGAGCTGACTGTGTCATTGCTGGAATCATTATACACCAAAAAGAACTTTTCGAACTATTGAACTTGCAGCATATGCAACTCGTTGGAACTTATGCACAGCTATTTTTGCAAATCCTTTGAATTCACACTCCGTCGCTACAGGAGGCGCTTCCTCGAACCAACAGCCCAAAAAAGCCTCGGGCAACTTGAGGCAGCCCCCACCACTAGGCCGCCCCGTAAGTTGATACGCAGGTACCTGCATCAGCGCCTACAGCTCCAATGCAGATCATGTACCCCGTAAACGCCGCGAGGCTAGAGCCGGTCCAGGGGCCGAGCTTCTGTGACGCTGATACTGCGCGCGCCGTTTCAGCTGCCCTGCGGCGTCTGTCACACAAATCAGACACAAATCATTCGATTTGATTCGCTTAGAATGGGTGCCGCGTACATGAATAGGCTACCGACTATGTTACGGAGCAGCAGTTTTTGACCCTATCAATGGTCAATGTTTGGTTTGCGATCTGCTGATCATTCTACGATTAAAACAGTCCCCGATTGGTGCGACATGTAAAAGGAGATCCTGACCACGGTTGTTTAATTGATTGCCAAAGAAAAAGTGAAATTGACAACATCGATAGAAAAGATAGACAAGTGTAGCACCTCTTTGGCAATCTTTCGAAAATTGCACAAGGGCCAGCCATAAAGATGGCTGCTATTGTTGTAAAGTACCTAGGTAGATATGTGCACTATTCCAAAGATACCTTAGGTACCCTTAGGTACCTAGTTTCTTGCCATATAGTACGAAAATAGGCTTTTTGTTCTCAGAATAAAGATCTATTTCCGTTCGATAAGCACTCATATTACCCGTACTATTTCTTTGGATAGCTAAGAATAGCGTTTTGTTCTGGGATACCGGCCGCCAATGTTATTTTTATCGAATAGTCTTACAGTTAGCTACGGTTTTAGTAAAGTGAATCTTAATAGCAGCAACTGTGTTGTGCATGTGGGTTGCATGTTCAAATACAGTGTACAGATATTTGAAAGAGGCCGTCTGTCGCGTCTGGGGCTAACAAATCATCCACATTCTTGAGAGTCCTTCAGATGGTCCAGTCAAGACCTATGACGATAAGTGCCTTTTGACTAAAATTTTTCACACAGCATCATTTCTAGTCTCGGCTCGCTATCGTCAAGATCCTCCTGTCAGGGTTGATACAGTGGCCTTAGACGAGACTTCCAGTCAACTGAATGCTCGCCTCCTCGGTAACGGATAGCATCCGCAATTGCCTCATGTTCATCAACCACAGCCCAGTCCAGTGCCGTTAGGACTCTTTCATCTTCTATTGATGGCTTGATCTTCGAAGACCCCAAAAATGCCTCGGCTGTAACCCTATTGCCAGACTTGACAGCGACGTGAAGAGGAGTACAGCCATAGTGGTCCTTTGCATTGATGTCGGCTCCAAGAGCTTCAAGCCGACGAACGTAGTTTTCAAGCTTAAAGCAAGAGCATGATCTAAATCTCCTGCTCCATAGCTCTCATCATCAGAGTCATACAAATCTGGACCAGTTTCCTCATCCCCTCCGTCATGGCCCTGAAGTTCTCTGGCCTGCCACCTTGCCAGTCGAGGCAGAATTGTTTGGCCATAAGAGTCTAAATCTCGAATCTGGCGTTTCATCGTCGCTGAGCCAAGCCAGAGGGAATGTTTTTCAGAATATAGTCAACCCAGCTGCGGACTCTCACTTGAAAGAGCCAAGTACAACGCGCTGCGCCGGAATGTGTTTAGCGTGTATATCAGCCTCAGCTCTAATGAGAAGTTCAACGCTCTTTGGCGAGCCAGGTTCCGCTGCATACATGTAATGGAGGTGCGTAGATTCTGCTTTATCTCGCAAGTTCGGCTCTGCACCCAACTCGAGCAACACGCTGACTGCTGGGCTATTTTGGAAAATTGAGGCGTAGTGCAAAGGGGTCCGGCCAAACTGATCTTCCACATCCACCTTCCCATGAAGCACTCTCATGCATTTTCGTACAAAAGCATCACTGTGCCACATTACCAAGAACTGCAGCAAGCTTCTCCCGTGTTGGTCCTTGCCGTAATTATGAACAGGCTGCTTGAGAAGGAGGTACGTTATGGATCGGTGCCCACATTCTGCCGCTATGTGAATCGGCCGTCTACCCGATGAATCTTTTAAATGATAGTTGGCTCCAGCTTGTAGCAGATATTCAGCTGCCACTTGGTTGCGATTCTCTGCTGCGACGTGGAGTGCGGTGCGCCCATCGTTGCTGGCATGGTCCAGCCAGGTCAATGGCTTCGACTCGACGAGGGAGCTGGTGCTCCTCCAATGAAACTCAGATTCCCAGTGTGCGAGCTTCCTGCCGTTGGTATCAATGGCCATGGAATCAAGTTGATACTTCAATAGGAGCGGGTTCACGATTGCTTCCAAATCCTGCTGGGCACATAATAATAACAGCTTTGCACCCTGATCGATATTCTTATTGAATATGTCTGCAAGAAGGAGTTCTAGAACTCGAGAAAGACTGTACTCCATACCATGATAAGCGTATCTCTCCAGAAGCGTTAAACGATCGTGGATCCTTGACCAGAGCCTGGGTAGGGTCGCGGGTCAGGATCTGGTCCTCCACCGACTGCCATTGCAAATAGCTCGATCGGTAGAGATATAAAACTGGAATTGGGTCACGCTCTACCCAAAATGTCTCGTAATCAATTACTGGCTGAGGTAGCTGACGGGGGCTCTCAAGTACCAGTTGTACGGCACATCCCGTCTTGCTATGACTTTGAGCGCAAGATCTTCACACAAACCTTTCAAGAATATTTGTTCAAGACATGTCATGTCATTTGCATTTGGAGTGTTGATGTCTAGATCCCTACGTTGCAGGAAGTTGATCGCAATCGGCCTCATCTCCTTCCTAGACACACACCAGTGGACAACTGCCCAGCCTTCCTTACTACGAGCATTGACGTAGGCCCTAGGGTCATCCAAAAGGCGCTGAATCAAGTCGCCATCGACACTAGCTTTGCATGCAAGACGCACGGGATTGTCTTTGCATTTCCGTGTCGAACCAAAGCTGGTTTTTTCATAGGATAAGAGGATCTCCAATGAATCTCGTCTTCCCTCGTGCATAGCCCAAGTCACGGGTAACCATCTATGACTATCCATTCCGTTGTTATCTTCTCCATGCTGGATGCTGGAGAAGGCTTTGGACAACAGCTGAGTGATCGCCATAGCGACAAAAGCCCCTATGCCGTCTCGCGAAGGTGCAGGCATTTATTCACATGTTCAGAAACGGCAACAGCAACAATGCACCGGCGTCGGCTATCGTCACCTGAGCGTGGACGATCACGCAAAGCCAAACCAAGTCTATATTCTTCGCGCGGAGATGTGATTGTTATCAATCAGAGTGGTGCTGCATCGATGAACGACCGCCAGTTGGACAAGCAAGAGCAGACACCTGCATTACCTGAGACAGTCGAGTCGGTTGTTGCAAAACTAGATCTTAAAAATGTCGAAAGTGGTGTGAAGGAACTCATTTCGTCTGCAGCTAGAAAGACGATTGTAACTCCTCCGACTGACCAGGCCGAGAACGAGGTCGCTCAGGCTTTAGTACAAACATTTAAAACCTATCTGTCATATCTGTTTATCAGTTTTCAGTTTTTGGGATATTTTGTCTATTCTATAAAAAGAAAGTATAGTTAACAATAAATATCTAGGATCAGGTTCACAAGCCTCCTCCACTGGATAACATGTAGGTGCACATAGGTCTACTTACGTCCCATATTCAAGTGGTTTCGACGGTTCTTAAGCCATAGCACCATCTGCAACACATAGGAAGTAGATATCGGTAACACCATAAAATGGCTAGTAGGCAATTTGAACTACCTCATATATTTTCGCTTGACTTTTGGGCATGCATGCGCTGTAACGTCACCGTTATCTGTGCATAATCATAGCTGCAAGAAATAATAACAATCGCCAAACACGCATCAAACAAAGTCGAAAGTTAACGGTAAAACCGTAAAAGCTCACGCGTATAGATTTTCAAGTCACCATAAAAAAGTAAGAAATTTGTCAAGATATGCTGTGCGTTCCAGACATTTCGACTCATTTAAGTACGAGACTAGCTGGTCTTTGTTCAGTACGTGTCTCTGCAAGAGCGACAAATATATACCTACCTAGGCCGACATGTATATATTGCTTTTTCCACATGCATAGGCGCCGCCCCCACGGAGTATCAAGCCTGATCAATACGCGAAAAGAGGGCACCAATGGTAGACGCGGTGGCTACATGTAGCACCAGTATCGCAACACATACAGTATACAGATCAGGCAATTAGATAAATATAAAGGCAACGATTTGGTAGAATAACACTGCTGAAACAAAGTTAAGATCTCAACGGGATGCTTAGATGCCTGAACGCCCCCCAATCAGATCTGGTAGGGCCCATTATGTATAATGTATTACTCCGCAATTGCATTCAATATGACTATGGACAGTGTAGCTGATCGGGATACTCCCTATACAAGGCACGGGACGATAGCATGGGGGCTGCTGCAGGGGCTAATTAACACATGTATTGTTCCCGAATGCTACATTATCTTATGTATAAACCATGCTGTCTTGGCCGACAGGTTTTCTGTACACAGTCCTCCAGGAGCCAGCCATGCCCATCTGCTACTCTCCTCTGACATCCTTCTTAGCCAACTCTTCTCAATGACGTGCCCATGCCAAATACTAGATCCTTTCGGCAGGCTGCCTTTGTCGGCTCTTATCGCCATTGCAAAGGACATGCCCGATCTGGCGTCTCTGCACAGCTTCCGCCTCATCTCACCTGCCTGTGCCGCTGTGTTTATGGACCCAAAGACGGGAGCCCGCATCATGGAATTGATAGCGAGAAAGAACTTGGACTATATGAACCAAAAGATCTTTGGCTACATCTGGGCACTGCTCCAAAACCCCGAATCAGAATGGCCAATAGCCCTCGGACGTCCTTTTAAGATCTCACCAATGTATGTTACTAGAAGCTGGCTCGGTTCTTCAACGCCAACAATCGAATCTACGCTTCAAATCTTGGTATTAGCCAAGACAGTCCACAACGCTGCTCATCGGTGTCTTCATACACTTTTGGAGCGCTTCACGGCGCTGCGACCATGGCGTCCAGAAAACGCCAAGTGCAATCTCAAAAGACTGCCGTTCTGGAAATATTCTCCAAACACCCCCTTCAGGCTACCTCCAGAGCGGGAAGGCCAGCTGTCCGGGATTAATCTCAAAGCGGCAGCAGGCCCGTTGGAATGGTTTGAGGAGCAGAATGTTGTCTACGGTGCCTGGCTATTTGCTCTCTACGCTGTCGTGCGCGAAACACCGGAGCCAGACATCTGGCCTCCAGCTAGATCGACAGTCAAGCATCTAAAAGCCTTGCAATTAGAGAAAAGCCTGAGGGCAATAGAGATGCCACAGGTGCTCTTGGGCAGGTCGACAACGCCAACCTCGCCCATACCACATCGACCATTATCTAACTTCTTCCCATGGGCATCTTCATGTAGCGAGACTGGCTGCTCGATAGCACCAAAGTGGTATGCAGGTTCTGAGCATCTCCATATCACCTCCAGGGGCAAGCATTTCTTAACCAACGCGCGTGAAACGCCTTGGTCAGCGATCAGAGCCGCCCCAATCTGGCCTTTCCGGGCTCTTGGTTTCTCAATATGGGGAGAGTACAGGTTCATAAACATGGGCCTGCTCACTGGCAGTTGTGATCTAGCAAATCATTTTGCCAACGCCGCCGATGTGGCAGAGTGCAGTGACTGGTACGCATGGAAGAGTGTGCTGACTCTGTCACAGCTTGAAGCGTTAAAGGACGCACAGTATGATGCATGGGTGCGGTGGCAGCAAGAGCCAGCAAACAGGGGAGTCTAATTTGACGAAGTCTAGGACAAGTTTATGTAGTAAAAATGTTTGATGGAAATTTCATATCATTCCTAGAATGCATCACTAACCTCGGGTAGCTGTGCAAGGGATACATATAAGGCATTGATTAGACATTGATAATTCAACCAGACTCTGCTCTATTGCTGGCACGTCACGCTTGCACATAGCCTTCTGTAATTTCTATTCTGTAATATTAATCATAAGAGTTCACGAGCTGGACATCGAATTACAAGGTTTCTGCTTCCGTAGTGTTCTCTAGCCATTTCCGCCGAGCTTCACCATACTTTGATAGATGTCCGAATAATAACCTATATCCATCATTTGTAAAAGTTCGACCTTCTTTATGCAACCGAATGACGAAATTCAAGAGCAAAGCCCTTCTTTCTCCAGCAAACACAAAATAGTCCCAAACAGGGTCCGCTTTACTTCGACATTGCCCGAGGCAGTGATATGTCTTGCAATTGAATCTCCACTCCTCTTCCAGAGAATGCTGCGTGAGTGAAACATCGTAGTCTGTCATACAGAACGAGCATGATCCCGTCTCTGGGCTGAAGCCGCATGTTCTCCAGTAGCTTTCTATTTCAGGAGAAAATCCAAAGGCAAGTTTTCCGGCGTGACCACCTGGAAAGATCGAAGAATCCTCGGGAGCTACCAACCATGTTACAATCTTGCAGCTCATATGGTTACAGATTTTCGGCTTTATACTGTTCATCAGCCGTTTGAGATGATCCCAAGGTACATTGGGCCCAACTAACGTAAATGAACGGGCCAAGTAAAGTTTATCGTCGATGATCTTGGGGCTATATCGAAGGGAAAATCTCCACGCTCCGCTCCTTCGCGGCCGCTCTTCAGGGATCCAGTCGAAAGTGGGTTCTTCAGCTGATTCAGTATTGTGTTTGGCTCTCCGTCTGTTTTCATCAGATGGAAGCGAGCCGTCTAAGCATCTACTAAGCTCGAGCTCAGTCTCAAACGATACGCGACGCGTTAAGTGTCGAAGGGATATGCCGTGCAGAGGGCCGTAGAAGTGCCGATTCATGATCAGATGTGCATCCAAGAAGCAAATATGGCCATGTTTCATAAAGGTCTGCCAATTGTTCGGGAAGATGATGTGCTTGCGAAGTTCAGAATGGCAGTTTCGCCACATAGAATCCGGAAAGTACGCGCTAAACAAACAGGCAGTCCGTATGTGATGATCTTGGCACTTCCAGTTAAGCCTGGGGTTTAATCTCTGCAGTTTTGAACAACAAGGGCATAGAAAGGTCTTCGGAATGTCCCTCTGCAAAACGAGAAGAAATCTCCTTTTGGTGGGGAGGTTGAGACGTGGTAGGCTGCGTTCGGACGAGGCGAGCGGCATAAGGGATTTGCAGGCTAATGCCAAAAGCATACGCTCTGGTAAGTCCAAATAGCTCATTATACCATACAGTATTTCATTCGGAAGTTTCAAGAGAGATTGAGGAGACGTCTCTTGACTTGCTGGAAACCGACTCTCTGTCCGCCGCTGTATGCTTGTAGATGTTCCTGCTTCTGGCGAGACCTGGCGCCCTTGTTCTTTGATGTAACGCATTTTGGGATAACCGATATAGAATATGACACGGTGGTAAGTTCGAATTTCGACTGCACTGTAGTTTGACTGCATTAAAATCTTTTTTAAGAAAATGGAAGGAAGGAGAGGTCTTTATACCCCTTCGTTGTATCTTTAGTATATGACCGTAAAATTAGCCGATAGCGTTTACTAGGTAAGGTAGGTAGGAAAGTTTCTCAACGTAGGTACGTAAATAGAACAAGGTTCGAGTCTTTGAGCATGAACAAAGTTTGGAAAACTAGAATTTAGAGTCTAATGACTATATGTTCCTGAATGCTTAGAGGCCAAATTGCTGTAGATGGCTTGAAACATATTCGAGCATTATAGTTCTTGTATTTAGATTTCTGCGTCGATACCCCAGCCACTTTTAGCTCAACTTCAGCTAGCATTATTTACAAGACTAAACTTGTACTTGCTACAGGCCACACAATTAAGCATTTCCTATGCCTCGCCATTCCTCCCATAGTCTCGACCACCACTGTGTAGCTTGACTACATTAAGCCTTGGCATTGGAGCCATCAGAAGATGTGTCATCCAACTTGATCGGGTCGGCTGCGTATACGTTCAATCTGTTCAATCACCCAAGGCCCAGCATTTCCAACCGTCGAAATGACTCCAGTGGGGGACCCTCCTCCCAACAAAACCGTAAATATGCCACGCAGCGGGAAGTCCTGATACGCCGGCTGCGATAAGTCAAACGGCTCGCCCCGCTGCCTCCCGTACCTCAGTGCTCAGAATCATAATCGCTCGAGACGACATCCGTCACTAGTGCCGCCGCCCCCGATATTAACCTGTCAGCCAAAAGTGACACTGGGAGCCACTGTTCGAATAAGCCAGTTGGCAGCATGAGTATACCCTGCAAAGGTATCGGTAACAGAGTCGGCCTCCACTTTGCAGTGAGCAAGGGCGCCTCGTAATGGCTCTCTGACTGGCAGGCCATGATTCATGAGATTCCCCTTTTGGCTTTCTCCCAAGAAATCGGGATTAACAATGAAGCCTGCCGGTACTGGGTGGTCGTCAATGTTGAGAGCCAAGATCAGATTTGCAAAGCTGTGAGTAAGCCACTCTTTCTGTCGAAGCTGCTCATATATGTCTCCCAAAGAGATGTTACAGGTATAGGAGATTATTACAGGCAAGGCTCTACTGCCATCTGTAAGCTCTTTTTCCACATCGCGCGCAAGTTTAATTGTTCTACGAGTGGAAGTGTTATCGTCCTCAGTCAAGAATTTATCCTTGTCTCCAGCTCCATCAATACCAGCATACTTGAAGATGGATGACACTCGAGCCGCAGCAAGATCTTTTGCGCCTGTATCACACAGCGATCGGAATGTTTGTCGAATAAAATGACTGCATGGCTTGACATTCTCGCCCCCCAATATCTCCAATGGAGCAATTTTAGGTTACATAAATCTAATCAACACATGACAAAACATAAGTCATCGGAATAATGTCTCATGATAAATTGGCAGAATAAGTCGTGATCTTTACAAAAAAGCCTATTTGACGATGACAGCACACTTGGCTGCATCTGCGCAGATTTGAAGGTTGGGCTGTATTGCAGTAATTTCTTGGCTACGACGGTTAAAGGCAAATATGACTGCCCATTATTACAAAAACAGTGACAATATCACAAATTGAGGCAGAGTAGGTACTAATAGAGCAAAAGCCTCATCTCCGCTTTGGCTGTTTACACATCTACAAGTTCCTACTGCCGCTGTGAAAGCATACGGTTCCGTGCTAACGAGTGCTAAGAATGCAAAGCACAGCAGAACAGTACATATGAGATTAATATGGACTTAACTTATTACCAATAATTATCTTCACTACATCTAATAACTGTTTTTATGGATTTATTCATGGTATGTACTGCCCTAATATGACGTAGTTTCTCAATAGCAATCGAGGCTTTGTGCACTATGGTTTATATGCATGTTGATCTACAGGCCTTGGCGATAGTGTTGTAAAGATGGTGCTGCATAAATCTCCGAGTAGTTCTTTAATTTTCTATGCCAGTTACCATGTAGGAATGGGGGCAACCAGGCGATTATGCACGGCAGCGTCAGATTAGAAAAATACACATGTAGCAGGCCGGCGGTGAGTGGCTGTTTTGTAGACTTTGTGTAAGACTTGAGTAACACTGCTATGTTTTCACTTGGGGGAATGATACGGTCGCTTTTTCATGCTATCATGATGACATTATACTTGCTCTGTTTAAATGCAATATTTAGCAGTACCACTTCTATCTTAAAACAAATGGCCTACACGAGACCCCATGCGCTACCTAGCCTTTCACAACTATTCATCAGCATTTACTCTTCTTATCGCTGTACTTGGGAGATATATGCATCTCTTATACAAAAATAACTATACGGCACTTCAATCACAATGTTACCAGTAAGACTTATGTTACAATGTAAATTCATGTGGTGACATCCCTATAGTAAACCAGACCGTAAGTGTTACACCCTTGCTGCATTGCTAGGATATTGATCTAGCAATTATACACGTCTCGTTCTCCGAGCTATGCGATCGGCCTGAGTATAATCAGGTTCGCTGTAGATAGATGAAGAGTATAAAAGAACTTTAAAGGCGGATAAAGTGTCACTATCACTACCATTAGCAACGTGATGTAGTAGTCGATGATACTATGAAGTCAAGTCATGTTTTACGTGGTCCGATATTCGCTCGCTGTGGACAAGTAGGAAATCTTTTCATAGTCTTGTCTAAAGTATTCAATAGCTACTAGAAGAGCTTCGCTTTTCCACGCATCATTACGGGTAAAAAGAACTTAGAATGTCCATTTCAATGAACAGCATTGTGAAGCTCCACTATTTCTGATATGTACATACTCTGCTGATACGAATCGAAGCGGTCAATGTGAAGAGCAGTAAGTGAGAGGATTCCGCGGATGACAAATTCGCTTGAGTAACTTAATCGAGAGGTGTTCATGCGCCATGGATCTCGGACTGTAGCTGCTTATAGTATTACAAGTAGAGACTGTAGAAGCTAGCAGTCAATCATGCTCAGTGAGTGGATTGTTGGCTTGTGTTTATTGGAAATAGGGGTACAGTGGCCGGGATGGTCAGGCTTGGCGAAACTACCCGCCAGCCCACAATTGGGCCGTTGTTGGTTGCAGGCAGCAGTTTGATAGATGTATAGGGGCTCGTTTGCCTTCACCGTCCTTGATTTGCAGGCTCTGAAGCCGCTTCGGTCCTTTGGATTCGACCTACAACGTATTCTTTTCTTGGCAGGGGGTGGACAAGGGCGAGAAAGTGGGTGATGCTGGATGGTAGCATTGAGTGTGGCAATCCAAGCTATAAACATCAGGTCCAATGCTGGGTTTGGCCACCCATGAGACCTACCAAGCATGTATGTGTATGCCTGGAACGTCAATAGAACGCCAAAA